AATCCTTTCTCTGGTCAAGTAAGCTGGGTAAAATGGAGTAGTGATGACAATTTCAGCATCTTCCAAGTTTGAGTCAAATGCAGAATCAACTCTGTCCTTATCAGTAGTAGCGACCAAATCGTAACCGTGATCTTCAATGAATTGACGAATGCCCAATTCGTTCTCGATTGCTCCCAATAACTTCTTTTCTTCTTGTGCGTGTTTACCACCAGCGTAAAGAACTAATAAGACCTTTGGTTTACCCATTGTTGATTGTTTGTATAGCGTAATTGGTTAATTTGTATTGATGTTGTAGGAAATGTTTCCGATACAGATGATGAAGGAATAAAATGAGAAACTGAAGGGGCTTTTGGGACAATATTTATACCCCCTGTGGTTATCAGTCAATCCCTCAAATGCTCCTTTCTTTTTCACAAATGTGCAGTCATTAAACCAAATTGGAATTCTTTCGAATTAGTTCGAATCTAGGTATGCACCCTGTGTAATTGAATATAAACCATAAACAAAGCAATAGCAAAGATTGAGAGCGGTTTTTTATGCACGTCCCTGAATAACCGAGTCAAATGCTTACCTCACTTGACTGTGTTTTTTTTTTTCACGCACAGTGTAACTCTTTGTTTGCAGCAATATCCTTTATTCTCTCAAACTGAGAGGGTGCAATGTTCCTTAACCGAGCGAATACACTCTTTCTTGTGGGAGTTATTACAGCGCGAATTTTGTCCCTTGCTTTTTATAACGCGGGGATAGAAGTTAGTAGTTTAAAAAATAAATGTTGTTGTTTGTACAATGGGGCAAATTAATTATCTCGGGATAACAAAAAGTACACAAAAGGCTTCCCATCAGAGTCCACATTTGCGGAGTTGGTACAAGACACTTAGAAAAACGAGTAACATCTCACCTCATTCATTTTTGTATAATTGTATATTGTATAAGCAAAAACGAAGAGCAGATCAACAATGTTGAGTTCGGTAATAAAATGGCTCAACTTAGATCCGACTGACTATCAAAACTATGCAAACAAAATTTGTCTATTTTTAGCCAACCTTGAATCCAAAGCACCCCCTTTTCAAGAAGTTTTATGGAGTCTCCGAGATATTTTACAAACACAACTCCTGAATGTTGTAACAAGAGGGCTGGGCTTATCCAAAGGGCATTTTAAAGTGACAAATAATCGACAGTAAAACTGGTGAATGCGTTGAGAAAAATAAATCTCACCATAATAGAATACATCTACTTACCAAAGAATACAACAATTCTTCATTCAAGTATATGTCTTACACGGTAATAAACCAAATGAACATGGTTTATGGCTTCAACGAAATTTGCAATGACGCAAATTGTTCTCCTTTTGATTTTGTGTCACCTTTTCAAATCAAAGATCAACCAGCCATCTTTTTCTTTATTTGATCTAGAATCAGGAAATGATGTTGTAAAATGGCAATCATTCATTCAACTTCAAACCTTGGTTTATCTACATGATAACATAAGAAAAGCCACCTAATCAATCAAACTTAGCTGACATTCGTAATCATATCACATATCTCATTCAACTACAGCCAATATGATGAACGTTACAAGCAGTGGATACTACACAACACAGTATCTAAATAAACAGCAAAGGCAGTCATCTCACTACAGGGATGATGACATTTATCAAATACCTAGAACACCTCATGAGCATTTTCAATCCACTTCTGCTCCAAAGTCGAATCGAAGGTCACCGGTTATGCGAAACATACGCCCCAAACCCCAACTGTCAACCAGCCTGCCCCAATCTCAACAACCTAGTACCCGTAACTTGAGCAATTCCAAACCACAAATTGATGTTGAAATTGATCCCGAAGACCAACTTGAAGAAGAAATAACTCCAGCTGAATTGAAACATCTTCAAGAAGACAACATTATAACCGAACCTATTGAAGTAACAGCTAAGCCACAACAGGAACAAAAGCTAAGGCATATACTTCAAAGGAATAAAAACGACAACTATTATTTGAAACAGAAACAACGGTATGATGAAGCTGAAGAAGTTAAACCAAAAATGTACACACACAAAACATTCCGCGAAGTGTTTACCGATAAACAAGAAAACCAGAGTAGATATAATCCAATGGACTCAGTATTTGAGCAAAGTGATGATCTTACCGCAAGCAGCAAAACCAATGCCAAATTGTCAGCTTTTTTAAAAAACATCAAAGTGATCAAGGACGACTACAATGATTACAATTATTACGAGCATCGAAAGAGAAAGAGTCCAGGAAGAGATATATTTGTCAATGAAGCTAGTGACAATGACGATTACGAGGAGGATGTATTGGAAGAGCAAGGAGAGCAGCAGGAAGGAAGTCAAGCTGACGGTAAAGGCAAATCAAAAATGAAGAAAAACACCCTTAAATCCTTTTGGAAAAAGAAAATCAACCGGGCAAAAAGGGAGTTGGGTAGAGACTTTGACTCTCATATAAATGGAAATAGAGGAGAAGAGGAGGATATGTATCCAGCTAGTACAGAATCGAATAGTGGAGAGATATTGGAAACAGAGCTGAAAGACAATAATGCAATTGTTCATACAGGCAATGAGTTTGCCCTAGCTTCAATGGTATCACTGAGCTACAATTACTTGTGGTCATGGTACGATTTCTACCAAAATAGAAGAAATCAAAAAGAGCAGACACCATGTGAACAGAGTAATAGCAAGGCAATTATTCCCATGGCTAAAATGTTATTTTCATTGGAAGATGCAAGTGGAACCGACTCATCTGCTAACAAATCAACCCAGAAGCCAAGAGGTCAAAAGAGGGCCAAATTCGCAAATGGATCACGACAGCTACTTACCGGATGGAATCAACCTGCCAATCGCATGTTTAGAAATGAGACATCAACAAGAAGAGGCCATCGCATTATCTACCCAATCAAAGACAATGCATCCTCCACTACTACTCCCTCGAGTGAATTTATCGTCGAGTACGACTCTAGTGATGAAGATTCAATGACGGCCGAACTATATTACAACCCACAAACAAAACAACTCGAAGCTGAGCCACCAACATCATCACAATCCATGATGACGGTGAACAGCAACAATGACAAGTCATCATTAGCTATAGTTAGCAATTTGCTCAATCTCATTAAGCAAATCCATATTATGCAGTTGATCTATACCCCAATTGATTTCATTGGTGAGTATTTCCCCCAATTGCAAACGATTATTGTGGTGTTGGAGTTGGTATTGTTTGTGTGGATTCTTTATGAATTGAGTCGATTGGTTGATGCCTTATGTATGATGGTTAGGGCGTTTTGTTCACCAATGATTGCCGTTGGTCGGTTTATGAATAAGATAATGTGATGATGGCTCTTGAGGTTATGACTCTTTGATGATTGGGCTGAGATTGCTTTATTTTTGTATCTTTTATTATAATTTAGATAGTCAGTGGAGGTCTTTTTTTTTGTAATTTATAGTATGGTGTTCAAAAAAAGACACTTCTTGGACTTTAGATTAAAGTCCTGTGATTTGTGTAGATGTATTTTTAAAAATTGATGTGATAATGGTTGCAAAAATAAAAATAAAAAAAAAAAAAACTATCAAGGATTGGATTAATTATTTTTAGAAAATATGTCAACTTTGAGTTATATTTAACTGTGGAATCAATGTATACACATTCAAAGATATGTTAGTCTATCCTTTTCGATACTGACAAAGTAGTAGTAGTAGTAATTATAAGAATAATAATCATAATAATAGAATATATATATATATGTATATATATATGTATATATGAATATGTTAATGTTTCAAAGGAATTATTAATTCAAAGTTGATGAAAATAATGGAAAGCAGGAAATATCACACAAAAAACAAAAAAAATCAATAAAGAAGCAGCACTAATAAAAAAATTTAAAATAGAATCAAAAGACAAATAAAACAACTGAACACACACATTTCTTCAAGTAGACCTCCTCTACACTCTATTTCTTAGCATTGATCTTAACACCTTTAATGGTGATACCAGTTTGTTCAACTGGGAATTTTCTAGGTCTGCCTCGCTTATCTTTCTTCTTTAACATTTGTTGAAAGTCTACATCACCAAGATTAGCCAATCCATTAGCAGCAATGGCATTTTGTTGTTGTTGAAGTTGTTGTTGCTGCTGTTGTTGTTTTTGCTGCTTTTTCAGCTTTTGTTTCAGCTGTTTTTGTTTTTGCTGCTGTTGTTGCTGCTGTTGTTGCTGCTGTTGTTGCTGCTGTTGCTGTTGTTGCTGCTGTTGGAGTTGGATTTGCTGTTGCCGCTGGATCTGCTGTTGTTGGAAATGTTGTTGTTGCTGTGGGTGCATCGCTATATTGTCATTATAATGGGTCACAAATTCAGGTTGTTGCAGTGGATGAGGAACTCCATTGTTGTGGCCAATTTGTTTCGATGTAGATACACCACCAGCAGCTGCATTGTTTTCTCTCAAAATTTTATTCAATTGCTTGAAATGAGGGTGTGTAGAGTCAATCATGGTATTAGTTGCAGGATCAAGAATGAACTTCTTTGGACGTCCTCTTTTTTTCTTACCATTAGGATCAACAGACTCATCCTTGACAACAGGTGATCCACCTTGTTGTATTCTAAGAGCTTCCTTTTCCAAAAGCAACCTTCTTTTCTCCTCCATCTCCTTCTTGGTGGCCCTAGGTTTTCTAGGTTTTTTTACTTTTTGATCGCCAGTGGCTGAAATAGCAGCAGCAGCTACACCACCAGCATTGTTAGCAGCAATTGGACCACCTTGTTGTGGAAGACTAGAAGCGACATGAGGAGAGTCTTGTTGTTGGTGTTGTTGAGGCAGTTGGTGAGCTTGCTGAGTTTGCTGTGCCTGGTAGCCCTGTTGAGGCTGTTGCTGTTGTTGCAGACTTTGTTGTCTCTTCTGTTGATAAGGTTGTTGTTGTTGAGGTGGAGCTTGTTGCTGTGATGGTTGATAGTACTGAGCCTGTTGATGGTATTGTTGTTGTTGTGGAGAAAACTTTTGCAACTGTTTGGGATCCAATTGTTGTGGATGATCATTTTGCACCAGTGTATTGAAGATTTGCGGTGTTGCCGAATGGGATGAAGGGTTATAGTAAACGTTATTATGACCACCTTGCTGGTGCTGTTGTGCTTGTTGTTGCGAAATCTGGTACTGACTTGGATGGGTTCCCAAGCCATTCAAAGATTGGACTCCATAAGTTGATCGCGATGGAATTTGGACATTGGTATGACTCAATGGGGGTACACCACGTGAATTGGCACCTGAAGTATTAGCAGAAGTAGAATTACCACCAACGCTTCTATTGAAATATGAAGCAGGACTAGCTGTGCTTGCAATAAATGGTTGTTGTCTAGCGTTGGTGGGAGAAGTCTGTTGTACTTGACCTGGTTGTTGTTGCTGTTGTTGTTGCGACGATGATGATGAAGTAGATGATGGAGATTGTTGCTGTTGTTTGGATGGTTGAGATCCTGTAGTTGATGTTGAAGAGGGGTTAGTTGTGAAATTGGTTGAGTATCCCAGGTAAGGATACATATTATTAAACATGACTCTTGTTTTTGTTAATAGATAGTCCAGTCGAGGGGTATGTATGTATACAATGTGTTGGTTATGTTATAGCTTTAGTACAACTGTGTATGTTCTCTTGTGGTTAAATTGCCTGTCTTGCGTGTGTGTGTATTTCTATGGCTTTTGTTTTTTTTTTTGTTTTGTTTATACTTTGTAAACTTTCACTCACTCACTCACTCTCTTTAGATGAGAAAATCAAAAATAAAAAAATTAAAAATAAAAAAATTAAAAAATTAAAAATTAATATAATAAATAATAATAATAATATTTATTATATTCTTTTTTTTTTTCTTTTGGTTATAAAATGTGAAACAAATTGATAACGTAGTTATTTCAATGAGTGTATCTCAATCGATTGATTTAACACTAGATTCTTGAATTAGATGTAAGCACTGGCACTGAATAGATAATATAATTCAGTAACTCAAAGTATAAACAAATTGCTATTGTTATTGCTGTTGTTGTTGGTTGTTTTTTTATTTTTTTTAAAAAAAAAGGGAAAAAAAAAAAGTGACTTAAAAATTTTTTTTTTAATTCTTTAATTTTTATTTTTTTATATTTTTTTTTTTGATTTATTTATTTATTTTTATTTTATTGTCTCTCTGCATACGAAGTATAGATGACTAAGCAATTACATCAGTCTACTCTTGAGTATTATATAATTCTTAGGTAATAACACCCTATAGGAAAGAGTTAATTTTAAAAAGACTATATAGCTACGTATAATAGAATGGTTGATTCTTCATTTACTTATTATACACTCATGTTCTTCTAATTCGATACTCTTAAAAGATTAGCAGGAATGTCATACAACTCAGCTTCTTCAAGTAACGCCTTTTCAAAGTAATTGACAAATTCCTTTGAATCAGACAATTTCTCATCAAATTTAACTTTGAAACTAACACTTGCTCTTGGTGTACCTACTTCTACAACTGGGGTTGCTTCATTGGGTATACCCACTAGATCATCAAAGTCAGTTCTAGGTGGAACTCTTCTGTTTGATATTGGTTTACTTATTGAATCGCCGTAAAAGTTGTATTGGACATCGTAAACTTCAAATCTCTTCTTGGTTACTGGTGCTGCAACTAATTCTTCAAACACATCATATTGATCATAAATTGAGGATGCTGTAGGTGAAGTAGAATACTGTGGGAATTTACGAGCATATGTATCATGGATTGCCGAAGTAACTGCGCTTTCAAATGCTTGCTTAAAATCATTTTTGCCAATATGTTCTTCCAAAGGAGCAGAAAATTCAATTGAAAAGATGTTAGTTGGTTTTGGTTTGGCTTTTGCACTAGCATCACCCAGCTTTGATTTAGATTTGCTCACTTCTTCTTGTTTTTTGGCCTCATCACTTGGCTTGGCAACCACTATATTAGACAAATCCAAATGTTCTCTTGATTTTATATATTTGGCAAGGTCAACTACTGCCTCAATTGGTATAGTTCCAAGATACGCCAATACATCTCCCTTCAATATCCTTCCATTGGGTCCAGATGCTTGGATCTTGGCAATGGCATCGTCATGAGAAATATTGTTTTCGTTCAAAAGCAATTCGACAGCAGGGGAGAGCTTTTGTGATGGGTTAGCTTTTTGAAGTATTCCTGAATCTGATGATTTGGAACTGCTTGATGGTTTAGTATCTTTTGAGTTCGACAGTTCAGCTGCCAGTTTGTCCTTAGAACCTTCCTTTTCTTGTGGCCTTGCTTGCTTCTTCTCTTCCTCTGGCTTCTTTGGTTTTTCCTCCTCTTCTTCAACCTTTGGCTTCTCTAAGGTGCTCAAATCATCGTCAACATCGGCAATATATGCAATTGCTTTCCCCACTGGTACACCAGTAGCTCCATCATTTTCCAAAATCTCCCATAATTTCCCATCGTCTGCAGCCTCAACGTCAATGTTTGCTTTATCGGTTTCAACTTCCAACAACACATCTCCGGCATTATAGGTATCGCCGGGTTTAACTTTCCATGAGACAATTCCACCTTCAGTCATGGTAGGTGACATGGCCGGCATCTTAAACACTGATGCAGCATATCTTAGACTCGACTGATGGAACAAACGAGCGTAGGGTGTGTATAATCTTGCTCTAGCAAATGTAACTCTAAGCATATTTAAATTGCAATTGGTTTGGAAATTTGGAATAGATATTGATATATATGCAAAGGTTATGCAGGCACTCTGAGCAATTGATTGTCTGATGATAGTAAGTGTCTCTCACTGTATAAAGTTATGATTTTTTTTTTTCCAGTCAAAAAATGTCTTCTTGCGTATACGGAGATTAACAGCCGAAATTTAAATGGTAAAGAGAAGTCCGTGAACTTTTTTCTGTTCTTCCTATTGTCGAAAAATTATGCAGAGCAATGTCGCAAACAAGTACACAAGACAACACTCGTGGTATCATGTGACACTCATGTGACTACCTCGGAAAAAATAGGAAAGGAAAGAAGATTTCAAATAAGGAGAGATGGATAAATGAAAATTACCCCAATTTTTTTCTTTCCATTCTACCAAGGTGTTTTAGTTTCTAATCTTACTCATATCATTTGCTTCATTATAGCTGAACTAACAGGTGGAAACTACTTACATCACCTATTCGCATTATTGTTGACTTCAAAAAGATCTCCATATAACCACCTCCAGCGACTAACAAGGCTGAAAACTGTTTCCGTTTCGTGGTTTTCTACATTTCCGATTGAATCTTAATCTGTTTTCACTGTTGCATCAATTATTTACGACCACGACATTGATCAACTGATAAATCAAACCACTTCGAGCATCTTACATTCTACTACAACTACTATCCAGAGTTTCCCCCCTCCAAGTGTTCAACATTATTCTCCTTGAAGTCAAAGGTTTTACAAAACAAACACGCAAACGGTATTTTTATTTATTTTTTAAAAACAATAAAAATAAAAATAAAAATAAAATTTTTTATTTTTTTTATTTGAACCAGAAAAGTCTCGCAGTTTTTTAACTCGTGACTTTTATCTTAAAAACAACTTGGTTGTCAAACTGATATATATTCAAAAAGCACCTTGACGGTTACCTAACTTAAAACTACTCCACTCACTTGAATCAAATATTCGCTGTCGCACAGATTACAACGCTACATTCACAACTATCCTCCTAGCATAAACCCATTCCCTCTCCAAGCATGTCCGTTTCCAGCATAGCAAGATCAATCAACCTACCGAATATCGTTGCAACCATCAAAAAGTACTCAAGATTCATAGGCCCTGGCCTTATGGTAAGTGTGGCATTTCTAGATCCGGGAAACTATTCAACTGCAGTCTCAGCAGGAAATGCCTACAAATACAGCTTATTATTTTCCATACTATTATCAAATTGCCTTGCAATCTTTTTACAAACACTAGCGGCAAAACTTGGTGCCGTCACAGGGTTGGATCTAGCCGCCAACTGCAAAGCTCATTTCCTGTTTAGGACAAATCTCGTACTATATATTATGACTGAAATTGCCATAATTGCAACCGACTTGGCTGAAGTGGTAGGAACAGCTATTGCATTGAATATTTTATTTAAAATTCCATTGTTTTTGGGAGTTATTGTCACTGTCATTGATGTGTTAATTGTCTTAGCTGCATATAGGCCAAAAGGACCCCTTTTATTTATTCGCATTTTTGAATCCTTTGTTTCAATATTGGTTGCTGCTACGGTTGTTTGCTTTGGAATCCAATTGTATCAGGTTAGTCACGATAAATCGATAAATTTCTCCACTATTGAGGTGCTAAAAGGATTTCTTCCAAATGAAAAAGTTGTTGATATGTCAGAAAGAGAAGGTGGAAATGGGTTATTTTTAAGTTTGGCGATATTGGGTGCCACTGTAATGCCTCATTCCCTATACCTTGGGTCCGGATTAGTTCAGTCAAGGTTGAAGGATTATGATATAAAAAATGGATTTTACAAGCCATGGACGAAGGGAAATAATAATAAGCATTCACCTTTATCAGCAGTAACCACAAGTGATGAAATAACCATCAACCCAGGAGAACATGAATCAAGTGATCAAGATTTGATCCCTGTACACCCCGAAATACAGAACCTGCCGCCTCCTGCATTTGAAAGAGATGCCGATTCAACCACACTTGAAGAAGACGAAGAGGACGATTATAGGCCATCGATCCATGCGATTAAGGACACAATGTCATACACAATAATCGAATTGGTGATATCACTATTTACAGTGGCATTGTTTGTGAACTCGGCCATTTTGATAGTGGCTGGAGCTACCCTCAATAGCTCGAAAGTCGACCAACGGGACGATCATGACGATGGAAATGACTCTGATTATGATTCCGATCAAGATGACAACTACGAAAATGCTGATTTGTTTACAATTTATCATTTATTATCCAAGCACTTATCCCCCACGGCTGGATTTGTGTTTGCTTTGGCATTGTTGTGCTCTGGTCAAAGTGCCGGTGTCGTGTGTACTTTAGCTGGACAAATGGTTTCTGAAGGGTTTTTATCATGGAGTTTACCACCCATCACCAGAAGACTTATCACTCGTGGAATGGCAATTGCGCCGTGTTTATTTGTTGTCACTTTCGCTGGTAGAGAGGGACTAGCAAAGACGTTAAATGCCAGTCAAGTTGTATTATCGTTGCTTTTGCCGATTGTTAGTGCTCCTTTGATTTGGTTCACTTGCAATAAACAAACTATGAGAGTGCCCATTTACGTTCGAGATGGTGACGAGGATATTGATTTTGCAGCTAATATGTTTGACGATGAAATCGGCAATGTGGCACCTGTCAATACTCAAATCAATCCCAAGAGATTTACCAGTTCAGAGCCAGCAATTAGACTTCAAGATTTGCGCAAGTCACACCCTTGTGCTGGATGGGAAGATGACGATGAAGAGGAAGAAGGTAATCGACACGATCCATTGACCAGTAATTACAATGAGGAAAGCCAACGATTGATTGATGGTGATGTCGACTCTGGTACTGAAGGAGAGACGTATGCTCAGCCCCATAGTAAGATAAAGACAAGGTCAAACTCAATCGCCCTGGTTTCTAATCCAGCAGTTTCTGATTCAAGCCTTGGATCATCGTCACTGTCGCCGAAAGTCTTGACTACTGACACCGAAGATGAGTACTTCGATGATGATAACTACAGAGTCAAAGGCTATAAAGATTTCAGTAACTCTACCTTGACGTCGGTGTTTGCTGTTTTGATTTGGAGTTTTATTACGTTGCTAAATGTCTACTTGGTGGTAAATATGACAATAGATGTATAATTATTCTGCATAAATTTGAAGCATTGTTTTTTACAAACAAACAAATTGTACGCTATCTATAACGAGTATCTAAATCCCTCATTCTCAAAATCTGTCAACCCTAAGAACCCATTCAATATTGCTTGCTCTTTTTGTTCTTCCGTTTGGTCATGTTGCAACTTGTTCTTTATCTTATTTCTTCTCATCAATACCAACCTTATGCCTATTGCCAACACCATAATGCCACAATAACAAGTTATTAGTCCAATAACACCACTATTATATTTGGGTGCTTGATTGGTGTAAAAGATGTTAGCACCAATGATATTGCCAGCAGCATACAACAAGAACCATATACCATTTGCTATTGTGCGTTTGGAACTTCCTGATACGTTTGCATTGAGTAATACCCAACACATAATCACCGGTCCTCCAACTATAAACTGAAGAAATGCACATCCAACTAAAGACCATCGATGGTCTAGCGAAATAGTGTGGATGCCGATTAAGCCAACCAATGGAGCAATACAAAACCCAAATAATACGTAGCATCGAGTGTTTTTAATGGTGAAGGTTATAATCCCACCCACTACAACAAACACCAACTCAATGGCACCCAAGGGCAACTGCAATGCCGTGGCCTGGATACCTGTGAATCCGAATCCTTTAATTAAAGCCGAGATAAAGTTCGATGATCCACCATTAATTACACCGCAAGCTAATCCAACTACAGCTATCATCAACACCGAAGTGTCACGTAAAGCTTCAACTACTTGATGTTTTTCAAATTTTTTATTCTTGACACCTTGATTATTACTAGCAATATGTTTAACCAAGACCGCTTTTTCCTCCTCCGTTAAGAACTTGGCATGTTCTGGGGAATCGGGACAAAGCCAAAGGAAAACCACTGACCAAACAAGATTCATCAATCCAATAACCAAAAAAATCAATTTCCACGGTTTGATACTAGCATGCGTTGCATGTCCCAATCCGAAACCCAACAACGCACCAACCATAGTGGCAACACCATTGAATGAAAGAAATAAACACATGCGCATAGGTTGCTGTTTGATCGTGTAAAACAGTCCACAAATTATCATACACGATGGACTGATGCTGGCTTCAAACATCCCCAAGATGAATCTAATCACTAATGCACCGCCATAGTTGCTCAATCCAACATGCCCAATCAAAATTATTGACCATGTAAATAACAAGAAGCCCGTGTATTTGGCAACTGGAAGTCTCTGTATGATGTAATTACCAGGGATAGCCCAAAATAAATAACCGAAATTAAAAATTGCCGCAACCCACGAATACCGTTGTCCTACTAGATTCAAGTCCTCTTTGAGACTATAAGCAGAAGCATAATTTAATGATAACTTATCCAAAAATTGCAATGTATAAGTGATACAAAGTAAAGGCACAATCCTCCAATCAACTTTACGCAACACTTTTTTATAAATCTCTAAATCTTCTTCAGTCGAAATATCTTGAGCTTTTTCATAAAGTTCGTATCCTGTTGGATTATCTTGTTCAATTTGCCCTTCGTGGATTGTAATCACCGCTTCGTGGGTTTTCTCATTGTCTATATGGTTAGATGTTGATACAGAATGCGTTTCAGTCATGACTTCTTCTCAACTGTTGTGGAGTTTGTTGAGACAGCTTCAAAAAAAATGGGATCTCCTCTTTGCTACATATATATATATATGTGTGTGTGTGTGTGTGTGTGTGTTGGCATTGTGTAGGGTGTCTTACTCCGTTTTCAATACGGCGAGTATCTCAAATAAGCCCCGTTGCAGCATTTTGCCATTGATAACAACCGCTACCGACGAATTCCGCTTATTTCCTAATCCGAAAATCTCTCTTCTTTATTTTTGATAACGACTTCGAGCTAAACATTGACACCGATGCTATTGTAGCTTATCAGTATTTATTTAAATTAAATTCAAACATTTTATCAGCATCTGATAAACATTTCAAACTTTATTATATAGCATTTACGTCGCTTAAGTCAATACATCCACAATGGAGCCTACAATGAGTACCTAAAATCCACTGCTTTCTTAACCAGAAGCCATTCGTATCGGTTCCAAAGGGTGGTCATATCCACAAGCAGTAGAAAGCTGGAACTTATGTCAGACACGTCTAAGAATTTAATATACACGATCAACGCTTTTGTTTGATTTGCTTTAAATTTAAATGACAATTTCATATTACATGAAATTCACCATCCACGCCAGTATAGACTTCCCTCCCCCAACTTCCACTATGATGATAACATATTTACAAACTCCATCTATCCCAGTTCTGGTACTGGTCCCATCTACATCAACTCTTAAACACAGACTTTATTATTTATCCAAAAGTATATCCTATATAAGAAGTCCCTTTTTTTGTTTCACAATTAGACATCATAGTTTGAAGCAGAGACATCACCACCTCTACCGGTCCAGTTGACATGTACCCACTTGTCTTCTGGAACAAAGCTGGTTCCCTTACCTTTAGCAACTTCGAAAGTGTGAGCACCAAAGTAGTCTCTTTGAGCTTGCAACAAGTTGGCTGGTAATTGTTCTGATCTTAAACCATCGTAGAAGGCCAAAGCGGTGGAGAAGGCTGGGGTTGGGATACCTTGAGTAATGGCATGACCAAGGGCAGATCTCCAACCGGATTGAGCTTTGGTAACGGCTTCCAAGAAGAATGGGTGGAACAACAAGTTGTCCAAGTTTGGGTTTTCTCTGTAAGCAGCAGTGATATCCTTCAAGAAAACTGATCTAATGATACAGCCACCTCTCCACATCAAAGCAATAACACTGTAGTTCAATTTCCAGTTGTAGTCCTTTGAGGCTTGTCTCATCAACATGAAACCTTGAGCATATGAGATAATCTTGGATGCATACAAGGCTTGTTCCAAGTCATCAATGAACTTCTTCTTGTCAGTGATTGGTGATTTTTCACCAACTTCTGGTCCCTTCAAGATCTTTGATGCCTTGACTCTTTCTGATTTCAAAGCTGAAAGACATCTGGCGAAAACAGCTTCACCAATCAAGGTGACTGGGATACCCAAATCAAGGGCGTTAATGGCAGTCCATTTACCAGTACCTTTTTGACCAGCAGTATCCAAAATTTTTTCAACAACTGGTTTGTTGTCAGTTGGGTCCTTGAATCTCAAAATATCTCTGGTGATTTCAATCAAGTACGAGTCCAAGACCCCCTTGTTCCATTGGGCAAAAACATCAGCAATTTCGTCATCTTCAAACTTACCAACTCTCTTCATAACATCATAAGCTTCACAAATCAATTGCATATCACCGTATTCAATACCATTGTGGACCATCTTGACGTAATGACCAGCACCGGCATCACCAACCCAGTCACAACAAGGTTCACCATCGGACTTGGCGGCAATAGCTTGGAAAATTGGCTTAATATGTGGCCAAGCTTCTTCGTTACCACCTGGCATCAAAGATGGACCGTGTCTAGCACCTTCTTCACCACCAGAAACACCACAACCAACAAACAAGATACCCTTCTTTTTCAATTCTTCGTATCTTCTGTTACTGTCTGGGAAGTGTGAGTTACCACCGTCAATGATGATATCTCCTTTGTCCAAGTATGGCAACAATTGTTCAATGAATGCATCAACAGCTTGACCGGCCTTGACCAACAACATAATTCTTCTTGGCCTTTTCAAGTTGTCTACCAATTCTTGGATAGAATGAGCACCAATGATGTGCTTGTTACCTTTAGCTTCGTTGTCCAAGAAGTGGTCAACTTTAGAGACAGTTCTGTTGTAGGCGACAACATTGTATCCGTGGTCGGCAGCGTTAAGGATCAAGTTTTGACCCATAACGGCTAAACCAATTAAACCGAGATCACCTCTAGGAATTATACTGTTAGTATTATGCATGGTCATGTGGTTAGAGATAGCAGATAGCCTTGATAACGCGCGTGAGGATGCCATGTGCTGTGTTAGTACTAGTTAAGACGAGTATGTTTGGAGTTAGGTATTTGAGATCCACCCAATTGACAGGAATTTATTGGTATATTTATGTGAAAAAAATAAAATTTGGAATTGCGGAGGAATCGTTAAGGGCAAGCGGATTAATTTTTGATTTTCCCTTTGTTCTCTCTTGTCCAAAATTGAACAGACAAAAAAAAAATCGATACTCGGTCATTCAATTATTGTTGGGGGAGCCCTTTTTTCCGCTGGATGTCGACTGAATTGCTCAATCCGGAGATAGCAAGTAGGTTAGTACGTAGCATGGGTTGTGGTGAATAAAAAATTTGAGATGTGATTGGCATCCCTTGCAACCAATTGACCTCTAATGTAGTGATTATAGACTCTTGATGGAAACGTTGCGGTATCCCGGCGCTTATCTTAGCTTCTTCATCTGCTTCTGCTTCTGCTTCAAAATGGCAATCCTTTGCCATTGGAAAATCAATTACATACTGTGGAGCTTTTGAATCAGTTGACATTGTTGATGGATATTAGTTAATTGTATCTTTATACTTTGTAGATGAAGAGCAATTGAAAGAAAGAGGTTTGAAAATTTTTGTAAAACTGAATTTTATTGATTTAGTTTTATATTATTTGAGAGAACGTTTTTATCTCTCTCTCTTTCAAATACAATAGCAAATATAAAAAAAAAACATCAAACTTATTATTGTTGGTAGTGCGCGTTGGATCATTTCAGTTTTGTTGGACAAAAGGTTTTAATTTTAATTTAATTTCTTGAGTTCCAGTAGAGGTTATCCATAAGTCAAGGGATTGGTTCTTTGAAAACAAAGAGCAAATCTAGAGCAAATCTCTGTAAGTCAATTGGGTTACTGTAATACCCAAAAAAGTGTTGTGATTCAGTCTTGTTACCAAACATCAATCCGTCCACGTGAAGCTCTGAACTTGATAGAGCTTAATGGAAAAAACAAAAAAAAAAACAAAAATAAAAGGAGGGGTTTGTATACAGGAAACCACTTTCCAGCTTGGCCCGCTTCGCCGGAAATTGATTTATTGGTTAATAATTAGATTAAAGTATCACAAATAAGCTCAATGTTGTTGGTTAAACGCGAGTTACGGTCGTTGAGGAACTGCCCAAAAGTTTACGCGGTTGCCAATTTTTACTTTTGACGAGAATCCTCCACTTCCAACTACCAAGCACATTTCAGCGAGATCGGAAAACGCATTTCCGGCGAATTGTATGGAAATAATAAACAGCGTATTAAACACACATCCATTATTGAGAACTTCGTCAGCCTAGTCTGTCTTTAACCTTGAGTAAGATTGAGCCAGTGCTTTGCGCTGTAAGTAAAGCTCCTTTGTTTTGATCAATTGCCATATCGGCTTTAGACATGACACCTGCTTTTGTAAACACCCTGTCTTTTCGTACACTAGGCGATCAAAAAAAAGGTCCAAACAGGGTTGCAAAACGTAGTCCCTCATGTCAAAGCAGTTGGTTTTCTCTAAAGGTAACTTGTGCAACTTCCATGTCAAATGTGGGGCATTTTTCTGTTGGTTTAATCTCTCCTAATACAGAGTCCAGTTATTTGAGCTTGATTCTCGAAAGCTTTTTAATTACCAGCATCATAGTTAATTCTCTATGGTGGTGAGAGGGGTGGGGCATCAGCTTCTGTAACTTGTAGCAACCAGGAGGGGCACAAACAATAGCTCTAGTTATGTTGTTGAAACTGTCCAACTCCTTCCCCCAAATTTAATCCCCCACTTTTCTTTGATTGCAACAAGGGTTCACAACACAAAAATGGTCAAAACCAGTGTATTCAGACAAATCCTCCACGTTGGGAACAGCAAAGCACGGCGATTACAATGGAGGAATCTCTTCCCCGCACTGAATGTTGGAAGTTGATTTCTCTCTTGGGTGGCCAATCAGATTAGAAGAATTTGAGAGAAGAGGAGAACGAACATAGATCAACTAAGATACGAAACAAGTTGCCACCTCTCCAAAAAGCCAGAGTAATTGAGCAAAGAGGATCAGCCATCACGACATCACTGCCCAGCTATGATCCCCAGCTTTCATTTTCCATACTATACTTGCTGATTGCTTGATCATTAGACAGCCACAATTTATATCAACACTACAAAGTTTTCTTGACTTAATTTCTTGGTACCACAGTTGTTGACGCCACCACGATTGGAAGTTTATGAAAAAAGTACGGCCATTGGTAATCGTGGTGCCACATCACCAACTTAACTAGTGAAGAGTATTGCCAGTTATAAATGCTACAAGAACCAGCTCTTACAGTTTGCGACCTTTGACGCAAAACAAAAGCAACACGCATTTACGACATTAAAACCATCTAACAATTACGTCAGTCAAAAATGACAGTGTGTCACGTGCTATTGTTCCATTTTTTTCCCACCAAAATTTTCCTTTTTTGTGTTTTATATTTGCAGCAAAATTGAAAAAAATATCTTACTGGGGAATCTAATCGACTGTAAATCAATAATGATTCATGCATAAAAAAAAATTTTAAAAAAGAAAATGTGAAAAATTTCAACAGGTATTATCAAGTTTCATTCATTCCTAGAATCTATAAACACATCCTAGCTACATTTCAAAGCATGCCTATTCCAAAACCACACGGAGGTCAACTTAATGACTTGATTATTCGCGACGCTGAAAAAAAGCCACAGTTGTTGAAGGAAGTTGAAACCTTGCCCCACTTGACATTAACTCCAAGACAATTGTGTGATTTAGAGTTGATTTTAAATGGTGGATTTTCTCCCTTGACTGGATTCCTCAATGAAGATGACTACAAGAGCGTGGTTGAAGATTTGAGGTTGACTTCCGTCAAGAACAATCAAAGTAAAGGTTTGCTTTGGCCAATTCCAATTACTTTGGACGTTTCTCCACAAGCCGCTCAACAATACAAATTGGGTGATAGAATTGCCTTATTGGATTTAAGAGATGAAACTCCATTGGCCATTTTAACTATTGAGTCGATTTATACCCCTGATAAGCAAAAAGAAGCAAAGTTGGTTTTTAGGGGCGATCCAGAACATCCAGCCAACAAATATCTTTTCGAAACTGCTGGTGATGTATACATTGGAGGTTCATTGGAAGGTATCAACTACCCAAAACATTACGATTATGTCGATTCAAGAAAGACACCAACTGAATTGAGAAAAGAATTTGATTCTTTGGGATGGACCGACCAAAATATTGTCGCTTTCCAAACTAGAAACCCTATGCATAGAGCTCATCGTGAATTAACCATTAGAGCCGCTAATGATATTGGTTCAAGCGCCCATGTTTTGATTCATCCAGTTGTTGGTTTAACCAAACCAGGTGACATTGACCATCATACAAGAGTCAAAGTCTACAAGCAAATCTTGCAAAAGTTCCCTGAAGGATTAGCATCGTTGTCTCTTTTGCCATTGGCCATGAGAATGGGTGGTGATAGAGAAGCCATGTGGCACGCATTAATTAGAACCAATTATGGTGTTGATCATTTCATTGTTGGTAGAGATCATGCTGGTCCTGGTAAAAACTCTCAGGGGGTTGATTTCTACGGTCCTTATGATGCGCAAGAATTGTTACAAAAGTATCAAGATGAATTAGATATCAAGATTGTTCCATTTAGAATGGTTACTTATTTGCCTGATGAGGATAGATATGCCCCAATTGACACTATTGACACTTCCAAAGTCAAAACAGCAAATATTTCCGGAACCGAATTGAGAAACAAGTTGCGTACTGGTGATGCCATTCCTGAATGGTTTTCCTACCCTGAAGTTGTCAAGATTTTGCGTGAAACCAACCCACCAAGATTCAAACAAGGTTTTGTCATCATTATTGAAACTGAATCCAAGTTGGGTCAATACTTGAGCTTTGCTTTACAATCAACCTTGAATCAATTCAACGGTGAAAGAAGAATCACCAAAATCGATCAACAAGAACACAATGTTGATCCCTTCATCATTAATGAATTGGTCAAATCGGGTGCTGGTGTGATCTTGACCACTGAAAACACTCACACTGACAAAGTTGCTAATTTGGTTGGTGACGGAAATTCCATCATTGTTGGTTCAAATAGCGATGCCTCCAAGGGACAATTTAAATTGAATGAAAATCTAAATGTTACAATTGATGAAGTTGTATCTTATTTGCAACAACAAGGTTTTTATTAGAGATGTAAATTAGAGTATTTGTTTATCGAGAATAGAATAGAAAGGTATAAATAATACATCGTTATTTATTGAAGTGAAAATAAGAGTGAATAATAAATAAATATAAAAACATTACAGGTCATCATCATCGTCGTCATCGTCGTTGTCGTTGTCGTTGTCGTTGTCGTTGTCGTTGTAATAAATCATCATCATCATCATCATTGTAACCCCATCTGTGATATTTCCTCTTAAAACATGTTTCTCTGCTGTTGTGCCAAATGGGCTGATCTAATTTGCAAAGCTTCAGCAAAACCCATAGCTGCTGGCCATACAGGGGCATCAGCAAACACTCTAATACCCAAATAAAAGGCCCTGTTGGACAAATTATTCTTGATCACATAATCTCTAATCTCTTGATTCAACTTCATTACCCGGTCTCTATTCAAATCCAAACCAACTCCGCGTGATAAATTATCATCACATTTCGATCTTTCTTCACTCAATTTAATAATCTTGTTTCGAAGTGAATCAGTAACAATACTTAAATTATGCATATCTTTGGTCAACACATCTGAATATACCGACTTTACACCTGGAGTTAAAACTTTTTCCATCTTGGTAAAGGTTTCTTGACATCTTAGCCACTCCATTAATTCTTGATTAGAAATATCCCTTCTCTTGCATTGCTGTTCCAAGAAATCAAGATAGGTAGCTATTACCAAAATACTAGCCAATAATCCACAAAATAAGAATACTGGCGTACGAACAGTAGTTTCACGCACATCAAGGCTATTTGTCTCAGTAGTTTGTATCCACAAATCCAAAATACTATAGCCTGAACCCAATGATTTGCTCAAGACACTATAGTTCGATTCACGGTAATCCATCAAGTCCAATTCCTTATTCATTGATGCATAGTCCTTTTTGAAAATGTGGCTGAAAGTAGCATCGAGATTGATATCCAACTTCATCTTCAACATATACCAAAGAGGGATAATCTGTTTCAAATCGGGTGAATGGCTAAACTGATCACAGTTTAATGACGATGTGTCTAAATTACCATTGTTTTTGTAAAAAAGAATCTGCCAATTGTTCATCAAATGGTGATACTTGGGTCTTTTTTCAACATTCCAATTCATATAACTGAAATCACCAGCTCGCAAGTCAGCACCAACTTGTTCATGAATATTGAACAAGATAGTGAGAAGGTTGGCATTGGGAATGCTGTTCATTGGGTTTGGGTTCTGCAAATAACTAATGAGCTCATTCACAGTCGTGCCATTGCTCAACTTAACAATAGACCAATTTGGAGGGTTTGTCTTGCAAACAGTGTCATACCAGCTACTGGCATTGGGGCTCCACCAAAGCTCACGGTTAGTGCAATAAGATCCGCTCTTCATCATTGTTGCGGGAAATAAAATTGGTGCACCCGTGATACTAGATCTAAACACTTGCAAGATGTAAAACGTATGCAAAGTTCTAATTCTCGATTGCGCTAAAATGAAATAGTCATAGTTGTGCTGAATAATCGGTTTGATTTCATCGTTGTTCATTAATCCGTGAGGTGCAGCTTGTGGTGGAATGATTGATTGCTCCAATGGTTCATTAAAATTGGTTGATTTGATCAATCCAATCATTGACTTGATTTGTCTTGCAGTGATGTCAATTACATTCGGTTCATTGAAAAACAACGAAAGCATAATGTGCAAAACAAGACATTGGTGTGCCATCAATGGAATCTTTTTAAACTGAAGGTTATCAACAGTCAATTCTCTCTCAAAAAAGCTTTGTATGTGATACTTAGACATGTTGAACAATAACAACGCATCATGGTTATTGTAGGCATACAAGGATCCAATAGCAGTGATTGCCAATAAAAGTGGCACCGTTTCAAAGTTTTGTCCACGTACATTTTTCAAAGATGGCAAATGGATAAATGAGCAATACTTGTTGAACCCAAATTCAAACATTTGCGCATAGTACTTTAAGCTCTCCAAAGAAGGAAATTCTTTACTATCAACGTGACTCATGGAAATCATTTTTTCCCTAGTCTCAGCTGAAATCAAAGTTGAATCAAAATTGAAGAAATTGGGTGGAAATTCAATAGAATAATCAATCAGGTGTGACGCGTCTTGCCCACTGGCACTAAGCAATTGCTGCATGAAATCCTGTGCTTGTTTCTTGGGGAGATTGACTGTATTTTCATTTAGCTTCTGGTTATTGAAGTAGCCTTTTAAATCTTCGAAACTGGTATTGGCACTGAAATTCAAATTCAAATCAAACGCTGGGGTAACCAAATCCTTAACCCAATCACTTTCGCTAGGGAAAGTGGGTGCAATATTGGCATTTCCAAGTAAGTTGGCTTGTGGAGTGGTTGAAGCTTCCATTGATGATCTTGACCTTTTACTCACGCTTGGCACGTTGCCATTGTTGTTGTTGCTCAAATGCAGAGGATCAATGCTGCCAACAGAAGAAATCGAGCCTTGTTGAGATTGCGGCAGTAGCTGATGCAATTGGGGTTGTTGCTGTGGTTGCTGCTGCTGTTGATGCTGCTGTTGTTGATGCTGCTGCTGTTGATGCTGCTGCTGTGGTTGTGATTGTGATTGTGGCTGTGGCTGTGGCTGTGTCTGCATCTGTGTCTGTATCTGTGATTGTAGCTGATCCGGTTGTTGCAATTGTTCTGGAGCCGGTTCATTTTCCTCAATTGGTGGCGGTTGGATTGGAAATCCAGCTGTTGGATCCATACTCTCGTCGTCTATAGCAAAAATAGACTTTCTCTGTGGAACACTTTGTGCATGCTGCATAGGTACTGACTTCAATTCGCTATTTTTAGGCCCAAGAGTGAAAAAATCTTGTAAATTCTTTAACGATTTCTGACGAAGCGAAAACTTATCATCACTCAAGTCCAAATGGTCAATATTACCCCAATCTAATAAATCACCCATTTCCATGATTTTATGGTAGTCTTCACTATGAGGACCAAGTGGTGGTGTCCCAAACTCAACTTGTGTCGGTACTGCATTTCCAAACTCAAGCGCATTGTGCTCTTGGATTTGCTTTGCCTCCTTAATGTTCGCATACGAAATTCCCGACGCAGCTGAATACGACGCGTGTCTATAGTTGTGTAAGAAATGGGATGATTTGTCGGTGAATTCCGAAGTAGGTTTAAAAGTCGTCATCTTTTTTCTCTTGGGTGTATCAGATTCTGGAGATGGTTCTTGCTTAACTTGACTTGATTTCCTTCTATTTGAGGTTGTTGAATTTTGACGCGACATTGGCGTTGCTTTTGCTTGCTGGTTAAACGAGACACTTCCTCTTCTTGCATTGCTGCTATGTAGAGTAATACTAGGTCTAGGTGAATTGCTTGAAGTGATAGGCGATGGTCCCATCAGTAGATGATGCGGCAGGCTTCCATCTGCTTGGGTTTGATTGCTAATGTCAAAGAGCCCGGTGCGAAATTGTGGTCTACTGTTGTTTGTATCGGCATCACTTCCATCAACAGCCTCTGATAAAGGTGTAGCACCATTTGGTAAAGGGGCATTTGGATCTGTGTTGTTTTGCAATACATTTATATGTTCGTTGATATCTTGGTCTTTAGAGGAACCTTTACGCATCAAAGTGGGTAAATTGGTATGAAGTTTTTGTTGATGACGCAATACCAAATCACGACGAGCAAAACATCTACCGCAAGCAGCACACTGGTAAGGTTTTTCATTTGTATGGGCTCTTTCGTGACGTTTTAAATGTTCCAACCTGGCAAAAGCACGCGTACAAACACTGCACATGTGCGGTCTTGGTTTGTCAGTTCTAATTTGTTGTGACTTTTTCGGAATAGGTTGCGTGGCGATGGGTGGTGTAATATTGGAATGAATGGTATTTCTGCGCATAGTTTTGACGTTGAGAGTGATGCTGCCGTCGCTACTAGTATTGGTGTCCAGCACTGAAGTTGACGACGACAAAGTCTGGGGTGAGCATAGTGACAATGATGGTTGCATATTCATCTTGGACAATATTTGATAGATAGTTAGCTATTGTTGTGGTTGTAGTATATTGCTGTTATAATAAGACTGGAATACACCCCCTGGTTGTTAATATGGGTTCTGAACGGTGGTTGTAAAAATAAAAAAGAAAAAGAAGTCAAAATGTGGGATATATATTTATAAAAAGAAAAAAGGGAAAAAAAAAGAATTCAAAGACAGACTTCAATTTAAACCGAGACAGGCATAAAACAGAAAGAGAGAGTATGAGGGAACAGACAACAGACAGAAAAATAATATAAAAATATAAAAATATAAAAATATAAAAATATAAAAATATAAAATTAAAATTAAAAAAAAAAAAAAAAAAAAGAAATAAAGTTAAAAGAAATAAAATAAAATAAACCTAGGTGAGTTCTTTAATCAACTAATCAGATCATCATTTCACTAATCTACAAGGAGAGAAGTATCTTCAAAGTCAAGTGCACTGAAAGACAGCAAAATTTCTTTGTGAAGCAAAAAGGTGACAAAATCTATACTTGCGCCTCCCACCCTGACTCCCCCATACACAGAACAAAACTAGGGACAATAAAAAGGAAAAAGAGAGTAAGCCACAAACATAAAACAATCAAAATAATTCCGTATTTTTGTTTAAAATGTCCGTCTTTAGTGTCCGAGTTTTCAAAAAGTGTGTGATCACAAAAGACAAAGACAATATTAAAAGAAGATCAGACACTTTTTTCTTTTAAGTACGAAATACTAGCAATGAAAAAACGACAAGAAAAAAAAACTAACATAAAAAGGGTTACAAAGCCCCAGGGACAAACACATTTAAGACAGACAGACATTTATTTTTAATACCACTAGTAATAGATTTTAGTAATAGATACACTACCTCACAGTGCATTTAGTGTCTTTTCTTTTCCTCTTCTTTGTATCACCGGCGACTATGACTAATTAGGAAACTATCCTTCATGGAGCTCAAAGTCATTTGTTTTTCTTTTTATTGTTCCTTACCAAAAGCAACAAAAATAGTGTAAAATAATTATTACCTCCCTTTATTTCTATGTTAAGGTGCCCTTTTATGGTAGGGAACAAAAAGAAGGAATTCTTAAGTAATCAGAAATAGCAATTGTGTGTTTGTGTGTGCGTGTGCTCGCAGAATTTGATATTTCCTTATTTCACCTTCTGTTGGCGTCGCTATTGTATGACAAAAGAATTTTCGCCACTTTTACTCCAGCGGGGCAATTGAAATTTTGTCACCGTTGTGTGTACGCACAGCGAAACTCACTATATTTTTTCTTTTATTTTGATTGATACTGTATGTAGATATTATAATTCGCCTTGTTTGTTTGGTGAATGCACGACCTTTTCCTATTTGGGAACTCAAGCAAGTCAATGACGTATGAGGAAACTCTCTGTTATGGAAATAAAAAGGGCAACTAAAGTTGGTAGTGTGGGTGTCTTTTCTTGACGACGAAGCTATACATTTGAAAGATGAACTGGTAGGGGCATTCCAAAATTAGTTTTGTCTGTGTAGATCTCACGGCATTTCAGTAAGGAACAGACTACAGGAGAAGGCAGAAAAGTGCATAATAATAGGAACTAGACGATACGACAATAAACAGTGTGAAACCCCCTTGCTTCTCTTTAGTTATTTATTCCTTTCTAAATTTGTATATATAATTTGAGGGACCGTGATTAAGGACGATTAAAGAATATAGTTGCTATAGACTTCCTTATCATATACGAATCTATTCTTGTCGGTGTTAATATTGTAGATAAAGTAGATTCCATTCTCTACTTCACTTTATTATCTTGGCAAATATTTGTATTGTGCATTCTCTTTAAATAGATATAATGAAAACAAAAATTACAAGCTATACACTCTAGCAGAAAACATAAAGCACCACTGCTTCTACTGATTGTCTAAGTTTTAACACTGCCACTCGCTCAATTGAGAAGTAAAGGGCAACATTAGTATACCACTTCTTTCAAAATTACACTACTCAACCTACTTAATTTCTTTAGAAGAGAAAACTCCCCAGACAATGGCAATCGCAAACATTCTTCTAAAGCACTGGCGTGCTTCTGCCATCTTTCTTAAACTTCCTACTTCTGTTATTGTTCTTATGATATCATCAAATACGTTCTTTTTTGTAATTGATTGGGTTCACTTAAGACGCTGTGGACTTCCATGTCTCCGTATACCTCTCATCTAAATGCTCTTAGTTGTGTTTTTGTTTTCTTAATATCTGTGTCTGAATTTTCCACATCTCGGAGTTTTTTGAAATTGTTGAACAAACGTTCCTTAAATCAAAAATTTTGTTGAACCGCCACCATTGTTGTTTCATCTAATAACGCACCTTAATATACTAGGGTCAAGATCTGTGCTGTACAACTAATATCTTTTAAATGATTAGCAAACACTAAGAATTTGTTATAGTGGTAGAAATGAAATAATAAAGTTATTCTCTATATAAAAGTATATAAAAAGGATTCGCGACGAACTGGACTATATATAGAAGAAATGATCAAATTAATGATGATAAGAAGTGTAGGCAGTTGCATATCAAAAACCAAAGAAACGAAAATACACCATTCGCTTCTGCAGGGATAGAAGTCCTACTCGAAAGCCCCCACTAAGTGATATGCACTGTGTGTTAAAGTGTAACCCTACTGCTAATTGAATTCTTGTCGATTACTAGATTACTCGGAAGGATGGATCTGAGGGGGAGGGGTGGGGAGTTAGATACTGATAGAATCTTTTACTTCTGCTTTCGAAACTAAATTGATTATTTATCAGTGTTGTTCTTTTTAGATTTACATATTCTATTCCTTTCCGGTGGATGTAACTTCGTCTAATCAAGTGTTTACCTCTTTTGGTTGATGTCGCGTCTTCTCTTTCAATTCACTTTCTACACTTTTGGTTTCTCAGGATTATTTTGTTTTTAGTCTGGAAAACTTTATCAACGCCACAAAAACCCCAGATTTTAGAAAAAAACAGACATAAAAATACAGCAGGAATTTTAAGCAATTCGAAAAACAAAAATCTCTACTTTCGTAAGTTAAGGAACGAAGTTAATAGTGTATATCTGTTGTTCGTAGGTGTATGTATGTGTGCTTGTGTGCTTGTGTGCTTGTGTGCTTGTGTGCTTGTCCTTGTAAGCTTAGATTGATAATGAAGCAGGTATGTGGCATTGTAACTGAACAAAAGAAAAATTAATCATCCACAAAAGCGGACATAAAGTTCAATTACATTTATCCATTCTCCTTATTTTCCTGTTTTTTGGACACCTTATTTCAAGTGTGCCGCAATCTGTAAGATCTCCCACGAATCATTCTACAACGCCTTGTACTACCATTCCTTACTAGAATGTTGAGTTATGCATTCGTATATATATATATATATCTATACGTTAGTGCACAAGTAAACTCTCATTTTGACCATTTGCGGAAATAGACGTCAGAGTTTTCTTTTGAAAGTTTTTGTTGGGCTAATATTTCTTTTTTTGAACAAAGTAAGACAATAGGTGGTTTGAGTGAATTATGTGTGGATCGGACTTTTCCATTTTGTGTGATTTAGATATATGCGTCACCTATGATGAGTGCTTTATACGCATTAAGTTTGCTTTTACTGCCGACACAATACACAAAACCAAATAATATAATAATTAATAAATTTGTTCTATTTAACCAGCCAATGAGAAAAAAGTGTCTGAACTTATCTTTGGATTTCGTGTCTGAAATAATTCCTCTTTTGCAGCGTTTTGTATTGTTAATAAAAAATTTTCCTTTTCCCTTTTCCTTTAAGGTAAAATATTTATTTCAAAATCTGGGGTAGAGAAAAAAGAAACCAATCAACATCACAAAAATTTTCATTTAATTACACGTAATCTTCAAAGCAAAAGGAACATAGTCTCTTCTCCCCAAATCACTTTAGTACCACAAGCCAGACATTAGTTTCATATTGCAGTGTAACATCTCTCGTTCTGAGAAGGTAAGTATAGCAAAAACTACAAGAGATAGAGCTTTAGTATATAAACAAAAATGAAGCCACTTTTATTATCTCTAAACATCCACAGTCCAAGTGTTTCATGGAAACTTTTTAAACAAAAAAAATATTAATTATTTTACAGACTAAAATTTTAAATCTTAATTCAGCTTAGTGCTCTTTTCTTTGCCCTTTTTTTATGTTTGGATCACCAAATCTATGTATGTTTTCCACTCATTTTCAATTCGTTAAACAAGCGGGGGGGGATGCCTCTCTAAATTATAATATACAAAGATCTTCCTAGAATAAGCTTTCATTTACACTTTTAAGGTGTTTAAGATTACCTAAACCAAACAATAACAACAAAATTTTTCAATATTTGAAGGGGGTATAGTGTCGGGGGAAGAGGCGAGTTTGGAGATTCTTTTAAGCGATTTGAACGACTAAACTTTAATTGAAACAGAATTTTCACTTTCACTTATAGAGCCTGTTTGTGTCTTGAGGGCTGCCTTTATCCCTTCCACCCTCTCTTCAGAATTGGAAAGATTGAAAAGGGATTCCAGAGATGAGATTACCACAACACTCTGTACATTAGATTTCGCAGTTCCTGTACGAGACTGTCTCAAAAAATACCCCTCCTCTTCTTCATGTTCCTCAAAGGTTTCGGAATCGATGTTTCCTATGCTTATAGATTTTAAATTAAGCGTTTAAACGCTTTTGCAAATGCGTACTCTAATACTAAAACATAATCCGCCTTTTCTGCCGAGTTTGAAACACAAATGAAAATCTGTACAGGAACTGAAGCTCCTTGATCTTCCATGATATCTTATATTCTACTCTGGACCAAGCAATAAAAAAAAGGGAGGAGAGCTTTAATAGTCGTAATTCAACACTTGTATACAACTATATTTAGTTTCAATTTTGTTGCAAAATTTGACAAACAAAACATGAAAACAGTGAAATACAGAAACGTGGAGTAGCAACTTCAGGTCAAAAAAACAATTATACTATCCACTCTTCTCATTGTTGTGGAGTTAAGATAGACCTAAGAAGAAGGGTTATTGAACCCTAAATTAGTTCAATATACCTCTTTAAATATAAAAATTTGCCCCAAAATTTAAATTTGTTTATTGGGTCGCTCAGGAATTTTGTCAGAAAATCCTCCTGGTAGCTTAGTTGGTTTAAAGCACAAGACTGTAATTGTTTCCAGATATTGTCATCTTGGGATCGGGCGTTCGACTCGCCCCCGGGAGATTTTTTTACTGCCATTTTAATTTTTTGAAAGCTTCACAAGGTTTACCAAAGCTACGGGGACGTTTTCCTTTCTTATTGTTAATTAGCTATAGTAGTGGGCACTGATGTGAAGGCCTAACTGGTGGAAGTAATTCGTAAATTGTTTTAATTCCAAGAAAAGTCCAAATTGTGATATCGTTTCCATGAAATATACTCTACGATATTTCCGAATAAATTGTAATACGCGTCATCTGTTTGTTTCTTGATGCTTGCTCAATTAGGAATAAAGAGAACAACGATCTGAGTGATGTCGATATTAATCTCGTGATATACGAGAGAGAAAGAGAAAGATCGAGGATTACCCCACTCCGAAAGTCTTGGCAAAATATATTGACGCACTTTAATTTAAGCGAAAATGAAAATTTCGGGTGTATCGCACACAACAGGAGGGAAACGCTTTGTAACTTTTTACTCTGCCCATGAACTACTCCTCTCTGTTTTGTCTACAATGGTGGTCGTTTTACCATATTGAAGCCTGAAGTAGTTTCCATGTTTGAAACTGCAATGATAGAGAGTGGTTGCGGCCAAGAATTAGGTTCAAAAACTTTTTTAAACTTTCTTTTCATAGGGTCTTGGCATGGTAAGCCAACATAGGGTTAGCGAAGAAGGGCAGCAAAGAAGATGGTGGCGGAAGAAGTAAGAGGGAAGATGTACTCGGTAGCTTTGGGGGTAAGAAAATCTGTCTTCTTTTCACTACTTTTCTTGTCTTGCTCTACTCTTTCACCAATTAGGAAGTAAAACCAAGAGTATGATTTAGCGAGGCTTAAGGCATTAATTTTAGTTCGCCCATAATTCATTTAATTTTTTCTTTGCTTGTTTTTATTAAACAGTAAATCTTAAGCTGGAGTTCATTTCATCGAATTGTAGACTTTCATGAAAATGTTTACTAATCAAGGGTATGAACAATTCAGTTCTATCGATAAGGATGGGTTTGTACCATTTTATGCACCAATGAAATAACAGAGAAATGGTATTAGTAATATCAAGTCAGTTCGATTTGCTTTGTGCGTTGGAGAGACGATGCTCTGGACAAAGAAGAGAAAAATTTTTCTTCGTTCTTCTTGTTTGATGGCTGGCCAACTTTGTGGTTGCAGAAAAAAATGGAACAAAAAGTTTTTTAAATGAAATTAGGATTGAATTACGAGTGGCAATTTCGGTTAGTTTGGATGATGATGATGATGATGTTGTTGTGTGATGTGATCCTTAAACAAAAAACAACATTTTGTTATTGCTTTGTCTCACTTAGTTGTCACCAATAAAACAATAAGACTATGGAGAGGGTTTATTGTTTTTTTTTTGTTTTTTTGCTCATTCGCACTCTTATCAAACCTCCAGTATGTACATTTTAAGCCTAATTCGGTTCGTAGAAACTATTTTTCTTTTCTATGCAAATATAAAGCTAAACGTCATATTCTAATAATAGAAAAGGATTATTGATCATTCAACAAACAGAATAAAATAAAATTTGGTTACGGCCCGAGCTAGAAGGCGCTGCAGTAGGCCTCGAATAATTGTTATAAATGTAAGTCAACAACATATATTTCAGTTGTTCTCTCTGAGAAGATGAATCGGGTGACTGAGACTCTGGGCAACGCGTACGGACTTATGGTTGTTATTCTGTTTTTATACTTCGGAAATTGCTCCTAAAGTTGTTAAGAAATGTGAGTGACCAGGTTTTAGCGACGTACATATTACGGCGAAGAATAATAAGAAAATTAATTCTCGTGGGCAATTCTGTGTTTTTTTTTTCGGTTTGTCTGCCTAACCGTGCGTCTGTCTCAGGGATGACGATATACCCGAAAAGAGATGATGATTGATATAAATACATATCCAAACCCTTACTCGAGATTTGAAATATTCTTTCAAATTTGACACTTTATCCTAACTATCTCATTAACACTTCCAACTGTTTCTACTAGAACATATATATATATATATATATATGGTATGTATCGTTCTGCAATGAGTTAAAGAAGGGAAAAGTCCTTATAAGGAGAAGACGACTTGGTATGAGTTACACACACTCCGTATGCAATGTTATGCAACAACAACAACGGCAACTGTAATTTATATCTGTCACACGACAAGTATGTCAGACTCAGCCAAATTGCAAAAAGGGCCAACAGAGATGGCATCCATTTGCAACAGTTTGTGGTGTGCTATGGTGTCATGATACATCTTAACGCGTGGCATGAATTGGGTCCTCATACAACCAACAAAGCAACCACATCCCGGAGGAACTCAACATCGGAGGACAATCATTATACCCCAAACGTTTTTGACCAGCTCTAGCGAGGAATGGTCACGTGAAGTATTCATAACCATCAAAGAAAAAAAAAGATTTACGTGTTGTGTTTGTTTTTTTTTCCCCCACAATTTTTTAGTCAAGAAAAAAAGCAAAGAAAATAATTTCCCCCCTCCTCCAAGAAATTATTCCAAATACGTCGTATAAATAATGATGATAAACACAAAGATTTGCCGCGTTTCGGAGTAACAGAATCTTTGAAATTGATAATGGAGATATATATATAAAGATTATTTTCCTCCTTTTTCCTGATATCGCTTAATACTGTGTCTTTATTTACTAACAACTAGTTATAGTTATAGCTTTCAAAATGAATTCAAAATTACCAGAGTACACATCATCTTCAGAAGTCCTTCCCAACTACACATCGTCGATAAACTTTTATGGGTTGGCATTACTAAAGACTGAGTTCTTAACTCCATACCAGTACAACAACGGTCACAGGTCCTGGAAGCCAGTGCTTTTGCATATGAATTCGACCCAGTTGAACATGTACAATTTGAATGCCGACAAGAAATTACAGGACCTACTCATCAATTTGTACTTTGAATTGAATAACTTGAACCAGTTAACCATCGATCTCAACACAGAGTACAAAAAGAACAATGGAATGGACTTCAACTCAAATCAAGTTGACTTGAATGATATATTTTCTGGTGATGCTTATGGCGGTCTTGAAGGAAACAAGTCAATGTTTAGCGAGTCCAAGTTTGGCAAATTGAAGAACAAACTCAAGACGCAGAAAAATCACAAGATATTAGCCACCATTTCAAACTACTACAACATTTTAAAGGACAACCAGTTGCTTTTCGAACCTAGCAGTGCTGACATCAAGGGTACAACGTTTGAGAAATTCAAAGGATCTTTACTCCATTCGTATTCTTTAGCCCATTTACAAGTTGGCGAGGCGCCTTCTTTGAACCAGTTGATTTCGGCAATGTACAAAGAAGATCATACATCATCAACATCAAACACTTCGTCACTAGTCAAGTACAAAAACTCGCTTCGGTTGAGAATTGAATATAAACAAGTATTGCTACAATTTTGGTCATTTCATGGAATGATTAGCTGGTTCAGGAACTTGTCTATTGGTAAGGATTTGAGTTTGCCTTTGGAATTGAGGACAGTAACAAAACTAAAGTCTATACCATCGAGATACAGTAGCAGAAACAATGCGCTACTCGCTGCTACTGCCGCAGCAGCTAGTTATGGTAGAGGAAGACACCATAGTGTCGAGTCATCTAATGACGATCGTGCAATGATTAGAGCTAGCCAGTTGACGCATAAGGAGCTTGATTCAGATGTTGTCAGCACAGATGGTGAAGACGAGTCGATATTTGACAATGTGCAACATGCGAGAAGAGAATCGGCAACCTCGTCAATATCATCTTCTGACGACATGGACTACGTAACCATCAATGATTACAAGTTTGTATCAAAAGAAAATGCTTACACAACTGTCGAAAAGCAATACATATCCAACTGTGTGCCCGATCTTAATTCTTTTGACAAATGGAATGGCAAACTCATCACCGTAAGCAATGCTGAATTCTTTGTGAGAGACGAGAGAAATTACAAGAACAAGGATGATGTTTTCATTAGTTACAATGCACTAGGTGACTTGGTCCAGCTGTACGATAGAAAATCTTCCAACGCACACCAACAAAACAAACTCAGTTCAACAAGAACATTTTTGATCCATCAGAGTGGGTTAGTTGGTGTTGCACAAGAATGCTGAGCTAGGGAGGCAACCAATTGATACATTTTTATTTATTTATTTATTTATTTATAACGATTGACGATTTTAACGAGTGATAATATATACACGGGTGATCTACGATGAACACAGATTTTAGATTCTCTTAAAATTGTGGTTCCATAAAGAATGAGGCGTCAAAGGTGTAGTGTCCAACAATTTTTGGACTAAAAATAAAAAAGGACAGCAGCAGACACAGTCAACAAAAAAAAGAAAAAAGCGAAAAAAGTTTGGCGAGTAAAAAGTTTTACAACCAAATCTTTTGCCAATCACCTCCAGTTTTATACAATACTGCTGAAAAGAGAATTCCACCGAAACACCACTCCTCCCTCCCACTGAACTCCCCGCTGCTTTTACTATAAAGCATTGTCCATTTTGTTTAAATCTGTTTAATTGAAAAGAAAAAAAAAGTATGCCTACTCCCGCTGAAATTATCGCTGCTCGTTTGAACCATTCGGAAGATGTCGAACAAGAGCCGGAACCTGTCTTTGGACAAGAACCGAAATCTAGAAGTACTACGCCATCTATCAGCGATGAATCTGCTTTTCCTGCTTTAGGATCAAAAGCTAGTTCAAATGTCCAACAATCAGGTGCTTCTTCATGGGGCCCTAAAATGAAGGCACCACCAACTAAAACAGCAACTTCTGCTTCTGGTTTTCCCAAAACTGCCAAGAGTGGTAATGGATTCGCCGTTAAACCGAAAACCTCTACCATCCAAGAAGCTTTTTCATTGGACGTTGAAGATCAATTGAATGTTGCGCGTGCTGAATTTATCAAGATATTGACCTACGTTATGCAAGAGACGAAAACATCGGTTGAATGTACCACTTCGCAACACACGAAAAAGAGGACTTTTTTAATCAGCGGTAAACCAGATGATGTTAAAATTGCCAAGCGCTTAGTTGTCAAGAAATTGACCAAACCAGTGCAGATCAAGTTTAATGTGCCTGCCAAGTTGAGATCTAGAATCATTGGTCAAGGTGGAAAGACTTTGAAACCGATTATCCAGGCTAATGAAGTCAAGATTGAAATTGGAGATAAAGAGGAATCTCATGATTCAAGCGATGCCGGTCAAGAAGAGGATGATGACTTGTTTGCCACGACTGTTGTGATCACTATTGATGGTGATGTTGAAGGAGCCAAGGCTGCAAAGAATGAGATTTTGACCATTGTCAAGGAGGAAACAAAGAACTTGACTGTCAAGGTTCCTTTGGATGAAAAAGTCAAACCATTTGCCGAGACAGAATTGCAGAAAGTTGTTGATCAATACGATGCATTAGACTTTTCTATACCCACTTTTAAATCAGCTTCAAACAATATAGTAATTCATGGTGAGCGTGAGTTGGTATTGGAAGCTAGATCTGATGTTAGGGCAGCATTGGAGAAATTGTCACAAAAGATAGTCACCGAAGAGGTACCAATCCCCAAAACAAAGTATCAATTTTTACCTATCGATGAAGTTTTATCAAAGTGTAATGTTTTAATCCAATTACCAAAAGAAGGTGAGACTAATGTTAAATTTGCTGGTGAGAAAAAGAATATTAAATTGGCTCAAGAGGAGGCAAGAAAAGTCACCTCACAATACAAGGTTGAAGTCTTGGATATGTCAAAGGCTCACAAGGGGAACTTGAGACACGTTAGTGCTGTGGCAGCTTACTTGAATAAGATTGGCGCATTCAAAACTATCGCCGATGCTAATGATGTTGTAATCAATACTCCTTCAATCAAGGAATTGAACAATGAATCGAGCACCTCGATTCCAATTCAAATTGTGTCAAAGGGTGGAGATGAACATATCAAGGCAGCCAAAAAGTCCATTGTCAGTCAAGTCAATAAGATTACCCCTGATCAAACCAAGGTAATTGATGATATTGAGTCGTTCTTGTTGAACAAAGTTGATGGAACCATTCGTGACATTGCTAAGAAGGAAAATGTTGAATACATCATTTTGCACAACACCATAACCTTGTTCAAGTCTGAAGATCAACAAGAGGAAGCAGAAGATTTTGATGATTTTGGAACAAGTGGTGGTGACTCCTTCGACAAGGTCAATTCCACTTTAGATACATTGAGAGAATTGGCAGCCAATTTATCAAGTGCTACATTGGAAGTTGCTTCAAAGGACCAGGATGATGTTGTTTCTGGGCCAAAGGGAGTGACTTTGAAATCTATTTTGTCGAGTATTGAAACCGACTCTGTATCTGTTAAGTTACACAGTAATGGTTCTTCACCTTCTGAGAATGAAATCTACATCCACGGTATTAAGTCATCGGTTGCAGCTGTTAAGAAGGAGATTGAATCAGTGTTGGCAGATGCAAAGGAATACCCCAATGGCTTCATTGGCGAAGTGCGTGTACCTTCACAAACTGTATCCAGATTGGTTGGTAAAAATGGAACCTTTTTGAATTCTCTTCGTGATGAGTTTGGTGTAAAAATTGATGTACAAGAGCAAGACGCCAAGAAGGATGAGTCTGACAAGTCAGATGTTACAATCAAGGGAGTCAAGAAGAACGTTGAAGCGGCAAAGGCAAAGATCTCGGCATTGGCTAAGAAATGGGCCGATGAAACTTTGGTTAGAGTAAGAATTGAAAACCAATACCACCGTAGAATGATTGGTGCTCAGGGTGTTTTTATAAACCGTTTACAAGACAAGTACAATGTCAAGATTAGATTTCCTGCTGCTGACACCACATCACCATCTCCTTTTGCCGATGCACCTAAGTCAAAGGATGAAGTTACAATCAAGGGCCCTTCCAAGGGTGTCGCTAAAGCGGAAGAAGAGTTACAAGAATTGTATCAGTTTGAAAAAGAAAATGGGTTCAAGAAACAATTGCAAATCCCATCAAAGGCAGTTGCCAGAGTCATTGGTAAAAGCGGTGAAACTATTAATGACATTGCCGATGGTACTGGTGTCGAGTACACTTTCAAACGTGATAATGAGGAATCAAGTGGAATTGTCGAATTGGAGTTGACGGGTTCAAAGTCTGCATTGAAGGAGGCATCCACCAAGGTCCAGGAAATTGTTGATGAGGTTGAAAACTTTGTTGTGCGTACAATCAAGGTCGACCCCAAGTACCACCGTGATTTAGTTGGTCCTTCAGGTTCAGTAATGAAACAAATTATCAGCACTGCTGGAGGAGATGATTTGCCAAGAAGCAAGTATCATCGTTTGCTCGCTATACCTAACGAGGGTTCGGGTTCTGATGAAGTTGTTTCTCAAGGTGATAAGGCAATTGTGGACAAGATCATCAGTGCTATTGAGGCAATTGTTAAGGAGAAGGAGGCATCAGTTGTTGAAGAGATTGATTTGCCTAAGGATAAACATAGATTAATCATTGGACCAAGTGGTTCAATTCGTCACTCATTGCAATCTGAATTTGGTGTTACTATCGAAATTCCAAGACCAAACAATGAAAGCACAATTGTTAAGGTGAGTGGCTTACCTGAAAAAGTGGCTGCTGCCAAAGAAAAGATTGAAGCATTGACCAAGGATGACTGGAAGGTGTCCATTGACATTTTAGGCAAATACCATCCATTAGTTTCTGAACATGGTGCTGTGTTCAAAAAATTAAAGAGTGACTACAAAGTTGAAGTGAGTCATGGTAACTTTACCAGACAAGCCAGTAAATTATCATCTTCTTCGATTCCTGTGCCCCCAGAGTCAGCATATCCCGACAATGACGAAGATTTTAAATTTACTACTGAAAAGTTTGCAGCCGATTCCGGCGATGACGTTGTCATTCCTTGGAGATTGAAAGGGGAGGAGAAGAATGTGGAAAAAGCGGCCGAATTCATCAACAAGAAGTTGGAGTTGGCTGAGTCAGCAGACTCACAAGGGTGGTTGTATGCGTCAAAACCGGCTGTGTTTTCTAAAATCATTGGTCCTCAAGGATCAAAGATTAACCAGTTGCGTGCTAAAACTAATACGTTTATTACAATTCCAAAAGCTAGTGACAAGTTTTCCAAGTTTGTTTATCTTGTGGGGGCTGAGGACAACTTGAACAAGGCTTACGAAGAAATCAAAAAGTTAGTGTAAATAGAGTTATAGGAAGAGTTTGTATTTCAAATGAGATAAGGGTTTAAAAAGTTCGGAGTTGTTATAATGCCCCGTACTGATGAAGCTAATTAGGGCTTAGAATATACGGAGCTAAGCAGCGCCCCCCTTCAGCCGCGCCTTCTCTCTGCCCTATATACTTTTAGTTTTCTGGATGATGCTTGTTTATCACCAACGTTTGTTTTATGCACAGCGGTAAACAAGCCTAGAGATAAACATAAAAAAAGAAAGAAAAAGAAATCGATTCAGCTATAAATAATCGGGTCTACCCCAGCCAAGATGTGTTTTATTTTTCATTTATCATCAAAAAAACATCAAAAACCCATTAATTGAAACTTAAACATGCTGTTAGTTGTAGTCGTCATCGCATTAGGTGCTATCGCCGTCGAAAAACAAATTAAAAAGAAGAAGCTTAGAAACATGAAGAAGGAGAAATATGAACGCTACAACAGAGCTCAGGAACAGAAGCAACAAGGAGGATACCCACCGCAATATCCAGAACCATACCAAGATTCAGGGCTCTACTCTCCTCCAGCCACCACCGGTAGTTCAAGCAGAATGAATTACAAACGTGGAAGAAGAATGACAAACGAACTGAACCAAACAGCTCCGACTGCTGCATCCGAGGCAAACATAGGATGCCCTAAAGTTCAGTTAGTCGCTGCGAATAACGGTGCCTTCAACACTCCACCACCAACAATTACCGTTTAATTGGTTTTGTTGTTGCCTTGTTTTACCTGATTTGTTTTTTTTATATAATGAATGAATATCTTGTCTTTTGGATCTTCATATTTGTAGAGTTATCTCTTGGAACATAAACTGTTGATGCTGTTTTAGTCAATGGGATCAGCGTCGAGTCAAATTGTTGCAAAAACAGCTTTTACGACACACGACGGATGAACCAAAGGCATTGTTTGTGGTTTTCTCGGCATATGTAATTATGACTTGTTACGATGACATGGGTACTAATATATTATAGATATCGGTAAAACCTTATTCATGCACGCTTTATAGTTGATAATACGACAACCTTTGTTTGTAAAACTTAGCCAAGCCGCGCCTCTTCTGCACTTTTATTTTTAGATTTTGGAGTGACGTAAATCGCAACATTTTGTTATGCACAGCGGTAAAGACGGCTGGAGATGGGAGAAATAAAAAAGAAATTGAATCAACTATAAATATTCTGGCTTATCCCAGCAAAGCAATCTCCATTTTCATCTTCCACTTCCCATCAAGAAAATATCATTTAATCGAAACCAAAAATGCTTTTAGTCGGAACCGCCATTGCAGTAGGTGCTATAGCCGTTGATAAACATAAGAGAAAGAAGAAGCTTAGGAAGATGAATGCTAAGGAGAGAGAGGAATATGAACGTGCAAACAGTGATGACGAGCAACTACAACAGCAACAACAACAGATGACACAACAGGGATACCCACAACAAGGATACCCACAACAGGGATACCCACAACAACACCAGCAATATTACCCTCCTCCACAGGAACAAAATGAATACCAACGTCAGGATTCAGGATACTACTCTCGTCCACCCGCCACCAGCAGTTCCAGCAGAATGAATTACAACCGTGGAGGAAGATTTAATGATAGACAGGACCAAACAGTACAACCTCCTACTTCCGAGACGAGCAAAGCAAGTTATGCAGCTCAGCAACAGCTGAATAATGGTGCCTATGATCCTCCACCAAAGTATGCCCCTTGATTGCTTTTTTTGATCTATTGTTTTACGTACTTGTTTTTAGAATGAATGAATTGCATAAGTTTTAGATCGTCATATCTGTAGAATTGCCTCTGAAAACGTAGACTGTCGATGACGTTTAGTCAATATGAGAAATATCGCATAGAATATCGCATAAATTACTTTTTCGACACATGATGTAAACTAAAGGCATTGGTGATCTGTAGTGAAATTTATCCAATGGGAGATGGAAAGGGGCGCCAATGAAAACAAACAAAGTATGAGCTGTCTATGAATTTATCGCCAATACCCTGCCCCGTTTTGAATATTCATGCCAAACACAATCAAACAGGTTTACGGATTAAACATATTGACTTTCTAATACCAGGCGCCACAATAATGAGTAGAACCCCTGTTTACGCACATTCAACATGCCGTAAATGAATCCACATTCAATCGCTATGCCATTGTGTGGAATTAAACGAGATACTGAAAACAATTAACAAAATACGATAAATCCTAGATCTAGAGAATAAAATAAGCCACTGTAAACGCCTTAAATTGATCATATTAATAGATCAAATAATTAATTATATATCAGGAACCACAGTTTTCCTAATTTATCTTGTTTTCAGGACGGTATCAATTTAGAGTAAATGATTTAATTCCTGTAACCAACCGTTGGGCAAAACAGCCAAGATACACAAAACCCAAATTAGGCTCAGGAAAGAAAAAAGAAAAGAAAGGGCTGCAAAAATGCCTTTTTAATGCAACTTCACGTGACCAATTTCTGTTTTTCTCGCCTTATAATAATTTGGAGTTTTTCCGGTCGGGATCCCTGCGATGGGGGGGTGTAATTGGGTTTGGTGATAGAGTAAACCCTCGGTGACTTCGAGGTCCAACAACAGTATTCAAGTGCAGTTGGCCAACGAGTTGATGGATGCGATAGGAGAATTGAAAAATGACCGCACCCCTCTTTCATTGTAGGATCCACAGTGAGATTTGTGGCTCTTATCATGAAAATTTCTCCTACTTTTTCTTGAAGAGAAAGCTTTTCTTCAATTGCCTAGCTTTTTCTACACAACGTAATAATCTGATTATCTACATTCCTCTTGTGCCCCCTTACTTACCATACCATATACGTATCTGTATGGCTCCCTATTTAAAGTAACGTTAATTAATACGCCACAGTTTGAGAAGAGCTAATAGAGCCTCAATAAAAAAAAAGAAATTTAAATGGAAAAAAGCTTCCGAAAAGAAAAAAAAAAATAAAAAAATTGCAGCTGCAAGGTTAGATTCAAAATTTTTTCTATAAAAGAGATTGTGATTGCCACTCACTTCGCTTATTAAATCTGCTTGTCATATATAAAACTACACTCACAATGGGGTTTGCAGACGGTTATAGGTTCCTGAGCACTTCAAACTCTGAGAAAAAAACAGATGATGGTATTGAGAATAACACTAATGGAATTGACAGTTTCGATAATCATAGTCAATTGACAACAGGCTCGGAAAAGGGAGCATACGTTTTGGAAGCTGACAAAAATGTCAAGGAAATTGGTATAATTTCAGCAACATTTTTGATGCTTAATAGAATGTTGGGTGCTGGGGTATTCTCCACTGGATCGACAATCTTTACTTTGTCTGGCTCGGTAGGAACAGCATTGATGATGTGGTTTGCTGGTACTGTCATTGCATTCACTGGGTTATTGGTTTATATGGAATTGGGAACAGCATTACCAAGAAATGGAGGTGAGAAGAATTATCTTGAATACATGTTTCGCAGACCAAAGTTCTTGGTCACAGCTATGTACGCTTCCTATGTGTTTTTCCTTGGTTGGGCTGCCGGTAACTCGGTTGTCGTTGGTGAATATATTTTGAATGCTGCTGGCAAGGAGGTTACGCAATGGAACTCTAGAGGTATCGGTGTGGCTGTCATCACTTTTGCATTCTTGATCAACGGTATCAATGTCAAGGCAGGTTTGCTTTTGGCCAATGTCTTGGGTGCTTTTAAAGTCATCATTGTTCTTTTCATCAGTGTTACCGGTTGGGTTGCTTTGGGAGGAGGAATCAAGACAAACAACTTTCAATCTCCTGGTAACTTCCACAATGCTTTCGATGGAGAGAGTCCAACTGGTTTCGGTATAGTCAATGCTTTGTACAATGTCATTTGGTCGTATGTCGGTTATTCGAATGCAAACTATGCTTTGGGAGAAATAAAGAACCCGGAAAGAGTCTTGAGGATTGCTGCCCCGGCTGCGTTTATTGGATTGGGTATCATTTATATGTTTGTCAATATTGCATACTTTGCCGTTGTTCCAAAGGCTGAAATTGCCTCATCTGGAAGAATTTTGGCTGCTTCGTTTTTCAAGTACGCTTTTGGTGATAAGGCAGAAACCGCTGCATCGGTTTTTGTTGCCATTTCTGCATGGGCCAATGTTATGTCGGTCATCTTTTCCCAAGGTAGGATTATTCAACAATTGGGACGTGAGGGTTCTTTGCCATTTTCCCGCTTTTTTGCTACTTCAAAACCATTTGGAAGTCCATTTGTGGGGTTGATGCAGCATTGGATTGTTTGTATTGTCACCATTTTGGCCCCACCACCAGGTGATGCGTACAACTTCATTTTGAACTTGATTTCATACCCATTGAATGTTGTCAATACAACTCTTGCCGGTGGGTTAATCTACATTTACTACAAGAAATACAAGGGATTGACTGAATGGAACCCCCCAATCAAAGCCTCATTCCCAATTGTCGTTTTCTTTTTCCTTGCTTCCTTATACTTGATTGCTGCTCCATATATTCCACCAGTGAAAGGCCAGAGTGTGTACAATGATTTGCCTTACTGGATCCATGCTGTTGTCACGTGGGGTGTTTTTGGTGTTGGTTTGATTTACTGGATTGTCTGGGTCAAGGTTTTGCCATACTTTGGTGGTTACCGCCTTGTTGCGAAGGAGATCTTGGGTGATGATGGATTCTGGAGAAACAAGATTTACAAGGTCTCAAAAGATGCCGACGAAGTGGATCAAGTTGATGAGGATATTGAAGTGGTGAAGTAAATGCCATTTTAAGCTGTTTCTTCTTTTTTTAGTTCTCCGTTGTACATTAGATAGGGATAAATTTTATTGGAATTTAGAATTGCAAATGGTTTTTTGGATGTAGTTTTAGCAGAGTACTTCAATAACGATTAAAACGCAAGTGCAGTTAATGCTCACACGTATATAGCATTTGTACTATTTACAAGATTTGTCTATATGTTATACCTGTGGCCTTTTGGTGTGTGCAAAGGTGACCATATACCTCTAACTGATTCATTCTCAGAAACAACCTTGTGGTTACACTTGAATAACTCATTTCCTGACCGTTGTATGTACTCGTCAATCTTTTCCACAATTTCATGAGTCTTCATGTTCCTCACATCAACCTCGGTCGTCTTGTCGTCATTGTAGCGGAAAATGAGCTTTGGATGACCTTGCCTTTTAAGCACCTCAAACATCACTTGTGGTTTTGACAATGCCATCTTGTTTAACTGTCCATTTGTCAAGATTTGTCTCATGCCTTGAGACGATCCTCCCCAGTTACAGTACTGTAGCGTTAGTTTGTTGCATGGTAGTACGTATGTACCTAAGCCATTACGTGCTATCGATGTCCTTGCTACAGCTTTGACCGGCATTGCAAAAGTATTGTTGAACTATTGGTGATTAATGAATTGTGTCTTTTTGACAAAAAATTTTCAAATATTAATTGCAACAGTTGGTCGTGTAGAGATGTCCAAAAAGGTATTTTAGCTCAGGGAAGGTTCGTCATACTATGAGAAACAGGAAGAAGAACTCCTTCACAAGAGCAGCTAGATAGACAATTGGTTATACCGGGTGTCCTCAAAATGCTATGTGTTTTGCAGACTAAATAGTCTCTTTGGTGGCTCGTTTTAAAATGAAGTAAAATTTGCACCCAAGCTGAGTGAAAGGAACATCGACAACTCGTAAATGCTTGGCCTAAGAAAGCGGAGTACTTAGTCATAGAGAAAAGGTTTGATCTGAATGGGCTGACCCAACATTACACCAACTAAATGTACTGCTACTTGTTCCGCTCTTTTTAAGACCCAGTCCAATTGATCGTAATTGGATCTAGCAAGACAGAGAGATGTGACTGCCAACAAAGCAATTCTCACCAAGCGACTCCTATGCTGATTTACTACTACACATACAAGCAATTCTAAATGTTGCACAAACGATGAATTATCCATTAAAAAATACCCTAAGTAAACCTAAAAATACACCAAATTAAAAAAAAAGAACGAAAAAAATATAACCCCATTAAATCAATTTTTGATATCACACAAATCCTTTCGCGAATCAAAGCTGGTAATTATAAACTTTGTATTTGATTCCTCCTTGCTTTTGATGGGACTCACCTTCTCCCTTGCTGTAGAAACTTCCTCACGCAGACCTCGTACATTACTATCTTTTGCTTGTAATTTGTAGTTTATGTTACGCAAGGGTGGTAAGGTCATAAAACTAACTTCTTGACTTGGACTAGCAGGTTGATGCGATACTGGTGACTGAATAGGACTTGGGTAGGGATTAGCATCCTGCTTCACTTTCAGTGGCATAGATTTGATTGTAATTTCCGGAGACAAAGGCGCCTCGTGGTTGACAGGTGATGACAACAATGAGCTTATGTCACACTTGGTTGACCTTACAGTAGGACTCTTCACATCCGCCTTTAATTCCATTTTGCTCTCCTTGCTAGTTGCATACTCAGGCCAGCAACACTCCAAAAAATTTCTAGTGCATGCTTGACATTTCCCGTTTACTTTGTCCTCATCACACTTTTTCTTTCTCTTTCGACAAGTAAAGCAACCTGTCTTGGTTCTTCTCTTTATCGGACTCTCGTCTTTCCTCGTCTTGGTGACTTTCGAGCGCGAACAGTTTTCCTTTTTGGTTGATGGCAGCGACAATGGTGATGGTTTGACTGATATGTTCAACACCTGTTGATATGATCTATAGCTACAGTCCATACTTGAATAACGCGTTCTAGAGGAAGATGAAGAAGAAGAGGAGTTGTAAAAATTTTTCATTATATATATGAATCATATGCTTTATGGTTTACGCCGTCGTAGAATTCAAAATAGGCATTTGAATTTTAACCGCGAATGTCCAAAAATGGATCTAAGTTTTCAAAATGGAAGGTAATACCTTGCCTTCTCGCTCAAAATGGTAACTAAGAGCTTGCGCGGTTTAAAAAAGTGGGTGCCACAGCAGAAAAAATAGCAAGTGACCACGAGGCTGTGGCAAAGTGAGAGCTACCTGAAAAATAAAAAAGAAATTTACAGCATTTTAAATTCTATAGGCGATTTACGTCTTATGGCGTTTATGCAGCAGAGACGTTCTCTTTCAGATCAAGCTACACAAAGGCTATAAAGAGTGAAGCTTCTAAACTTCAGCGCCTCTTTGTGAATAGATGTAAATTTAGTGGACGCGGATCTGCTTGCCATCTTGCATTATGCAATACTTCAAGCATTAGTATTGGATTCCAAGAGCGGTAAATAAGCTATGTGAGAGATTATTTCCTGTTTGCAACAATTGAATGTTATAATAATTTCAGCTTCGGATTCCTCACACCTGGACGCAGAGGGGTTCATTGCTGCTGCAGCCTCTGTCTACGATTAGGGGCTCTTATATTGAAGCTAGTTTTTGCAGGATTTTCGATAGAGTTTCACAAGGTTCGGAGTTTATTTCTAAGCGTGTTAGAAAAAAATCAGAAAATGAAATTGAATGGTTTCTATATTGAAGCCTCTTTCTTAAACTAAGACTAAATAACAGTAAAACTATAAACTAAATTGGTTTAACGGCTCTCAAAGCGTTTTCTAAATCCCCTGTCGAGAACTCTTCCTTATTCAAGTCCTCAAGTCTTGAGATAGGACGTTCACCCAACACACTAATCCTGTAAGCATGTCTAACTTCACCATCTTCAGTATCAAACGAAGCTGTGTGTGAAACACCACTATTGTGGAACAAGGCCACTTTGTTTCTCTTTCCTGCTTCCCAGTTGACTCTCAATTGTAAATCGTGACTCCTTTCAATGAGGTCGTAAAGGAAGTTCAACAAGTACTCACTCTCTTCTTTCTTCAATTCAACAATTCTTCTTCCAAAAGCTCTGTTGACGTAGATGGACTTTTCCTTGGTGACAGGGTCAATTCTAATCAATGGGTGGATGTTGGAAACAGCTTTTCTTCTTTCAACACCGCCTTGGTAACTGGAGTTGGCTGCTTGGTCTTCACTTGTGTGCAAAACGTGCAAACCTTCTAATCTCTCCTTCATAGCTGGTGACAATCTTCTGTAAGCCTCAGTTGTGTCAGCAAAAACAGTATCACCACCATCACCACTCTCCAATACTTGAAAGATTGTAAATCTACTGGGTGTGATTTCATAAGTGACATCACTGTGGAAGGCCGTGTTGGTTGTCCTGTCACGGAAGACTCTTTCCAACTCTCCCTTTTCCGGTCTTCTGTATGTAATGTGCAACTCTGGGTGACCTCTTGGTGAACCCGAACTTGGGTGGATGTGCAAGTTTCCAAAATACTTTCCGAATTCAACAGCAAAACCTGGTCCATGGCTAGCAAAGTCCTGGTCATTAAACAACAAGACCTTTCTTTGGGCCAATAACAAAGCCAACTCATCCTTTGCAGCATCATTCAACTGTGACAATTGAATTCCATCGACTTCAGTACCAAATTTGGGGGTAATTCTGTTGACTTTGTAGTCACCATCTTTTGGAAACAAGTTTGGGAAAGATGGGTCAGCTCTCGAGCCTGGATCAATGTATTTTTCAAACTTCAATGGTGGGTATTTTTGTCTTGGGTCCCAAGTTGGCAAAAAGTCTGGGAATTTAGCCTGTGCTCTGTTGTTTTTGTTGATGACCAAAACGCCATCTTCACCAACTTCATCAACTTCCTTGTTGAAGTGAATGTCCGAGTTACCAAATTTAGTTGTCATTGTGTATGTATGTATGTATGTATATATGTATTTGTATTGCCTACTAATAAGACTTTAAATGTTGAAAAGAAATAGGTGGAAAATTTTCAGTTTATATAATCTTTTCAAGCCTCCTACTTTACGGAATTTCCGTTTTCTGATTTGGGGAATATTGTGTGGGATTAATAATGACGAAGTTTACAATTTGTCGATTGTTGCACCAGTTTGTGTGTATCTATCGACGCCACAGTTTGTAAATTAGACTTTGCAACTGGTAGCATGTTCGGTTCGGAATATCGACTCCACAAAATCTCTCCAATCGGATCGGAAACAGATTGCACATCAAAACGATAAAACAAAAAGTATATTGCTTCGCATGTATATGGATTTATAGAAACACTCCTTCGCCACAAAGACTGTTATTACCATAGACCACATAGAAGTCGTTTAGTTCAATCTCTTTTGGCCGAAAGCAATTTTCGCCGCTACAGGAAAATTTTCGACTTTTCTTCCTCACCTATCGCAAAACAAAAAAGGAGCGAGATCCGAAAAAGCGCCACAATTTCAAAATTATGACGAAATATTTCAAATGCTGACAAAGAGTTCTAATTACAAGTTTTAGAGCCTTCTACAAGAAATGAGTGCTTGTGTCGGTTTTTTATCGACCAAGGCAAGCACCCGAATACGGTAATTCGAGATACAAAGACAACGGAAAGATATGCCGCTATATTGCTCTTAAGTATAGTAAATATATGAACTGTAGAATTTGCTTATTCCGTGAGAAGTGGAAAAGAGGGCAGGAAATACACAGCAACAAATAAAGCACTACGGTACGTGTTCCATTTACAACGGGTACGGTACGTATGCACATACGGCGAGAGTCCTGTATGTGGCCAATAGATTTACTGCTTCACCCTGTGCAGCTGTTACACACGTGACGAATGTCGCACGAAGTCCCTGGAGAGAAAAGTTTAATCTACTCTACCACAGCGTAATTTATAATATACTTACTCTATACGTATTGCAGAACGAGTGGGATTGCCATCCCACATACTAATCCCACAAGCTTTTCCGGAATTGTATGGTAAAATATCGAAGTGATGCAAAACAGCATAAACCAAAGTGCAAGGAAGAGAAGTGATATTGAAACAACAATCTTCTTAAGGCCTTCCGAATTGTTTGGTACTCCTATCGCACCCTCTTCATCATTAATGGTTGTTGGCAATGAGCCTGTTTCGATGTCGTCCACCACAGCTCCGTTGCTGCTCCTCAAATGCAATGGCAAGATGACTGCGAGGTAAGGTAGTATTAATCTCCATATAAGGAGGCTATTCGATATAAGCATTGTGTAGTGGCTCGAAGGATCAAATGAATTCACCCAAGTACCACCTGACTCTTCGCACTGATATTCTCTGTAGACACCAGGCACGGTACAGTGGGCACCTGTAGCAACACTAATCCTCTCAAATACTGGAGAACCAAAGCACCACCCTAGTAAAAGTGTCAGCCATATCAAATTTACGAAAAAAATTTTGATGGTACTGGCTGTGCATGGGTCCTTTATAGGAATTGTCACTCTGCCATTGTTAAGCAGAATCAAATTTAACACATATAATATAGTAAACCAATGGAACATGTATTTTCTAACAATGTAGTTCTCGAGGAATTGGACAAACCAGAGCTCGCCGATGTAGGAACTGTATCGTTTCAAAGCTAAAGTTAGCGGAATTGAAACAATGTAAACAGCCGGATAAATCAGACAGATCGAATTCCACGACAATTGAAAAAGTGATGTTGCAAACATGTTCAAGTTGGCACTGCTTCGGAGATTAGAAACTCGTTGCAAAGTTGCACGCTTTCTTGTGCTATCAACTACATCCACGCATCAGGGAAAAATCTCAATTTTTCATTTTCCCAAAAGCAAAAGGATACACATTCTTTATTAATAAGCAAAACAAAACCAGCTTTGCTATAGCTTACTCAATTGTCCTCAAAGGTGATTAAAGCAAGCCGATATGCTCCCTATAACTTCAAAATCTACACCAGCTCTACATTGTCTAGTTAGGTCATGCATTTTGCAACCAGTAAAGCAATTGCAATTAGGAGGAGCAAGATTCACTTCATCACGAGCTACTCACGATTCAGGCGCATCCAACCCGCAACTATCTTTCCCATGCTTGGACAAGCGGGAGCAAAAGACAGAAGAGTTATCACGAGGTATTTTCAATCTGTCGGGCCCTTCTTCTAGTTTAAAGTCAGGCCCAGAACCAAGTTATGGATTTGTACGGACTGGTTTCCAAACTTACAAATCTAGAAAGCCTATATTCTTAGACTATGGAGGGTATCTTTCTGAGTATGAAATTGCGTACGAAACATGGGGTAGCCTCAATAATGCGAAATCGAACTTGATATTGATACACACTGGTCTCTCAGCTTCCAGCCATGCAAAGTCACAACCGAATAATACTAAACCTGGATGGTGGGAGAATTTCATTGGGCCGGGAAAGTTTATTGATACTGACAAATTCTTTGTAGTTTGTACAAATGTTCTTGGAGGTTGTTATGGATCTACTGGACCTTCCTCGATAGATCCAGCTAATGATGAAAGATATGCGACCAGATTTCCAATTTTGTCTGTAAATGATATGGTGAGAGCTCAGAGAGAGTTAGTACGTGATGAGTTTGAAGTTTCAAAAGTACATGCATCGGTCGGTGCATCCATGGGTGGAATGCAGAGTTTAGCTTATGCGTGGGAGTTTCCCGACGAAGTGGGCAAGATTATAAGTATCAGCGGTTGTGCTCGTTCACACCCATACTCCATTGCATTGAGACACACACAGAGGCAGGTGCTAATGAGTGACCCAAACTGGAACCGAGGCTTTTACTATGATAAAATACCGCCTCATGTGGGGATGAAGTTGGCCAGAGAAATTGCCACTGTAACGTATAGATCTGGCCCCGAGTGGGAATATAGATTTGGCAGAGCCAGAGCTGATGACACGCGCCCTCCAGCATTGTGTCCAGATTTTTTGGTGGAGACGTATCTAGATCATGCCGGGGAAAAGTTTTGTTTAGAGTACGATGCAAACTCGTGGTTGTATGTTTCCAAAGCAATGGATCTTTTCGATTTGGGTGAAGCTACTAGGTCAAGGGCGATGGAGGTGAGACAGCAGAGCGAGCAAAAGTACAACTCGGCTTCTGTGGTGTCCAAAGAGTACGAAGTTGTTCCAAAACATCCGTACAAAGAGAAAAGGACTGTTTCAAAGTTTACTGTTGAGGAGTCGTTGGAGGATTTAAAGAAAGGAATGCAAAAGCGCTTGGCAAACAAGGATGTGTTGGTCGTGGGTGTTGAGTCTGATATTCTCTTTCCTGTTTGGCAACAACGAGAAATTGCGAATGTATTGAGAGAGAGTAAGGAAAACGCAACGGGTTTAATTGAATACTTTGAGTTAGGCAATGACGTTAGTAATTACGGCCACGATACGTTTTTGTTAAGTCTCGAAGATATCGGAAAACCGGTAAAGAAATTTTTAGAATCTTAGAAGTATACACAATTAATAAATTATTGATTGGTGATTGGGATCCAACTCGTAGCCAAACCGTCTGCTTATGGCGTAAATGTATTCTCGAAGGTTAGCTACAGCGACTTTGGCCAATCCATTCTTCTTTTTCTTTCCGTCATCTTGCACATTCACCTGGTGGTGTGGCAACAAGTTATCATGAGCACTCAAACTCACAAACAATGCAAATGGAACAAACCAGATTAACAATCCGAAAAAGGAACATATTTCGGCAAAATCGGGTATCCTTGGGGCTTTATAATCTGGTTTCAACCTAACTTCTAAAGGCGGGATGTACGGATTGTGGAAGTGGTTAAACCACAAGAAGTGATTTGCAATGACCAAAACAACGCTCAATAGGAAAATTGGACTAGTTAACTCAACATATGGGAACTTCTTCAAGTTTTGTAAATAAATGTAGTAAGTGAAGATGGAAAACACTGACAATTTAATCGGGAACGAGTCGAACATCACGAGCAGTACAAAGATCACAATTATGGAATATATGAGCTTTTTCAAAAACCTCTTGGTGGGTTCTGTATGTTCTTCAACTAGTTCTGAGATGTAATACAAACCCGAGGCAATTGATAGCACTAAAAATAGGAAGCCAACAACTAATCCTGCGTATGAAAGGAGCTGTAAAATCATAGTGGGGAGGCTGGGTTGAATGTAGAGACTCTTTGTTGAGCACTTTTCACCGCACGAGTGTATTCTTCAATTTTTTTTTTATTTTATTTTTTGTTCTTCTTTTTGCGCAACAAAATCAACTTCATATTATCTACATGCTTTATTAAAAGAAAGATGCAATAAATTAACAATAGCTAGTCATAGATTTCCATTGGTGGGATTCTATCAGTATTGTAGAACCAATTGTCATTCTCCAACTCGACATCAAGCCATTGCGTTGGAAAAAGCACCAAATGTCCTTTAATGCTACTCAACAACTTTTCAGCTGCTTCCTTATCATAAACCAATTCTCCTGACAACATTCTCCTGCGTGTTGCAAAATTCGTGGTTCTATTCTTCCGATATTTTTCATGCGCTCTTGAAGTTCCATTATCTTTTGCTGTCGTTGCATCTGTTGGCGATTCCTGGGAAGTATCTTGCTCTGCATCTTCACGAGACTCATCTCCATTAAATGTAGGACTCTCTTCATTCTCATCATAATCATCGTGTTTTGGTTCGTCTCCATTTTTGCTCACCAGCCCCGGTACAGAACTAAACCTTCTGGTCAACCTGTAGCGCTTCTTTTGTTCATGCTCAGTATCTCCCAGCTCTTTCTTTTCTGGAGGCACCCAACCCAACACCCCAATATCATCTCTCAAACTATCAGCAGTCCGTTCTATATTATTCCCCATGTGTAGAACATCATCGCCTACTTCTTCGACCTCTGCCTTAAACATCGGGGCTGCGTCCCCCTTTGTTGATGATTGTCCTTTCATAAATTTACTCTGCAATTTGGAAAAATTTGTATAATCAGACCATCTAGCAACTGCATCGTCAGGCTGGCAATGGAATATCATTCGGAATATATCAGTATTCTTCCTCGCAATTTCGTACCATAATAGCTCATAAAATTCAGGATTTAATGGATCTTCAAAGCCGTAGGGATCTATAAATGAGTTAGCACAATCGGCATCAGGGGAAGAAATGGTTTCAAGAATGTCCTTAATCTCCAGGTCGCTGCAAGAAACTGGCGAGCCCGCTTGGAAGCCACTTTTCACCGCCTCGTCAGCAGTCAATTTATCAGGGGAATCAACTGTTGATTCATGAACTTCTTTCAAAGTTCCATTCATGTCGGTTGACGGCCGCAATGGCTGCAATCCAGCACTGGCACGTTTCTTGTTTTCTGCAGCGACATACTTCTTTTCATTTGCCGCCACTCTTTGCAAATAAGACACTTTTTTCAACAAGAGCCATCGTTCTTCATTTCGCTCATTAATGAGCTGTTCGGACTCTTCGTCTTTGTTTGCCGCAACCTGGTCGTCATCGCAATTTAAAAAGTCAAGAACATCCTCATAGCACGGCACGAAGTCGTTTCTTGGCAAGTTCGACTCCATCACTTGAAGTGACTTTTCCTGCAAGAACTTACTACTTGATAAACGAGCACTTTTAGCAAACTCGGAATGGTACTTATCCAAACCGTCGCCAAGAACGTCCTTCTTGTGTTGCTCATTATGCTGCACGCGGTTATCGTAAGACTTCTTTTTCTTGTCGCGCACTCCCATATTAGCTTCACTCGGTCCTGTCCGGTAATTAAACATAGTTGGAAGTTCTAGCGGTTTTGGTGCATCATCAATTTCCTCCTTATAATCAACCTCGGCTAAAGTCTCATCCAAGTTTGAAAGATTGATATGGTCCTTCCATCTCCTTGTACCTTCTTTTTCATTCAACACATCCCTTGAGGCTATCTCAACCATGGCTGAATTTACGTAATATCTTTTATTTCCAAACTTGTTAGTTGCAAACTTCAACCCACTTTCAGTTTTAGCAAATTCCTCAAACCTTTTGAAGCGTCTTTCAACTGTGTCGAAAACATCAATGCTTACCCCAAGGTGTTCTCTCATCAATCTCATTCTTAAAGTGTGAGCGAACCTCGCAGCTTTGTAAGGCGCACCATTCATATGGGTAGAAATCATCTCAGTATCCCTAATCACCGCAGCAACTTCCGAATCTCGAACTCCTCGCATAGATCTTTCATTGATATTGGCACTACCAATTATTACTGCACGGTCATCAACAATCATACATTTGGCATGTATATAAAGTTGTTCAGTAACCAACGTTCTTTGTGGGCCAATTCTACCCCACTTTCTTAGTGAAAAAAATTGAATGTAGTTATCTGGATTGATGCCCCTTTTTCTCAACTTTGCAAAAATTGAAGTCTCACCTCTCGAAATCGACATGAATTGGCACTGCATAATCACCCTTACTGACGACCCTTCTGCTTCATCAACCTGGGCCTCAAAACCTGGCATCAAAGGGATAACAATGATTGCCTTCCAAGTGGAGCCTTCTTGATGTGCCCGTATTATCCTTTCAACTAATGCATCACCGATTCTATTCTTTATTTCAACACCATCAATGAAACAGGATGTGACAAAAAACTGATTTTCAATGTACACGAAATGTTCGGAAGTTTCTATTAACTTCAAGTATGCATTCTGAATACTCTGTTCATGCTCTTCAAGACCCAAAGACCACTTACCAGACGATCTCAACAACTGCACTTCACAAGTGTCACTATATCCAGCATTCTGTGCTTCCTCGTCAGTGAAATCTGGCGGTGGTAATAACAAAGGCGTAAGTCTACTGGGTCTTTTTTGTCTGATCAAGTAATTCCATCGCTGGACAAAGTGGCGTGCTAAATCTCTGGCAATTTTTCCATACGTCATCATATGAATATCGTGCCATGGCATTCTTGGTGTGGTTTGTCTATCATACATGGACTTATAAGGCTTGTCTAATTCAAAAAAATCTTTGACTCTAGGATTGGAGTAGTCCTTACCCATAAATACCTGAAAGTTTTCCAAGTCGGCTACAGTCGCATAATCATTGGCTCCAAATTTCTCAAAATCATCAGGCGAATCATCCGCTAAAACATGGTCTGCCGTATCATACCTACCATAGCATAAATCTATTCCACCTAAAAATGCGTACGTCAGATCAACAATGCACAATTTTTCATGGTGTGCCCAAAAGAATGTATTTTGCAAAAGTTGATTGGGCGACCTTATAACATGAATGTTGTCTTCATTGAGCCACAACAAAGAGTGCTTTGTGTATAAAGAGTCAGTTGCAACAGTGGTACCAACATTCCGGTACACAATGACAAATATTTTGACACCTTCCCTTGCCTTTCTCTGCAACAATCTGTCTATCCTATACTGTTGATTGCCCAATGCAGGCCTTCTTAGGTAAAGTTCTGGAGATAGCCACCAATCATGAATATAAATAGTCTCCTTTGCCATTTCCATAGCGGCAGATACCGCCCAAAAGTAGTCTCTAGCATCAACAAACCACTGTGCAAAGCAATTTTGTCTAACTGGCGCAAAAGAATCAAATCGATGCTTTTCACCCCAGTTGGTGTTGTGTTGCATTTGACGAAAAGATTCCAACCATGCTTTGTGTTCCTTTGAGGATCTAGGGTTCAATACCAATTTCCTCTCTCTATTTTCCAAGACTATTTTCAAATGAGGAAAGATTTTGGCGTGGTGAAGACCCTTTTTGTCAGCCAATGTTTCATCAAAATCCACGTTTTCGTCTTCATCTTTTATCACGTTGCTCTTTGTGTGGATTTTGAAATTTGTGTCAACCAAGAAAACGTCTAATGGAGTCGTTGAGTTTATGTCTGAGACGTACACTACATAGCTGTTTCTAACTAGCATCCACTTTTCGGTTCGTCTATCGTACATACCTTTTATATCATTCGCTTTGAAATGGCCAACTCTCCATCCTTGTGATTTTGCTGAAGAGCTGATATGAATAGACCCTTGTTTTCCTTGGAACGACCCTTCATAGTTCAACAACGAAGAAATCGGGGAGATTTCAAAAAACATAAATACAAAATTGGACAAAGGGGTCAAAGCAACGTACTCAATAAGCTCTTTCAAGTAATTATCCACCTGCTTTAAGTACTCATTATTTTTTGTACGTCGTTTCAAAATATGGTCTGATTTGCTTTCCTTCGGGGCAAGCTCCTGTGATAACGCAGATGTCAAACTCCCCAACCGCAGTCTCACTCTCGAAAGACCGGATTGCGCGCTCATAATTGATTGGTTGTCTGTGTCTCCGCGAGGGATGGTGCCGTTAAACTGTGACGCAGTATCTGACACTTTTGTCTTCTTTCTTCTGTCTTTGAAAGAAGGTATGGGAAACTTTGGCAATTTCGTTCTAGTACCAAAAACTGTTCGCCAAGAGTCGATTTTGCAACGTGAATGCAAGTAAAACAAATCAGTAGCCGTCCTTTCGACACTCCATTTCATACTTCTGTCACCCACACCATACTCCAAGTCGATGCGAAACTTTCTATTTCTGGTATACTCGTTTGGTGAAATGTCGACAACATTAAATCCCAACAATGAGAATAACAAAGGAGCTCTGGCTATCCCACCTTCATCCACAAATAGACATGATGCCATTATACCTAGTGACGGTTCATTGATGATGAACGAGTTAACAAGTCTCTGCGCCCTTAAATCGGTGTTTGTATAAGAATAACTCTGTTCCCCTAGTTGAGGTCCTGGTCTCTGATGTTTTTCTTTTTTCTTTTTCCGTTCAAGCTGGCCATCACTGGTACGGTTCGACCTTGAAACGAATTTGGTGAAGTTTTGCATAGCCGCCGAGCGTCGCGATTGGGGCGATGTAGGCTCATTCTGGTGATGATCATCTGGCTGATTGGTCCATTGATTTGGCGGGTAGTTTTTCGATCCATGTACTTCATCATTTGCTCCGGCATCACCATTTCTGTCGGCTGCTTCATCTTCTTCTGAGTTGTATCTTGACTCTCGTGGATCCTCTCCCCACAGGCTGAAGAAATGCATGGGGTTTGAAATTATATGAGATGAGTTCCGACGAGGGTATGGTGGACTCTTGTGGTTTGAGCGTCTCATATCTGGACTGCTCTGGTTGTTAGATTCCCCTGATATTGACCTGTACAACTGCCTAAAATCGGTCAGTTCCCTTGATGTTGGTAAATTGTTATGCGATGAATTATTCGTGGAATTGGCGGCACTACCTGATTCAGTTCCAGGACGGCCCTGCGCCGAACCATTTGAAATAGGCATACTGGTAGGGTGTTCTTTGCCTTTTTGTTGTGATCGTCAACACTACCTTGTAAAACAAAATGCGAGCAACCAACAACACAAATTAATGTTTGTTTTTTTATTTTTCTTTCCTCTTTTGCTTGGGTCGCGTAGTTGCTAAAGAGGCTTTATTTATACATTATGAATGGCTTTATGGTAGCTGATTGCCGTATCTGAGTCGTAGTGATGTCGTTTGTTTTATGGAATCGAAGCTCGATGCTATATTTTATTATCAAAGAGGAAAACAAAGTAGTACATACAAATGATACTTAAACCAAGTTGCAGCTTTTTAGTAAGTTATATCTAATGGTCTTTAAGCCCGAAAAGTCCGTCAAAAAGTTGTTGGTTTGAGCATTATTGAACATAAATCTTGGACTTTCTGACACATCTTGTAAGCTTAATTCATCGATTAACGTGGCATAGTGTTCTACAACCCTCTGGTTTGCCTCTTTAATCATATCCTGGGCATTGTCTTGTTTGAAGATATCCTTTCTAAGGAACTTCTTTAACAAGTCATCCAATTTGGTGAACACAATATCGAAAGATACATCCCTCTCTATCAAGTATTGTACAAGCTGCATGTCTTCTTTTTTGAGGTCACTTGGGATCAAGAGCAACACTCGTTGCAATTGTTTCCGGTTGTTTATGTACGCAAGAACCATTTCTCCTTGCGTTTCAACACCACCTCTTCCGTACCCAGGACTGTCAACCATACGTAGCTGGTTGGAAAGTCTGAAGCAGTTCATTGTTTTTGTAAATCCAGCTTTCGATGAGACATATGCCAATTGTTCATGCCTTGCCAAGTTTCTTTTTGGAACTAACAAATTGTTTATCAACGACGATTTCCCTGCATTAGTGCGTCCCATTAGAAGTACCTCCGGTAGCATCTTCAACATCTCCGGCTTTATTCCAAATGTCCTCTTGGGCCCATTCGTACTGGTTGCTTGGCGTTCCATGGCTTTTGCCTTCAAGATTTCGTACTTGACATCAGGGATTTCATGATAGTCTGCCAATGTCCAGTCCAAGTTAACCTTTAAGCTGTTAAAGAACCGCTGCGACTTTGCAACTTCAACTTTGGGAGGAATGTCCAAGAAAATGTCGTTGAGGATGTTTGGATTGATAATATTCTTTCGTAGTTCATTGGTCTTGTTGTGCTGAGATGGTAGAGGTGGTGCATTTTGGAACCGAAGGGAATCCTTGGTGATTTCAGGAATGGACTTGGTAAGATAGTCTATTGAAACATATCTCCTTTGGTAAATCCTAGTCGAAGATGCTAATCTGTACATAGCTACATTCACGCATTATACAAAGTTCATCTCAAGTTGGTCTTTAATGAAAAAATATCACACAAAATTACACAAACTAGTTCTCTTAGAATAGGCACCCACTTAGACCTACAAAGCTAACAGAGAAGCGGAATAAAGGACAGTAATTAAAATACAAACTAATTATACAACTCTTTCTAACCATTTCCAAATCCAGCGAATAATTGTTCCCACTCATCCTTGTTTGCTTCAGGCTTTTCAAACTCTTCTGTGTCGTTGTTCTCCACTTCAGCAGGTTCCAAATTGAAATTTTCATCCACGTCTTCGGTTGCTGGTTGAAGGTCGTTAAACATATCGTCATCAAATTGTGTATCTTGATTGGTGTGTTGATTAGTGTGTTGATTTGCTTGCTTGAAATTGTCGACAGCATCATCAAAATGGGATTCTTCCTCCTCCTCAGAATCACTTTCTTGATAGTCAAGTTCCTTGATTGGGGGAAATTCAGGGGATCTACCTTCGACTAATTCAAACGAGGACGACCCTTTGTCACTTCCAAGTGTCTGTTCCACATCGTCGTCTCTAACTGACAATGGTGGATTATTTTGGACACTTGAGGTAAGAGATTCAGTTCTCTGGATCCCAACCAATACACCGGGCATTCCAACCATCCCACCTGCAAACCCTGCATCGTTTCCTTGTGGGTATTGGAGTTCAGAGTTACTGGGAGAAGTGATTGGCGTATCTCCATTATCTTGCTCTGTTGCACCAGATTCTGTTATGGATAATTCTTTGACACCCTTTACTGGAGCGTCTTCGTGTTTATCCTTCTCTGATTGCTCAATGGTGGACACGGAATCTTGTTCTTCTGAACCATCTGGATGACCAGAAACGACACCTGCCACAGCACCACCAACAGCCCCGGCAGCAGCAGCAGCCCCAACAACAGCAGCTACACCAGCAGCTTTCTTTGGTTTGTTAGCTTTCAACTCTTCATGTTGCTGTTGCAACTTTTTCTGCTGCTCTTCTTGTTCCAATCTCTCTCTTTCTTGGCTATCAAGCTCAAATTGGAGATTTCTATATTCCTCCTCAGTGTCAGCAATTGCATTTTTCAACTTTTCATTTTGTGTAAATTGCTGATGTGCTTGAGCTTTTTTAATTTCCACCTTCTTTTGCAAATCTTGTACATCATTGTTTCTCAACTTCAATTGATTTTCAAGTTCAGTTGTGTCTGCATTCAATATTTGCAACTTGTCTTTGAATGAGCTATTTTCTTTCTGCAACTCTTCAAGAGCCACTTGCTTTTGGCGTGAATCACCTGACAATGAGTTGAGTTTTGCCTCTGCAATTGATGTTTCCGATCTTAAGGCTTCGTTCTCCTCCTTAGCTGAGGCCAATCTGCCCTCAATTTCCGTAACTTGTTTAGCTTCATTATCATAAGATGTCCTCAATTGTTCGAGTTTCTTTTCAAACTCGACTTTTGCGTTCAATAACCTTTGGAGCTCTGTTTCAGCTTTAGATTTTTTATCGTCCAAGTTTGTTGTTTGAGTCCTAAGGGAGTTGATTTGATTTGAAACGTTCGCCAAGTCAGAAGTTGCCTGAGATAACTGTACCGAGTGTCCAGGGTCAGCCAATAAATCTTCGTTGGCAGGTTGAGACCGATCGGAAGTGCTTCTAGCTGCCGGTGGAGGTGGGACGCTACGCAAGGCATCGTAGTTGACTTGCTTTTGCTGAGCTTGGGTAACAGGAGGTTGTGCTGAAGTTGGCACAATTGCCGGATTTTCTTTTTCCAACGAGGTCTCTTGTTTGGATAATGTTGTTGGGGTGGAGGTGGTAGTGGTGGAGGGAGGTGATTGTTGATGATTTTGCAACAACGTTTGGCCAAAGCTTGAAGTTGGTTTGAAGGAGCTTGTCAATCGAGGCTTTGTTGCGTACGACAAGTCACTACTAGATAGTCCGTGTTCTAATTTGGGCGCAGTTGGTTGTGGTTGGGGGGATGGACTGCCAAAAATATCAACTAAATCGTCCATGGATGACTTTGATCTAGCTGGAGGCTCCGCGGAAGGTTTGGATCCGAGAACCTTTATGGACGAAATCAAACTATCTGGAATCACATTGGGCAAATTCTTACCGCTGGCTTTTCTGTTCACCAAAAACAATGCAATGGAGAACTCCAATTTTGTGAAAAGACCGGTGTTTTGAATATCTGCCAAGTCCCAAATAGTCGCCAAGTCCTGTTGATCCAATTTAGAGGTCATCAAGAATGAGGCAACCTGTTCTGGATTCAAATGCCCAACGTGTTCCTTGTCAAGATTGTTGAATATAGAATCATACTGTGCTTTCATAACAGGAGTAACAGCCCATTCGCTAGCATCAGCCTTTGATTCATCAGCTGGTGGGTGCCTAATTGCAGTCTGTTGCGAGCTTACAGAGGTTTGACGAGACGACTGCTGATTCTGATACAAATTTGGCGATTGAGGTGGAGGTGAGATTGGTCCACTAGCGCTCTCAACTGACTTCCAAACATAATCCGGGAGGAACGGAGGTAATTGCTTAATGTTACCACTCAAAACTCCTTGCACCAAATGCATTGCGATGACGAACTCCCCCACATGTAACAAGCCTGAATTGTTTCTATCGACTAAACTCCAAATCTGACCCAAAGTAGGCGTGGGCAACCTGGCTTTTAAAAAAATCTCTTTAGCTTGAGTTCCACCCAATTCACCTTGCACAGAGCCTACGGTTTTAGCAAACAACTGAGAAAATCTTTGATAGTCTGCTGCACTGACGGCAGCAATGGATTCCTGCGGGGTGGCAGACCCAGGAATGGCATTGTTGGGTTGACTTGACAAAAATGAGTTACTAGTTGATTGAGATTGTAACCGAGGCAATTGCAAATCAGCAAACTTTGGTAACGGACCTGGCGTATCAGCTAAGCCTGGCGCTGGGTGATGGCCAGCTTGTGTGTACCCAATCAATCTCATTGCATAGCAAAAGCCGAATTGATTTAAAAAACCCAAGTTGTTTTGGTCAGCGAGTTGCCATATTTCACCCAAAATTGCTGGAGGCAAGCTGGACTTTTCAAATGTAGTACGCGCTTTCTCACCAGTAATGATACCGGTGTTTTCAGTATCCAACGATTTGAATAACTGAGTGTATAACGATTTTTCCTCTGACGTGAGCCCAACTTTAAAAGTAGGTGTTGCTAGATTTGCGTTAGTAGTGCTCATAAAGGGAATACTTCGGAGTCCACATACAAAGCGAAGAGCTCATTTTGGATAAAGTTGTTCTGTATCAAATCGTTGGTCAAATTACATCCGAAATTCATTTCGGTTATTTTGTTTTAACGTCGATTGCGCACGACAAATGATTAGCAAAGTAATTACGTAATACACTCATTGCTCTAATTTTCTTTTTTTTTTCTCTTTAGTTTTTTCAAATTTGCAGTTTTTCTCGATGAGCGTAAGAATTTACTACTAACTGATCAGCTATAATAAACAATGAATAGAGGTAGAGGCGGATTTAGAGGCGGCCGTGGTGGAGCAGGTGGAAGACCAAGCTTCCAACAAGGCCCACCAGATACAGTTTTAGAAATGGGCTCTTTTATGCAAGCATGCGAGGGAGATATAGTGTGTCGCTCGATAAATGTCAAAATACCTTACTTTAATGCCCCCATTTACTTAGAAAACAAAACGCAAGTTGGGAAAGTGGATGAAATTTTAGGACCATTGAATGAAGTATTTTTCACGATAAAACCTTCTGAAGGAGTTAAAGCAGAATCGTTTAAGGAGGGAGATAAATTTTATATTGGACCAGATAAACTTTTACCGTTGGAAAGGTTCTTACCTAAGCCACCATCGATAGGGCCCAAACCAAAGAGAAAAGCTGGTGCTGGCGGTGCTGGTGGAAGCAGAGGTGGATTTGGTGGTCGTGGTGGAAGCAGAGGTGGCTTTGGTGGTCGTGGTGGAGCCAGAGGTGGAAGCAGAGGCGGATTCGGTGGTTCCAGAGGAGGTTTTGGTGGCCGTGGAGGTGCCAGAGGTGGAAGTAGAGGGGGATTTGGTGGCCGTGGAGGTTCCAGAGGGGGAAACAGAGGTGGCAGAGGAAGATTTTAAGAAAGATAAGGGAGCTTTTTTAGCAATTGAAGTGTTATGTTTTTTTTTGTTCAAGGTTACGTGTAGAGATGTAGTATATTGAGGAAAGACAGGACATGTTATTAATTTCAACCTGAAACCTGCTGAAGTGGAAAACAACTATTCAGAACAAATGATGGAGACAAGTGGGAACAATTATTCGCTGGATTTGGAAATGGTTAGAAAGAGTTGTATAATTAGTTTGTGTTTTATTTACTGTCCTTTATTCAGCTCCCTGTTTGCTTTGCAAATGCCATTTCATAAATCCAAGTAGGCTATTCTGGTAGGTTTCGATTACACAACGTTATGTAATATGATACGTGGTCATTTGTTTCGGTTGACGGCCCGATTATTTAACAAATTATTCTCAGCTTCAAGTATATCAAATCCAATTGATCGAATAGATGTTTATTTACTAAAAAAAATATGGTGCCTTGCCTTATTTTAGTGTTCTTCCTTAACCTCTCCCTACAAATGTAAAATTTAGCAGCGCAGTTTTCATTCCATTCTGTAAAACAATCATCGTTACTCCAATTCAATATCCTTATGATCACCATCAGATACCCAGTACTCCTAAGTATGTAGCATTGTATCCGCAAATTACACTACACTACTAACAAGCTACCGAAGTGTTTATCTTGTCCTTGATTGGAGCAGGTTACATAGGCTTTGCCCTGATTAGTCTCAGTCACGACAAGCTCATTCATTTTTCCACCTTTTTCATTCTCACCACCGAATTTTATTTCATAGCCAGGACAAGGTCATTAAAACTACTAGGAATTCTCACATTCATAGTATGTACCTTGTGTGGTGGTATAGGACTGGAGTTTGTACAACACATTGTCAATAACAAGCGAGTTTTCGACCCAATGGACATCTTTTGTAACGTGTTGGGTAGTGCACTTGGCTTGGGGTTGTCAGTAGTTTACCAAACGTATAATGGAAGAGCCAAGACGCAACCAATAGACATCGAGCTAAGTAGTAGTTTGTAATGCTGTATATGCTTTTTAAATTTGTAATTAATGCAATACAAAAGTGTGGCCCTTAGTCATTGCGCCGCACTGCTTACTAAAGTAAAAATGAGGCTACAAAGACTGACCAAAATATAAATTACGATGTTTATACAGAAATCTCTATTCTTAAAAAGACTCTTCGAATTGTCTTTACTCCCCAACCATGACTCAACCATTCTATGGCGATATCGAATCATATGACATTCACACCTACTGGAACAACAATAATCTAGATGAAAGACAATTTGCTTTTAATTTGAGAGAAAAGGTGTTGAAAGAGTTCAGCAAGGACATCGACAACGGCGAAATCAGAGTTTACAAGTTTCACGATAAGCCTATTGGACCGCATACATTGAACATGTGGGAGCTAGACTTTAAGAAGCCAGAACTTTTCGTTAAACTTATACCCTTCTTCCAATTGAACCACGGCAAGTTATCCGTCTTGATACACCCTAGAACCAGTCAAGGTGACCTCAAAGACCATACGGACCATGCGCTCTGGCTTGGGCATAAATTGCGTTTGGATACAAGCTATTTAAAGGATTAGATAAATAGGTTGAATAAATGTGAAGTTGAGTGTTGGAAAATTATAGTTTGCCTATTTCTCTCTCCTCTATCTTGACTGGTTGACATTAGGGTAGGCTTGTGAGAGCACTATGCATAGTGAGCACTACACTGAGTAATCAATCCTGATGCTTGTGCATTAATAGGACAGCCATCTACATCAGAAAGTTTGCAGCATAATTACCTCAGTACAAAGTACTGCATATAACCAACGATGCAGCAGAAATCGCGCATACACAATTAATCTATAAAATCAGTCAAAAGAGAATATTATGGCAAAATTACCTCAGTACAACTGTCAAACTTTTGTATTTATTCATCAGGTCTCGCCCCTTAATTGTCCGTTTTTTAATTCCTCATTTCTGAATTCATCAGAACTACAGCCATGCAGATCTTACGCATCAAATTGAGTAATGTGCACTGTCAGGAATGTCAGGCAACCATTAATAAGGCTATTGCACGGTTTTACAAGACAAACGAGATTACAACTGATACAGTTTCTGAGCTGAATATCGGAGAGTTAGCAGGTGGAGAAATCTTCTTCTATTTAAAAGATGCAGATATGGCACTATTTGGAGGTAATGATGTCGATTTCAATCATTCATTGAAAAAGATCATCAAGCAATTGGAGAAGTCTGGGTTTGGCGTTTTGAAATGGGATCTCGTTAACGAAGATAGTGAGCGATACTCATCGGATGATTTTCATGATGTTGAAGCTGGGTCCGGTGAAGCCCCTCACCATGATGGTTTTTTTGATATTTGGGGCATTTTTGAGAAATATAGGGCATCCAAATCAGCCAAAAAGCACTTGAAATACTGCACAGTGTGCCAAAACAACAAGACCGGTAAAATTAATGAGACCAGCGATTCCTCATCCGTTGAAACAAAAGTTGAAGTATCCCAGCCAGAATTCAGGGCTTCATTCACAATCACTGGAATGACATGCTCCTCCTGTGTTCACACAGTAGAGGATGCACTAAAGGGGTTACTCGGAGGAAACAAGGATGCAGATGCAGCCACTGAAGAACCCAATTTTTCGGTGAACTTGCTTCAACAAGCAATAGTTGCCATAATTAAGAATAAACAACTAATCAATCAAATCATTGATCGCGTTAACGACTTGGGGTTTGAATGCAAGCTTATCGAAGTTTTACCCGTTCACAGATCAATAAATACAAAAATTACTGCATTAATTGGAGGCATGACGTGTGCTGCTTGTGCAAACTCGATTGAAGCAGCAGTAAAGAGCTTACCTTTTATCTTAGAGAGTGGTATCAATGTGGTGACCAAAAATGCACAATTTGTACTTGAGGACGATGCACGGCATGAAAACTTGCAAAAGTTGAAGGAAGCAGTCGAGGACTGTGGGTTTGATTTTGAAGTTATCACCAATGAAAAAATCAATTACACCTCCGCAAGAAAGAAACCGAGAATAATTAACATTAAAGTTGAGGGGATGTTTTGCAACCATTGCCCAGAAATAATAATGAAGTATCTATTACACTACGGTGATGCTGTTGTCATTGACGATCCTATCACATTAAAGCATCCAGTGATTAAATTTACGTACGTCCCTAGTCGTAATGTGACTGCGCGCCAAATTGTCTGGGACTTGAATCACTTGAGGGATGATGGAAGGGGTGATTTTGCAATTGACGAAGACCGTGGGTCGTTTACGTGCGAATTGGTGAAGCCAGTCTCGGTAGATGAGCATATAAAGAAGTTGGCTAAAAGCGAAGTAATGAATCTTGCTTTGCGTTTCATTTTGGCGACAGTGTTTGCCATACCTACGTTTATTTTTGGTATTGTTGCTATGTCGTTGCTCTCAAAAAATCATCCATTCAGGGTATGGGTAGAGGATCCAATCTGGGTTGGCAATGCGTCTCGCGCCAGTTGGATCTTGCTCATATTGTCAACTCCGGTATATCTTTTTGCGGCCGACACATTCCACCGCAAGGCATTCAAGGAAATCAAATCATTGTGGCTTCATAAAAACTCATTCAAAAGTCGCTTGCTCAAGTTTGGGTCGATGAATTTGTTGATGAGCTTGGGAACTACAGTCGCATACTTTGCTAGTATTGCTTTGTTAGCATTGAGTGCAAACCAGGAAGCCAAAACTCACATGGGGTTTCATACAACGTACTTTGACTCGGTTGTTTTTCTAACGTTTTTCCTATTGATTGGTAAATTGTTGCAAAGCTATTCCAAAAGCAAAACAGCTGATGCGATTTCCAAATTAGCAGCATTAAAACAAAATACAGCAGTAGTAGTGGACGAAGTCGACGGACATTTTGAAAATGATCAAGTTGTGGATTTGGAGTTATTGGAGATTGGAGATTACATCAAGATCGGTTCCGGAGAATCGCCACCGGTAGATTGCGTAATAATAGACGGCGAGTCGAACTTTGACGAAAGTGCATTGACTGGTGAGTCGACACCGGTGAAGCATATTGAAGGTCACCAAATCTTTTCTGGAACTGTAAATATTGGAAACCACTCTATCATTACCAAGGTGACTAGTTTGGAAGGCGATTCTCTATTGAGTCAAATTATCAACACTGTTAGGGACGGTCAGCTAAAGAAAGCTCCTATGGAAAGAACTGCCGACCTCATTACTGGTTACTTTGTTCCAATAATCATTGTTATTGCTATTACCACCTGGATTATATGGCTCAGTTTAGGGTTTTCAGGCGCTTTACCCGAGAGCTATCTTGATATTGACATTGGTGGATGGACAGTATGGTCTTTGGAATTTGCCATTGCTGTGTTTGTTGTTGCATGTCCATGTGGTATTGGTTTAGCAGCACCCACAGCACTCTTTGTTGGTTCTGGCTTAGCTGCCAAGTATGGAATTTTGGCCAAAGGAGGTGGAGCTGCCTTCCAAGATGGCGCAACAACCAATATTGTGTGTTTTGATAAAACGGGGACATTGACTAAAGGAGAGTTGACAGTAACAAATTACTCTTTTGTTGTAAAGGACCTGGCCGTGAAACAATTTTCTTTGCAAATTGCAAGAGATTTGGAAGTTGCATCATCCCACCCATTGGCAAAAGCTATCAGGGTGTTTACAGAGTACTTGAGTCGTGACAAAGATATACCTTTGGTGGCGAACAAAATTCCTCAGGTTGAAACTGTTAATGGACGTGGTTTGAAGGGGGAAATTGTTTACAACGCTGCTGAGGAACAGAATGATTGGAATAAATACCACCCAGTTGAAGCTATCCTTGGTAATGAAAAACTATTCACAGAGAATGGGGTTAAAATCAGCGAGGAACAACAAAGTCTTTTAACCAGGTGGAAAACAGAATGTAAGTCGGTGATGTTGGTTGGTTTAAAATGCCCTACCTTATTCAGCAATGATCAGTTTCAGTTGATATTCATGATGGCTGCCAGAGATCAACTCAGACCCGAAACCAAAAAAGTCATTGAGTTTTTCAACACTAGAAAGATAGAGACATGGATGATCACCGGAGATAATTCTCTCACCGCAAATGCCATAGCAAAAGAAATCGGTATAACCAATGTTGTTAGTGAGGTATTGCCGGATGAAAAAGAAGCCCAAATTAAACGTATTCGCCAATTAAAGCAAGATAATAGTACCAAATCCAAATGTGTTATTGCCATGGTAGGAGATGGGATCAACGACGCTCCAGCACTTGCGGCTGCGGATGTTGGGATCGCATTAAGTTCAGGCGCTGATCTTGCCGTCACTTCGAGTGATTTCATTTTGTTAAATAAGCTACACCCTTTGATCTCCTTGGTTACCTTGGTTGATTTGTCACGAGTAGTTTTCCGTCGTGTCAAGTTTAATTTTGCATGGAGTTTGATCTATAATATGATTGGGTTACCCATTGCTGCTGGTGTGATTTATCCGTACAATAATTCTCGATTGGACCCAGTATGGGCGAGTGCAGCTATGGCATTAAGTTCAGTGAGTGTTGTGTTGAGTAGTTTGGCATTGAGGTTCTACAAGCCTAAGTTGTACGCTAGCAATTTTAATTTAGAAGAAGGTGAAGAAATTCAATCTGAAGAGGATTGAGAGATTTAAGTAGGGGTTTCTAAAGAAGATATGACTTTTTTATAATAAGCTCGTAATATGTAAAGTTCATTGATCGAAAACGGATTGGTCAAACTGAACAACCATAACTGTTACGTTATCAGTAGTCGAAGCATCGATTGCCAATTGACACAACTTCTTGGATGCCTCTTGTGCGTCCAACCCATTCTTGAAACATTCAGCAATTATTTTGCAAGCTTTAGTATCACTAATTACATCCCACACCCCATCACATGCAATAATCATAAATTCATCATCTCTAATTATTTGTGTCGATGTAGTGAATGGCTTTCCTAAGACCAAGTCTTTCATATAAGAGTCGCCCAACGATCTAGTCACAGCTAGCACCCCATTCACCCGATTTTTCAAAATCAATCCGCCTGAATTTTCAACTCTGTCGATCTCATTTTTATCTGACGCTTTGTGGTCATATGATAGCCTATAGGCCTTGCCATTTCGGCTCAATATTATTCTGGAGTCACCCACATTTGAGGTGTAAAGCATTCTCTTGTGGTTTTTGGTGGGCACAAAGTCAAACGTCTTTGCATCGTTGCTGTTTTGTTTCCCAGTATTGGTAGCATCCACCATACAATCATCCTCTGTTTCACTCTCCCAACGAAGAACTGCTACTGCTGCTGTACATCCAGATGCTCCCTGGCCATTCTTTTCAATCATTTCATCGGCCTTAACAAAGCTTTTGTACAAATGGTCTTTCATGTCCACTCTGCCTTTCAACGGTATACTTGAAGCGGAGCCAGTTGAGTTTGACGTATTCAGGTTTCCCACAGAGCGATTCAGCACATCTGGAGCCAGCTTTGAATCGCCAGCAATTGCCTCTGAATTACTAGTTGCTTGAAGGGCATTGTTTTGATCCTGTAATTCCAAATCAATCTCTTGCTCAAGCAAGGAATGCAAATTGTTTCCACACCAACGAGCACTCTCTTTGCCTGCATGGCCATCAAAAATAGCAAAGTATCCCCAGTCAACTCGCTCGGCAAAGTTTGCGATATACGTGTGAACATCTTCCATTTTTGACCTATATGTTGAATTCTTGTTTTCAGCTACGCCCACTTTGAAAGATAATCCGGAAAATGGGTCATACTCTGACGACGTCTTAGACCGAGCTTTGGCTGAAGGGTGGATCGGTGGCGAATCTATCGCATCAAATTTGTTCTTCAGTTCTTCTGGTGGAAGGGAAATTTTGGGATCTGATAACGGAGGCGTAGTTGACATGTTGCTAGTCGGTTGTGAAAGACTGTTTGACGGAAGTTGGTTACTTCCTTTTTCTGTGTGTTGTTGCTGGTGATGCTCTGCTCGCCTTTGTGCCAATCTTTGATGCGATCCACCCTGTTGTGGGAGTGGAGTAACTGCTGGTGACAACGCATTTGCCACACCATCTGCTTCTGTTGCCGACATAATTGAGTTGTTTTCTGAGGTTAGCGTATATAGGAATGGTGAAGATTGTTTCTCCACGGATAAATCGTAATTTGAAATTCGTAGAATACAGTCTCTAAGTCGCAGAAACTGTACTGTGTATGTGTATTTATATAGCTTTGTATTCAATGTTTGAGGTTAAGCAAGTTTACAGGGTCGCGCAAATATATTAATGTTAGTTCTAAATTTACCTGTAACGAGCAATGTCGCAACAGTGTATGAATTGGCATTTGTTTAGTTTTACGACACAACACAAATAGCAATCAATGGAGAAGCATTTGCTAGAGACATGGCGCATCAGTGAACTCAAACTCACGCAAAGGCTGGTTGAGGGTAATATAGAGCTACAAGATTAGTAGACTGTGTAAACCACAAAGTAAAAGCAAGAGCGTATGAGCATCATACTGAAAATGATTATGTTTTATCGAACAGAAACGAATCTAAACGGTGGGGGTGCATGAACGACTCACCCCCCTTGTGCCCTAATTCTATTATTTACATAGATACAGATTTAAATCCGCTAGTGTTGGTTATTCAATTGTTTTTATTGTATACGTTTCGTGTAAAAGTGTAATCTCCACAGTTCAAAAAAAATCATAAGAAAAGAAAAGGAAAAAGTAAAAAAAGGGTGAATTAAGGAGGTAAAGTTCTGTGTACCTTACGCCGTCACTTTTTTCTGGTCCCATTACTAATACAAGTTCCACTGAAAGAATCATCAATGCCAAAAGAAGTTCCCATCCCTTACACACCTCTTGGTAAGCCAATTACTGAGTATGTTGAATACAACAATGCCAAATTTTTAACAACCACATGGAAGGTCCCCTCCAACGTTGAATACAAGGGAAAGGTCTTTTATGTTCACGGATTCATGGAAAGTGCAACAATTTATACCGAGTACTTTGATAACTTATCCCAAAACGGATACGAGGTGTTTTTCTATGACCAAAGGGGTTCTGGAGAAACATCGCCCAATGACTTGGGTAGAACCAATGAGTTTTATACCTTTGATGATTTGGACTTTTTCCTCAAACGCAGCTTGGACACAAGAACTGACCCCAAAGAAAAATTTATTTTAATGGGCCATTCAATGGGTGGTGGGATTATCTTGAATTACGGTATCAGAGGCAAGTACAAGGATGGAATCAAGGCTATTGTTGCCTGCGGTCCGTTGATTAGTTTGCATCCTAAAACACAGCCAAACATTGTCTCCAGATTGGCATTGCCATATGTTTCCAAGATCTTACCAAACTTCAAGCTAGACTCAAAGTTGAATTACGATTACATTACCTCAAATAAAAGATGGCAAAACTACATTAGGGAACATGATAACAAGTTGATTGGTTCTCTTGCCCAGTTTAATGATATGTTTAAAAGGGGTAAAGATTTGTTGAATCCAGAATATGCAAAGAAGTTTGATACTAGTATTGCATTGTTGATTGTTCATGGTACTCACGACTACATCAATGATATCAAAGGAAGTGAGGAGTTTTTCCCATTGTTGCCTGAGAATATGAATAAAGTGTTTGATAAGATTGATGCTGGAAGGCATAGTTTGTTTGTTGAGAATGACGAGTTGTTTAAATTGGTTTTCAAGAAAGTCACTGACTTCCTTCATGAATATGCAAAGAAGGATTAAGTAGAGCTGTAGCTTGTTTTGCTTTATTATTATATTGATACTGGTATATTGATTGTTATCTCTGTCTTTCGCTCTAAGCGCATAATCTTTGACTCAAAACAAACACAAAGATGAGAAAAGGAAAGAAAAATTGACAGACAATTTTCACGAGGCGTCGGGCCATCTTTGTATGATTCCCTGATTTCCGAGACCCCCCCACCACACACACACGACACACCACAGGAATACCGCATTACCTCATCTGACCGTATTACATTTTGCCCTTTACTCAGCCAGAGTCTTTCCATGCCTCTCGAATAGTATACATAATTACAAATGGGGTACACTATCAAACAAAAGATTGAAATTTGTCTCAAAGCGGAATCAAATCCCCAGATGACGCAGTCTGATCTTGCAGTATGGGCAATGCATGAATACGGACTGGCAAAACCGCCGTCTCAGACTACAATCTCGCGCATACTAAGTTCAAAAAACGATATAATTGCTTCAAAGGAAGATGATTTCAAATTGGTGCGTCGGAGAAAACAGACAAACCCCTTGTTGCGCAAAATCTTAACCGAATGGATCACGCAAGCGACGTGGGAAAATATCCCCATTACCACTCCCATAATACAACTGACAGCACATGCTATATGGACAAGATTGCCCAAGCTGGAAAAATCGGGAAATGGCGTGTTTAACCAAAAGTGGTGCGCCCATTTCATGAAGAAGTTGAATATAAATATAACGGGAAATGAAGCAGATATCAAGCAGAATTTTGGATACAAGTTGAATAAAGTTTGGATGTTGGATGAGAAAGTGGAGCTAAAGACTTATTTGGATAACTTGATTCGACAGGATGACTACTCGCCGCAAGACATTTTTGTAATTGATGAATTTCAATTGTTCTATTCACTTCCCTTGGATCAGATATTTGATGTTAGCTCAGTTGATAAAGGACTACAGCAGTCGCACTCATCCAATGAATATTCATTAACTGCCTTGCTAGGGTGTAATATTGACGGTCTGGAGAAGCTATTACCGTTGATCGTGGGGAAATACGACAAGTTTGACGTCTCAAAGAGCTCATTTACTAATTTGCAAACTGTATCGTGTGACAACACATCTCATCATAACTTGATGAACAAAATAACCCAAATGTATAATATATCGTACAAAGCAAATACCAACAAATGGGTTACATCACTGATGTTTCAAAACTATATTTTATCCCTTGATCACAAAATCCACAGCTTGACTCCTCATAGGAAAATATTGATTATCTTGGATGATTGCTCGAGTCATCGATTAATTAATATCCAGTTTCAGAATATCAAACTTGTGTACTTGAAGAATGAAAACTGTCATAAAAATCCATACAATACATCATATGGGTCGGTCAAATTCGACTACTTGCCGATGAACTTTGGCATTATTGAAGAGTTCAAGATCCTTTATCGTATCCAACAATACACTGAAATGATCAAGTTGCAACGTAACAAGTCTTTGGGAAATCGGACAAAGCAAAAATCAATGAGAAACTCTGCTGCTTCTCCGTTGGGTTTAAACTACGATATGGCTAACACTTCGCCTGCACTTGAGGTATTGGCTGAGCAGGACTACCATATCCCAATGATTAAAGTTATTGAATGGGTAACCAAAGCATGGTCTTTGGTTTCACCCGAGCGTATATTCCAATCATGGAAAAAAACTCGATTATTGCCATTGAATCCAAATCAAGAATGGCCCAATTCGCAATCGAGGTATATAACCAATGAGATTTTCCAACCTTTGAATAGGAGACTCAATTCATTTGATGATACAAGGAGCTATAAGGAATTGGAAGAAATTATGGGACATTTGAATGTTGTTATACCTTGGGAAATTGAAGAGTTGGTGGGGTTGGTGAATGAGAGGGGGAAAATCACTTTAAACTATGCTTCAATTGAAGAAATTATTGGCAGCTGTCTACTGGAATCGATTGAAGATGATGGTCCTAGCGATGACGAAGAAAACCACGATATGGACTTAGACAATGCCGAAGCAGAGTCAAATGACAATAGCTCGACACGATGGTCGATCAGTGAAAATGATCTCAAAGATGCTAGTAACATAATATTCAACAAAGCCATCGCCAACACTACTGATTCAGGTGATACAATGATGAATGTTGATTCTATTTCCACCACAATGAGAAATACCCTAGGTTCAAATGATGTGCTGATGGAGTCGGATCAAGTATTCAATCATGAAGCTAATAGTATCGCCACAACCAATTCTCGGTCGCCTAGCTTTCCTTTTGAATCACCAGCTACGAGCTCAAATAATAAACACAAGTTGGGTCCTTTAGAAAGCTGGGATAAGAAGAAACAGGCATCAGCTGTATTGCTGCTGTCGCAGCAACCGCAACAAAATATCAATCAGCTTTTCGACAACTCGTTTGCTAATGGTACAGCCTTGAGTATATACCAGCAGCAACATCGGCAACTACAATCACAATCACAATCACAAGCTTTTCCATCGGGTTCTCAAGTGGATTATGACATGCAGCAGTCTATATTAAGACTTATCAACTATTCATCACTCAACTCGATAAATTTGTCTCAGTCCACGATTGATGATCTCAATTACAACTTGAAAATAATCCAGTCGAGATTATGTCAGTAGATCCAACATTTTTTAAAGAGATTAATAAGAACCCTTCAACGTGTATTTCAAAAGGCTTTTGCCTTCTCCGAAAGATTTTCTATATACAAGCGATAACTATTGTGACTCTTGAAACTTGCCTCTACTCGCAATCCGACTCCCTCTCAACTCGCTGAGGAGCAAGTAGTTTTCCTTCCTCCTCTGTCCTTGTATTCGAAAAAGAATGGTACGACTGCTATATCAGGTTTCTAGTTTTCTTCCTTAACGTCATCCTCGGTTATTCCCAACTCTTTAGCTTTAGCTTCCAACCTCGCCCTCTTCTCGGCCCTCGCTTTCCTTATTCTCGCAACTTCAGCTTGTATTTCATGCGGCTCTTTGGGTATTTGATTCAAGGTGGCTGGATCTGGCCAAAAGCCTGGTAAATTGAATTTCTTATCTGTATCTAAACCAACATAGTACATAATCAAGATGGGTGAAAGTAGGTAAAAACCAAACTAGATGATTTATGTTAGTAACCGAATGTTGGGACATTTACACTGGAATGATTCTTTTAGGTCGTTGAGATCTAAATAGGATAGTGATTATAACATACCTTGGCTGTCTCTAGTTGTGTACGTGTTACGCTATGTATAAATCTGTGTATGTAGCCCATATTAAGGTAAAATGTTGTTGGTATAGATAATGGATGAGATTTAATCAACGTGATTTTTTTTTCAACCAATCTGAAGGGAAACTATTATATGAGAGGTAGCGCCATACATACACATCCAAGCTCCTTTTGGGGATACAAGATAGAGTCGTCTACATTTCAATACAGAATAGCCAAATGGAGATTAAACAAAGCAAGTAACACTAAAGACATAAACAAAAATTATATAGAAAAAAGCACTTGCATACACACACACAAACTTAGCAAATCACATTACGTGATGTTTAAAAATGTGGAACCTGCGACTGATGTTCCTTCTGAAACTGCTGATTGTAGGTGTTGGGTAAATGTACTCATTTTCCAGCTCTTTGATAACAACTCTCCGTTTTGCTTTTGCATCGCAGTTGGCACAGGAGCAGCTAGTTTTACCTTCTTCAACACCATCAAGTGACAATTCCTTTTCCAACTTTTCTTTTGCCCAAATATCTTGATCGTCTTGAAATAAGTCAGTCAAACGATGAGAAACGTCTTCGTTTTTGACTCTTTGTGTAAATGATTTGACCCGTTTATTCATCTTGCTCTGCTTCTTGCGCAACTTTTTAGGTTGGGCCGAAATAGTTGAATTATACGATCTAGCGCTAACACAGTCATGAGCATCATTTTCCTCCAGTTGGTAGTTGTCGGTATCACGTTGGGCAAAATAGGCTTGGTTGTTCAATTGGAAATCAAATATCGTTGAGCTTGTAGGTTTGAAAATTGAGCTGCGTCTGAAGTTGTTGAGAAATGAGTTTTGCGTAGAGCTGTGTCTCGAGGCAGTAATTTGCTTACCTGAAGTTTGTTGGGGCATGCAGTCTTTTGCAACAGGATCCTGCTTTTCGTCCAACTCGATTAACTTCTCTTCTCCCACTGCACTCTTGTTTATTTCTTGGGTTACTTCCTCTTCCAACTCAGTTAACTTCTCCTCTAATGTAGGAGAAGGAGCCATGTAGCACTCCACTACATCCATGATAACTGTAGCATAATCATGAAAAACATCATTTTCAGTTGTTTGCTCCTGGGCGACTTTTGAATTCATCTTGGGTGAAGCAACTGACAAGGGCAAAGTGGCTGATGTTGAAAAGAGTCTGCTGCTATGGTGATGATGATGGTGACGATGGTGACGATTAGGGGATTGTATGCCTCCAAAGTGATATGTTTCACTGGCAAAATGAAGTGTTTGTGGAAGCTGCAAAGTAGTCATTGTCTTTTCAAGTGGTAATATCGTATGATGAGATTAAATCAAAGGTGAGTGATAAAACTGTTCTTCCTTCTTGATACCTATGTGGTGATTCACCGAAAAAGAAGCAATGTTGTCTGTGTGTTAGTTTCTCGATATGCATCAAAAAGAAATATATAAATAAAATATATTCTCAATTTTTCTGGATCCGCACAAGCTGCCGATTTTGCAGCCACCATTTGAAAAGGCTACAAAGAAAAGCTGTCTTAGTTTCGCGTTAATAAAAACTACATTCTAAACCAAAAACTAAACACCCCTCTCATAAGCAATAAATAGTAGCAAGACTCAAAACAAACAGACACAATATTCTTAACCTTAGACATCGTCAAGATGTTTTCTCAGCAAACATTTTACATTTGTGTCAATTTCTAACTCATTTGAACTTCTAAACCATCCTTAAGACACATAGTCAAGTGAATCAACTTCCTGCATGGTTCGGGACCATCATACTTGCTTACCAAGTTGGGGAACATTTGGGCCAAACGTACAATAACATAGGAGGCTTCAGTCAAGGCAAATTGCTGTCCTAAACAAATACGTGGGCCACCGTTGAATGGCAAATAAGCCCAACCCAACTTTGGAGAACTTTCCCAACGTTCTGGCTTAAATTCTTGTGCATCTTTACCATAGAATTTATCTATCCTTTGGGTCATGTATGGTGAATAAGCAAAGGTGGTTCCCTTTCCGATGTACACAGGGGAATTTCCATCAGGGCCACCACCAATAGGTAATGTGGTATCTTTGTTAGCAACTCTAAAGTTGACTGGGACTGAAGGGTACATTCTCAAAACTTCATTCAATACCCACTTGAGGTAAGTGCATTGCTTCATACTCTCAAAAGTAATGTCTTCAACACGGCTATCTTCTCCAGATCCAAAATGTTGGTAAATTTCTTCCTTTAGTTTGTTCCATACATCTTGGTGCTTGGCTAATTCAAAAAAGGCAAATGACAAAAGACCAGCAGTTGTATCTCTACCAGCAACCATAATGTTCAACAATTGGTCTTGCAAAACTTTAGGATCTCTCGTTTGCTTAGCCAATTCATAAAGGAATGTGTATCCATGGCTCTTTGTTCTCTCCTCCAACTCTTCAGGGGTTAAGCTCAAAGCTTTGTTGACAAACATTTTGGCAAACTTATGAACTGTTTTAGTATTTTTCCAAAACGAAGGTGGGTTGTAAAGAAAGTAAGCAACTTGCAAATAGGTTCTAACACCTAATGCAACCTGAGCTGAGTTGAAAGCCTCTGCAAAACCGGCAACCTCTGGGTCACATTCTCTTCCAATGGATTCATCATACAAGGAATGGACAGACTCACCAAACAAAAACTCAGTACTAGCATCAACAGTCAATCTGAAAAACAACTCTTGGAGATCAAATGTTTGACCTTTATGTTTTCTAATGTGTTCTGCAAGCACCTGAACGTGAGGCTCCAAAGTCTTGACATGGGAAATTTGTTCTCTTGCAAATTGAGGACGTAACAATTGTCTAGACTCTTTCCAACCTTCATTATCCAAAGTAAAAATACCGTCACCCAATAAAGGTTTAAAGTGGGCATGTCTTGAACCTAAGGAGAAGTCATTGAATTGAGTAGCCAAAACAGCTTTCATGTTTTCTGGCTCACCTGAAACGACAACTCTAACTCCAAACAAATATGCTGTGAAGGTGCTTTTTCTACCGTATTTCTCGTACAAGCCTAAAGCAAAATCGAGAATCTCACCATTGGACTTGTATTTTTGCAAAATGTAGGCCAATATTAAACCAAAGGGACCTCCATCGGGAAAGACGTATGCCTCCTTACAGCCATGTTTTCTTATAAACATTTCCTTCTTGATCTTACCAATGGTGGCATATATCAAGCCAGCAGCAATGGCAAGTCCATACCAGGTGAACAAGTGCAAGGTGATGAACGAAGTGATGGTTTGTAAATCAAATTCCATGGCGTATGTAATATGTTCTTTGTTGGATCACGTGATTAAGGTGAAATATATGGATGAAATGAAATGTGGGGTAATATATCTGTAACTGACAACCAAAGCTTTATAACGATGAAAGATAACAAAACGAATATAGTCAATATATAAAAAGGATTTTGCATCAATAGGTTCAACAACAAGGATATATTGCGGACTTTATATATTCGATAGAATGGGGAAATTTAGTTCTGAAATTGTACACTAAGAAGTGTACTCGAAACAATCGGAGTTGGCTCTTTTGTTTTGTATGCAATGGAGAATGCCTAGTGTACACAAAACAGAAGCTTAACGATTGAGCACACCAACGTACATACATAGAGAAACCAAATCATATGTAAATTATTGATTGACCCCTCAATTCATTTCTTGTTTATTGTTTGTATTTTGTATTGTTAAAACATTCGGAGTTTGTATTAAAGGGTTATGAGGGTCGTGTATCAGTGTATTATCTAAAATCCTCCCCAATGGCTTTTACCTTTTCGTGTAATAAATAATAGAGGCAACAATTATATAAACAAAACCACACTGTCAAACATCTGCTTGTGATATTTTTCTCTTTTGCTGTTTTTGAATTCCTTTGTAACTTTGGTTTCAGCGCTTATGTCTGTCGTCAATGTAATGTTTTATTGTCTATAACAGCTGTTTACTTTGTACTTGTACTGAATAATTTTTTTAAAAGAAGTCGTTGTTATTTTTAGCTCATCTCACGTCAAATCGAATACTCGCCAAAGAGTTAGGTTGTACGAAGGAACCATAAGCTTTTCAATTTTTATGTAGCTCACTCCATTCCAACTGTGTTGTAAAACTTTCCAGTTTCACACATTATGCAAAAGAAAAAGCATCACGTGTAGCGCGGGAAGAATAATTGGTTTCCGCGTTATATCCGCCCGGTAAGACCCCCCTTCCCCTCTACCTTTTATTCCAGTAAAAGCTTTACAAGACCATATCTGCTTAAAGCACTTGCTGTTACATTTTATCACAAGCATTTGTTTACATTATCCATTAACGGAAGCTCTCATTGTAAGATGGTTACTAGATCTCTCGAGTACTCTTACTCAAAGCGTATTAATTAAAGTCTTCTATTGTACTGTAAAGCAAAGGTATTGTATTTTTTTGTAATGTGTTGCTTGTGGCCTTTGCTTTTGCTTCCTTTTTTATCAATTCTTTTAATTTCACATGCAAGTGATTGATTTTGTGTTACCCCATATTTTCTAAGAGTCGGGTTTGTGTAATATGTTGGCAAAGTTGAAAAGAACTCCGCTGTTAAACCTATATGCAATTTGTAAGCACTTAAATTAGCTAGTTAGAAAGATGGAGGAAAGGAACAAGACAGTGTGCTTATGTGGTGTGTTGAACCAACAGGGAGTGTAGGCGTCATTACCAAATTGGCTGTAATTTGCTGTACAGCCACGAAAGTAGAATTTTGTGGAGTTCTTCAAATTTACTTTTGTGACAAAATCAATTTGACTGCAGTGTTTATATGATGTCCTCTATATACAAATTATGACACACTGAGTAGTCTTAAGAAAATAAAGAGACGATACTTCATTATTTAAGTGTTTTGCTGCAGGAGAAGCAATATGAACAATACTCAATACTTTGTCTTCTTCAATTGCTGGTCTTTGTATCACTAAAAATGATATCAAACGGAAAAAGATTTAAACCGTAATGGTAACATCTTCCTATTGTTTTACAGTTACCCCAATTGTCTTACAGCTTGATACTCAAACAAAATAAATCTTTTAAATTTTGTTGGTTTCCATTTTCAATGCCATTGCAACCCCAATTAGGTTTACTTCAGTCGTTCCTTCAGTGTAACGAGAGTCTTTACGCCGCTTCCACAACGTTGAGCCAGTACACCATTGGCAAAACATGCAACGAAGTGCTTACCTCTCTTTACAATCTAGCTCACTCAATCGAAACAGAAATTAGTTATTGTTACAATTTGTTGGGTATTTTGTTCAATGTAAAGGGAGTTTCATACGAGCCTTAAGTCTAATTTTGCATGTGAGATTCAAATCGCTATTTCATAATCTAACAGTTTGCAGCAAATACGGTTACCAAAAGACAACAGCATGTAAATGACTATTAATTGATCACCAATCCCTTTCTTCATAACACTTTGATCCTTAATGAATTTTTTTCAATCACATGTACGAAAAAGCAATAGTCTGAAACAATGTATTTCGGACTTCTGGATAAAGACAAGCTCTTATCGTTTTTATCCTACCTCACATTACTCAAACACAATAGTGGCGGCGATTTAAAATTTGACCAACTTTGAGGTTTCCTCTCGAAAGGGAAAAATTTTTCACATGAAAAGGTACAACCACATACTTTATTCAATAAGCTGCGTGGACTCGATTTCACCACATCTAGACGCACACCTTCTTTGTCTTAGGTTTACGGAAGATAGCGGACAGCATGTCATTCTTTGAAATAGCGTGTGAACTCCGGAGAAGTGCCATTAGAAATTGTTAAAAGCATTTCGTGTAGACTCCAAAGGGGGTTAATTTAAGTCTGTAGTCATGTGAAAATCGCAGTCATCTGTGATTCACAAACTTCACAACAATTCATTCCAATGTGATTGGTTCCCAATTCTGCAAACTGTCCACAATCCTTCGTGTAGTTTCATCATTCTTTTCCAAGTCATATTGCCGTCCTTGTAACAAAGACTGTTTCAAAAAAAGCGAAACCTCCTGCAAACTTTGGTCAATCATTTTGAGTACAATCTGATTAATCAACTTATTCAAATCGTTGTTTTTGGAAAACTCAATTATACTTTGGTTTAATTGTTGGTATATCTGCACATGAGCTTCATCAGATTCATCATTGATTTCACCAACTAGACCAGTATCAAACTTGGACGTGATTTTGGTTAAGATAGTAACAGGATCGTAGAAGGGAGTCGTCGATTCATCTGATTGTTCAATCAAGATCTTGAGAAACTTTGGTTTATCTAACGACTGGTCAATTAGAGAACTCCAAGTATCTTTATCATTCAATCTTTTGGCAAAATCTACTGCCATTTGCGGATCATGTAACTTATTAATCACCAAGTTCAACGCTTGCTTATTTTCTCCAATCTTTCCCAACAAGTAGATCAATTCTTGATAAAAGTTGTTTTGTTGGCAAATTTCGATGGCCTTATCAACATCATAATTGCTTGGCGAGGCATCATTTTCATCATTGGACACTAGAAATGGAAGAAGATCACGACGTGAATAGTTGGAATACAACTGGATTAACTCGTCACCGTAATCTGCCACTAATAGTTTATCAATAGCTTGCAATCGAACCAAGTAAAAGTAATTGATGAATGACAAAAGTGTATGAGATTTAAACATTTCGACAATATCACGTGACGCTATTTCAAGACGGTGGTCGATCAATATACTAATGGTTGTAGACAACTTCTCTCCGAGTTTATCAATTTGCCATTTCGAGATGACTTCTGGATTATCAAATTCTAGCTCAATGAATGTAGGTAGTTCCGAAACAAAGTTCTTTAAAATATGGTTCCTTGACAAATATTCAACAATATTCTTGTCCTTTAATTTAACAAGATGGGGCACTGCCTTCATTGGTTGAAGTGACTTATCGCATAGCTTCACGAGTGCTTTCGCAATAAAGCTAAAACGTTCACTGCTATCCTCCTGTAATTCCTGCTTCATCAATTCAGATTGTACCGAATCAATGTCATACAATTCGATTGGCCAATTGCACACCAATTCATACGCCTTTTCTGGTCCATTTTGAATCCAATATACTAATATTTTGGTAAACAATTCTGACGGAAGAGCCGTAGTGCTCGGAACTATATCACTTAATTCTTGGATATGCCCACTGTTGATAAATATATGTGCCCACGTTTGCCATTGACTAATAATTTCCTTGTAAACTTCATCCTCCTCATAAGGTGCAGAATTAATTGCAACAGAATCATCATCGGGGCTGCTTGTTTGCTCACCCAACGTTGCAACTTCCTTTAATGGCAACAATTTCTTTAAGAAATCGCCTGCTTTTGCCCATTCATTATTCTTCACCAACAGGTCCACATATTGTACTCCAAAGCTCATCCGCTTTATGGGCGAAACTAAATGCTCACTCACCTCATAAGCGCGCAAGTAGTCGTCCCTTGTTAAATACCATTGCAATCTGTCATCTAACTGATATTCTTGAGCAATAACGCCGTCTTTTGCACTGATGACAAAATACTTCGGTACCTGTTCTATGTGAGACCCCAAAATAAAGTCATTCAATCCTAAATTTTGAATATTTTTCAATGCCAACTCTTCTTCAAACTCCACCTCTCCAGTCGTTGAGTTAATCAACTTCAAATCAGGATTATTATACACTGCTTCTTTGTCAGCTTCCTCTCCGAAAGGCTTTCGTACTGGTGGTTCATAAGTAAGGACTATCCACAAATCATCTTTGTAGCTTGCAATCCCACATATCAAATCATCTAGCTTGAAAATATGCTCCACTTCTACTTTCTTCTCTTGGGTGGCTCGGAAGGACATTGAAGCAGTTGATGGCAAAATCCTACTCATACCTGAAGAAAGTACCGGTGCCGAATTCTGGTCTTTGGAGTTCAGTGTTGACCCATCCTTCAACGATATTCGCAAGGACCATATGTAATTACTCCATGCAATGATAAGTCTATCAGAATCAGGCTGTGCTACTCTTGGCCAATACAAATCATTCCTCGGGCTATCACTCGGCTTCTCCAATACTTTGATCATTACTCTATTACTCAAGTGAAATACATTGATCCCCTTATCGTTCATCCAGATAACTAAATCCCCAACAATAGTCAACCCAACAATCGACCCATTATTTTGATCAATAACATAATCTGCCTTCTTACCTAGCCAATTCTTTTTGGAATAAATCACCTTGCCACTCATTCCGCCACTGATAAAACTCCTCTTGGATGCATAGTTACTATCGAGTACAACTGCGTGCACCGGTCTTTGGAAATCATACGCAATAATGTCTTTTTCATCCTGTATAGACCCAATGACTACGGTCCCATCCATAGAAGCCGAGGCAAAAAACTCTCCGTCTGTATACGTACTCAACACAGACGCTCGGTGAGCTTTGAACGTACGGACGGCGGCGAAATTACTTTGACATATGTGAATAAAGCCAGAATGAGTTGCAAATATAAAGTATAAATCATGGAAAAAGCAAGACGAAACTGGATCCTTAATGAAGAAGTTGCTCGGGAGTTGGCTAATCCGTGAGTACTTGAGTTTTGGTGGCTCATCTTCGTCTTCAACTTCCTCGTCGCCATCTTCTTCATCTTCGTCCTCTTCCTTGTCGCCGTCTTCGCCTTCATCATCCCCTTGCTCTTCCCCGTCGAGCGAAGCATCAGATTTTCCTCCATCACCATTGTGAATTGGCTCTTCTATCTCGGATATGTCTTTATCCTTGTCCAATTCACCTTCACTTATTTCAATACTCCTTGCTTTACTCTCACTTTGTTCTTCCATAGCTTGCGGATTCTTACTCTCGTAATTCTCAACAACCTCGTTGGTGTTTGTCTCTACTATCTCTTCCTGATTGGCACTCACGGTACTATCATTTTGGTGAATATTATGGTGCTCTTTTGTTTCCAGTTTCTTACCAGCACCATTTTTCAGTGTTTTGCTCTTCTTTTTGTTTCCCATTATATCCTAGTGAACATCGCCTGTGAATTGTGTGTGTCTTGTTGGTACTTATTCCCAACCGCGAGTCATCAAATGCGGCGCCAAAAAAAACCAAATCATCAAAAAATCCCTGCAAGACCCATCTCAACATTAAACTACCCTCGTTATCATGTTGGTTGCTAGTAAAGGTGTCCTTGTCAAATGTGATCCGTCTATAAAGGCATTAATTATTCAAATAGACTCGGTCACTCCAGGAATCGTATTAGAAGAATTGGATGACACCCACTTACTCATTCAACAAGATAAAGTGGAGACAGTCAAAAATGAATTAAACAAGATGTTGTCAAAAAATATATACAATCCATTTGAGGAAGAATAAGAGTACACATATTTATAAACTAGATACGCTGTTTCATACCGCTGATGTTGGAGACGGCGATTTGTTGACCGTGTTTACTTGCCCATTGCCATCTTGATTAAATTTAAGCTCAGCCGGGTCCAAGTTATTCGAATTCACGTCTATGGGATCCGACACTTCAACATCTGTGTCATCCAATTCAAGGTTTTCCAATATATCCTCGTTGAATATCGGTGCATCTTGTTGTTCATCTTCGTATAACTGATTTACAATGTCACCAATAAACCCAGACAAGGCATCGATCTCCATCAAATCGATGTCTTCACCATCTTCCAGTTTCGAAATTTGTACATTTACGTTATTAAGGAATTCTTCATAAGCCAACAAGATTATATTGGTCAAGTTATTCATCAAAAAGTGCGTGACAACAGGATCGTTGACTATGGATTTAATATCGTTGTATAGATTGGGGATCTTGATAATTATATTGTCTTTAAATTGAGATAACGACTTTTTGTTGATGATGTCTTCTTTTGTTTGAATAATTGGTGCGCAAATATTGTTTGAACAATAAGTGAGAAACTCGCTTACTGCTGTATTTAGTTCAACTTCAATCTCATAATTAGCATCAATCATATTGTTGATTACCCTTGGAACCGTTCTTTTAGCTATTTCAAAGAATCCTCCGCGTTCTGTAGTGCTCCTTCTCCTCAACATATTCCAAATGTCTGATATACCACTAGTGAAATCTATCGAATAATCGGTTCTTGTAAAGTGTATGTCAAAATTTTTGATTTGATTGCGTAAAATTATCAAATTGTGAAGGTATGATAACTTTCCTTCAACGACACCTAAATGAGCAACAATCAACTTTGAATATTCGCCTTTCAACAAGGCAATACACGCGTGAACGATATAGTGAGCCATATCATCAAATACAACGGAATTGATTAGTTCGTATATGTTGGACAATATCGTCATTGCCTTGGCCAAGGGGAGGTATACATCAGGGAATAAATTCTCGTCATAATCAGCATCCAAGGTATTGATAGTTTTCATTTTAGACTGCTTTTTGTGGCCAATTTTCAAATCCACTGCGCTGGGCTTGTATCTCATCAACTTGGTATCGATGTAGTTCTGAATTCTAAAAATTAACCGATTTTGAGTGTCATCCAATATCGGCTGGAATAAAACGCCGTATTTGATAGTATCCAGTTGCACCAGCCCAAAGTAGCTCTGTGTGTCTATTAAGCTGCCATTGGGGTCTTCTCCATCTTCAAACTCATAATACTTTTGTAACAAAGTTGTCAATTGACACAATGAGCTGATATTGACCTCTTTGAGGACCAACAAGCGTACACCATCATACAAAGGATCAAGTACGCTTTTCAAGAAATTGTAAAACTCCTCCCAAATCATTGTTTTCAACTCATTCTCATAGGATAATGGGTTAAAGAATTTGCTAAACAATGTAAACTCTCTTTCAATGATCTTTTTGAAATACGATATCTGGTCTTGGCATGTTTGGACTAAATCTGTCTCAAATTGCTTTGTATAAAACTTGTCAATGGTTGATGTTTTGTCAATGTATTGTTTCAATAATTTTGCCCGTGTTTGGAAATAAGTGGTCAACACATCATTGATCAATCCATTATACTCCTCATGTTTAGTGCTTCTCTTGAACAACTCCATGACCAACTCGTGAAACACTTCTTCATTGTATTTTAAGTAGGTATTGAACTCGTTGTAGATTAGCAAATCTATGGTTACGATTTGCTTTGAATTGTCTGAAGCATGTTTTAATTTCATACTTACCGAGTCATTTATACCCCTCAACTCGTTACTTAAGTAGTTTCTGACCAATGTCAAGGCTCTGGTCATGCATTGACGAAATCTACTTTTGTACAACTCACAATCTCTAAACTCAGGGTGCATTTCCATAAAGTCCAACGAATCGTCCAAGTGTAACAAAATATCGTTGATGAAAAAAGAGCGTCGGTTAGTGAGCAAGTGTGTACCTGATTTTGATAAACTTTTCGTGATGGACTCCAAATGTTCAAAGTGCTTCAAATTCGAATGAATTTTGTTGTACTTTTGTTGGTATAAGTTTTGCTTATCTAGTAATTCGTTGGCCAAAGCATCAAAGTCCAGGGTTTCATCTGAAATTTGTTTATACTTGTCAAAACACTCATTTGTGCTTTGTAGCAATGCATCTGTCTGGCTCGTGAGCTCTCTTAGTTGATCTCGATTCCTTCGTAAGTTACTCCGAAATCCAAGCACTGAATCCAAGTGTTCGGCGTTGATATGCTTTATGTCGTCATCTTTTAACACAACATCATAATCAAATAATTCCACAAACTTTGACCATAGCAATTGTTCCTCTTGCTGGCACAAAGGGTATAAGTAGTCGTATTTGATTAAGGGAGCTGGCCGGCCGCATGAATCTGATTTGGACCTCGAGCGCCTGAATGTAGTCGGGCTAGGGATGATTTTTTCATGTAGCGATGTAGAATCATTGTTCACTGCAAGCACATCGCTTGCAATTTGCAGTACTGTCGATTTACTTCTCGTCCTTGGCATGATGATTCACTGTTGAGACAAGGTGTTGGGTTGTAAAGTGTAAAATGAAAAATCAAAAATTTTGACACGACACACATTTTCTCACGACATCCACTTGCGACAAACGCGTGTTCTACGTTTACTTTTTGTCTGCTTTTTGACAATCTTTGACTACAATGTCTTACTCTCTAGCTACAACTATGATTGACCCGAGGGATGAAATTGTTAATAAAGATGATCTACTAAGCGATGACTCTTCTGACGAATTGAAGGATTTGTATAAAGAGTTTGAGCTCAAGTACCAAGCAATAAGGAAGAAAGAATTGGCAAAAAAAAGCAAACAATTCGATGGGCCAAAGGAGAAAGCGGCTCACGAACCAAGTGCTCCGGTTGTGCCCAGGTCCCCGAACAGGATATGCAAGCCCCCTGAGGCTACGAAAGAGGTAAAATATGAGGTTGAAGTGCCGTTACCCAAAACAAAAAAGGCATCCGAATTTTTATCCAAGTTGTACGATGCAAACTTGACAAAAACACAGGAAAGTTGTGATGGCATAGATTACAGTTTGCGTAAATTCGAATTTGATTTCACCAACTATGAGATTAAACCTAAGGAAGTGGACGATGAAGTGTGCCCTATATCAGGACACTGCTTAAGACGGAGGTACTACACCAGAGAGGAAGTGAATCAGCTTATTAGAAATACAGACGAAAATATGAAAATTCTCAAAGTTGACAAAATGTTGGCAAAGACAAACAAAACTAACAACTACCGTGAGCCAATGTATACAAATTGGTGTCTTGTTGGATTTGTTTTGCACAAGTCAGATGTACTATACACAAAGAACGATAAGAAATACATGAAATTAAGGGTTGGTAACTTTCAGAATAGTGTCGAGTTGCTACTATTTGATGGGGCGTTTGGGAAAAACTACAAGTTACAACAAGGAGATTTGATTTTGGTGCTCAATCCTATTGTAAACAAGTACGAAATCAAGGTCAATGAACACATTTCCAAAACCGGCTTTAATTTGAAACTCGATGGTTCGAATATCAATAGTATTTTGGAAATCGGAGCGATAAGGGATTTTGGAATCTGCAAGTTTATCAAAAAGATAGATAATCAAAGATGTACCAACGTTGTCAACATTACTAAACAACACTTGTGTGACATTCACTTGGATAACAAATTCAGACAAAGTACAAGAATGGAATTGAATGGAGTTTCTTTGAGGTCTCCCACCAAGAGCAAGACCAAGGTATTTCTCAACATGAACAAGAGTCGAAATCAGAGTAATTTCAGCGGGTTTATTAGAGAATATAACGAAGATTCAACCTTTTCTACCTCTGGTTCTGGTAAGATTGACTCAAGGAAGTTTCAAGATCCAAAGCTATTGCAAACACAACTCAAGAGAAGAAAATTGCAAAATGAGCGTGCAAATGACTTGTTGGAGAAGAAATTGTCCAAGTTATCATCAAGAAATCCCATTGTTGAAAGTTTGAATATGAAGGGCACTCACAGCGATAAATCTCAAGAAATGGGCCACTCTAGCCACTTTTCGCCGTCGATGATTTCTAAAATTGGCTTTGATCCAACAAACCAAGACAACGACGCATCTAAACAGTCACATCCGGAAAGATTACAGGAGTTGTATCAACTAAGCGCAAAGTGTTCATCCAAAAAATCGCTTGGATCATCGATAGATGATAAAAGGAGTAAATTGCAGAAATGGCAGAAGAATATAAACGCTTTGAAAAGTTACGACTCAAAACTAATGCAACTGGATTTAAATTTGAGTAAGTCTGTTGTTGATGGTATAAAAACAGCGGGAATGCCCCAGAATAGAGTTGCAAAAACTAATCGTGTAGTTTTGAGTGACGACGATTTTGATTTTAATGACAAAAGTAGTAATAATGATGATGATGACTTGGATATAGACTTTGGTAATGATGACATGAAAGCTAAGTATGAAAAAGTAGTTGGTAGATAGAAGATAGCATTTTTAACATGGAATCCCACGTACTTGGCGGAGTCTAAAGGGAGCTTCAGCAATACTTGATACTCTTGGTTGTTTACTTTACTATTGTGGGTAGTGCCTCTTGCCGCTTGGGTCTAGACTTTATTTTGCGCAATTGAGAATCGAGTAATTGGATATAAACACAAAACAACCTTTTTTTTTGTTACATGCGCGTCTGTGTGATCCCCTGTGTGGCCTAATCCACACCAGCTTTATTGCGGAATCACAAACATACACAGCAAAATGTGGTGCTTCTCCAACTGAATTAGTAGGCCATATCTTATAAAATAGGTCGGAATGTGGACCTGTTACTTTCTTGCAACCAATTAGCCCTCTTTCTATTTTTCATACAGCTTTAACGCCGTGCTTTTTTGCAAAGATAAACTCCGATGGATCTAGAAGAATTTGCGCTCTACCTATGTTGGATTGACTCTTTTAACTAATGGTGTTAGCGAAGCTGCAAAAGCTCATAGCGCCTCACTTTAGCTTACAAATTAGCCTTTTTTACCCCTCAGCAGTATGCAACATGGACAACCCCGACCCGTCTGACGTCGTACGTGTAACAACAATAAGCCGCCTTTTTCCTTTTGCTGTTTTTGTTTTGGAATGGTTTACACGCCCCCTTTGTCTATTGCTATTAACAGTTGCAACACAAAGTGTAAGTGTTATGTGTGAAAACGAAACGAAAAAAAAAATTAAAATTGGAGGAACCTCAACATATTTTCATAAACGTTTTCAAAACCTTTGTCCAAAAAAAAGAATCAGTAAAGGTTTCTTTTCGACAACGTATAATCCCTTCGTGCTCAATTCCATTCAATCAATCAGCAGCAATGGCAACATCCGTTTCAACCCCAAAGAGACATACCAAAACTCAGTCAACTTATGTATGTGATTTTACCCCTTTTTCAGTGCTTTTAGCGTTCTATTGGTCATCAATTGATACTAACATTAGAGTTTTAGGCTTTTGACAATACCGCAACCAATGTTGCTGCTTCTCAAATGAGAAATGCATTGAACAACTTGGCAGACACTGTCCACGATCCTGAAGTCAAAAGAAGATTTGAGAATGAAATGGATAACTTTTTTACTTTGTTTAGAAGATACTTGACTGAAAAGGCCTCCGGTAACACCTTGGAGTGGGAAAAAATCAGATCTCCATCGGCAGACGAAGTTGTTGCGTACTCAAAGCTAGATGATGATAAAGCCCATGCATCTGCCAATTTGTCGAAATTGGCTGTTTTGAAACTTAATGGTGGTTTAGGTACTTCTATGGGTTGTGTTGGTCCCAAATCAGTTATTGAAGTTAGAGATGGAAACACCTTCTTGGACTTGTCTGTTAGACAAATTGAGCACTTGAATAGAACATTCGATGCTGACGTCCCATTGCTCTTGATGAACTCGTTCAACACCGATGCTGACACTGCCAAGATCATTAAGAAGTACCAAGGACACAGAATAAGAGTCAAGACCTTTAACCAATCGAGATTCCCAAGAATATACAAAGACTCTTTGTTGCCAGTTCCAGAATCCTATGATGACTCCCTCGACAGCTGGTACCCACCTGGTCATGGGGATTTGTTTGAAGCTTTGGTTCAGTCTGGAGAGCTTGATGCATTATTAGCACAAGGGAGAGAAATTTTGTTTGTTTCAAACGGTGACAACTTGGGTGCAACTGTTGACAACAAAATCCTTTCTCATATGATTGAAACAGGTGCTGAATACATCATGGAATTGACTGACAAGACAAGAGCTGACGTCAAGGGTGGAACATTGATTAACTACCAAGGAGAAGTGAGATTGTTGGAAATTGCACAAGTCCCAAAGGAGCATGTTGAAGAGTTTAAGAGTATTAAAAAGTTCAAGTACTTCAACACCAACAATTTGTGGATCAATTTGAGAGCTATTAAAAACTTGGTGGAAGCTAATGCTATTGAGGCTGAGATTATTCCAAACCAAAAGTCTATCTCGAAAGGAAACTCTGAGATTAACGTTTTGCAATTGGAGACAGCTGTTGGTGCCGCAATTAGACACTTTAAAGGAGCTCACGGTGTGGTTGTCCCAAGATCTAGATTCTTGCCAGTTAAAACTTGTTCTGATTTGTTGTTGGTAAAATCAGACTTGTTCTTCTTGGAACACGGTGCATTAAAGTTGGACCCTACAAGAGACGGCTTCTCTAACCCATTGATCAAATTGGGATCTCACTTTAAGAAAGTCAGTGGTTTCCAAGCTAGAATTCCTCATATGCCTGGAATTTTGGAATTGGACCATTTGACCATTACTGGAAATGTCCATATCGGAAAAGGTGTGCAATTGAAAGGTACCGTGATCATTGTTTGTAACGATGGGGATAAGATTGATATTCCTAATGGCTCAATCTTGGAGAATGTGGTGGTTACTGGTAACTTGACCCTTTTAGAACATTAAAAAGAAAAAATTATTACATATAATATATGAGTGTGTATATTAAGGTATACATTAATTAAGCAATTCTTTAGCAGCAGTCACATCTTCGTCTCCTGTATAGTTTTCCAAGTACTCCTGTAAGGATTTCTTTAACTGTGCGATCTTTTCCGACACTTGTGGAACCATTTTTTGACTTTCTTCGAGCACTTCAACTTGTTTCTTTAATTCATATTCGTCGCTATTGTTTGCCTTCATTTGCTTGACGTATTGCTCTTGTTCAGTGGCTTCCTGTTGGTACAAATCCTTCTCTTTGATGAGCCTTTTCAAGGCATTCACCTTGATCTGTAGTTGCGATGGAGCCATGTTGACAGTAGGTAAGTGTTGCAATTTGCGTGTGTGTTTATGTGTCTGTGTGTTGAGTCTTCAAGAAAATTTTAGAATCGCGTGCAAAACAAAAACAAAACTTTTATTAACTAGACGATAAAGTACATGGAATACAGAGAGAGAAACTAATTTGTTGAAAAGACATAGTGTAAACTCTTTGGATCCCAGCCACCACTTCCAGTGCCATCACCCAAGTCTTGAACAACCTTCGCTGCTTTGATGACATAATATGTTTCATCATCATTGATCCTGACAATGGCATTATGCCACGGAGTTGGAATGTGCAAGAGATCAGTACATCTAGGCTCCTTATGGTCTTGAATGCTTTCAATCGGAAGACATTCTTCTGTTCCATTCTTGCTCAATAAAGAGACTCCATATTTTGGACCAGCATTATTATGGGCGTGTATGGAAAACCTCAAATGGAATGGAAACATCAACTCCACCAAGTTTGAGTACGCGTCATTACGCTTGATCATCTCATGTGCTACTTGGCTGACAATTTTCTTAAACTTTTTCCTAGTCATCTTGCCTACTCGAGGATGAAATTGCAAATCTTCAGTCATGAATTTGGAGAACCCACGAAACAAATATAGTCTAGCATGACCCGGTGTCTTGATATCCCCCCTCAACTTACCGTTGTCGGTATCGCAGGACGACATCAATATCTTACGGCAGACTTCTGATTCAGGATCAATTTTAGTGCCGAGAAAGTGGCCCAAGTTGACATTTTCCACCATGGCTGGAAGCTCTTTTGAGAATTTAAAAATCTCGGGTAAGGAGCAAAATTTGATAGGACACGAATCCACTGGCTTAACCCTTTTGTACATCTGCTTCAATGCTGCTGAATATCGGTTCACTTTGGTGTCGTCCACAGCAATACAATCGCTAAACACGTGACCGTCACTCACAATCCAAATTATTATACCGGGAGGATATATTTTTTGAACTTCATCGGCAAAGAATATTAATCTGCGCAAAGCAAGCTCCTCCCCCTTATCTGGCAAATCACCAGACACTTTTTCATAATTGGATGATTTACATGGGAATGCTGGTAAAACAGCTTCCAATGGTTGGCCACGAGATGTGAAAAACTCAACATTTTTTTTGAATTTCTCCCTACCAATTGCATCCCACATATCGCGCTCAACGGTGTGCTTCAATTTTTCGGCAAAGGTATTTGTCACTGTATCGGAAAGATGAGACAAATCCTTTGTGTTTGAAAACGACACTTGCGACAGAGTGATTAATAGATTAATAAACCAAAGCACAAAATCGGTAATCGAGATTTGCAAAGTGACTACACCTTGCAATGTTTCACCAGTTTGTTTTTCCCACACAAAAAACCTGTCGTCGATCACAGCTTGGGAAAATCCGTCTTTGTATTGAAAATACTTGGCACTGAAAATTGCATCCGTTAAGTCAACTGAGAATTTGTTGAAATTTCTATAACTCAAGATCTTATTGTTGTCACGGCTATATATCATGCAGACATTCTCGTATATTGTTGGAGGGCAGGCGCCATCTATCGTAGTGCTGCTGCTGGCACTCGAATTTAGTGATAAAGTTGAAACTGACTCCATTGCTGGTGGCCCAAGTGATCCAATACTGCAGATCCGATATGGAGATTTCGAGCTCTTTTATAAGTCAAAAAAAAAGCTCCTACTCCATCCTCAGATCTATTTTGCAGTGTTTTTCTTTTTGTTTCCTAAAAAGGTGGAATTAGGAAATTGACAAAAGTGCTATTCTGCCATATGATGTAGCATTGTATTGACAAGCAAGTATGGAAATCATAAATAGAGTAGAAGGGTATCTCACATGGATTTATCTTTGTTGGAGGAGAGGGTATACAATGTTGTATGAATTAGTCAAACTGGTTACTGCCTTAGTTGTAGGGTTTGCTATCTATTCCATTTTGGAGGTTGTCTTTCCGCCATTTAATTTTCCCAGGAACATCCCAACAATACCATTCTACGTATCGTTTATCAGCTCTTGGACCAATTTAGATCAAAAGGATATCTACAACAAGTATTTGCGAGAGAAATTGGAGAAATACGGTGCGGTTAAGATCTACTTTGCATCAAGATGGAACATTTTGGTCACACGGCCCGAATATTTAGTTGAAGTTTTCAAAAACGAAGACATTTATGCTAAAAGTGGAAACCATTTGAAGATCCCGGGCTCTGTTTTGGCTACATACACTGGAGACAATGTTATATCAGCGCATGGCACATTATGGAAATTATATCGAGAGGTGGTGTCACTGAGTATCCAGTTTCCTGATCTAAGCACAATACACCAAAACACGAGCAAATTTTTGGACTTGCTAGAACAGGAATTGGTTGGTACGTCATCAATTGTAGTCAATGACCTACTTCAAAGGTACTCCTTGGTCAATGTGGGAGATTCCATTTTGGGGGTTGATTTTGAGGCCTTGGACAGTAAGGAATCTACAATGCACCAGAAAATCAAGTACATAAAACTGCAAATTTTTAGACCATTTTTCATGAACTTTCCCTATGTTGAAAAATACCCCATTCCTAGTCGAATTAAAGCCAAGCGAGAGGTGGAAGGTTTTAGAAATTGGTTTGGTCAAACTTTACTACTGAAATACAACCCGGAAAGGGAAAACAGTGCAGCTACAAAGTTGGTCCAAGCATTGCACAATGATAAATTGACACAAAAGCAATTCTTTGACAACGCAATTATAATAATGGTTGCTGGGCATGAAAACCCCCTTTTGTTAATGCTTTCCTTATTATATGTCCTAGCAAAACACCAAGACATACAGGATTTAGTCCGTGCCGAGACAGATCCTCAACAACCATACTTGAGCTCCGTCATTTATGAAACTCTAAGACTATTTCCACCTTTGGGTCAGATAATTAATCGTTGTACAACAAAACTGACGTGGTTAGGTAATATCCACATCCCAAAGGGGGTTTATGTTGGGTACAATAATATGGCTACAGGAAGGGACAGGTCGGTATGGGGAGCTGGTGCAGACCGATTTCAGCCTAGTAGGTGGGGCACAACTTTAGGAGAAGTAAACTCAAATTATTCCGCGTCTAAAAGATCGAGTAAGTTGCCGGCATTCCATGGACGCAAGCGAGCGTGTTTAGGGGAAAAGTTTGCATTGAATGAGTCCAAATGGTTTATTACTGCGGTTCTTGAAAAATACAAAGTGCGTCTAGATGAAGATTGGAAGGAGAAAATAACTCCTGCAGGACCTATTAGCCCCTTGGGAATGAAATTGAAATTTGAGAAAGTTTAGTGTGCTAGTTTATAGTTTCTTAAATAATTTTTATTTTTATTTTTATTTTGTTTTCTTGCCATTTTTGCAGCATGTTGCAAACATTTATATTCAGCAAGCACTCCGCCTCTGAAAAGAAATGAACAACCCCAATGAGAAAGCAACAATGGTGATAAGATCTATTCAAGAAATCGGACCGGTTAAATCTTCAAGCAATGAGGCAGATCTAAAATCGTCTAGTGGAGAAGAAGGAAAGGTAAAGTCAGTAGAGGAGCCTTACTGTTTACTTTCTTTCAAAAGAAAATCCATCATAATAGCAATTGCCACTGTAACTGGATGTTTAGGTCCAATATCGGGCAACATTTACGTGCCTATATTACCCCAATTGCAAGACGTGTTTCAAGTTTCAAGAACCACTATGAACGGAACAATATCAGTTTTTATGGCTGTTTTTGCGTTTGCTCCATTAATTTGGGCTTCGTGGGCAGACTATAGAGGAAGGAAATTGTTGTATCTTTTGCCCCTCCTTTTCTTTATAATTGCAAATATTTTGCTAGCTGCCGTTCCAGCAAATATTGGAGCTCTTTATGTGCTACGTATAGTGCAAGCTTTCGGTGCCAGCAGCGCCATATCTGTTGGAGCTGGTATAGTGGCTGACATTATTGAGCCAAAGAATAGAGCCAAGGCTATTTCCATTTTTATGTGGGGCCCCCAATTGGGTCCCGTCTTTGGTCCGTTGTTGTCTATGATATCGATTGCTTCGTGGAGATGGATATTTGGCTTTTTGGCCATCCTAGGCTTTGTGGTTTACCTTTGTATACTTTTCTTGCTTCCCGAGACTTTGCGCTACTTGGTTGGAAATTGTGCATGCTACCTGAATCATATGTTTGTCAAGCCTCGCCTAGGTCAGGAAAAGTTGGTGAAGGGGTATCCCCGCCCACCTAAACCTAGTGTTAACAACTATTTTCGATTAATCAAGTACAAGCCAGTGTTATTGTGTTCATTTAATTCGGGGATGCTATTTGCCAGCTTCTACGGGGTTATGGTTACATTTGCTCATGTTTTGCAAGATAACTACTCGTTCAGTGATATAAATATTAGCTTTAGCTATGTATGCCCTGGTTGTGCTTTAATTATTGGTCTGACAATAGGTGGTTGGTTGTCTGACAAATTACGTGCCAGAATGCAAGCAAAGTATGTGACCTACGTTCCCGAATATCGATTCTCCATCCAAATAGTGGGGTTGCTCATATCTATGACTGGTTTAATTGGTTATGCCTGGACTGTGGATAAACAAGCACCGGTTTGGTCTGTGTTTATATTTACTTTTTTAACTGGGTTTGGAATGACCTGGGTATTTGTAGCAACGACTACATATTTGACGGAATGTGTGCCTGCTCAGCCTAGTGCAAACGTGGCCATTGGAAATTTGATGAGGAATATTGCAGCCGCAATCTGCACTGCTATCATTGATGTTTTGATCAAGAAGATGGGGTTTGGCTGGTGCATGACTGGCCTTGGTCTTTTGAACTTGATTGGAATTGGCTTTGTAATTATCTTATTGAAATTTGGACCACGTTGGAGAAGAGAATATTTTGAAGAGAAGTGATCAACATGTTTATGTCTAGACTAGCAATTACCAGTAATTATATACTAAATATGAAACTTTGAGAAGAGTTGTTAAACATTGGGTGTAGAGGAGTCACTGGTTTGATTTTATATTGCTGTAGAAGCATAATTGGTTGCTAAAACGCTATACACTTGATTAGATTCAAGCGTATTTATTAACTTTTGGTTTTCTGTTTTCTATAATAACTGGCTATGGCCTAATGGTAAGGCACTTGACTACGGTGGATTACTTCGCTTGCTATCAAGGGATTGGAGGTTCGAGTCCTTCTAGCCAGGTTTTAATTTTTTTTGTGCGAAACCACTTTTTTTTTGAAGAAAACCATATTTATTACTTTCTGAACATAGCTTTGGTTTTCTCTTTCTGGTAAACTTGTAGCAGGTAATTATTGGTATGTCGTTAACCTGCGTTATTAAGCCTCTAAAAATATGAAGCAATTTCCATTTTAGATTCCTACTCTTGAAAGACTCATTTAATCATCTGTGTAGTTTGCTGCGAAAGTTTTTGCTGCAAAATATAAAAAGTGGCCAAGAGGGAATACTTCCGCTACAACAAGTTGTATGGGCATTTTTATAGAATTTCTAACATTTTGTGAGAAAGACAGTGATAGGGAACAATATAAGTTCTCATGTAGATCATTAATATGACGGATTATTACTACTATTGGCGCTGTGGTTGGTGCATTATTGTGCTGGTTAAAATATGCCCAAAGCTGGGACATTTGCTGACTAATCATAAGAGCTTGGTGAAGACGCGGTATATTTCTCACGAACTAAGGCCAAACGTTACTAGTTGTAGCAATTTTGAAGGGATAATTAAAATAAAGTTTCCCCGAAGAATTAACATCAAATAAATGAACATTGTCTTCAATGCATCAAAAACTGTAATCCCATTACTTCGGCTAAAATGATTTTGTCATGAAATAGAGGTAACCATCAACTGTTCTGAGAAAACCGTGTGCTTGCAGACGTGATTTAGCATTGCAATAACTTTAGGACAAGTAGAAAATCAAGCACGAGTATATTTCTCAACAGGTTTGGTGCATTGTTTCGACCAGTTGTTGATTTAGGAAACCAACTCAAACTATCAGCTTTTGCAAGTTTTCCTATCTTGTAGAGGATTGTATTTTATATGGTCTGTTTTTTATTTAGTAAAGTATCTAACAAACTGGTGGTGTCATTCGTGGTGTAAGAAAAAAAATTACTGGAAATAAAAGCATCGGCCAGGTCCCTCCATTAGATCTATAGATCATGCCAAAACACAGCAAGAATTTCCTAATGGTGGATAGGGTGGTTATCATTCACCAGAATTGGGTAATATTGGTCTTTGCACAAGGTATTTATTAAGGGAATAACCAAATTGTGCTTTTGTCGTTATATTGCTCTAGAACATTCTAAAATCTAGAGTATATATGAAATCAATAACCTACGGTTATTAAAGAAGTATATAACCAAGTGGATAAATGCTATTTCCTCGGGCAAATACTTCCGATCACAAAATATGGCGTTCATGGATATTTTGTGCATGGTTCACCACGGAAGTAAATATCAGAATGGCAAAATACAGCTTAAAGTATCCTCAAGCTCATCTCATCTCATTATGAGAAGTCCAACCTTGAAGAATATAAATCTGACAGGTTTTGGACATAAAAGTATATAGTTTATATAGTTTAAAAATGAATCATAATACACATATAGATTTTATCGTACAATATTTTTACGAATGCTTTGAAATTGTTGGGTACTCCATAGTGTGAATGTATGAGTGGTTTAGTTGTCTTCTACTTGTGCATTCCCCCAATTTCTTACAAAATACACCTCAAAAATTTCTAAACTTTTTGCCTGTATGTTTCTAAAATGCTTTTGTTTGACCAACCTATACTGGCTATGGCCTAATGGTAAGGCACTTGACTACGGTGGATTACTTCGCTTGCTATCAAGGGATTGGAGGTTCGAGTCCTTCTAGCCAGGGTTTTTTTTGTTTTTTTCTCCTTTGCATTTTTGCAGTTTAATAAATGCCTTTTTTCCATGTGCTTTGCCTAATCATTTTTAGAATATTTTTGCTCGATTATTCAACCAAATTATATTTTTGAATATAAAATAGTGAAACTATAGTGTTTGACGGCAACTTATACTTGGAACAAAATATAAGCGGCCTCATTTTATTTACTCTTTGACTAAGTAGTACAAACAAACAGACCCTTTCTACTTTAGTTGACACCTCTCAGGGTGTTTACTTCCTCTTTTACAAAGGTCGTGTATAATTTGCCTTACCACAGAAAGATTAATCTAGAAAACTAAGCCAAGCGCAAAAATAAATGACATAAATTCCTAGGCATTGCCTCCTCTAACCAACACTTTAAATTATTTCATCACCGCTTCAAATTATCTCTTCATCAGTTCAAATTACTTCATCATTACAAACAATACCAACATGTCATACACAGCTGTACCAGACCAACCACCAAGCTATCCACCGGGAGAGGAACAGAGTGGAGATAGACAATTTGGCGACAATGTCCCTGATGACTTCAAGTACTCAGTCGATGTTGCATCATGTGAACTCCCTGTACGTCAATTATTCATTCGAAAAGTATATCTGTTGTTAACAATACAATTGATGGCTTCAGTTCTTGTCGGATACGTTGTTAGGTCATCAGACCTGATCTTGGCTTGGACGTTGAACCATCCATGGATCCTTATCTTCAACTTGTTTGCGTCAATTGGATTCATGGTTGGGGCTTTCTTCAAAGCCAGATCTTACCCTATTAACTTGGCGCTACTTGGTGGTTTTACAGTATTTGAAAGTTTTACCTTGGGAATGGCTTGTGCATTTGTTGAAAGTACCGTTATCATTGAGGCCATCTTGTTGACATTGATTATATTTATTGGCTTGACGCTTTTTGCTTTCCAAACCAAATACGATTTTATTAGTTGGCAAGGCACTTTGGGAATGATCTTGTGGGGCTTGATTGGATGGGGATTCATTATGATTTTCTTCCCAGGAAACAAGGGGATTGAAAATGTCTACTCGTTCATCGGGGCCATTGTATTCAGTATCTACATTATCATTGATACACAAAAGGTTATGAAGACGTGTCACCTTGATGATGAAGTGATTGCTACAATTCTGTTGTACCTTGATATTATTAACTTGTTTTTATTCATCTTGCGTTTGTTGAACAACAACCGTGACGACTAGTATATATACCTAAATTGTCTATTTTCAATATCAGTTTTATCCAAGAATTCAATATCATCAACAATCTCTTGAGTTTGATCTTGCTCTCTTTTCATGTTTTCGCGTTTAAGCATCCATCCAATGAACAAGGTCAACGGTACGCATAAACATTGGGTAACCAAGATGACAATTTTTGCTGGATGATAGTCGGGTGCACTATATGCCTGAAATAATTGAGGTCCGATAATGTTTGCTACTGAAAATGCAATCATAACCAGAGCACTGCGCATAAATTTCTTGCTTGCCCCAGCTGTGTTTGCTCCTATCCATGCGTAAATTAACGTAACACACGAGGACCCACTGTATAACAAATACAACGATAACAAGTTACCAACCTTGTTGGGTGAAATGATCAACACAATAGCACCAATGATGGTTGGAAAAAACATTGATGTCAAAAACAAGGTGTGATGACCAAATTGAGCAACAAGTTGAGTTGTGGTTATAATTATTATAACAATTAAGGCACCAACGGGCAACTGTAGCAAAGCAGACTGGTAATTATTAAAGCCAAATGTTAATGTAATGGTTACACTAAAAGTCCCAATTGCACCAGTGACTATTTGAGAGCAAAGTGTTAAAAGGATGTAGAGCCAAGTAAACTTGTCAAGCACGAGTTCAAAAATTTGTTGTCTTTTGAACTTTGTGCTCTTTGTACCAGTTTGATTCACCCTGACAACATTTTCCAAAATATACAACCTTTCGTTTTCATTTAAGAACCAACATGTATGCACGTTATCGGGGAGAAAGAAAAACACAATGATCCCAAAGACAACAGTTATGACCCCCATTACTAGAAATAGGATCTGCCATGATTTGAATGTTGTACTCTTGATATGCTGGAACCCAAACGATAACAACCCACCAATTATTGTACCAACACCAGCCATTACCGACCAGATTCCCATACGTGCCACTTGTTGTCGTTTTGTATAGTACAATCCGCTAATGATTATCAAACCAACAGCACTGGAGGATTCAAATATTCCCAAGATTGTTCTCACCACCATCAATGACGCATACGTTGACGTTGCTGAATGGCATGCAACAACCACGCCCCATAGTATAATGAAAACACCCATGGTTTTGCCAAGGGGGAATTTCTGCAAACAATAAGTGACAAACGGCTCTCCAAAAATATAAGCAGCGTAGAATATTGTTGACAAATTGGCAAATTCGTTTCCTTTGAGATTCTCCTTGATGCCCATTGCCGCCGCATAATTGAGCAATAATTTATCCAAATATTGCAAGAGGTAGATTCCACAGAGTATGGGTAAAATGATCCAGTCGAGTTTACGAACAAGTTTACCTTGATCAATAGTGCCCACCTCTTTATGTTCTTTGAGGAATTCTAAAGCATTGTCGTAGGAGTTTGATTGGATGGAAATAATCGCCTCTTTGTCATTGGACTCGGCATCAAACTTATGATCACTCATGATTTGCTCTCGAAGGCTTTCATCAAGCCATAAGGGGGTAAAATTTTCATCATTTGTCTTACTCTTTATACTAAGTCGTATAAAGTTAGCCTTTTTTTTTCTTTTTCTTTTTTTCTTTGCCTGTCCTCCGGTTTTTTTGAAGTATGCGCTTACGAGGGTTTTGCAACAATTTACGAGACAGTCCAAACCGCCTTTTTAAGCCGTACTCACTAGCACTTTTTAGATCAGATCTGAATCTCAGTTTATGTCTTCCTTGTTAAAGCTCCAGTTACACTTTTTCCATATTACTTTGATTCCATTAAAGATAATTCTAAGATACAAACTATACTCCTTAAAAAATACACTCCCATCTACCAACCCACCTTTTTTGCTTAAACCAAAATGACTTTAACACTCTTTGAAACAAAAAAACAAACATAAAAAGACAAACAAAAATAATTTAATCAAAAAAATCCAACAAAATGACAAAATTGAAAAATAAAAAAAACAAGACAAACACGTCTAATAAGTAACATAATAATAAAAAAGACAAAACAATGATAGGATTAACACCAGGATTGAAAAAGTGTTCTCTTCCCAGAATTAAATAATAACTTACCAAATTTTAGATCCGGCAAAGCTTGAAATTGGACCTGTATTCATACTTGTGTTTTTGGCGGTACCCAACAACCCGGAACCGTCAGTGCTTTTAGCCCAGATTGACCCAGACGAAGCAGCAGTAGTTGGAGTAGAATTTCCATTGTTGTTGGCCTCATTCCAGATATTGCCCTGAGTAGGAGTGGTTGCTAAAGTGGGAGAGTTGAGGAATGGTGCACCACTCATGGCTGATACATTGGTGGGCAAAAACAAATTTGGGGGTGAGCTCTTGTCAATCGATCCTCTATTTTCAAAACTCTTGACTGAACCATTGTCAAACACTCGTTGATAACCAGTAGGTGTTGAATTTGACGAAGATGTCGAAGAGTTGACAGAGTTTGAGCTTCCATTCGACATCAAAAAGTTGGTCTTCAATTGGGACTGTCCACTTCCTCCTGTGGTATTTTGATCAAGTAATGATGAATTGTTGAGATCAGCAAATACTTGAGGAGGCGGTTGTGTGAATACTTGCGGCTGTTGGATGCTGTAAGAAGCAAACCCTTGTTCTTGAGCAGGGTGGGAATATCCTTGATACTTCTGTTGTTGAAGAAATTGATTTCCACTCATGGGTTGATACCGCTGTTGAGTATGTTGATGATGATGTTGCTGCTGCTGTTGTTGCTGATACTGCTGATATTGATACTGCTGTTGTTGAAGTTGTTGTTGCTGCAACTGTTGTTTCTGCTGTTGCTGTTGCTGTTGCTGCTTCTTCGCCAATGCAGCCTGCTGTTGCAACAAGAATGTTTGTTGTTGCTGGTGTTGAACTGCCGCTGCCGCTGCAACAGCTGCCAACGCATACTTATTTTGCTGCTGCAAATGATGGTTATTATACCCATTAGAACCATGGGCACCCTTGTTCATGTGGTTGCTATTGCCATGGTGATGGTTACCTTGGAATCTATTATTCTGGTGGTGATAGTTCTGATGATATTTAGCAGTTTGTTGTTGATTTTTCGAGTTATTGAGACTCACTTTGTTGATGACTTCCAACTGTTGGCTAAACGGAATCGACTCTGTTTGTCTTTTTGGGTAAATAGTTGTTGATGACATGATTTAAACAGTATGCATATAAAATTATTAGGTTGAACAAAATACAATACCAAACAAAACAAAACAAATAAAAATCCAAGACTATCCCAAATAAAAAAACCCTTCTTCTTGAAAAATAAATTAGATATAAAATTTAAACAGCCTGATGTGAATTGAAAGTAAACCAAAATGTGACTCTAAGAACAAGTAATGTGCAAGAACACTATGATAGGTGTAATCTTTTCAAATAAAAATAAAAAAACAAAGCCAAACAAAAATTTCAAAAGGTTTGTAGTGTTGTATATATATAACTTAATATATATATATATATCTCTTAGTACTCCCTTTTATTCAACCCTGTGGTGGTATTTGGCTTCTGCACCTACTTATTAAAACTGAAAATGAATGTGCTCTTTGGCAGTTGACTCTTTCTGTGTTGTTGATGAACCTTGGAGGTTTGAAAGTCAATTTTCTTTTTTTTTTTTTACTTCTCTAATTTCTGTTGTTCGTTTCTTTTTTTGTAATCTTTTTAATATTTAATATCCAATTAAATAATTGAATTATCAATATACATTTTTGAACAATACACGTACATCTTTAATTTCCACCCTTTTTATCAGGGGGTTAGTAGACATTATCTCTTTTCAATTATACAGTCACTCTATGTATATAACTATACCTTGTAATTATTATGAAAACTTCACTTACACACCTGTAGTAGATGCAGCGTTTTGCCACAGAGGAATTCCACTGGTTTTCTCGTCTGACTTTTCACCAGCAGCAGACTTGTTTTCAGCTGAAGGTAGTTGCCATGGGGGGATTCCTGCACTCTTGATTTTTTCATCAATTTCAGCCTCTGTTTTAGTTTCTGATTTAGCTCCGTCTTTCTGCCAGGCTGGGATAGATGAGGATAGTTCGTTTCCTTGGCCAAGTTCGTCGTGTAGTTCTTGCTCTCTATGCTTCATTTGCCAGGCTGGAATACCTGCTGAAGTAACTTTGCCTAATGACCAGCCTCCAAGACGGTCCCCTGATCCCTCTGGTTTAGGTGTTTCGTCCTTTGAGGTCGTGGCTGGCGCTTGTGATGGAGTGCTTGAAGCCTGTTGCGTTGTCGTTGCTGCAGATGGGGCAGATGATGCTGATGAAGGCGATGGTGCAGCTGTTGGAGCTTCATTTTTGGCTTTTGCACGTTTCAAGATCTCACTAGCAGATGGAATAGAAGATACAGGTGCTATATTTCTACCAGCATTGTTGGAAGCTCCATTCGATACACCAGCACCAGCACTACCGCCTGACGAGTTTGCTCCCCTCACTTGAATCAAGTTTTTCAAACTTTGCAATTCATCCTTAAGACCGATTAACTCATAATTGACATCTTCTTTGTTTAACTTCATATTCTTTTCAATCGAGTTGCTCAAGTTGTCAATTTCCAATCTCATCAACTTCAAATTATCGTCAAAGGTGAATTTATCCTTGTTATATCTGGCTAGGAAATCATTAATGTTTTCAATGACTGTATCTATATCCTTCAACTTTTCCTCGTTTGCAGTTTTAATCTCCTCTTGTTCTTTCGTTAATTGCTCCAAAATCTTGTCTATCTTGATAAACTCTTCATTAATCACTTCCTTATCTTGTTCGATTGATGACTGGCTTGGAGGAATTATCGATGGCACAAGATACTTGGTCACAACTTGGTATAATCCATAAGTTACACCTGCAGTGGCTGTTGCCATGATAAAATAATCCTTCCATGATCTTTCAGGTACGGGAGGCGCAACGTTATAGTAATCAATAGGCAACTGTTGTTGTTGTGGCTGTGATTGTTGGTGAGATGTGGTTGTCGTATTGCTACTCGATGGTGTAACGCTTGTCGAAGATGATGATTCCGGTTCGTTGACCCTCTTCAACGCTTCCTCAATCTCCTCCTGATTCAACCCTTTAGACTCCAAAAACTCCACTTTCTTAGTTAATGCTGCTGATGCCACATTAGGGTCCCTCAAAAAGGACACTGCACTATTGATCAACTCGTCATTCATGATCTTTGAAGAATAGATAGATTGTAGAAAGAAGCTTCTCTATCACTCAGATGATAAAATTTGGAAGTTTGTTCTCCGCATGAGGATATCTCGCCAATTTTTTTTTTTTCTTTTTCAATTTCGGTCCTTACTAAGCAGTGTTCCCGCGGATAAAAAAAACGATCCAAGCCAGAACAGAGAAAAAGAAGACAGGACAAGATAAAACGAAACAGCCTCTAATAAATACAGACATCTCTATATACAAGCTATGCAAAATGCCTCCTTACAAAGTTGCTTTTAATCAACTCTTCATAAATAAACCAACTGATCCCTGAACTGACACCTTTTCTGCCCAACCTTAAACTTAGTCCTCTAAACAAGTTTTTTACCCCACCATCTTCACGCAAGAGTGTCAAAACCGTTTTCCGTATAGATCCTCCATTGGTTAACTGTAGTCTTGTCTTGATGGCATCAAATGGAGCTGTTATAGTTGTGCAAGTAGTTGCTGCCAAAACTGCAGCGGTGGAGTTTATCAACCCAGAATGGTGAGCACCCCCGAGGTGTCGTGGAATCAATGTTGGCAACAAATCATTTTTAAACAGTTCGTAAGTCAAGACGTATAATCCAGCATATGGACAATCTCTTATCAATGTTACAGTCGAACCCCGAAAGAAGTTTTTGACTGAACCTTGACTTTTAATTGTTGATTGTCTGTCTGGCTGCAAACCGCTCTTGTCTAAATACACCCCCAGGATTCCCTCATACATTGAGTTATAGTTGTACAAGTTGCTCTCAAATCGGGTTTTCAAAACTGTTATAGGCATTGTTATGTAGCCAACAATTGCTCTCGCAACAAACCCAGTGGTTAAATTTTCCATTGGAGTCAATTTTGGTAAAATGGAAGATTCTGATTTCATGTCAACCTCTCCATTGCGACTATGCTCTGTTCGGTACATGGCCCATGTAGATCTCATTTTGGACAAAATGGTAAAGTAAAGACCTGCTCCAATTGAGGTGCGTAGAGCTGATGGCAAGGTCCCACGCCATAGATCCTTCACTTTTGACAATTTTTTCAATTCCTTAATGAGTGACGTTCTTACCTCATGTTTGTTGGTGTATTGTTGTTGCTGCAACCTTGTTTTCAATAAATCAAATGGTTGAAGTGTAATTGCTGAAATTAGCCCAGCCGAAGCCCCAGACAAGAGATGTGCTGTTGCATCGGGTGACTTTGTAGAGGGGATCTTTTTCGTTGCGTGTGGCGAATCATGGTGTGTGGGGGTAGAAGTTGCTATCGAAGACATTTAAGGGCCATGTGTAAACAAAAAGATTGCTAATTTTTAGGAAGCCAGTGAGTTTGTATATGTGTTATACAGGAATGGAATAAGGTCTGGTTGGGTGGTAACCAGTAAATTTTCAAACCGAGGTGTGTATCTGCTTGGGTGTAAGACTAAAAGTGGTTGTATATTACTGGGCGACAAAAAAAAAATAAAAAAGACAAAAAGGAAAACCCTTTGGGGAAAAAGAAAAGAAAAAGGTCACGTGAAGGAATAGGCTTTTATTTACAGATTTACTTTGGAAGAGTATACAGATCTAACTGCTTTTTCGACATCACAAATGCCGGTTCAATTTCATCCAAGTTGTACTTTTCGTAATCCCAAAGTGACAAGCTTGCAAGTGCTAAGCATGAATGCATAGGATCCGGCGTTGCTTCCGATGTTGAAGAAAATCCACCTAGTATGGTATTCTGAGTACAGTTCAAAAGAAAGTTCTCTGCTTGAGGTATATCTAGAAGTGATATGCTTTTAGGGTTCATCAAGTATAAGCTGCCACTGCACCACCAAGAGTAACAAGTGTCCCCAAGTTTGTTCTCCCTTCCATTAAAGCCACCAGTATCCAGATCTTTAAAATAATCATAATCGATATCTGAAAATAGCAGTTCAGGGTAACTGATCTGCCTATGTAGTAGCCAATTTCGAGTATTTGCGAGGTCCTTCACAGGGTACCCTAGAAGTTTAAGCGATGCGATGGCGCAGAACGTGAAACCTAGATGTGCTTCGTCTAGTACCCTAGAGCTAAATCCCCCATTTAAGCTCAACCTGCTTAGAATAAATTTCTGTAGTGATTCTAGATCGATATCCTCTTGAACATCTCCCCTAGAGAGAAGCAATTTTCGTATGAGCAAAGCCATATAGCATTGTCTTAGATCGGGTTCTCCAAAGCCATATTCGTTAAAAAACGGTACAAAGCCCCCCTTGTCAGGCCCGTCATTGACTTGACACTTTTGCAAATATTTGATAATTTTTGTTCTATTCAATCGCTTGAGATCTGATCGTAAAGTTACCAAGCTCGCCAATGCGAAAAAGCAAGCGGATATGTTGCCGTAATCGTACTCCTCTCCAGCATTACTGAAATACAGCGTTGACCTATATGTGGCATATGACTCTTTTTCAATATAAAACAGATCCCAGATGTAGTTCTCGTGATACTGACACTCCTCTTTGCTGAAGTTCAATTTCTTCAAAAGTTGAAGTCCTTGTAGACAAAAGAAAATAATGGCCAATTTATTTGAATCCTCCGACGCTGCTCCAGAAGGCAATGCGGTTAGACACCTATTGAAAAACTTCTCATGCTTGGCATGTAACAAGGACATGAAAGGAAAGAGCAAGCGACAGACGTCAAGTTTATGTTGCGTTAGACGTCTCTCAGGCAAATGCCATTTTTTTGTTTTTTTGTTTTTTACTTTTTCTATTTCCGTTCTTTTGGTTAATGTCACTTTTCATTGTTTCACGACATAAGCGGGTGTCCTTCCCACATGGCAAGGTAGCCACATAAATGCAAATGCGCAAACAATTCACCGGAAACAATGTCAGAATCCGAAATGCTATCCTCGTCTTTTTCGTTTTTTGTTTTTTTTTTTTTCGCCTGTCTTTACAATAGGAGCGTTGGTGTGGTCAATTATCTCCAACTCGGATTGTGGGACAACCATAGATGCAGCCAGCGCGCTAAACAAACATCTTTGTGGCTAGAGGCTGCGACTTTGTAGGAGACTCCAACCCCCTCCCCCCACCAAAGCACTCTAGGCAACCCTTTGCTCTCATAGTGTATTGTAAAACGACAAAAAGCAACTTAAGAAGTTACATTCTTTAACTTGAATAACGCCAAACCTGTATAATGGACTAAAAAGTACATATTTTGTATGCAGGCATATCCACACCTCGTGGGCCGATCTTTTTTTATGCGAAATGTTTGTTGAATGGGAGAAACGTGGCCTCATTGGTGGGGTTGCTATATATATATACATATACATGAGTGTGTGTATGTGTGTGTATTCCATTATCAAATCGTGAATTTCAGTTTCAGTTTCAGTTTACTGTTATCTATTCCTTTTTGGGATTTAATTTACCTTTTAAGGGGAGTGATAGAGGGGGGAGGAGATTTATTCAACAAAGGTTAGATTATAGTCTACAATGGCACAATCTCAGCATAGCCTCGTACTTATTCTACAGAGAGAGGAAGCGTGGGCTTTATTCTTTGGGTACCTTAGTTTGGTTGGTTGTGGCAATGCCAATAGGCTGTGTAACCTTTGTTGGCCTGAGCGTTGGTACTTGTACTCCACAGTTCTTTCTTTTATGAATCGTATCGGTACTCAATTTCCCTTTGTAATTTTTTTTTAAAATGTTTGCGGGGGAGAGAGGATGTATGGGGCCCTGTAAGTGGGATTTAGGTTCCTGTAGTGAAGAAAGAAAGATTATATTTACACACAAATGCTATAAATGCCAAGAGATGAACTATTTTGGGCGGCTTGTGACAAACAGTTGAAATAAAAAAAAACAAGAAACAAAAACAAAAAAGAAAATAGAAAAAGGATCTCAGCCACCAACTGTACTAGTACGACTGTTTAAACATAGTGGGGGGACGATACTTAAAAGTTAATTTTTCTCTCACTGCTGTGTGTGGCTCTGTGACTGTGTGTGTGTTTATGGTTATACGTAACAATACAATATAAATATAGGGGGTATGTGTGAGTTACTAAACTCCCAAAATTCAAAATACATTTGTGTCACATTTACCTTTTGTCTCTTTTTTCACAACCACAACTGTTCCCTCTAAAGCAAACAAAATTTAAAACAATAAAACTTATTTAATTTGCCTTATTACACTAATACTAACAACACTAAAATTACACCTTAATTTTATGTATATGCACAACAGTTAGAATAAATGAAACAACAACCACAAGTGTAGACATTCTGATTCCTATTTTTAGGTCTTTTTTTGCTCTTTTCCCGTCTAATTGAAAGTCTCATAACTTATCATTTTTGACGCGTTGGGGGCGATATAAGCTTGCTGTTCTGCGTTGTATAAATACCCTCGTATGGAACCCTATTACTTTTATAATGTCTTTCACAACTCTCCTTTTTCTTTTCTTTTCTTTTCTGTTCTAACTACGTATAACATACTCAATTAACCATATACACTCACAATGAAGGTCTCAACTTTGACAATTATTTGCTCAGCAATCCTTTCAGTCAACGCCACTGCCTTTGACGGCTCTAAAAAATTGGGCGTAGTTAAGAGAGCCGACGGTGACTCGTCTTCAGAAGCCGCTGCTACTGGCTCAGGCTCAACTGAAGATTCTGAGTCAACCGAAGATTCTGATTCTACTGCCACTGGGGGCGGATCTGACGAGACTGAAGATTCAAGCGCTACTGAAGGCGGATCTGACGAGACTGAAGATTCAAGCGCTACTGAAGGTGGTTCCGAAGAGACTGATGACTCTTCTTCCACCGAAGAGGGTTCCGATGAAACCGAAGACTCCAGTTCTACCGAAGGAGGTGAAGAAGAAACTGGAGATTCTACTGCTACTGATGACTCAGAGGAAACTGGAGATTCTACTGCTACTGATGATTCAGAAGAAACTGAAGAATCTGGCGCTGCAGGTGGTGGTTCGGGTGGAAGCTCTACCAGTGGTGGTTCCAAGAGTTCAACCAGTGGTGGTTCCAAGAGCTCTACCAGTGGTGGTAGCGGATCCAGTGGAAGCTCTTCTTCCAGTGGTAGTAGCGGTGGATCTAGTGGAAGTTCCTCTGCTGCCGGTAACGGTCTTTTGGCCAACCCAGGTGCTGGAATGGTTGCTTTCGGAGCTATTGTTGGAGCTTTGTTGATCTAAAAGTGTTTTTTTGTTTTGGGGTAAATGTTCATGCTTTTTCACTTGAAGTTAGATTACAGTTTTATAATTTTGTTTAATTTTTTTTGTATTCAATTTAATACCCTTTTAAAGGAGAAGCTACTCTACTGTAAGATTAGGCAGGTCTAAATTGTTTAAGAACAATCACTTTGCGCTAGCGCTGTTAGGAAATCCATCTCGTAAGTTTTTATCTCTGCATTCCTTTGCTGCGTGACAACCGAGCAAATAACGGGTAATAGATCGCCGTGTGCTTTTTCAATCACATTACTACGGCAATAAAATTCATTAGCAAAACCGACAACAAACTCATTCTTTTCCTCGTACAACTTATCGGCGTTGGTTGCAATTTTATCATACCATCTTACGTTAACAGGCTTTATTGCTTGATCATTGGGGCATTGAGTCACAAAATAGTCATTTTCATTAAATTCGTCCTCGGCATCTAACTGAAAGTGGAAATCAGCTAGATTTACATTTAATCCACACCCAAGAAACTTGGTGAATGCTTCCTTCAAGGTCCAAAAATGATTGAACTTGAAGTAGGAGTCAAGCTGATCCAATTCCGACTTGTTAAAAACTGGTGCAAACTGCTCCCGGTAGTTTGTGGGGGAGATATTCTGCATCGAATGTGACAAATCTATTCCAACTGGAAATGAATTAATGACAACGACAACGACATTATTTGATGAGGATGTATTGAATTCAAGCCCTTCAATGCATGGCTTCCCATATCTGTTATACTCAAACGATAAGTTCTGAAACGCTGGTTTTCCCAAGACTGTATTCAAGGTATACCTCGTAAACAAAGTTGAGATCAACTGTTTATACCTGAGTGGTGGCACCAACTGCAGAATCTTCAATTGTAATTTTAAATCATCCAATAGTCTTAGTGTCAACTCAAAATTGAAGTCGTTTTGTAAAAACTCAACTAGATTGGGAGTGATTCGTGTGTATACAACAATTATACTATTTTCAAAGTCATAGCTGCCAACCATTCACGTATACTCGTGGAGATAAGAGATGTTGATGATTTATCAAAATTTTTTTTTCTTTGTATTGACTACACACTACTTATTCTCAGCAGTATAGAATTTAAAATTGTGATTGTCTTCATATGGATGCTCCTTAGCATATTCAAAAGCTTCAACAATCACCTTTTTCGCCTTTTCAAACGAGTCTTGTGATATTTGATAATGGAAGGAGACTCTTCCAGAATATATTTTCACTCCATACTTGTCACTAATTTCAATCAACTTATCAGGATTGATTTTGTTAGCAGCAATATCAACAAACACGAAATTCGTATCCACTGGATGCTCCAATACAATGCCTTTCTCTTTGCACAACTGCCCCAATTCTTTCGCCATATCGTGCGTTCTTTGCAATTTTGAATAGTTTTCGTCAATGGCCACAATCGCCATACTGGCTAGCAATCCACTTTGTCTAATACCACCACCATTCTGCTTCTTGAAATGGTTGGCTTTCAAGATAAACTTCTTGTCTCCCACCAACACCGTTCCAATTGGTGCACCCAAGGTTTTCGATAAACACAATGAAACGCTATCAAAATATTTACTATACTCCTTCAACGAAATCCCCGACGCCACACTGGCATTCCACAATCTAGCTCCGTCTAAATGTAATCTGACATCATTCTCTTTACAAAACTTAGAAATCCTTTTGATTTCATCCAAGGGGAAGACCATCCCGTGCAATGTGTTTTCAAGACAAATCAATTTAGTGGGTGCACCATGAATTTCGCCATCATCAGGAATAAAATTGGGTAAAATATCATCTTCCAAAGTCAAGTGGACACCATTCTTGGGCTTAATTGGCTGGGCCATGGCTTGTGTTAAAGTCGACATCCCGCCGGCTTCGTGAACGTATACGTGTCCACGGTGGTCACACAACACACTATACGGAGGCTGCAATAGGTTGACTCTCATGGCCAATTGATTGGATAAAGTCCCACTCACACAATACAACCCTGCTTCTTTGCCAGTCATGTCGGCAACTTTTTTCTCCAATTCGATTGTTTTGGAATCTTCGTTATAGACTGCATCTCCAAGCGTCGTTGTGGCTAAGGAATTGATCATGGATAATGTAGGTGTGGTGAATGTATCGCTCCGGAAATCATTGTGTGCTGGGCTTTGCTGAGTATATAATGAGAAACCCATCTTCAAAAGGGGTGGGGCGGATGAACTTACCTCAAGATGAAGGATGGCTATCAATTAGTCACTCCTCAACGTTGCAGTTTCGAAAAACTTCATGCCGCACGGAGTAAATGGTAGCATTTTAATCAAAGGCGGAACATTAAAACGAAACTATGCATACTCTTACAAGTGCTCAACCAGTCCAAGTCAGTAGTAGGAGCTTATATGAACTAACTGAAGAAAAATTAATGCATACCATGGTATTTTTAACAATTTTTTTCTTTGCTTATGACCTTCCAGAATGATCCCACTTGTCGGAAACTCATAACATACACTCATGATAGAGTATTGTCATTTACCAGTTAAAGTTTGAGCTTGGCATCCATTCGGCGTTTGTGCTTTCTGTTTACGGCCTTGGTTTTACCAAGAGTAACGACTGCCGCTAAGGGACTAACTAAAGGAAGTTCAATTTTGTGTCATCATAAACTTTATTGATTACTGAATCTTTCATCAGAAGTATAAGTCAGTTAAACCAGTTGCAAAAGATTTCAAGTTTGAGATGAAGAAAGGTTTACAGCTTCAAGTGAAAATGATATCAATTGAGGCAATTTCCGAAAATTATAGGTTTATCAGCCCTAAAATTGAGTGTGAAATGACAGGGGGGAAGCAAACGCACATCTGCAAGTTCATGCAACGGCATAAACTCAAACTGGCCCAGACCTGTAGTCTGAATGCTAATTTTCATTGCAAAGAACTGTGAGAGCAACTAGGTTTGGTGCAACTTGACACAACAAAAACTGTTGTAGCGTATACCGACGCAAATTTTCTTGGTTGATCAGCAGAATGAGAACATATCCCAAAACCCAAGATTAGGAAATCGACAGTAAAATGATTCCTCAAAACTTAGGAGAGATTAGCGGCTCCCCAAGAAACTTAACTCGGCGAAAACTCACAATAGAAAGAGAAGCATATAGTCTCCAAATGAGGTAAGTAACATTAAGTAAATGTGGATGGATGTACTTCCAGTAGTAGCTTATATAAGCTTTGTATTGCATATTGTCGACCTCCTTTTGCTCTTTTTTCCTAATTCAGCTATGGAATGCGCTTAACCTCGACACAAAAACCAAATTATTAAAAGATAAAAAAATAAATGGAGATTATATACAACCCAATTACTTCAAAACCATGCTATAAATCGTACTTCAATTTCCTTAACTCCCCCATTTTTTTTTTTCACTCATTCCACTATATCTTTGCTTTTCTTCCAATTCAACCATATATTCCAGAAACAATGACAATCCCTTTAGAAAAAGAGGTTACTTTACCAGACGGACAAAAATTTACATTGCCAACTGGTTTATTCATCAATAATGAATTTGTCAAGTCCAAGAGCGGCCACACTTTAGATTCGATCAATCCTGCCACTGGAGAAATTAACGGTACCGTATACGCTGCTGAAGCTGAAGATGTTGACGTGGCAGTCAAGGCAGCTAAGCAAGCTTTCAAGTCGTGGAAAAAAGTTTCGGGAGTTGATAGAGGTATCTTGTTGAACAAGTTGGCCGATAAGATGGTGGAGCAAAGAGATTTATTGGGGTCAATTGAAGCTTGGGATTCAGGAAAGACTAAGGAACAAAATGCCGTTTACGATATTGACGAATGTGTTAATTGTTTTAGGTATTTTGCCGGGTGGGCTGATAAGATTACTGGAAAGGTTATCCAAAACGATCCGAATAAATTGGCATATACTGTTCATGAGCCATTGTCTGTTGTCGGACAAATTGTTCCATGGAATTACCCTTTGGCTATGTCTGCATGGAAATTGGCTCCAGCTTTAGCTGCTGGTAATGTCGTTATCTTGAAAACGTCAGAGATTACTCCATTGTCAATGTTATATACCGCCAAATTGATTAAAGAGGTTGGTTTCCCATCCGGTGTTGTAAATATCATTTCAGGTTATGGTAAGACTGCCGGTACAGCATTGTGTGTCCATCCTGATGTTGCCAAGATTGCATTTACTGGATCCACTGCTACTGGTAAATTGATAGCCAAGACTGCAGCTGACACTATGAAGGCTGTCACTTTGGAGTGTGGTGGTAAATCGCCATTGATTATTAGAGCTGATGCCGACTTGGACCAGGCGGTCAAATGGGCCGCTATTGGTATCATGTCCAATCAAGGACAGATTTGTACTGCCACCTCAAGAATCTATGCTCATGAGTCTATTTACGAAAAGTTTGTTGATGCTTTGTCTACCCATGTGCAACAAGAGTACAAACAAGGTTCTATGTTTGATGCCGATGCAGTTGTTGGACCACAAGTTTCGGAACAGCAACGTGATAAAGTGTTGAAGTATATTCAAATTGGTAAGCAAGAAGGCGCCAGAGTTGTATTGGGTGGTGAAAAGAATGCTGAGGGTGAGTTATCAAAAGGTTATTTCATTAAACCAACAATTTTTGCCGATGTTAAACCATCAATGAGAATTGTTAATGAAGAAATCTTCGGTCCGGTTGTGTCTATTGGTAAATTTAGTTCTGATGAAGAGGCAATCGCGTTGGCTAATGGCACTGAATATGGTTTAGGTGCCGCCATTTTCACTAGTAATTTGACTGTTGCTCATACTATGGCTGCTGATATTGAGTCTGGTATGGTTTGGATCAACTCATCTAATGATTCCGATGTCCATATTCCATTTGGTGGCGTTAAGATGTCGGGAGTTGGTAGAGAATTGGGAGAATATGGTTTGGATATGTATACGCAAGCAAAAGCCATCCATGTCAATTTAGGAACTAAGTTGTAATGTTGTATATAGAAGTACAATTGAGTTGATGAAAAAGTTTTATGGTTCTGTTTTAGTTGAAACGTTGTAGAGAGATTGATGTAGAGAGATTGATGTAGAGAGATTGATGTAGAGAGATTGATGTAGAGAGAATAACTTGTTGAACATGGTTAGCTTTTGTTGTGGGTTTAGTGACAAATGCAATATGTGGGGTATTGGCGCTACCTGAAAGATCATTTAGGAGAAGATTCTCGAGTATATTCTCTTGACGAGGCAAAGATAGGTGAATGAGAGAAGTGGGACATCAATTCTTGGTCCTGGCTCGTCTTCAAATCTGCATTTTAAATGTAGCCAATTTTGTCTCATCAACGGATACATGTCGCAGTAAACATGGGAAACATCGTGTCGTCGCAAAGGTTTCATTGAAGAACATTACATTTAAAGCAAGTGGGAGATAAGAGCTTGTTCTTTTTTTCATTACTATGGGCATAGGAGAGGAAGTTGCAGAGGCGTAAAGTGATTTAAAGTAAAAAAAAATTTGGTTTTGGTTAGTTCTTGCATAAGAGGAAAAACCTACAAACTTGGAAGATCAAAAACTGATACGAAAAGGATACAGTCCAGGTTTTGCAAATGCATTTATTATAACCTTTCTCATACCCAAAGACAATTCTTTTAAATATACGATACTGTTGTATTGCCTTTTTGTAGAGGAATGGTGCTCGAATAAAATCAAAGATCTTTTGTCGTTTTTTTGTTTTACACTTTTGTCCTATTATCGGTTGGTACTTTTTGTGCACTTCCGATTCTTCTTGACTTTTTGTAAATTTTTCACATGACCTTTTCTGTTATTGTTCAGACTTAATTGTACTTTTGTTGTGATGTTGAATTTAAACAAACACCGTGGATCAGTTACTTTAACACCAATCCCCAATTCGTACAAATGACAGAACATAAGAAGTGCAGAAGTTATTGTAGATATCTTTTTCACACTTGTACCGTTACATGTAAGAAGATTATCCTTTTTGCTTCCTTCTCTTCTTTTTTTTTATTTATTTTTATTTTTCCGTTGCTATTTATATGCAGTACAATAGTATTATAGTTTTTAGAGATGTTTTTTGTTACCATTCATTCAAGTTAGAATTAATCCTAATAATACGAGAAAACTAATATATATACCCGTATCCACTTTTTTTGTTCTTTTCCCAATTTTACAATTGACGTTGTTTATTATTAGGTTGGAAATATATATACTCCGAGGAATTATTCTAATTGAAGTGAATCTTTATGTCAAAGTACTAGCCACAAATCTTAATATAAGTTGAAATACAGAGGAAAGAAAAATTGACTGTTTCAAATTGTTTTTGTAAAACCAACAAACATCGACACACACTAGACCATCAAAGCTCCCCCAATGTCTTCATCAAAATCATCACAACAATTATTAATCAACCAATTGTATTTGTATTTGAAGAACAATGGTCTTGATGAATCAGCACAATCGTTGCTTAACGAGACTAAACTGGCCCACCTAACACAGCGACAGCAGAATGAACTACAATCAGGAGATGAGTTCTTGTATGAATGGTGGAATACCTTGTGGAGTTTACAAAGTGCAATTAACCCACAGTTAAACCAGGTACTTAATAGTCATAACATACCGTCTCCACAACAACAGTTACTTTTGCAGCAGAGGATGATTCAAAGACAGCATCAACAACTACTACAACAACAACAGCAGCAGCAGCAGCAACAGGAGCAACAGAATCAACAGCTGTTGACTTTTCAAGCAGCTCAACACCAGTTGCAAACCCCCTCGCAAATGTATCTACCCCAACAATCTCAACAACCACTTTCGGCCCAACAAAATACATCAGTTCCCCCGACACCCCAAACCGGGAAACTTACAGGACCATCTATTGGTGCTTCACGCCAACCGAGTCAACAGCAAGATCTGAATCAAAATGGACCTCAACCGTCAAATCAACGCCCGAAACCACAACAAAACGGAGCACTGCAACAACAGCAGCAACAGCATCCATCACGTCGAAAATCAGTTGCTAAAAGCAAAACCCAAAACGATAATGCAGGTGAACAGCCCCCCATGCCTGCTCAACAATCATCGACAAAACCACCCTTATCTAAAAATAATTCACATATTCAGCCCAATACGGTTCCACCAAATATAAATCAAACACAGCAACAGGCGAGACTACAACAATTGAAACTACAATTTCAACAACAAGCACTAATGCAACAGCAGGTACAACAGCAGGCACAACAGGCACAGCAACAAGCACAACAAGCACAACTACGGGGAATAAATGTTTCAAACAACCAAAATATGCAGCAAGTATCACCAAATAATGTACAACAATTCCCTCCACAACAAACACCAATACCAGGAGCAGAACAAAATGCAAAGACCAGCGGACCTGGTATTAACCCAAATATTAGCCAAGCGCAACAACCACCACCATCTCACCACCAAAGTCCCCAGGGCCAAATACGTAATCAAGATCAAGCCCAAATACCTAACCAACCCCCAAATCAAGCAAGATCTTTCAATCAAGCGGTCCCCACAGGTAATCAAAACCAGGGAATTTCACAACTGAATGCAAATCAAAAGAACCAACCGTCAGTTTCAAAGAGAAATATGCAATCTCTTGATGCTTACCAAATGACATTACTACAGATGGAAAATCAAAATAATCTACAAAGACAAAGATTTTTACAACAGCCACCTCAACAGCCACATCAGACTCAGGGATTCCTGCAACAACACGCACCACCCACAGTAGACGAAAATGCCCATTTTGAAGCGTTGTTTTCGTTAGATCAGCCCCCTAATTTTCCAGCAACCGGTGGTGCACTATCTAACCTACAGCAACAAGCACAATCACTTGGCCCCTTTGGAGAGCATGGAGTATCAGCTCAGTCAGGACAGCAACATCCAACAGGAAATACAAAGATACCACAAGACCAATTTGTAGCACAACTATCTACGGGGGATAATATTATTGATGACTCCTTTTTCTCGTCAAATATCCTACTTGATGATTTCAAGCCGTCTGATATTGACGTTGACCATGTATTTAATGAAAACAATACAGGTAACAATAATGACAATAATGGCGATGGAATGATGGATAATGAGACGAAATTGGATGATATTGGAGACACATTACGAAAAGACTGGTTAAGCTCGATGGGGTCAGGTCCAGGATTTGACTAATTATTAATCATAATGCACTGTTTAGCTTTACATAATTCTGTCTGATTTATAGTGAGGAGTCTTACCTGAAAAGGAGAACCCCTTTAGTGAGGCTATTAGTAAAAGTATCTATTCTCTACGGAAGGATAAGCAATGCACGTCGTACCACCCCACAATTACACTCTCCTGATATGGTTAGTAATAATAGAGTCCAATAAACTAAACCTTGCAGAAGAGTAATAATAAATTATCATATGCCCGCTTAAAACAAAGCGCATCGGAATTAAAAACAAGAAGAGGAAATTGTGTTCAAGTACACTACCCTCTTTCTTCTTTCTCCATATTTTTTATTTTCTCTCTCTCTCTCTTAAAAAAGAATAAATCAAAACACACACACGTAGAGAGAGACAAACCCAAATTTTACTGGTAACTATATCCTACTAACCCAATCTTAGTAGGTATAAGCTTAAAGATATACACCCAGCTGGACTGAGTTTATCAAAGCAAAAGCATCAAACTATCAACAGCATTATACCCCCCACACACGTACATTTCATTGAAAGAAAACAACACCCACAAGAACAAGAGGGAAGAGGCTTGTGTCTACGATACATGGCGTGATCAACTACAAACGACACTGACATATTCAACACAATATGAATTTTGATAGATTCAACCCCTTGTCGAGTAACTTCATTTACAATAAGCAGAATACACCAAATGAACCGCAACAGGATGCAAAGCTTAACGTAAACTCAGAAGTAAGTGATTGGGGGATTGAAGAAGATCTTACACCAACTTCAGCATTAGGCACAACATTTTCCAACTACTTGTCTCCTACTGCGTCATCTACTACAACCACAGTACATACAAATACTGTACAGCTACCTCCACCACCACCACAACCGCCTTCTATGAGTAATCGCCAGCTGAGTTATAGTAGCTATAGTGCTTCTGGAATTTTGCATGATGACACTTTTTTACCACCACATCCGATGTATATTCACCACCACCAACAACAACAACTGCATCAGCAGCAACAGCAACAACTGCCTTTCAAGCGAAGGAACTCGATAAATCTGAACTCATCACTGCAATTTAATCAACAACACTACCCCTATCAACTGCAAAATCACCATCCGCTATATCTATCACATTCACATGCAAGTCAGTTGAATTTATTACAGTATTGTCAGTACTCGGGGAATGTAATCTACCCCAATACGGAAACATTGTCAAAGTTTATTGAAAAGTATCTATCAATGGAGCACAAATTGGGAGAGTTTTGGGAGAAATTCAAGTATAACCTTATAATATCCAATTTGCTTGAAGATTCAATGATTCTTTCCAAAAATGAGTCGAGTCTACAATTGCTTAATTCAACCCCCATATCAGCTCCATTAAAGCATTTGAAATTTACCATCAACGACGATGGTACTCGATTGATTGTGTTAAACACATCCTATCAAGTCAAATACAATTACCGTTGTAACAACTTCACAACGGTGATTCTTATTATAAATTTAATCATTTATCTATTGAAACAACAACAATCGGCTTATCTTGGTCGACAGCATATGACTTACGAGTCGCAATTTGCGTTGTTTAAGTTCATTCTTGCTGTATCGTCTAAATTGATTAAAATTCGGAAATTTAAAACAATTGTTGAAACAAACAAGATTTTAGACTTGTTGAATGATTTTCTAAAGTTGAATTATATTGCCAATAAGAACTTGATACTTAATATGGTGAAACTAAAAAGTAAGAAGTTGGATCTAGTTGCTGGGAATTCAAACTCAACTCATTTATTAAACTCACTATCCTTTTTAAATTTAACTTTGAGAAGCTTGATTGTGAAGCTCCTCCCCCATATTAATGGAGATTTATTTCAACAATATTGTACTATAAATAATATCAATGTTGGCATACTTACGCAAGAGTTTGATAATGAAAATCAAGATGAACTTGAAAAAGTCATTTTTAATATCAACAAGTTTAATCAACTACGGAAATTGCTCATTTGTCAGTTAATCACGATCAATGAAAATGCGAGTTGCAATTTTTTCACCTTGAATTTGATGGACCAATTCCAAACTGATGAGGTTGAGAGTGACTTGTCTACTTTTGAAAAAGTTGAACTTTTACACGATGTTCTTATTGATCATAACGATTTAGTGAGAACAATCAACAAAATGTTTACTGAATTTGATACAGTTCTTCAGCCACAAGAGCAACTACCCAGTAGTGACGAGGATATTACGTTTAATTTGCAACTGAATTTGTTTCAATTCACTTCGCGAGTCAACAAGTTTGCTCACAATTTGAGTTATTTCAACAAGTATAACCAATCGCTAAGTTTGAACAATATTGAGGAGCAGTATGAAAAGTTGGCTATATTTCAACAATTTCATGATGAATTAAACCAACTAAAATTGCTCCACAAACATGCATTGACAGAGTTGAATCAAGAGATTAATCCTGATTATATTGTGACAAACTCACCAAAATCAACAGTATCTTCATCACCACAGATAAACCAAGCGGCCTCATTCAACCTCAAGTCATTTCAAAATCCATCAATAAAGAAACGATACTCGTTACCTCCAAACGTCACGTCTTCAGCTTCAGCTTCTTGCACGACTCCTACTTCAAATGGTACAACAACTACGTCGTCAGCATCTCCATCAAAGTCTCTACCAGCGACAAATCACCCTACTGTTTCATCAAAACCTAAAAAGTATAAGCGACTATCAACTGGCTTACAATTGGGTCTTCTCACTGTCTTCGAAGAAAACGGTGATCGATCACCGGCCAGTCCTGCACCAATCGCAAATGGTAATCGAAACTCTTTATTATCAACTACATCAGACCCGGCAACAATGGTACGGACTTCGAGCTTACTCCCACCCCACAAAGTTTCCTACGATGATAATTACATCAATATTCTCCCCACTAATCAATTTGAAAGCTACAACAAGTCGACATTGGATCAATTGATATCAAGTAAAACCAAAAACCGATATTCAAATCAGAATAATCGCAATTCGATAAGCATGAGTCGCTTTTCTTTAAATTCGGTACAGAGTAACATATCGGGGATATCTGATTTGATTTCGACGCAAATGACTAGTTTCAATGGCGATGATGGTGTAGGTGAAAAAAGTGAACCCAGTTTGGAATCACGCATCGATCAATCCAACAATGGACAACAACAAGAGTATGACAAATTGGATGTAAATGAGTCCTTCTCGGTGGTGGAAAATTCCGATCCTGGTCAAATGACTCAGGAGGAATTGAAAATGAAGTTGGAAGCCAGCTTTACCAAAATTTACAATTTAGAGGCCGAGAATAAAAAGCTAAGCAAGGAAAACAACTACAATAATGATAGTCAAGGCAATGGAAATGCCAATGGTGTTCTTCATGATGTCACCAATGAACACCACCTCGTTGAGCCCAATATACCCAATGCTTCATTTCTCAAGGATTTGGAAACGAAATTGAACGCGAAATAATATTGTATTATACCCCTCCCACACAGCTCATTCTTTTTATAGAAGCAATTTTTAATATTTAATCGTTTTATACGTGCCTTAATTGTATATATTTATTGATAAGACAAAATACTACATGCTCAGATTTCAAAATGACAAGAAATCGTTTCATTAATCTATATACCCCTCTTTTCAATTATTCGACCCTTCATCATTATTATCGTCGCCAAGCAACAAGAATGCGGCATCCTTTCTTGAGTTTTTAGTTTCTTCTTTACTACTAGTTTTACCCTCCATAACAACCTGCTGCACTTGTTCCTTTTGTTTAGCCCGATCTCTCATTCTTTCCTCAATGGTATTTCTCGTTAGCAATCGATACACGGTAACTTGACGCGTTTGGCCCAACCTGTGAGCACGGTCCATGGCTTGCGAATCAATAGTCGGGTTCCAGTCGGAATCATAAAATACGACGGTATCAGCCGCAGTTAAATTGATACCTAACCCACCAGCCCTAGTACTTAGTAAAAACACAAAGATTTCGGGCTTGGTTTGCCAATCGTGAACCAAGTCTCTTCGATCATCCAATTTTGACGAACCGTCAAGTCGAATATATTTATGTTGACGATATGTAAGATACTCTTCCATTAAATCCATCATTTTGGTCATTTGGAAATAGATAAGCACTCGATGGTCGTGTTGTTTCAAATTGACCAATAATTCATCCAATTTGGCCAATTTACCCGATTCGGTTATAAATCGATCCATCGATGGCATGCGAATGTTGGAGTAATCGTTAAATTTGTTGATTGAATCGGGCAACATATTAGTTGGCGGGTATGAATCAATGGGGATTTGGTCTTGCATGTACCGGTACTCTTCATTTAATGACATTGGTGCTAGTGATGACCGCAAGTGAGAGTTGAATAACTCTTGCTTATACTTGGTTTCAAAATTTATTGATGGACACGCTACTGTCACTGGTGGAGCTGATGCTATTGGTGTGTATGCTGGATCTAATCGGTTCAAGTACATGTCATCATAAACAGTATTGGAAACGGAGCAAAGTTCAGATAAGACGAGTGAATTGGCAACTTGAGACGTATTGTGATTCAAATTGTTGGCAATTAATAATTTGGAGTGGGATGGAATATGCTCCCCTTCGTAAAGGTAGTTGACTTTATCGAGTTTTGACCCATTGGTGTACTTGTGCAAGTCAATCGCCCGGTCAATAACACTGGATTTAGCAATAGTTTGTATCTCACTTAATGGCGTATCAATGTTATCGACCCATTCCAAATCCCTGGCATTTTCAGGGCTATAGATATTAAACTTTTCATACAATGAATTCAAGGTATTCTTTTTGTAATTGGGCGTCAACAACTCATCATATATCAACCTAGGTAACTCAAAGTTAATCTCATTTTCTGTCGAATAACTATACTCCAAATCATTACCTTCTCTCAAGAACGAGCTGGTTTCGGCAAATTTTGCAAATGAAAACGGCGACTTTACATCGGCTCTTTCAAATAAATCAGGATGATTACAAACTTTTCTAAATTGCATCACTAAGTTAACCAATGAGGTTGAGTCCTCTGAGCTTGAATTTGCTGCATCCAATAGATCCATTATAGAAATTTGTGATTTCAACATTTGGTAATATTTCTTCTGTCTATTTGTTAAATCACAGAATAAATCAATCTCCACTTTATCGCCCAATTCACTTTGCACATTCTTCTTGATACGTCTCAACATAAATGGTTTCAAAATCATATGCAATCTCCTCAATTGTTGTTCATCTAATCCAGTGTTTGATTGTGCATGACTTTCAATATCTTTGGAAAACCAATCACTAAATTCGTCGTGTGAATCAAATAACGTCGGCATAATGAAATGCAATAATGCCCACAATTCTTGCATAGAATTTTGAATCGGAGTACCTGTCAACAATAATCTGTTACGACAACTCAATGACAAAAGTGATTTCCATCTCGACGATTGAGATGATTTGATAGCTTGTGCCTCATCAAGAATCATATACTGCCACTTCATCTTTTGGAAATAAGCAATGTCGGATACAATCAATTGGTAGGATGTAACCAAGACATGGAATGGCGCATCCTTGTCATACCTTAATGATTTTCTATCCCAGAATTTACGCAAAACCTTACGATCTTTTGCATGACCCCAGTAAGGCAAAACTTTAAACTCGGGTACAAACTTGGAGATTTCTTGTTGCCAGTTGTGTAATGTCGATGAGGGTGTGACAACCAAATACGGGCCCCAGATATTGTGTGTCTCTGCCAAGTATGCCAACACGGATATACTTTGCACTGTCTTACCTAAACCCATCTCGTCTGCCAAGATACCATTAATACCTTGCTCGTATAAATTTGCCAACCAATTCAATCCCTTGATTTGATATTCCTTTAATGTACATTTCAACATATCTGGTTGCTCGATACTAATATCACCAAGTAACGTTGGGTTTTGAAAGTTCATCTCCTCTCCGTTGGTGTCTGGATTCTTGAATGGATCGGAGTCATCAAATTGTTTGGCCTTATTCTGGGCACTAACCAATGCATTTTGTGCATTTTGTGCTGCTGCCCTGTGCAATGCATCTTCATCGTCATTATCGAAATCCAATGTCAGAATATCATTATTAGCTGCATCAACATTGGAAAATTTATCCAAATGTTCTTTTGATTGTGCTTTAATCCTTGGATCAGAATCACTGCCTTCAATTTCATCAGTCTTGATTTTCTTGCCAATGAAATGCGAGTACAACTCAGTTTGAGTAATCAAGAAATTCAACTTTCTCGATTGACGTTTAGCTTCACGATCCTCTTCTTCCTTCTTGGCCTTATCAACCAACTCCTTCTCGTGTTTCTTTTTCAATTCCCTTTCAATTCTCTCGTTACGTTTCCAGAAGTTGAACATCTCTCTCATTGCTCTCCTGGCTTTCGTAGTTAAATCCTTTTGATTCTTGGTGTTTCTCAACTGCCACCTCTTGGCCTCCCTGGCAGCTAATATGCATGTCTTTTTCAAGTTGATTAGTTTAGCTTGAGTCGATTGTTGCATGAGCCTGCTTACTTTCGGTCCATCCTTTCGTGACATATCCTTCCATATGGCGACATAAGTAGTATCATATTGTCTCATGAATGCCTTGTGCTCTTTTGAAGTCACGCTAGAAGTTTGAGCTGGTTTCGCTTTGCCGTCCTGCTCCACTTTCAATCTCTTGACATCGCCTCCTGGCTGTGGTGTGGTTCTCTCTTCCGATTCATCTTCATCCAAAATCGAATCCTCGTCAAACTCTCCACCCTCATCGTCATATGTCTTTCTTTTAGCTTTCGGACGACTGCTTCGCCTAACATTTAAATCTACAATCTCTTGTGGTACTGCAGACTTTGGCTTAATAGGAACAGGTCCAGAAGTACCATTCATTGGTGTGACTGCATTGCCACTGTTTTCATTATGGTTTGCAGCCCCATTAGCTGTAAATGGTTCCTCTGCTGGTTTCTTTCTTCTCGATTTGTGTTCAACCTTGTGTATTTCTCTTGTAGAGCCCCATTTATATTCTTTCCCTCTGGTGCTGTTGTGATGCAATGGCTTTGTATAGTCTATAAATACTAATTCTTTATTCTTGTTTGTATCACTAATTTTGTTAGCCCTCGATGAAATATCTTCGGCAACAACTCGATCAATGTAGTTTGCCGCAAATTGATGGGTATTTACCAAGTAATTATTCAACTTGGCTTCATCAAATTTTAGTAACTTCAAATCATGACTCAATCTCTGGTACTTATCCAACTGATTGATGACGTTGATGTTGGTTTCAAATTTCGACTTGTATTGCGGGTCAATTTGCGGTATGAAATCGGAAAATTCTTCCAACGTGTTAACTGGTGGTAAAATACCAGACACTATTGAATTCTCTTTAGATAAGGTGGGTAAGGGCTTGTGGTGGGTTAGACCCAAGTGTTTGCCATTGCCGTTCTGGGCTGTTTCTATTGGCTGCACCAGCTGTGCCTGCCCAAAACTCTGCTGGCTATGGCCAGGTAAATTTTGGTTCTGGTGGTAATCTTGTACCGTACCATTAGTGTGTATTTCATGAACAGATCCGTTGTTATGAGGTGGTTGCAGTTGTATCATTGATAACTGTTCCTGCTTCGCTGGTGTTGCAGTACTATCACTAGATAGCATAGACGAGATGTTCATCGTTGTTGCCTTTTAAAACTTTATATGTTTTTTTTTTACTTCACGTCGTAACAAACTGTCTTTGTTATTACTTCTGATTGATTGATTGATTCAGAGTTAGATTAGACTAAAGAGTGGAAAGAAGTAAATAGGTTTGGTTAATTTTTCTTTTTCTACAGTTTTGTTGTTTGAGTTTCTGACTTTCCTTTTCCCATTAAGAACAGAGAGGGCGGACGTATGTATGTATGTACGTGTGTGTGTCTCTCTCTCTTTCTCTCTTGATTCAACAAAGACAAAACTAAACCACATACACAAATAGTAGAGACTCTCTAGAGAAAAAATTATTTTTACAACAAAAAGAGAGAGGAAGAGAGAGAAAAAAGAATTCTGCATACAATACAAAATTCATCAATACTATATGCAGTATTGATTAATCAATGATCATTTTCATCTTTCATCAAATACATTTACAAACTAAATACAACCAAGTAAAGTACTAACAAGATCATCTAAGAGCTCTTTCCATCTGTGTGTGTAGTGTTTCTTAATTCGCTTTTACCGTTTAATTTTAGAAAAGGCAAATGAAGAAAAGACCCAAAAAAAAAAGAAATAAAAAAATTTTAGGCTTAATTTTTCCTTCTTGTATTTTTGTTCAATTTGGTAAAGGTGTTTTTCATTGGTAGAAATTACGAAATTGTAATAATTTACTCAGTTTTACTCAATTTTAAAAGATTACTTTTGTAGTGAAGAAGATAAAAACTTAGATTTCAAACTAATAACTATAAAAACGTATAAAACCTGCTACTTATGTAATTTCCCAAATCTCATACAGCAGTCGCCTAAATTCATCAATGCGTAACAGCTTAACCACCTTTCCTAACAAGGTTAAATTATAGTATGTTTCCGTTATTTGTAAATTTAGCAGTGTAGTAAATCAATTGGTAGCGCCTTGTCTATGGTGTAAAAATTAGAGGGAAAATGGGTTAAAGGTTGGTAAAATCTGGTGATAAGACGACGACTGAGTAGGTTTCTCTCAAATAAGCACTTGTTATCCTCTTTGGTCAACAACCAATTCACAGCAAACAAAGTAGTTCCCCTTTTGACTTGGGTGTTACTCAAGACAACCCATTACATTGTGTAACTCTAATTCAATTATAAGCCTAACAATATTATGTGAGCAATGAGAAGAAAATCAGTCGCTTTTTTCTCTTTTTCTTTTTTATTCTTTCCCGGATCACGTGCAGTCTGAATAAACGGGACAAAAAAAGTGTAAGGTTCCGAATTTAAACGGCGATTAAAATGACATTCGACTCGTTAGAATTGTACATCTATTGAAGCATACACTACATCATACACAATGGGAGCAGATCATCCAGCATTTACTTTATCCGGTCTTTGTGCCATTGGAGGCTTAATGGGATACTTTCGTAAAGGATCGGTGCCATCATTGGTGGCAGGTTTGGGAGTATCAACATTATACGGAGTTTCAGGCTATTTATTGAACAAAAACGCCAATTACGGCCTTGAGTTGGCGTTGGGTACTAGCTCTGTGCTACTTGCTGCTGGTTTATCAAGGGCTGCCTCCACCAGCTTCAGGAAGCCAATTCCCCTTGCATTGGTGCTTTTGGGTGGATTATCAACCGGTTACTATTTGAAAAAATACAACGAGTTTTATCCAATCTTTGGGTGAAATTGCCTGTGGTGTGTTTATAGCCACTATTTAAATAGTATATATAGGACCTCTTGAGTGAACAAAGATTAAAGCTACTGGTGTAAAATATCAAAGAATTTACTCTGTTCGTACAAAACGCACTTTATCCATGTTGTTGGAAGATTTAATGCTGCAGTCCTAAGTAATATTATTGTGCAGTATTGTGCGATACAAAATAGTGAGATCCCAAGTGGTAAAGATATCAGATAGTGTTTTGTTTCTGATAATGAGAGCTAATACAATAGTGAAATACTAAAGTGAGACTATTGAAAGGTGAAGAAGATAACATGATATATTAACATAAATTGGATTACTAAGTAAATCAACAAGTCTTATTTAACAATCTGGAGAATATAAATATGAGTGAAGAATCTCCAGAATATCTATATAGAAATTGTGTTTAGAATCTATCGAATAAACTAACTAGCTTATCATGTCTCAATGCCATCTCTAAACCTAGCATTCTTTGCCACCGCAATCCACACTCAAACTGTTTGACACGCCACAACATACTACTTGCTATAACTGACGTAACTTTTTATTCTCTATAATACAAAGATTTAACTATAAATCATTGTAATGACGTATCAAAATGTATGCATTTTCTTGTTTCAAGTTGCTCAAAGAACGGTATCCACCTTCCAACCTCATCAATAACCCACCAAAAGAAATATAAACAGACATCTTATCATTATCAGCATTCTCTTCAAACTTGTAAACGGTTCCATACATGACATAGTCGTAATCATCCGCTAAGGACCTTTCTCCTTGTTTTGGTGGTCTCCAAGAACCATTTGATGTGATCATTGAACTTTCGTTGCCTAGCGTTGAAGCCAAAGTTATCGTTAAAGAATCGTTTTCCTTCACTGGAAATAGCTCACTGTTGATGTCCAACGTAATTGTAATATCCTTCGACGTCAATGAGTGCCCCGTTATTCTGCAAACCCTATTGTATCTTCCCGGGTCAGTGGAATCTACTGCAAACATATCTTCAAATAAAACTCCCGACATTGTTGTGCCTCCCTTGTCGTATTGATTGTGCCTTTGATGTACGAGTTTATGTGTTCACAACTGGTATCTCTTCCACTGTGATGATGAAGTGAAAAATCGATTCGATGGTTTTGCTTTTGTGTGTTGAAAATAAAAGGTAGTGTGTGGTACAATTATTAACTAAACAGTGCAATTTGTAAACATAGCCATTAACAATTCCATTTATAGAATCAAGGGGAGAGAAAAGGAGTTTATCAATTTTAGAGTGAAAAAGGATCCATTAACCTTATACTTTGTAGTAAGCAAGATGGGTGAAAAGGACATCAAAGTAGGTAATGGTGATAGCAATGGTACACCCAGAACAGTCAAGGCAAAATACTTAAGGGTAGTGCTTACCACTATACTATTGTTGGGTGTTGTGATGTATACATGTTGTACCATACTTCATCCCACCAGCATGACAATTAGACATCTGCATACACAGACACAACAAATCAACCAAGTGGGCTCAATAATTGAAGAAGGAAAAGACAATAGTGTGGTCCCTAACTTTCAAGCAACTAAACATCATGAAAAAGACCAAGAGGTAAAGAAGACCGATGAGGATGAAAAGAATCACCACCACAAGCTCGAATCCCCTACAACCACGATCGAAGTCAACAAGAGGGCGGACTCTTCTTCGTCGTCGGACTCTGACTCAGATTCATCAGAATCGTCGGATCTGAAGAGTACTCCAATTTACGACAGGGCATGGATGAGATTTATTTTCGCATTGGGTGGAATCATTGTCTTAAACATGATCGCCATATGCATTCACCATTTGTATATGATTGTAACAAGGTCGCAAAACAGGTATCGAGAATTCGAGGACGAAAAATCGCCATTCTAAACGTGCATATATAGGTTAGGTACCGGTAATATCCGAAATTTGGATCCTCTTCAATTTCAATAAACAAAATCAATAAATTGATAGTAGCACAATTCAAGCGATATTCTATATAATGTAAGAATGTAAATTGACCAATGAAAGTGTTATATACTATGGCCTGCTCGACAAAAGCAAACTTCAGATAAGCAATTTGAACACAAAGTTGAAATTGTTAATTTGACATCGGGCATTTCCACAAACAAAATAAAAAACAAGGGACCATTTGCTAAAAATTCATTCAACAAAATTTCCTTGAATACTTGTTACCTTATAAATACCATCTTGCGTATTCTTGCATTAGATTGGGGCCGGCTGAATACATTCATAACCATTTCATTCTAACATGACAACAAAATCGAAACTTCCGTCCTTGACAACGAGATTGATTCAAATAGCTTGCTCCATTCTTTGGTGCCTAGCCGCAGCCGGTCCCGTTTTCGGATTTGCAGCGTTGAAACCAATATTGATATCCCAGCATGTTTATGAGTCACGATGTGATGTACAAACGGAGTCAACGGAGACCAAATGTGTTGATCAAGATTTAAGCTTAAACTTTTTATTTACAATTGCTTGTATGGTGACAAACATCAGTGCCTTACCTGTTGGGTCTATATTGGATACTTTTGGACCCAAAATTACTGGAATTATTGGATCTATCATAATCACATTAGGGTCGTTGAGTTTGAAATTTGCCAACAAGTGGGTTTATTTTGATGGCTATTTAATTGGATACACTTTGTTAGCCTTAGGAGGTCCATTTGTGTTTATCAGTTGTTTTCAACTTGCCAACAGCTTTCCTAAAAACTCGGGCCTAATTTTGGCATTATTAACTGGTGCATTTGACTCATCGTCGGCCTTGTTTTTGTTTTACCGTATCTACTACTATCAAGTTGATGAATTATCCCTTGGCAACTTCTTTACGGGTTATTTGATTGTGCCAGCTTTCATATTCCTTTGTCAAGTATTTGTCATGCCTAGGAACTCGTACAAGACTGTTGGAACATTGGCCAAGATTGCTGAAACCGGTATTGATGAAACTGGAAGACCTTTGGATGACGATTTATTACATCCTGAGGATCGTGAAAACGCAATCACAGCACGAGATGATCTTTACCAACCTACAATCACTGAAACTACGGCACTTTTGATGAGAAGACCATCGGATGTAAGCAGAAGAGCTTCAACATTGTCAAGAGCTTCATATAATTCGATAAAATCGTCATATGAGCAAGAAGCAGACACCAAGTTGGTTTCTTCTTCTGGTGGTGTTTTCGGAGTTTTGCATGGTTATTCGATATCACAACAATTAAAATCGCCGTGGTTTTCTTTAATGACACTATTCACCACTATCCAAATGTTGCGTATAAACTTTTTCGTAGCAACAATTAAAGCACAAGTGTTCTACTTGTATGGGGGTAATGAAGAGATTGCTACTACAGTGAACCATTTCTTTGACCTGGCCTTGCCATTGGGTGGTATCTGTTCGATTCCATTTATTGGGCTTGTGTTGGATAACTTGCAAACATTAACTGTATTGTACATCTTGACCGGGATGTCATTATTCATTGGGGTGATGGGTTTATTATCTTGGATTCCAGGTACTTATGCTGGTATCATTGTCCTTGTTGTTTATCGACCATTTTATTACACTGCAGTATCCGATTTCTGTGCCAAGGTGTTTGGCTACGACAATTTTGGAACCGTTTACGGAGCAATCATTGCCATTAGTGGTGTGTGCAACATCTTGCAGCAAGTGATGGACAAAGCAAGTAAGGAGTACTTCCATATGAATCCTACACCAATCAATTCATTTTTGATTATTTTAACATTCGTATTTGGTGCTGGATTAATTGCATTTGTGAAATCTCAAGAGAAAGATATAAAGAGGAGAAACTTGGAGATGGAAGCTGAAGATGCATCGTATAGATCAATGCCAACGTAGATTTTGTATATATAAAAAGATAGTAAATTTCTGGTCTAGAAATTATCCTCGTTTCCGCTTTCTCGTCTTGGCTGTATCTGGATCAAGAGCCGTGAGGGGTGGAAGGCATAAAACCGGCTTTATAGACTCTGAAGTTTCAGAATTAATCTTTACCTGATTGTTAGTTGCTGTTGTTCCCCTTTCTAGTAACCTGCTTTCACTTTTTTGAGGAAAATCCGACAATATCTCTTCAACACTCTTCATTTCTTCTTCTGATTTTCGGCTTTGTTTTCCTTTTCAAGCTCTCTTCTTGTTCCCTTTAGAAGCTCTAAATGGCCGACTCTACTAGCAATTAGTTTCTCGGTACTTTTCATCAATTGACCTTGATGTACTTTAGTCAATTTTTGTGCCTCTTTTGCTGTTTGCTTTTTAGGCTTTATAATCTTTGGTGCTGCTCTCTTGGGGTTCTGTTGCTTCTTTGTAACTCTTGCTGGACCCTTGGACTTTAGTTTCAAGTTTCCTTGTGCCATTATGTTCTGATGACGACTTATCAGGAAGAGATGAGATAAGAATCAAGTGTATTTTTTTTTTCCTTTTTTGTGAGCCTGGGGCGAAAGCAGAACACACAAATTGAAGATATGTTAAGCTTCCGACATCCTTCTAGGAAAGGCACAGATCTACTACGTATTCTGTCTTGTAACTGAACCCGAATGAGGTTGCCAATGGATCAAGAGTAAATAAGTATGCGTGGCAAAAGATGTAAGCCTTAGCCTTTCTGAGCTAGTCGACGCATGCTTTACGGAAGCTCAAACTCACTCTACTCAGCTACTAGATAGGGACTCGATAAACACCTCACATTGTTTCTTCTATAGCTAACCTTTTGCTGACCACACCCCTCAGAGCCAACAGAAGTTGTTGCAAAATGTGCCATCAGTTTTATATGCAGAACATGTTCAGCGAGACAAAATATCGCATCTCATTTAATAATTGGTTTTTATATTTTTTTTCTTTTTTCGGAATTGACTCTGCTTCGATTTCCTACTTTAGTAGTCGGTTCAACTCACAAACTGCCTGCTATTTTGGCAATAAACACCCAATAAGCTTAAGTCACATACCCCTCGTTGATTTGCAAATACGCAATGAGTTCAAACTTCCTAGTTTTGCCAGGGCCAAAAGCCTTGTCTCCATTTAGAGTCAACAATTTGATCCAAGAAATTGAAAAAAAATCCCAAAAGGCAAATTCGATTGAGGAGGTGGCAAGTCAGTACACCCACTATGTTTCACTCAAGAAGCCATTGAATGAAAAACAGTTGGAATTGTTGAAGATTTTGTTGACTTATGATAACCCAGTTGACGTGTCAAATCCGTTAAACGCTGAATTGATCAAGTTATCCACTGGCGAAGCTCAAGCCAAGGGACCAGAGGAATTTATTCAGATTTTGCCTAGACCTGGTACCATATCTCCTTGGTCTTCAAAGGCAACTGATATTGCCCAAATTTGTGGATTAGGTGATTTCGTTGAAAGAATTGAACGTGGGTTGTCCTTATTGTTCAAGATTAGAAATGGTGAAACTTTTGCCGTGTCTGGTGACATTTTGACGTCAGTGTTTGACAGAATGACTCAGAAGTTATACCTTAATGACAACGTTCCCAAGTATGACGATTTATTTGCTCATCATAAACCTAAACCACTTGTTGCCGTTGATTTGTTAGGAAATAAAGATAACTTGTTGCAAGCTAATAAGGAAATGGGATTGGCTTTGGATCAAGGTGAAATTGAGTATTTAACAAATGCTTTTACTAATATCATTGGTCGTAATCCAACCGACGTGGAGTTATTTATGTTTGCTCAAGTCAACTCCGAGCATTGTCGTCACAAGATTTTTAACGCCGATTGGACCATCGATGGAGTCAAAAAGGATAAATCCTTGTTCAAGATGATTAGAAACACCCATGAGAAAAATCCACAGTATACTGTATCTGCTTATTCAGATAATGCTGCTGTGTTTGAAGGTCCTGAAGGATACGTTTTTACACCTGACTTCAAGTCGAAACAATGGAAGTCGATAAAGGAGAGTGTTCAAACTTTGGTCAAGGTTGAAACTCATAACCATCCAACCGCCGTTTCTCCATTTGCTGGTGCCGCTACCGGTTCAGGTGGTGAAATTAGAGATGAAGGTGCTGTGGGAAGGGGCTCTAAGTCTAAAGCTGGTTTATCTGGTTTTACTGTGTCCGATTTAAACATTCCAACTTTGAAACAGCCCTGGGAAATAAATGTTGGTAAACCAAACCATATTGCCAGCTCTTTGGACATCATGATTGAAGCACCAATTGGTTCAGCTGCATTCAACAATGAATTTGGAAGACCAGCTATCAATGGTTATTTTAGAACATTGACAACTGAGGTTGAAAATGCCAAGGGTGAAAAAGAAATAAGGGGTTTCCATAAGCCAATTATGTTGGCTGGTGGTATGGGTGCCATCAGACCAGGGTTGGCTTTGAAAAACAAGAAAATCACTCCCGGTGCTAAATTGATTGTTTTGGGAGGACAATCCATGTTGATTGGATTAGGTGGTGGTGCTGCTTCATCCATCAGTTCCGGTGAAGGTTCAGCCGACTTGGATTTTGCTTCTGTACAAAGAGGTAACCCAGAAATACAAAGAAGAGCACAACAAGTTATTGACGCATGTGTCTCCTTAGGTGCAGAGGGCAATCCTATTCAATCTATTCACGATGTCGGTGCTGGTGGTTTGAGTAACGCTTTGCCTGAATTGGTTCATGATAATGACTTAGGGGCCAAGTTTGAGTTAAGGTCAATCTTGTCATTAGAACCGGGCATGTCACCAATGGAAATTTGGTGTAACGAATCGCAAGAGAGATATGTTTTGGGAGTTGCTCAAGAGGATTTAGATATGTTTGCCAAGATCTGTGAGCGTGAAAGAGCCCCATTTGCCGTTGTTGGTGAAGCTACTGAAGAACAAAGATTGATCTTGACTGATTCGTTATTGAAGGATACACCAATTGATTTGGAGATGTCAGTATTGTTTGGCAAACCACCAAAGATGTCGCGTGTTGCCGCTACAGAAGACTTGAAATTGAAACCATTCAAGACCAACGAGTTGGAAATTAGTGAATCTATTGACCGTGTTTTGCAGTTACCATCAGTGGGGTCAAAGTCTTTCCTTATCACCATTGGTGATAGATTTATTACTGGATTAGTCGATCGTGATCAAATGGTTGGACCATGGCAAGTGCCAGTAGCTGATGTCGGTGTTACTGCCACATCTTTGGGAGAAACTGTGTTATCTACAGGTGAGGCTATGGCCATGGGTGAAAAGCCAACTTTGGCGTTGATTTCAGCCAGTGCCTCAGCCAAAATGGCAGTGGCCGAATCTTTGTTGAATGTCTTTGCCGCCGATGTCCCATCATTGGAACACGTCAAATTGTCAGCCAACTGGATGTCTGCTGCAAGTCACCCCGGTGAAGGTGCCAAGTTGTATGAGGCTGTTGAGGCTATAGGTCTTGACTTGTGTCCAGATTTGGGTGTCTCAATTCCCGTCGGTAAAGATTCCATGAGTATGAAAATGAAGTGGGATAACAAGGAAGTTACTGCGCCATTAGCATTAACAATTACATCATTTGCTCCAGTGGACAATACATCCAACACTTGGACTCCTCAACTTCAACGTGTCGATGACTCTATTTTGGTGCTTGTTGATTTGGCCGCAAAGGATAAAAAGTCTCTTGGTGGATCGGCATTGGCTCAAGTCTATCAAGAAGTTGGCGATAGTGCACCAACTGTGCACTCAAATGCTGTATTGAAGGCATTTTTGCAATCCTTGGTTGTATTGCACAAACAATTCCCCGTTTTGGCATATCACGATAGATCTGAAGGTGGTTTATTAACCACTGTATTGGAAATGGCGTTTTCAGGAAGATGTGGATTGGACATTTCGTTGGATGCTGAAGAAGACCAATTTACCGAGCTTTTTAATGAAGAGTTGGGTGCTGTTTTCCAGATTAAATTACACGATTTGATCAAGTTTAGGGAGATCTTTGCCAACCATGGCATGGATAAGGAATTTATCAAGGTTATTGGTAAACCTAATTTCCATGATCAAGCAATCAATATTTCGTACAACGGTGCTCCTGTTTACACATCTACACGTGCCCACTTACAGCAATTATGGAGCAACACTTCTTATCACATTCAAAAAATGAGAGACAATCCAGTAACTTCAAAGCAAGAATATGATGCAATTGCTGATGACAAGGATCCAGGTATTAGTTACCAATTAACATTCAATCCTGCCGAGCGTAAATCATATAAGACTAAACCAAAGGTTGCTATCTTGAGAGAACAGGGTGTCAACTCTCAACAAGAGATGGCATGGAGTTTCCAGCAAGCCGGATTCGATGTGTATGATGTAACCATGTCGGATATTTTGGAAGGAAGAGTCACTTTGGATAACTTTGTTGGATTGGCTGCTTGTGGTGGTTTTTCGTATGGTGATGTTTTGGGGGCTGGTGCTGGTTGGGCAAAGTCCGTATTGTTCCATGAGAATGCTAGAAACGAATTCAAAAGGTTCTTCCAAGACAGAACTGATACATTTGCATTTGGTGCATGTAACGGATGTCAATTTTTCAGTAGAATTGCTGAATTGATCCCTGGTACTGACCACTGGCCTACCTTTGAGCGCAACTTGTCAGAACAATACGAAGCAAGGTATGTGATGGTTGAAGTTGATCCATCGGAGCAAAACAACTCCATCTTTTTGCAAACAATGAAAGGCTCGAGGTTGCCAATTGCCGTAGCCCATGGTGAAGGACGTGCTCAGTTCAAATCAGCTGAGGATGAGGAGAAGTTTGCATTGGATGTTGTTCATTATATCGATAACTACGGAAATGCTACTCAAACTTACCCATTCAATCCTAATGGATCGCCAAATGCTATTGCTGGTATAAGCTCGGCAAACGGAAGGGTTTTGGCAATGATGCCTCATCCTGAAAGAGTTACACGTAAGGAGGGTAATTCATGGTATCCCCATGCTCAGGCCAGAGAATGGCAGGGATATGGACCATGGGTCGAATTATTCAAGTCAGCAAGAGCCTGGGTCGGTGATAACTGAGACAAATGATGTATATTGTATAGTAATGAAAGAATGTAATTTGGCTGCAAAGATGGAGACTGTATAAAGTATGTGGTAGTTGGTTATTAGGGCTAAGCCCTAACCTTTTTTTTTTTCCTCTCTCTGCGACTTTCAACAAATGTGAAAAATCTTGAACGAAAAATAAACAGAAACCCATTTTGCTTCAACAACCCTATAGAATCAAATCAACAATGGTCAACCCAACTATCTTATCCAAAAAGAAGAAATTAGTCGCTGACGGTGTCTTTTACGCTGAATTAAACGAATTCTTCACCAGAGAATTAGCCGAACAAGGTTATGCTGGTGTTGAAGTTAGAAAGACCCCATCTAAATTGGAAGTTATTGTCAAAGCTTCCAACACTCAAGGTGTTTTGGGTGAACAAGGTAGAAGAATCCACGAATTAACTTCATTGATTGTCAAGAGATTCAAATTGTCACCAGAAGGTATTGCCATCTACGCTGAAAGAGTTGAAGAAAGAGGATTATCTGCTGCTGTTCAAGCCGAAGCTTTGAAGGCTAAATTGTTGAACGGTTTGCCAATCAGAAGAGCCGCTTACGGTGTCTTGAGATTTGCTATGGGTGCCGGTGCCAAGGGTGTTGAAGTTGTCATCTCTGGTAAATTGAGAGCTGCTAGAGCCAAGTCACAAAAATACGCCGATGGTTTCATGATCCACTCTGGTCAACCAACCAACGACTTTATTGATATTGCCATTAGACACGTTTTGATGAGACAAGGTGTTTTGGGTGTTAAGGTCAAGATTATGAAGGACCCAGCAGCCAACAGGTTCGGTCCAAGAGCTTTGCCAGATGCTGTCAAGATTGCTGAAGCTAAGGACGAAGATGAAGTTGTCCCAGCTCCATACGTTAAGAACTACAAACAACAACCAGAAGAAGTTGCTGAAACTGAAGCTGTTGAAGTTGAAGCTTCTGCCTAATTGTAATAGCGTTATATAATTATTAAACGTAAGTTTACAACAAATTGTCATAGATGTAAATTGAAGTAGACCATGAAAATGTACAGTGCTTGTTTGTGGAAGTAATGTTACAGACAAAGACTGTATGAAGTGTCTATGAACATGGGCCAACTAATGCTTTCATAAATAGAGTTGATAGGAAGCAGTTACTATGTGGTCTCTGTGTAAATCACAGTCCCTCCGTGAGTAAAACTTTACTAAATAGGAAGTGCTTAGCTCCATGGAGTGGGCAAAGCAGTAGTTAATATGTGTTACGTCATGACTCTCTTTAGCTCAACCCTTCTCAGCAAATCATTTTGATACGATAAAGGACAAACATTGTGTGGCAAAAAAATTTGGGATGAATTTCGGAGTTTTTCCGTTTTTGTGTGTACTCATCATTCATATTTTTTCATAAGCCAAAATTTAAATGACTCAAATCTTTTATTTTTATGTTTTGAAGCTCGGTTGTTTGAAATAGGGTAAAGAATGTAGTTGTGTTCATGGAAATGCGAATTATGTATGTGTAGTGTGATATAGAATAAAGACTACATTGTAACCACATCATGTGGTGTACACGCAGATTAGCTATATCCGTGTTTCCGAAGCACCATTTACATTCAGATTCGGTAATAGGGAAAATATATTTTGAATGTTTTTTCCCCGTACTTTTATTACGCATTACACAAAAAGAACTTAATAACCGTTTCTTACTAAACAATTGACCACGGACTTACATCTCCAGAATCAAAAAAAAAGTTTACTCTCACTCCTTATCTTTTTAATTATTGTCAGAGAATATAAATATCTGTCCATATCCCTTGTTTTTCACAAATACAAGTGTTATTTTTCTCCTTCTCTTTATCAAATTACTTCCAATAGAATATAAAACACTACTAGCAATGCAATTCTTAGTACTTACATCAGATGTCAATGAACCATACGTGATTCCAAATGTATCCCCGGTCTCATCACCAAACTTACAACCAACCAACCATGATCATGAAAACAAACACTTGGCTGGAGACAGGAGAATCTCAGTTATTCACATAAACTAGAAAAACGTGTGGTCGGTATTTATTTGTTTTTTTGTTTGCCATTGCAAATGTCTTTGAGATTTTCAGTTCTTTTTGCTAAATCTACTTTTATTTACTTAGATGAATTTATATTTATTATGTGTTAATGTTATAACGAACTTTAGAAACACACGTGTAGTACGTAGAAGGCAATCTTTAGAGATTACCTTTGCAAAAGCTTTCTCTCTGCAGTGCATCATCAGCCTTAAATACTACCCTTTGAACATGCCTGGTTGAGAGATTTGCACTACGTGATCAACTTAGTGTTTAAACCCAACTCTTTTGTGTATCATTAGTATATATAATATCTATATACAATCACCTGAGAGCTCGTTGAACCTGGCTAAGCTTTTTAGCATAGAACCCACCAGATAAAACACCCAAGGCCAATAACAAAAGTGGAACAGGTTTTTGAAAACTGGTGTCAAATGACCTTGCCAAACCTGCAAGCAATAATATCACACTGGCTACCAATGCTAATTCAATTCCGAATTTGCCATTCAGTTTCATTATATAGCAGGCAGTACCATACAACAAGGAGGCTCCTAACCCACCAAATAATGATGGGACTGATCCTTTACGGGAGTATCCCATTAAGCCTCCAATGGCACAGAGAGCTGATAAAATAAATGACGGATAGTCTACTCCCATTGTGTATGATGTATATGTTGGTATTGTGTGTTTATGTGTTAGCTGGAAGACTGTTTTGCAAATTTTGAAGTGGAGGGAAATTGTATACTATTTATAATCCTATCACCACATTGGAAGAAAAAAAACAAAAACATTTGATTCTCCGATAACCCCGTAATTGATTAAGCTTGTGACATAACAAAGGACTTATAATTGTTAAGTAATTTAGTTCTTGTAAAGAGAAATGAATACGTTTGAACTGTATCGACGTGGACTAGTAACAAATTTCTTGAGTCTGTTAGCACTAAGTTCCCTCCAATGCAAATGAAAATTTATTTGAGAAAAAATAAAAACAGAGGCACAACTCTTATCTGCTTTCCCCATAAAATATGGACGATACCGATAAACGCATGTGACACCAAACATCTATCTGAAATATAGTTACTAACAACGCCCACAGCTGACCCTATACTCAAACAAGTGCCATTGATTAAAAATCCCTCATATCAGCCACCAAAAGCAGTTTCGTTAAGAACCAACTATAGCAAGCTCTTGCCAAATTTATCCCATACAGTGGTGCCACCAAACCTCAATGTTACCAAAGATGACATTGATGCATGGCTGAGAAAAATAGACCAGTTTAAATCCAAGATTGACAATGAGGTAGAGACTGAAAATGCCGTAACAAATTATGAAAAATGGATCAAAGACCAGAGTACCAAAGTGGCACCTGGCTTTGATTACATTCTTACACCAAAGAAATGAAAGAAAAGACCAGTAAATATGTAGTTTATATATTTTCTAAGTTTTAAAGCGGTTTGAAGTTGATCTCTGATTGTAAACTCTGAAATTCTTCGAGAAAAAGGAATATTTGCAACTTAAAATGACTCTAAAGTCTATAATTTACGTAGAACTCCTCTTTATTCGGCTTCTTTTTGTAGGGATCAACAACAAGCCTTGTATCACTCTTCAAAGCCAACTGTGTATACATAGTATAGTTGCCGTACGAAATAATTTTGTGTACTTTTTCTGACAATAAATTCTAGATTTTCTATTTTTATTTTTGTCGCGTCTGGGGGGGGCGAAGTCCAAAATTACTCTATTTATTTTTTTTCTCGTCAGGTACCAGATATAAAGCTGAAAATTTATACGTATTCACCAAAGCAACTGGTTACTCCAAAAAAGGAACGATAACCAGACCAGGCCAAACCATGAGATATAGAAGTCGGTTGAAACAGATACTAGCAGGATGTCTATTCATTACCGTGGCTCTAGCACTTTTCTATCGCAAATCCATTTTTTTGAAAGCGCCAAAAGTGAAGCCAAGCGACAAGTTTGATTTGATAAAGAATCGAAACAATTTCAAAAATCAAATTTATACCCTCTGGGGGGCAGTGCCCAGTAAAGCACAACGGTTTATGAACCTACCGATGCAGGAAAAATGTGACTTGTATTTCAAAAATGCTAAACCTATGGAATTTGATTTGAGTTTCTGGAATGATTTTAAAGCTGATCCACATGTATATAAACGCAAAAAATGGATTAGAGATAGGACAAGAGAAGAAAAGAGAAAGTACAAGACTTCCGAATGGAAGGATGAGTATGATAAACTGATTGCACAAGAGTTTGGAAATGTTGCAAAAGTATACTCTGGTTTGGAAAAGAAGATGTTTGATGAATTAGGGCATATGAAGGTCTTTGGTAAATGTTACGCAAGTGACGCCAATGCAAGTGGCAATTGCGAGAATGTGCAACAAAATTTGTACCCGTGGTTGTCAAACCAGCTACCACTGGTTACGAACGCCGAGGGTGAAGTGGCCTTGAAGCTTAAGGATACCCATGGATGTGTCACACAGTCGCTAGTTGCCAGTCAAGGTAAAGGTATAGTGATCCCAACCAAATCGAAACAAGTTGAAAATGTCTGTCGTTTGTTGAACTCATTGATTGCTCTCGAAAACAAATTGCCCATTGAAATTGCCCACTTGTCGCTCTCTGAACATGACAAGGCAAGCATTGTGGCAGCCTCGAGGAACTCAACATCTTTTGCCCAGAAGATTTCATTTGTCGATTTAAAGCTGGTGTTGAACGTAGACAAATTTGCGTTCTTGAGGTCAAAGGAGGATGAATTGTTCCTTTATACATTGAGTTTGATATTTAACTCGTTCAGCGAGGTGGTATTACTATCAGCTAATGCAATACCATTGAGCAATCTCGAAATTTTATTCCAAAATGGAAGATACAAATCAAGTGGCCGATTCTTTTTCCGTTCACGACCCCACTTGGACCGGGAAAAGTTTAACCCCGGCTTTCACGAAATCACGTCATTGGTCAAGCATCATCTACAACCAAATGCAGATGAGATCAAGTTTTTCAACATGACGAATCTGGATTCGTCTATGGCCACTTCGAGATTCTATAAGGATCTGTTTCGAAACATTATTGATGAGAGTGTCATTGTCATGAACAAGGTCAAGAACCTTTCTGGGTTGCTCATTACAATAAACTTGCAATTTTACAATGTTTTGAAAATCAGACTCACGCGTAAATCCATGTTTGATTTAATCTGGATCGGACAGGAAATCTCAGGACAAGAGGTTATATTTAATAATAACTACCCCGTTATGGCTGGTATATACACCCCAGATCAAAACTTGCCTCGAGATGCTCAAACAACAAACGAAATATGTTCGGCTTCATTTGCACAGTTGTCAGAAATAGATGACATCTCACTCCTATACATCACACTGGACCAATTGCAAAATTGGTTAAAGTACAGCAATTCCATGAAGTCCATCTTTGAGCAGAAATATCTGACAAAGTACACTGAAATGGTTGATAACTTATTTGACCCGACAGATCCCAACAAGACGGAAATGAAACGGGTAGATTATACAGAAGTCCAAAAGGTCTTGCGCAACCCATTAGCTATTGAACACATCATTAAACCGCCAACATTAACTAGCATAGTATACGTACATCATTTCGAGGAGCCCAACGAAGCATGGGTTGAACAAACAAAGCTCATTTCCGAACGCATGAGACATGGCAGTAAAAAGTATTATTGCGCTTATGATACAGTTGGAAATCCAATGGAAGAGGGAGTTCGAGGATTGACGATCAATGTTGATGATGATCTGTATGCAAAGTACAACAAAATAGCCTTAGCCTGGATGAGTAGATAGTCTCATTATAACACCAACATAGCATTAAATAGAATTTAATAGAAGCATTTGCATTAAGAAGTAACAAGAGCCTTGACACAGCAAGGAAAAAAATGTGTTGCAAAATTCATCATACAAGGAAATTACAACAAAGATAGAAACACACATTTGATGAACAGTGAAAAGGGAGCTGCATAAACAAGCTTTGGTCAAAGTTTCACAGCGGTAATGACTAAGCAGACCCGTTCCACTTCTAATAGAACAAAATGCAAAGTGGAAAAGACATTTTTGTCAGTCTATTCAAACACCGTATCAGAGAAGCAAGTTGTAGGGAGCAAACGGTTACCATCACTTAAGAAACTGACATTGAAAAGAAATCGTCCAAGTGGAGACACTAAACCACTGGCTTTGGTGATTATGAAACAAGCTGAGATTAGACAGTTGCAACTACAATATGACAAGACAATTCAAGAAGCTCCCAAATTTGACACCGTTGTCACAGTATCATCACCAACAATACCTCCACCAGTTCTGGTATTAATAAGCAACCAAGCTGACATGTTCAACAACTTTCGATTCCTAACCCATATTAACTTCTTTATCGGCCCATACAAAATCATCAAAATGATCACACCAAACTTATACGATGTCGAGGTAGGTCTCAGTACATCCTACAATACGATTTTCCCTCATACCGTATTAAAACCATACCCTCCAAGCTCCACATCCCATTATGCACAAGAACCACCTCAAACTGCCTATATGTTGAAATATTTCGCTAAGCAAAATTTAATAAGTGCTATAGTTGGATGGAATGCTCACGATAAATTAATTGCCATGGCCTTTAAATGCTGCCATCCTTCACATTGTGTGGTTTTTGATGTAGTTGAAGCAGCACTGGCAATTGAATCGGTTTCAACTAACTTGTTTACTCAATTAGCTATTGAGTATAACGATGCTCTGAAAAGGGAAAAAAACAAGTGGGGGAGGAATTAATTGAAGAGATGATTTCAGGTGACAGAGCTTTCTTTGATTGTAGTTGGACTTAATGTTTATGGATGTAGGTTTTGGTTGCTAAATGAAAGTAGTAAAAGCGTGATATAAGCATGCAAATCACAGGTTTATCATGTGATTTTAGCATGGTGTAATCCCCTTAAAATAAAATTTTTCAACAATTCAGCCATATGGCTCAGTTGTCCAGTTGGCAACTTGTCCGAGTGGTTAAGGAGATGCCCTGCTAAGCTACTAAGCAAGCGGTTAAGGCATTGCGCTTTGCGTGCGCAGGTTCGAACCCTGCAGTTGTCGTTATTTTTTTCCATCTCTTCCTGCTTTATTTTTTTTTTTTGGTTTGCAATTGTTGCCTTCAGGTAATAATAGCATTGGAGAGGTAATTGTTCAATTTGAATACTCAAGAGAGATGTTTATTAACAAAGCCTTCTAAAGTTATCGATAGAAAGTACCATTTGCAGTCAAAACGCTTTCCATTTTTTTTTCCCTTTGTTTTTGCATAAAGTTGCTATGAAATTATGCTGTTTCCATCATTGAAATACACTGAAGCCTATATTCTTTTCTTCTTACTAGAAAGTTCTTCTATTTTCTTTCTACTACATAGACTTACATATCCTTGCACCATTGATCATGGCTATTTTAAAGTCATTCTGATCATTTGGTGGCAAAACATAAGTTGCTTCAGAATTGCTTTTTATTTTCGGTTTAGTTGCAAAAAAAATAAAAAAAATTCTATGACTCTTCCTAATGACTCTTGATGACGCATAGCGCTATGTTACATTCAGGACAAAAACAAACAAACAAAAAAAAAAAGAAACGAATAACAAACATACGGACGAAGCATTAAAACTAAGATAATACTCGCTAAAATAAGTATGTAGCAGAAAGAGATGCTGGTGTTTGACTTGTAGTTTCTTTGCCAATGACGTAATTTGATATTTTTGGTTCCCTAAGCCATAAAGTAAATCTTGAGAGAGAGAGAGAGCAAAGGTTATGAACGATTGGCTTACGCATACACTTCAGTATTTTCCCAATATGGTAAAGTGTAAAATACTACCCGAGCGGTTATACAATTCTGTTGGTTGAGTAATAAAATGCAACGTTTGATAAGATAAACTAAGACAGGGAAAGTAAAGTACCTGGAGCCCTAACCCTAAAGTACACAGACATGCATGCAAAGTTTAGGGGTAGGTGATGATTGTTTAGTTTGTGCTGCAAAGAAAAATAAAATACGTCGAGAGAGGGTCGTGTACAATATACAAGAAAATATGAATTTACATTTGATACACGACCAAAAGCTTAAAAAATTTAAATCCCTCATAGTTAATATATGCATTGTTTTGATCAACTATTAACAGATTTTCCATTTTCCGTTATTATCCTTTATGAGAGAGGGTGTGCGTGTGCGTGTGTGTGTGTATGGTAACAATAATACTACTACTATAAGCGCTTGCTAGAGAAATATTAACTGAATTAGGGAAAATAAAGAATAGAAAATCTCCTGACGTAAAAATTGTGCGTGTGTATGGGTGTGTGCGGTATTTATTAAACAGACACCCGCACAGTGCTTGACTACGTTTAGTTTCTTCTTCTCCTATTGGAGGTTTTTTTTTAAATTTTTTTAACTCTTTAATTTTACTGTATGGTAAAGTTGTGGGTTAGAGTAAAAGTAAGATGAAGGTCATCCCTGTAGCTGAAATTCTGTAACCTACTGTGGGTGGGGGTAAGTAGTAGTAGTAGCAAAGGGATACCATTGCTACTTTTTTAGGGCTAACCCTATAATATCGTTGTCATAATTCTGTCTTCTAATTTTGACAATCCTTACTTTGTATTGTATTGTATTGTATTGTATTGTATTGTATTGTATTGTATTGTATTGTATTGTCTAGTTTAGTTTAGTTTTGTTTATTTAAAAATTCAGCGGGTAAAATTCAAAAAGTCCCAACACCAAAAGAAAAGAAATGAGAATTTTTTTTTGTGTCTTTTGTTTTGTTTTGACATATAAAGAGAATTGAAAAAGATCTCGAGGGAAAGATTTTATTTTCATTGCCCCCTTGCTTTTTCTTTTCCCATTGAATTCAACCTCAAGTAACCACAACTCCAGTGTTTAATTACATTTTTGACAAAAAGGAAGCTTTGCTTTTTTGGATAAGGAAGTTTGTCAAGGTTAACTCCAAGAATCATTGGTTCATACAAACAATTTTTTTTTTTTTTCGTCATACCAATTTTGCAGTCTAAAGAGGAGGAAGAAGAGATTCATCATCATCTGTGAAAGACTACATCTAAAACTACAACAAATACAATAGCTTTTTTATTTCACCCTAGTCTGCCAGTTCATAATAGTTTAAAAGGAAACAGCATCATGTGTTATTAACATCGAGTTTAATAGCACTGACACACACCTACCCAACCGACTAAACGTTTTATATCTAAAAGTTTTATTAAAAATAAAAAAAAAAGTCAACTAAAACAAACAGCATAGACTTTGATTTTATATTTTTACCTTCGTGAACTTTTAGAAGATTAGCAAAAATTGGCAAAAGTTATACACAAATGTCGATATTCGGAAGAAAGAAGGAGGGTGACTCCAGAAGGTCGTCCAACTCCTCAATTTCAAGTAATATGTTTGCCAAGTTTGATGAAAAGAAGGATTATTGCAAGAGATGCAAGAACAAGAAGGAGAAACCAATGGTTGTGACATTTAGTTTGAAGTAAAAATGTTTTGTATTATTTATTTAGTTGACCCCAAAAAGTAAAAAAAAAGCAGACAAAATTGTGATAAAAAAGGGAGAAAGGAGTAATCCTTATGTAACTACTTTTCCTCGTTGTCTTAATTGTAACAGCAACTGTACAGTTTGGAGTACTCGAGATGTTGGAGTGACAGGGTATACTAAACTCACTAAATTAATTTCTTCTTCACAAGGACAAAGCTACCTCAGATCTACAAAATAATTCTTACTTTAAGTGGCCACTCTCCTTTTGGTAAAACGCAACAAGAAATGTACGAAAGCTCGTAGAGTCAAGATTCCATTTGATGTAAAATCACAACTGAACATTAGCACTTCATTAGATAGTAAAACCTCTGATTTATCGGGCTAGAGAGTACGTCTACACTAGGATACAGTCTTCATAAAAACTATACCGGCATAGCCGCTCAATGCAAGTGTCCCGAACGTTAATTAGCAAAGAGAAAAGAAGAAAAAGAAGAAGAAGAAGAAGCAGCAAAAAGTTTTCGATGGATTTTGGTTTTTTCGCTGCTTTTTTTATTCTCATTGAAGGGGTTTCACGTGACTTGTTTGAAATGTATCCTTTCGCAGACAAAGTTCTCATGTTAACTCACTTACAACATCTAAAGAACTGAAAAGTAGCCATTTAAACAAATATAGTACACATAGCTAACCACAAGCCATCGTTAACCAATGTATAGCAAAATCATAACCACCCACTCCTCCCTTCCCCTCATCGAATTGAATTAATTATAGTACGCCCCCACTTAACTCCTCTTTTTGATCTTATTATGTAAAGGATCAACCTTGATTCTTTTTGATAGACCCACTCTTGTTTTTGGCATGTTTATAATAGCCGAGAGTGGTTTAGATGCAAGTCTTTTCCTTTTCATTACACGTGTCTTCATCACTGGTTGTTTGTTCTCTTGACCTGGAGATTTTGTACCATCTCGTGAGTTACTTGGTACATCCTTGGGTTGCTCCTGCTCAACTGCGTCTTCTTCTTTGGAATTTTCTAACTCTCTTTTTTCATTCAAGCAGGAAGGTCCTTTCACATCCTCTTTTTTAAAAACGGCAAAAGCTTGTCTCACTTCCTCCTGCTTTAATTGCTTGGTGCCAACCCCTTTAAGCAAAATTCCCTTTGTTAAACACTCTTGTTTAAACTTGTCGAGTCTAAGACCAAAATTCTCGTCCTTGATCATCTCTGTTTGGTTTGATTCAACTTTCACCTCTTTGTCCTTTCTAAAGGTAAGTTCCTGTTTTACATACCCAAGAGTAGTGCTCGAGGCCAGCTCGAGTTCCCCACCACACACATCATTCTTGTGCTCTCTCTTGATCAAAGTCTTGTTCACCGGTGTTGAGCACCCTTCAATCTCCCTTGGATCAAACACCTGGTCATGTATTGGACTCAAAATCCCCCAATCAGTCACATCATTCAATATTTGAGCCCTGTCTAACTCTTCCGTGGTGTCATCCTCATAAAGCCCAATATTCCTCTCCAATTCGGAATTTATGCCACTGCTACTGCTTGAACGGTTTTCTGGTACACTTTGCTCATATTCCATCAATATTACATCATCATCACTATCATCAGAAACTTCAACCAATTCTGAATTTATCCCAACGTCCCTTTGAACTCCTGAAAAAGCGCCACTATCCAGCAATGACGACGAGCAAGAATTCAACTTTCTTGCATCACCTCCTGCAGCAATCTCATTCGCACCACTGGCACAATACCTCTCATCACTCCCCAGTGCAAAATCAACACAATGGAAGTTTTCATTGCTCAATTGAGACTCTATTGTTCCACTTCCACCATCATTATGAAAGTAATTATCATCCATAGTGAAAGTAGGCAAGACCGAGTTCAACTTTGTCTGATACGTCGATTGGGAAGTGGTGCTCAACGGTAGTAGCTCAATATCATCGTCACTATCCGAAATGTGAGTCACTTCATTATCAGCAGTGAATGGACGCTGGCCCTGTGTGGCTGCATTTATTGAATTGTTGCCTAATGGCTCTGAATGAGATCTAAAATGTGGACCCAGTCGTAGTTCATGCTGTCTAAAATCTTGTCGTAGATGGTTGATCCTAGTTGTAGTGTTATATAAGTCCAGACTTAGGTTGAGACCTTGCCCAATCCTGTCGCTATACGTCATCAAAGGCTACTTCAAAGTGGATTGTCACAAGTTTTTGGTTGTAAAAAACAGGAAAATAAAAAGCATTTATGGATAAACAAATCTCAAGCACAGGCCAACTTGTGCTACCAAATGCAAGTGAAGTGATGAAAGTCTAAGATACCGCTAATCAGCTTTCCATTAAGAAGAGCCAACTACAGAGTCAAATAATATGATCTCCACTAACGCTTCTTTTACTATCTTTGGGCAGTATTTCTTTGTCTCAATTGGTAGTTGCAACTCTGACACGTCTCTCTCTTTGTTTTTGTTTTCTTTTTATTATAAACACGAAACAGAAAAAATATATATCCCCTTTGATACTTTTCCTCTTCTTTTCCTTTCCTTTCCTCGACAACAATTTTCATTCATTCAATCGTTATCTCGATTTTGCATTGAGATATGCTCACATTCTACTTGCAAATCTGGATATAGCTTTTGAGGACAATGCTTTACTGTGTATACCTCATTTCTATACTTCCATTTCCACTCCGTGCCCCGCGTGTCAATGCGGGTTTCCAACCCGTATATACTGGGAGCAATAGTGGCGGTCTTTTTCATCATATACTTTGCTGCTCATTACAAATTATGACAACATAGGTCCAAAATATAATAAACTGGTATGGAACATCGCCCAAACCTTGGGTGTTCCGTGGCGATGGATAACAGTTTTCCCCTTCCATAATGACATCAAAGAAAGAGCCAGGCCAATTTATCTTCTAGTGGTATGAAGGCGAATGGACTTTGTACATCTTTTCAACTCTTTTATTGGAATTTTGTTGAGAGGCAGTACATTCGAACCTCACTATTGTCTTGCATCCGAACACGTGTGAATGGGAATTTTGCATATAGGGAGGAGATTCAGGAGACCTTGACAATTTGGTTTTTTTTCCACATATATCCCTCATTGCCGGTGAATGAGTGAGGGTGGATTTGATTGTTGAATACTGATTGGTTGAAGAGAGCCGGCGGACCTACACCTGCTTTCTTCAGAAGCCCAGTTTTGCCATGGAGAATGTTGATTATTCGTGTTTTACAAAAGAGGAGTGTTTGAAATACATTTGGAGTATTTCGCTTCGTTCATGGTGCACGTTTCAATGCTCAAGTTTGTTATGGCCTGGAATTATACTTTATCATTAATCGATTCAGTTGTTCAACATTGATGACACCTTTTTCACAAATTCTGCCCCTAGTTTTAAATGAGGAAGAAAAGACTTCAATGGCTTTTTCCAGTCTTGGTTGATTGATTTTCCTCCAGCAAGACTTCCCGCTTTTATTTTATACTCACTTTTGTTTTTTTATTCGTTTATTGGATCTTAATTTTTTTGTTTTGGGTGGGTTTAGTTTCCTCTCCATCATATTGATGGTGAAGAGGGATGCCAAAATCAAATAAAAGGAAAGAGTGTTTTTGCGTGTTTTTTGCCAATCTCACATTCCCAAGTCCAAACATGTCTGATTCAGAAATCCAATTAGAGTGGTTCATTTGCTGGACCTCCCCCTTTCTTCGGTAAGCCGAGCTTTTACGGTCTTGGATACTCCAATCCTGTATGGCTTTAGTACTTGATGATCATTGACACCACCTATGAAGGGGACTGCATTGTCATTTATGACCAGCTTAGAAAACTGTTGTCTATATTTAACTCGACTTGGGAAAAAGGGATCGTACTGTGGGATTTACTCCATATGACTGGGTGTTTTTCTTCTTGTGGTACACACCTAATCCTTGAAATCTGTTACAAAAGCATGTATGCTTGATTCAATGGGCTTCCTTTAGGGATAGTTTTTATTTTTCCAATACTTTCGGGTATGATTGAAGATAGCGTGTGTGTTTTTCGGACATCTAGGATGAAAGTTTTGAGTACCATGGTGTTTGATCTTTTGAGTTTTATATATGTGACGACGCTTTGGAATGTTTTGAATTTTTTTTGTGGAGTAGCGAAGGCGAGAGGACTTGATCATTTTTGTAACCGGTTCTTGGCACAGACGGGCATAAATGGGGGATTTGATTGTGGAATTGCGTGAGATAGATTGGATTTGAAGTTGTCCTTTACTTTCTTTTTTTTTTGTATGTATTTTGAAATGACTGTTTTATAGAGTATTGTTTTACTAACACTTAGGAAATTGGCAAACACGGTGGAGCGAAAGCAGGTTGAAAACAAATACATAATGAATGCTTCATTAATTATTAAATATCTAAGTAGATCTACATTATTATACATTTTGAGCAAAAACTTTTATCCTCTGATTCTGGAGCTTTAGTCGCTTGGTTAGCTCTTGGAGCCGAAGCTGTTGGTTTATCTTTAGCTTGAGTTGCCGGCTGCTCTTTGGCCTTTTCAGCAGTTGGAGTTTTATTTTCTGTGGTTTTATCTTTGGCGTCACCAGTTGAGGGGGCGGCGGCAGCACCAGCAGTGGCAGCGTCACCAGCTGAAGCTTCTTTTTTACCTTGGCTGGTCTTATCTTTAGGATAGAATTTAGCGGCCAGTTGAGCAAATACTTCACCCTGCATAGTAGCAATCTGCAATTCCAACTCAGTTGGTTGTCTTGAACCATCAGGACTGGCAAAAGTACCAGCACCATAAGCAGAACCTCCATGGATTTCCTCTAGGTTCGATTGTTGAGGAAATGTTTTAGCATAACCCAATGGGATGTATGGCATACCGTGATGAGCCAAGAAATTTAACGAGTTTCTCACTGTTGTCTCTTGTCCACCTCCTTGCGTACCGGTTGATACAAATATACCGGCTGGTTTCCCATATAATGCACCTTGAGCCCATAACCCACCAGTAGCACCAAAAAATTCAAAAAACTGTGCTGGCAAAGTACCAAATCTAGTAGGGATACCAAAGAGGAAAGCATCGTACTCTGTCAATGTGTCCAATGTGGCAATTGGAATATCTTTGGATTTTGGTGGTGCGTGCATTTGATCAAGGATATCTTGGGGTAAGGTTTCGGGCACTTGAAATAAGTCGGCGTGGTAACCAGCTTTGGAAACACCTTCTTGTACCGCTTTGGCCATGGTGATGATGTGGCCATATGTTGAATATACGATAATAGCAATCTTCATTTGTGGATTAAGCAATATTTATCTATGTTGAGGAACAACGAGTGGACTAATGTTATGATAATGAAAAAAGGGAATTGAGTTAACTAAAGCAAAATGACTTGAGCGTTATGACGAAAAGTGGAAGATATGTGTCGAATGGAAAAGAAAAGGGTATTGGTGATATATAAAAGAGTGGTGTAGGCGGTTTTATATTTGTGTTTGTCAGCTGGCATGATGAGAAAGTCAATTTGGGCGTTGCACATTTATTTTATTATTATTATTATTATTATACATTCTAATTTTGTCCTCTTTATTTATAACTATTTTGTGTAATTAATTTAATTGTCATATTTTAGTAAAAGATATTACAATTCATCCAAATTGGATCGAGTATTACATTCTGACATTTACAAGCCTATACTTGGAAAGTCAGTAGTAGTAACACAGTAGGCTAGAATACTACCACCAACTGTATACCAAGTCCAGGGCCCTGGCTGTACATTTCTACAACATACAACGCAGCTTCGAGGACAAATGTTAGACTCGAGATTTCTCTTCATGGCGGAGAAGATATACATCCATTGAGTTACAAACCATAAATTGAAGTGCATAGCCCGCTCTACAATGCAAACCAGAATAACTATGCAACACCGTTGACTCCTACTTTGGTGTCATCTCCATCCAGGCACCATCTGAAATTGCCTGGACTTAATAATTCGGATTACATGGGGAGTTAATAGAGCCACCATAGCGTGTTATTCGAGAAACTTCTCATTAGATTACTATTTCACAGAAAGCAATTACTAAAATTGTAATCTAAAACGAAAACTTAATAAAATAAAATTGTGGTGTGAGGGAAAGGGTTTGTAGGTTTTTTTTTTGTATACATTTGTTTTGAACTCCGTTTTGGGCTTTTCTTCTATTTCGTATTATGTGTGATATATATGTGATATATATGTGTTATAAGTGTGTTATAAGTGTGTTATATGTATGTTCTCTTAATTATGTAAGCTTTGGTTACAAATATTTTAGTAAAAAAGGATGAGAGAGCGTATTTGTATTGTGTATAGCATAGTTCTTTTTCTTTTTCTTTTTCTTTTTTTTTTCTGTTTTAGGGTTGGACGCGTAATTTAGTAATAACGAAGTCTAGGGATATTCTGTGAGAACCTTTTTAGTTTAGTTTACTAAGCTTTGTAATGGACCAATTGGGCAGTGCTGGTCCAAAAAGCCAACTGAGTTGTGAGGGGAAAGTCCAATTAATCGGAAGAAATTAAAAGACCCGGGGTTCCGTTTAGTAGATTATGGTCTGGCAATAAGGGAAAGGTAACAAAATATGGCATTTGCCTTGTCCTTTAACCTTCCTACTGCCCCTCTTTTTTTTTTTTTTTTCTTTTCCCAAAGTATGGCCTAACCAACTCCCATTTGACGATGCAATTAATTACGGTGAATATCGGTTAGTGTGGCTCCTGCATTGTAGAGCTGTAACGTAATAGTAACTCTGGTTTTATGTTGAGAGTGGTGTGTTGTGTTTTGTCAAAAAAAGTGTTAAAGTTACACAAATAAATATTAGTTATTTATTATTAATAAAGAAGATGAAATAATATTTTTTATTTTTTAGTAATTGTTGACACACACAATAGCAATAGTAATAGAAATTATTATGAATAATAATCTGCCACAGGTCAAATCTCATTCCATTGACATTATTGAAGAGGATATAAATCATTCAAAATCACCACCACTTAAAACAAAACCATCTTCTATACTAGTATCAACTCAATACTATCTCCATATACAACAACAACAACCTACAAACACAACAACTTCTACATCTACATTTACACTAGAAACAATGGCTCCAAAAGTTGCAATCATCATTTACTCATTGTACCACCACATTGCTCAATTAGCAGAAGAAGAGAAAAAGGGAATTGAAGCTGCTGGTGGTCAAGCTGACATTTACCAAGTCCCAGAAACACTTAGTGATGAAGTTTTGAAAGCTATGCATGCACCAGCTAAACCAGATTATCCAATTGCTACTTTGGACACTTTGACTTCTTATGATGCTTTCCTTTTCGGTATTCCTACTAGATACGGTAACTACCCAGCTCAATTTAAAGCATTCTGGGACGCAACTGGTGGATTATGGGCTAAGGGTGCTTTATATGGTAAGATTGCCGGTATTTTCGTTTCCACTGGTACTCAAGGTGGTGGTCAAGAAACCACTGCTGTCAACGCTTTATCCGTATTAGTTCACCATGGTATCATTTATGTTCCATTGGGTTATGCTAAGGCTTTCCAATTGCAATCAAACTTGGAAGAAATTCATGGTGGATCTCCTTATGGTGCTGGTACTTTTGCTGGTGCTGATGGTTCAAGACAACCAACAAACTTGGAAAAGGAAATTGCTCAGATTCAAGGTAAATCCTTCTTTGAAACTGTAGAGAAATACCACAAGTAGAGTAGTTAGGTTTATAGAAGATAGCTTTTAGTGATAAGAAATACAAATTTTTTTTTCAGGAACGTTTTTGCTTTGTACATTCAATCAACTATATACACAAATGATTAACACTTTACTGATTATTCAATGTCACTTTCATCAAATCCAAAAGTAAATGCACCATTGCTTCCGCCCATCAGCTCACCAGACCCATTGTCTTTCCCATCACTACCCACTTCCGTCAAATGTTCCCATTTTCTACTTCTACCAGTTTCTTCTTGATATGCTTTTTCTTCCCATTTGTTAACTTTATCCAATGCATCTACCACCAAATCTTGATATCCTTTGCCTTTCAACAAATGGCCAAATATCTCAAATATAGGGAGTTTGGGTAAATTGGCCAATTCTCCACAATCTTCTTCTAAATCATCCAAATTGGTGGTGGCGCCCAATTTATCAAATTTCTCCAAACAATAAACCAAAGTTGGATCTACTGGTGTGCCATGGATCTTAGCATCGTTTATAATCGATTCAAGACATGTCTTGACATCCTTCAACCTGAATCCTGATATCTGTTGCGGTTTATTTTTAAAAAAATTCAATACATGAGGCAACTTCGATTGCGGCACAAAGTTTTGGGTAATGGCAATCGAATCATCAATGTTTATAACTAAATGCCACCATCCAGCCGGCACATACATGCACTCACCAGGGAATGTAATACCGACTTGTGCAGCTGCTGCATCACCATTGTTGACCCTGAATACGTCGTTGTAGAATCCCGAAATTACCCATTCGGCAATCCCCACGGGTGAAGTGACTTCACTTTCTTCATCGTCAGTTGATACGCCTGGTGGCTGTATATTTGGTGGTAGCATAACCCACAACTTGCGTCCTTGGATTGCTACATTCCAAGCTGAGGTGGAATTTGGATCCTTGTGAAATGTCGAGCCCGATCTTGCTGATCCCATTATAAGCCATGCATGGTCAGGTCGACAGTTGAAACCCAACTTGTCATCATCAAATACAGTAAAGTAATCCTGTTGGAATATGCTTGGTGGCATGTACTCCTTCTTCAATATCTTCATGGCATCACTATTACAATCAAACAAATACAATGGGTTTTCATCTTGATTGCATTTCAAATATTGTGCATACTTTTCAAGATTCCAATTAACAGCTTCTTGTCTAAACTTCACTTGCGGAAATCGTTTCAAAAGTGATTCAAACGTCCAATGAGGCCATCGTGATGAATCTGGATTAGTTATAATAAATGGAGTATTATGATACACTTGGTTAAACTCATCAACTCCTAAATCAGCCTCGTTTATACGTTGTATTCTTCCCCTTGGTAATTTACCCAATTCACCTCGCAAAGAATCTTGATGATACATTTCTTCTTCTTGAATAAGTTTCCTAAAAATATATTTATGGTCAATTTGGGAACACTGATAAGGACGATAAATTTCATCACAACAAAGCAAGTTGTTGGGCAATTGTAAATTGGCATTGTATTCTATAGGTAAGCGTAACACTGAATTTTTCCAAGACCCAAGCCATGATAAGTCATCGTATTTGTCTATATTGGCAACATATATCTGTTTCCAGTGTTCTTCATCTGATGTTAATGCATAGAGTATACGTGAAGTGTGCGATAGATTTAATAAACTAGCTTTATCGTTGATGTAGGAGATTATATGGAGTAGAACCTCAAAAGGTAATCGGTTTAAGTCACCTAGTAGTTGTTGGCTCTTGGTCAAAATTGCTGGATCAATGGCTATAAATGTGTTTCCACTTGGTTTAACATTTAGCGGATGTTGCTTGTTGGCGATGGAAAGTATGGATATGGTTCTTGATGGAGAAGGGTAACTAGTGGGCTGCTTCTGCTCTTGTGGTTCAGTTTTAAGTTTTTTCAAAGCCGGACCACCTATGGATACATTTCCTATATGATCTATGGAGTCCTTTATCATAGTTTAGGGGTTTTGTTCTTTTAGTGGTGTGATTCCAATGGTTGTGAAAAGCACTCATATTGCGAAAAAAGCAGAAAAAATTTCACAAATTTCTTTTTATTTTTTATTTTTGATTCTGTGTATGTCGTGAATTAGAGCAAGATTGCGACAGGACACAGAAGAGAAGCAGTATGGAGCTATCAGAGCTATTGGAGCCATTGATATACTATCGAACCTTGTCCCGACCTTCCAAAACAACGTTTAGCTTGTTTCAGAACTCACAGTGTAGCTCAGTACGTTCAATTTTAACATAGTTACAAAATAGCAGGTATTACAATTGCTACATTATGATTTAGCAGATATAGACGACTGGTAATCAAATATAGAACCACTGCCTATCTACTTCAAATTTTGACTCTGTGGGTATTACTAACGAGAAAAGAAAAGATCACTCCACAACAAAAATAAAAAACTTTAGCACCTCAAAAGCATGACATTTTGCGAAACTTGAAAAAGAAATTATATACAAAATTTACAGAGTCAGAAGTTTGTATAAAGTTGAACAAATATATGTTTAGACAAGTCACATTTCGTTCATCTTCATCATTGTTCCTACCTGTAACTAGATATACCTTGAGACCATTATCAATGACTAAACCGACTCCATCAAACACTGCATCTTCATCCGAGTCAAACTTACCCAAAGACAGCAAAGATGGCCAAAATGTTGTACCCAATGACGATCCAGTGACTCACACACAACAACCAATAATATTTGCTCCAAAGACGTACCAATATACCAAGGGACATTTAGACGTTAACGACGTCTTGCCTAACCCATTAGATCAATTTGATAAATGGTTTAAAGAAGCCCAAGAGCAACTACCACCTAATTCAGACACTATCATCGAATCAACCAATTTCTCTACTGCTAGATTACCTAGTGGCAGGGTATCTAGTAGGATTGTGTTGTTAAAAGAATTGGATAAATATGGGTTCCTTGTATATTCCAATTGGGACACTTCAAAGAAGGCTGAGGATTTCAATAGCAACAAGTATGCGGCATTGACATTCTTTTGGCCCCATGTCCAACGTCAAGTTAGAGTTGAAGGAATCATGGAACACGTAACGAGAGAAACTAGTGAAAGGTACTACAAGACAAGACCAAGAGGATCAAAAATTGGGGCTTGGGCAAGCCCACAAAGTAAAGTCATATCGTCAAGAGATGATTTAAGTGAATTGAATGACGAGTACACGGCAAAGTTTAAGGACTTACCCGACGATGAAATTCCTTGTCCTGAATACTGGGGTGGTATTAGGATTGAACCCTTGGAGGTTGAATTTTGGCAAGGTGGTGTCAGTAGATTACATGATCGGGTTACATTTAGAAGAGACGATATTACCAACCCCCAATGGGAAGTAATTAGACTTGCTCCATAGCTGGAGATCTATTACGCTAATATAACATTTAGATTTATATACAAAACAACAACAAACTTTGTTTGCCCTTTCAACCGTTTACTTCTTTTTATGAACTATATGATTCTTGTCAAATAGTAAAGCCTCTTCTCTTTGAGGTATCCATTCCTTCTTTTTCAATTCTCTTTCGTAATCACTTTCACGTTTACCAGGATATATGACTCTTTCATCAATAGGATCTAAATCCAGTTGTGGGTTTTTATTGACATCTTTAATTACCCCATCTTGACGTTTCAATTTTTTCAAAAATGATCTAATTTCAGTAAAACAATTCATACACATAAAATGAGATCTCTTCACAGCACCACATGCGGGGCATCTGACTATATTATTCAAAGGTTGGATTTGCTTATTACCAGGTGTATACAATTTAACTCTTTTTCTTCGATATGACATTTTCTTCTTGGGTGCTGCTCGTAAAATCGTTCCATTGTCAATCATAAATGGAGGTTCTCCAGTTGTGTCTGACTCGAGCTGTTCTTGTAGCTCGGATAAACGACGATCTTGATGTTGGTGTTGGTGTTCATGGTCGTGAGGGCAGGAGGAGGATGGTTTGGATGATGGGCCAAGAAGACCTAAACGTATGGTAATTTGAGGAATTCTGGGAAGCGTGCTCCATATCAGTGGTTGATTTAATGCAGATGCACCGAATCTTAGCGCAAATGACATTGTTAACAAGTGGGAGGAGGTTGAATGAGTTGTAGTTTGAAGCGGGTTTTGTCAGAAAAATTTTAAACTTCTTGAATTTTTTTTTTCAGTTTGATTGAAATCCAATTGGTAGCAGATTTAGTAGGCTTTGAGGTTGAAACTATTTGATGCGAAGGAGCAAATGAAGCACCATTACAGGGCAGTTAAGTGCACAGGTTGGGATATCTCACACGATACTCTTCTGTAAGTTTTAACCAGGTAGAGTGGTTGCTTTATCCGTTTTGTCCGTCGATAGCACGAACAGAGACTCAACAAGAAAATGAAGCCGTAGAATGCATAGAGTGGTAGCTAATCTTGTTTAGCTCTTTCATCTACATTAATACGCCTCCCATATCAAGTAACACTAATATTTCAACTGCTCAGGCTGCATCTACTGACCCAGTTGCGTTTAATGTTTCAAATCAAAATCTAAAAGACGTGTACTTACCAAAATATTTAACTATTAGAAGCAGATCAAAAAAAAGAAAAAATTCCAGCGCGTATCCAAATTTTTTTCCACTAACGTCAACAAAAATAAAGACAACAGATCTTCTGACAACAGACGCTCCTAAACCACTGTTTCCATATTCACCCATCGATTCTGATTACAGCTTCAATACAATGTCAGCCTCTGAAGATCCAAGATACACCCACCCCCAAAAATATGTTGGTTTCGACACCATCACTGCACAAATTGAGAATCGATTATTGAAACGAGGATTTCAATTTAATATAATGGTTGTTGGTCGTTCTGGTTTAGGTAAAAGTACATTAGTCAATACCTTATTTGCATCCAAATTAACCAACTCCTATGGCCGTAAATTACCTGTTGATCCAATTGAAAAAACCACCGAAATCAAAGTATCTCACCATACGTTGTTGGAAAACAATGTTCGTTTAAATATAAATGTTATTGACACACCAGGATTTGGTGATCAGATAAACAATGAAAAATGTTGGGATCCCTTGGTCAAGTACGTCAAAGAGCAACACTCACAATATTTAAGAAAAGAATTAACGGCTCAACGTGATAAATTTTTGCCTGACACTAGAGTTCATTGTATTTTGTACTTTATCCAACCAAATGGACAAAAATTGAAAACTTTGGATATTCAAGCATTGAAGAAATTGTGCGAGATTGCCAATGTCGTTCCTGTAATTGCTAAATCTGATTCATTAACCTTGGAAGAGCGTGGTGAATTTAAGAAATTGCTTCAACTGGAATTTCTTAAATATAATTTCAATATTTACCCCTATGATTCAGAAGAGTTGTACGATGAAGAACGCCAATTAAATGAAGATATCAAATCGTTGATCCCCTTTGCCGTTGCTGGATCCGAACGCGAAATTCAAATCAATGGAGAATTGGTTCGTGGTAGACAAACTAAATGGGGTGCTATTAATATTGAAGATGTAAGTCAATGTGATTTTGTGTTTTTGAGAGATTTTTTGACAAGAACTCATTTACAAGATTTAATTGAAACGACAAACTTGACTCATTATGAAACGTTTAGGTCTAAACAATTGATTGCTTTGAAGGAAAATGCTAGTAATCCAAACAGGCAGTCACAAGTCCAAACTAGTCAACAAAGCGTTCATTAAGTAGCGACAGCTAGTTGTTTTGGGGATGCTATTGCTATTTTGAAGTAGAATTGTGGATGTGGATGGTTTATCCTTTTCTTTTTGTTTAGTTTGTTCTAGGTTTAATTGGATTCATATTTTAAGGTAAAGATTGTAGAAACGGTGGGAGATAAATCCATTCACTCTACGGATGATGTAACGTAAAATCATTAATAAACAACGATCAACGTTGATTTCAATAAATAGCCTAGTATAAAACCTTCGCTTCCTAACTCATGCTCTACTTTTCCATCTTGACATAGACCCCATCAAACATGCACATAGTTAAATGCGTCATCTTTTTTGGTGGATAACTGTAACCATCTTGTAATTCCAACTTGGAAATAGATTGAGCTAATCTTGCAATAACATAAGAAGCTTCAGTCAATGCAAATTGTTGACCTAAGCAAATACGCGGACCACCGTTAAAAGGCAAATAAGCCCATCCTAACTTCTTGGTCAGCTCTTCAAACCATCTATCCGGTCTAAACTCATCAACATCTTTACCATAATACCTTGGATCCATCTGAGTAGCAGCAATATTGTAAATGACTGACCTTCCTTTAGGAATGAAAACTGGCGACATACCATCAACACCACCACCACGAGGTAATGTAGTATTTCTAGTTGAGACTCTAAAGTTTCTTGGAACTGATGGATACATTCTCAAAGTTTCATTCAAGACTGCTTTCAAGTACTCACACTTTTTCAAGTTTTCAAAAGTAATATCCTCTAAATTGGAGGTGCCAAATTTATCCAAGATTTCTTGGCGTAATCTAGCATACATTTCAGGATTTCTTGCCAATTCAAAAATGGCAAAAGATAACAATCCAGCAGTGGTGTCTCTACCGGCAACCAATATATTCAAAGCTTGATCTCTTAAAACTTTAGGGTTTCTAGTTTGTTTCACCAATTCGTAAAGGAACACATAACCACTTTGTTTCTCAATCTCCTCTGGTGTGCAGTTTAACACTTTATTAACGTAGTAGTCACTAAATTGATGAACAACAGCATTACATCTTCTAAATTCTTTGGTGTTGTAAATCCAGTACAAATTTTGCAACAATGCTCTTGTTGACAAGTACAACTGTGATTTATTGAATGCATCGGCAAACTCACTTCTTCCAGCAAAATCCAACGAAGTTGTATCGCATCCAATCGATTCATCCTGTAAGGAGGAAACACTAGAGCCGAATAAGAACTCAGTGGCCGAGTCAACAGTGAAACGGAAAAACAACTCTTGGATGTCAAAAAACTGTCCTTTATTTTTCTCGACGTGTCTCAACAAGTACTGAAAGTGAGGTTCTAAGCTCTTGACATGAGCAATCTGTTCTCTAGCAAATTGAGGACGCAACATTGCTCGTGAATCTTTCCAACCAGCATGATCCAAAGTGAAAATACCATCACCCAAAAGTGGATCAAAGTGAGCATGTCTTGTACCTAACGAGAAATCATTAAACTGAGTGGCCAACACTGCTTTGATATTTTCTGGATCCTTGGTGAAAACTACTGGTGTACCAAAAACAAAACCCTTGTATGTAGGCACTTCAGGATGAGGTAACAAATCATACAGTTTGCGATAAAATTCAATACCTGTACCTGCTTTCTTTTGCTTCAAAGCCTGTAAACCTTCAGCAACACCGAAAAAACCCCCATTGATATCATTGGTGAATGGCTTGGCCTTAAATTTGCGCATCAAGTATTGTCCATTAATGTAGTTTAAGACGAGGTAAAGTAGGAAGACCGATGGGATGGTTACATACCAGTATGTAGCAATCATTGACTCAATCATATTTCCTATCGATTAATGTGAAATGTGCGTGTGTGTGTATTTTGTTATTTTGTAATTCTGGTTTCTATTTTTAAAGCTGTAATGAAATCAAATGACACAACGGTTTAGTAGTAATATCAAGTAAAACGTGTGTATATGATGATGCAAATGGATGATGTTCGTCAATGAAGTATTTTCTACTAAGGAATGAGATGTAAAATGTTGAAGAAAATGTATCGAAGAAATGTATATGAAAATGTGGATATATATAAACAGTTTATACACCACTCTTCTTTTTCTCTTGTCTTAATCACATGTATAAGTAGATAACTCATTTTACATTAAATCCATCTATACATACATACAGCACGAAGTACATTACAGGAAACTACAATAAGAATAGTAATCTCCTTTTCTTATTACTTCTTTTAGTTTATTGTTTCAATTTTAATTCCGCATTAATTGGCCCCACTATCCCCTCTTTGTCTACGTTTGTGTAATGTGGAAACACCTACATCTCCACAAACTGTCTCAATACACACACAGACATACACATACACATACACATACATAGAGGCTCTGAAGGAAGAACAAGATGAGCCCCAGAATCCAGAGAAGTATGATTGCGTTGGATGTAAAGATAGAATTTCTTAGATGCAGTGGAGGCTTCTTTGTTTTCTTTTTATCAATTTCTTTGGTGATAAATGAACAAAGTTTCGGAGTTGAGCTTTTTGGTCACAAAACTGGAGCCAGTCATCCTTTTGCAAAGAGTAGTGGTTTTTATATGTAGCTACATCATGATTGTATTTTGACTTTCACATAACCTAATGGCCAAAAGTCACTACTATTATTCTTGTCAGAGTATAAGCATGTCATCTGCCATCCACCCCCCTTTGATACATAGAAGAGAGGATAATGTACATGTTCCAATTCAAAAGGGACTCCAAGGACATATCAGCATTATTTCTAACCAATCTTTCCTTTTTGGTGATGGTTAACGGCTATCTGGTTTGTTTTCTGCGACATACGAAAAACAATAGAAATGCAACCCCACATTTCCATACTTAGGATATAAGATAAACAAATATTACACAAAATTACACGGAGTTAATCATAAATCTCACATTTTCCTTATGCCAAGTTTGCAACCCTTTACAAGGAAGATAGATAACAAAACACCCCACAGTTTTCAATACTTCAACCACTTGCAATTTCAGATACATTAATTTTCTGTATCGGACAGACTCGGAAGTATGAATGCTCCCAACAAATACTTCTGAGACGATGTAATAAGACTACATCTCGTGGATATGAACTTTGCACATGTACCTTTAAGTCCAAATCCATTAGAGAGTAGGAAGACTGTGAGTCTAAAAGAAAGTTACAGAAACCCAGCAAAACTTGTTTCTTCAACTCACAGAGCTTTTTCTTCTTTTTGTCATCAATGCTTATCAGCAAAAATTGAACTTTCGTAAGTTCACTAGCAATACATAACTAGAAATCAATGAATCTAATTTTTTCATTTTTATCATACATCAGTTAAGTGGATATTTTTTAGTTGGTTAAAGTCACCATAATACGTCCTAAGTAGCACATCGACCATGGTACCCTACAGCCAGGTATCATTTCACTAGAGTGCGGTTGAACAGTAATAAGGAGCAAATTCTAAAAGTGCAGCGGAAATGTATAGAGTAAAGTACAACAAGTGAACCTATTTTCAGAATTGTTGCAATTTCATCAAATACGCCAAAACGATAAAATGGTAGCTCTAAGTTCAAGACGCGTCTGGTTTTATCATCATCATCATCATCATCACACACAAAATATTTTTTAACAAACAAACCAGACTACACAAGATATTGATACAGCATCAAACATGGGAGTCAAAGGTCTCAATCAACTAATCAAAGAGCATTCACCTCATGCTTACAAGGAATTTCAGCTAAAGAACTTGTTTGGCCGCAAAGTTGCTATTGATGCATCAATGTGTCTTTATCAATTCCTTATTGCTGTACGCCAGTCAGACGGTCAACAATTAACCAACGAAGATGGTGAAACAACATCACACTTATCAGGATTCTTTTACCGTACTATACGAATGGTGGAAAATAACATCAAGCCAGTCTATGTATTTGATGGGAAACCACCAGTGTTAAAAGGGGGCGAATTGGAAAAGAGGTTATTACGTAGAGAAGAAGCTCAAAAACAAATGGATCAGATAAAAGATGAAGGAACAGTTGCTGAAGTTATGAAATTTGAAAAAAGGTTGGTGAGAGTGGGGAGAGACCAAAATGATGAAGCAAAGAAGTTGTTGGAATTAATGGGAATACCTTATGTTAATGCTCCATGTGAAGCTGAAGCACAATGTGCTGAGTTGGCCCGTGGCGGTAAAGTATTTGCTGCTGCATCGGAAGATATGGATACTCTATGTTATGAACCACCGTACTTGTTGCGACATTTGACGTTTGCCGAAGCTAGAAAAATGCCCATTGATCAAATCACCTATAGTGAAGCTATGGAAGGATTAAACATGCCCAAAGAACAATTTATCGATTTATGTATTTTGCTAGGATGCGATTATTGTGAAACGATAAAAGGAGTCGGACCAGTCACTGCATTTAAGCTAATTAAAGAACATGGATCATTGGATAACTTGGTCGAATACTTGGAGAAAAACCCCGACAAGACGAAATTCAAAGTCCCCGAGAATTGGCCATACAAGGAAGCCAGACAATTGTTTATGCATCCTGAAGTAATAGAAGCCAAGGACGTTGAATTGAAATGGAAAGAGCCCGATGTCGATGGATTAATTGAATACATGGTGAGACAAAAGGGTTTTAGTGAAGATAGAATTAAAAGTGGTGCTGAGAAATTGAAAAAGGGATTGAAAGGAGGCGTACAGGGTAGATTGGATGGGTTTTTCCAAGTTGTATCTAAACCTAAAGATAATGGCAAAGATGATAAAAAGAGAAAAGGTGGTGATAAGAAGGGACCAGCTAGTAAAAAATCAAAGAGAAAGTAGTATAGTAACAAGGGACTTTGTATCTTTTATTTACGACAAAAAAAAAGGTTGAAATGTAACTCAATCTAATCTCTTGATTTAGGTTTCTTCTTTTCAGCTTCAGCTTCCTTTTCAGCTTCAATTTCATCAACATACTTCTTAATTTCATCTATAGTCAATTTCTCAATCACTCCACCGGGTTTCATTATTGAAAGTTCAATATTTTTAGCACCAGTCTGCACCACTTCCAACAAAGATTTAACTGTCAATTTAATCGTTTCTTCATCATTAGCTTCGTCTTTGTAATGTTTTTCTAAAAATTCCTTGACTGTTTTGGCCGATCTTCCAATAGCATGAGCTTTCCACGCATTAAACACTCCACTGGGTTCGGTTTGATATAATTTAGGTACATCGTCATTTGTATCGAATCCAGCAATCAACGTGGCAATTCCGAAAGGTCTCGTACCTCCTGACTGTGTGTATTGTTGTTGCACACCAGCAACGTATTTAGTCAAGTATTCAACGCTAACGGCATCTTCTAAATTCAATCGATGCGATTGTGCCTCTACTCTGGCTTTATCTATCAAGATCCTTGAATCGGCATTCAATCCAGCAAATGCTAATAATATGTGGTGGTCAATTTTACAAATCTTGGATGGCGTTGTTCTAGGGTCTTGCAATTTCAAAGTAGTTCTTCTTTCGCATCCCAATACAACAATGTTTTTGCCCTTGACTCCTACTGCACAAGTACCTCTTTTGACCGCTTCCGATGCGTACTCGACTTGGAAAACATGTCCATCAGGCCTAGATAAATGGGGAAAATTGTTAGTATCATATGGTTTTTTGTTGGTGTAAGTGGCCATTGGCGAAGTGGCCATTGGCGAGAATGAATAGTTGTTTCCAATGTCCAATTCCATTCCACAAACTAGGCCACACTAAATAACCGCAATTGCAGTATATACATACGAGAATATAGATAATGCACTATCGTATCCACTCATTGATCACTATGGTTGTTGTGTGCGTAAATAATATATTGTTGGTTGGAAACCTGTCAATCTATGGTTGGACTTTTTTGGGTTTTTTTTTTGCCATTGAAAAAAATTAAAGAACGTAGCTTAGTAGTAGCAGTAGCCAAACAAAGAAAAAAGACCTTTATTAAAGCGCTTCAAAGTTTAACTGGGCCATAACAGAGTTATGGGAAAGAAAGATAAGACAACGAAGACGAATAGCAAAAATGCCCCCACATCCAAACAGATCCCTAATAGAGACAACTTTGCAAGACTAAACTACTTGTACCAACTAAGTAATCATTTCACAGTCGGCTCCTCCTGCTCCTCTTCCTGTTCCTCATCCAATCAAAGTCTAGCCCGAGGTTATGATCGCAACTTGGATCTACTATCAAAGCGTACCCTAAGTAAACTTTCACCCTCAGTCAAGAGATCCATATGTAAGAAATGCCATGTGTTGCTAATACCAGGAATGACAATGTCAATACGATTAGAGAATTTATCCAAGCTGCAAGATCCTAAAAATGATGTGTTTGTCAACAAGTGTTTAAACTGTGGTGAATGCAAACGTTTCCCTATTGGTGCTGATAGAGAATATATCCCATTTTATGAACGAGGGTATATTGATGAGCCCAAGAGCGGAGAGAGTTTTGATGAACGAAACAACATCTAAAAGTCGTTATGTAAATTATATATATATATATATATATATGTATATACACTGCCTACATGTATATAGTAAAAATAATATTAATCCACCTCGTTATAGAGAAATCATTGAATCTTTTCCTCCCAGCCCATGTATGCATATGCTTTAAAGTAAACTTAAGCCATTGCAGCACACAAGGCAGCACCAACACCAGATCCATCTTTTGCGATTCTCAAATAAACCTTTTTATGAGTTCCTTCCAATGGATTAATCACTTCGATGGCCTTCAATATAGCATCTTTGAAACCGGGGTAAAATTCAACAACTGATCCATCACACCCAACTTCCAAATCCTTATCATCATCCTTGTATTGGTCTTTAACCCTACGAATAATGGTGGCCAATGGAATAGCCGACAATTTAGCAGCTCTATTGGAGATGGCTCTAGTTAATCTTTGAATAACAATTCGTTCATATTTAGTTGTTGGTAATCTCAATGTATTTTGTAAAATCAATTCTGACATTTTCAAATCAGTTGAATCATCAATTTGAATATATGACAAAACTTCTGCATCTAATAACCAAGGTTCAATGATTCTATGAGGTAAACTACCACCTCTTTCCTTGTATAATTCTTGGAAAATTAATCCTCGTTCAAATAGTTCCAACAAAACAACTCTTAAAATTTCACCAAGAAACATTCCACTAATTCTCTTTTCAAATAAATGATATCCTTTATTGGCAGTTTCTTTATCGACAATTTCATCAAATAAAGTACTGGGCAAGATTTTCAATGTATTGTCAAATGACCCCCATTCAGTATTTATAACCATACCTTGACATCCTTTTGGAGGATTGGTTAATTTGGGAATGTTTTCAATGGTTTCGTAATAAGCCCCATTGGTACCAGTGCCAAATATACAGCCAATCATTGTATGTGAATTGGTCAATTTAGGATTATTTTGATAAGCTCTTGACAACAAGGTTCCTACAGTGTCATTGGCCAAGGCAACAACATTGACATTGACTTCCAATACTGTCAAGTTTGCTTGTAACAAGTCAACGACATCTCTATCGACTGCATCGGGAATATCAAACCCCTTTGTCCATCTAATCAACGTACCATGACCCAAAGCAGTTTGGTCTACTGGGAATGAAAAAGTGAAACCCAACTTTAATGGTTCTGCAGTTTTAGCTCTAGCATCATTATGATGTTCTTCAAGAAAAGTATCAATTTTAGAAGCCAAATATTTAAACAAATCATCAGCCTTCTTACACTTCATTAATTCAGGTGGGATTCTGTATTTGCTTTGTCTCAATTCAAAAGTATGATCACCTTTTAAATCAATGGAACAAACTCTGAAATTGGTACCTCCTAAATCGGCAGCCAAGAATAATCCCGTCTCCTTACCAGTAGGAATCTTGGAGACATGAGCAGGAATCATGGGCATATTTTCCCTCGATTGTTTGGGAGCCTTTAAACCAGCATCCATTTGTTGAAGGAAATAGTCTGATGCTTTAATAAGGTAATCATCGTCAATGTAGAATTGGTTTTCAATTTGACGAATAGCAAGTTCAACTTTATCTGGAAGTGACATCAATAGTATTTAGGTAGAAGTATGCTTGGTAGAAATATAATTGAATTTGAAATATAATTGAATAATGAATAATGAAAAAAAAAGAAAAACAAAGTTGTATATGAACAGAATATAGCAAAGTAATTTAAAAAGTAAAAAGTAAGAAGTTGAAAATTATCCGACAACAAACAAAGAAAAAAGAAAAAAGAAAAACAACAAAAAGAGAGAAAGAAATTATTTCAAACAATTGTGTATGTGACACAAAATAAAAAAAAACAAAAAACGAAAGACCAAAAAACGAAAGACAAAATCAGAAACATTTTACAACTCCTGGTATTAAACTCTTAATAGTGTTGTATTATACAGGATAGTAGAACAAAAACCAAAAACCAATCATCAAAAATAGCTACAAAGTAGTGGATAAAATAATAAAAGGTAAGTAATATCTCAACATGATAGATATACTTATATTTTAAATGTTGTATATATGTGTGTATATATGTATATATGTATATATGTATGTGTATGTGTATGTGTATGTGTATGTGTATGTACTTTATGTATGTACTTTGTGTAATGTTCGGAGTATACGTTTGCGAAACAGAGAATGAGGCATTTAAGGGAGGCGAGTGAGACAATTAGGAGTGAGAGTGAGCAAACAGGAGAGTCATGCAATTTGAATCTCTGTCTATCAATCAATAACCTATTCTCCACTTCCGGCTATTAATCAATCAATTTATTAATAGTCATAGTCATAGTCAAGTCAATGACTATAACATATACACATGCCACTATAAATTTTATCTTTTGAATAACAGAATATTAAGAAAAGAGTGCTGTAGCCGTTGTAGTAGTAGTAGTAGTAGTAGTAGTAGTTGTTGTTGTTGGTTTTTAGTCAATTTGTTAAAACTGGGTTTAGTTAACTGCATTTTTATTGTTAACACTACAAGAACAAAAAAGAAACGGCTATTTTGGTTACATTGATATACGTTTTACTTCCAACAACATACAACATACAACATACAACAAACAATATACACTGACATTATCAGAAATTTGGGACAAAGAGGGGTTTTCTCAATCAATCAATTAATTGAATACACCTGTGTGTATATGTAAGTGTATATGTAGTATGTAATACGTAACGTGTTTTGAAAGAGAAAAGAAAAGGGGGGGAGGGGGGGAGGGGGAAGGGGGAAAGATGCAATTGGACTGACCCCCCTTGATAAATGTAACAGTATATGTACAGTGTTGTTAGTAGAATATTTGGATATATATATATATATATATATATAACCACACAAGGTAATAGACACCTATTCCTTTAAACAAAGGATAACTTTGTACTACAATACCACCAAACAAACAAACAAACAAACAAACAAACATGAGAGGTTATGGTGGATATAGCAGCTATGGAGGTGGGTTTGGTGGTAGCCGTGGTTATGGTAGCAGTTACGGTGGCAGTAGTAGTAGTAGTAATAGCAGATATGGCGGGAGATCTTCAACTAATAGATACTCGTCATCATCATATGCTGCACCAACACAAACAAGTGGAAACAAATACACACAATCAACCACACAACAACCAAAATACTATTCATCCCAGAAGCTAAACCAAAAATCCAACAATTATGGGAATAGAAGTACTACTAATGCTGGTCAGTATAAACAAACCCAACCCAAACAAAACTACCCTCAGTCTCAATATATTCAAGGTTATGGCAACAACACTAACAACAAAAACAACAATGGCAGAGGACAGAGTTACCCTTACTCAACTTCAAAATACAGATACAAGAACCAAACCGTTAAAAATAAAACAGTTAATCAAAACATCAATGTCAATCAACAGCAGCAACATGGTAGATTTGGTCGTTTTGGTGGCGGATTTGGTAGGATGATGAAGTGGCCACTCATGTTTATGATGTTTGACCGATTCAGAAGACCAAGACATGAACCTATGCCTATGCAGCAACAACAGCCACAACAACCTCCAATTATAAATGTATACAATCCACCACCACCACCACAAGCACATGCCCCTGATGCGACTCAGCAAACTGATCACAGAGGTGATGTTATTGATAACAAAACAGGCGAAGTTAATAGACAAGATGGTGACTGGTATCCTACTGAAAATCCTTTATCACGTAAAATAAACTTGACTCAAGATTCATCCAATGATGCCAATAATAGTGGTTCTCAATTTGTTGAAGATGATCATGACATTGAACCATCAACAAGAGTTCAAATCACACGAGCCAAAAGCGAACCCAAACCCAATAGATTACGAGAATTATCTCATACTCCCACAATTGAACCAGTTAGTAGTAATGCCTCAAGTGGTGGTGGTGGCAATAATAATAATAATAATAATAATAATAATATTCTGGATCTTCATGAACTTCGTGGGTATCATACTAATGAAATACCTAATTTACAAACAAGATCAAGACCAAGTAATAAAGATTTACTGAGAGGATTGTCTAACCAAACCATTGGATTACAAAGTATTCTTCGGCAATCTCCTCCACAGGAGTTGTGATCAATGGTGGTTGTTGGTTATGGTCTTTCATAGGTACTTATTATGGCTCTTTAGTGTTTATTTTTTTATTTTTTTATTTTTTTATTTTTTTATTCGAATAAACGCATTTACTGCTATACTTACATCTTCTTTACCGTTATCCGGAAAAATAGATCCTCTTGGATAAAAGGTGTAGTTCTATAGCTAACCTTTAGACATGGCTTGCAACTCTTACCAAGTGGTTTTATATAGTTTTTTGCAACACCTAACACAAAACCCCACCCACCTGCAACAAAATGTAAACAACACAACCAAACAAATTCGAGAAAGTAAAAAAAAAAACAATAACTCTAACAACATCATAATATCACCATTATGGTACCACCACCTCCATTTAGGCCATATGGTGGAGATGATTATCGAATAGTGAGTGATCTATCTCGATTCGAATACAACAATGGCAATAAATTACCTCGATTACGACGTTCACGTAATACAACACCAACAAACTCAGACTTCACCGAGATTGAATCATCGACATCATCTACAGCTAAATTGACCATTGATGGATTTTTACCGTTTTATGCATCACAAGTAGATAATGACTATAACAATAACGAACTGGGATCCTACTATGGGTCATTGCAACTGAAGGACTTTTCAGTGCAGGGTGAAGAACTGTTTCTGCACCCATTGCCAATACGACGAGAACAACAAGTTTCAATTGGGGTGCAAGTACCACAGGATAATGCGTTTTTACGACCGCCCCCACAAGTGCCACCAAAAGATATTCCGACGAGAACTCAATCTCAACGTGAATTCCTTCCATATCCTCCATCAATTTTCGAAAGCAATGATACACCTCCATATGACAACAACGCACTACCACCACTACCCCAACCTCAACCTCAACTTCAACCGCGGGGGGAGAAAATGTATGCCAAAGTTACCCAATTTGATAATGGAGATAATGATAGTTTAATGTCACGACAAAAGAATTTGGAACATGATTTAATCAAACTGGTGATGAATCAACCGTTAATTTCATTCAAGACGGGTAAATTGGGAGATCGATATTATGGACGCAAAATCACCATTACAGTCAACTTGATATTATACTTGTTTGAAATTTGTTGCAGCATAATTGAAATAGTTCTTTCATCGGTTCTACTTCAACAAGATTCATCCATAACTGTTGGTGTTTATCGTTACTTTATAGCTGATGGAGTAATCACAATTATAGTAGCACTACTATTCACAATGCAGATTGTCACTTATGAGAAAAGAAATGGCAGTTTTTACTGTACTGCAGCAGTAGTGTTTAAATTAATTTCATTCATCATGATTATTGCTTACATTTTCCCCTACAATCACAAGCAAACACAACGAGTTTGGCTGATTAGAAGAGCATTGGGGGCATTTATCATCATTTCCACGTTTGTTTGGATTTGCAACTTGGTTATGTTTTTAACCACGCTTTATATATCAAGGTTGAATTTACTTGAAGATTTGAATTTTGATTTTGATCAACGTGGACTCAATGACGAATTTAATGTGAAAGCAGGTGATTATAGAAGAGGTGACAATGATGGTGATAAAGATCGGTTGAAGGCGTTTTATCTTAATGAGAATGGAGAAATGTATGCATTACATGACAATGAAGAAAGGGAAAAGTACAGCAAGAATAACAAGATATTAGTGTATACATTCTAATAGAAGGATGATAAAGTGATTATACTAATAATTTCCTGCCCGTATGTTTGAATAATCTATTATAACCATTCTTGATATTGAGGGGCGAAAACAACACAAAAGAGTACCATCCACCCCTCTGTGAAGTTTTCCGTACCAAAAAAAGGAAAATAATATCCCACTGTTCTTCCTTCTAGGTCCTGGTTTGATCACCTATAGCTACAACGGAATAAAACTCAACCATGTTGGTCAACTATGCTATTGCATTATTGCTTTATTTCCAGTTGGGTTTTGCTTTACTTATTCCCCATGTTCTCAAACCACGTATTTTTTCATTACGTTCAACAAAACAACGATTACAAGCAACCATTAACCCATTAGTCCCCACTAGAAAGTATCAAAAGGATTTCTCGATTCATTCCATTTTGGATGGGAATAGAGATGATGACAACAGTGGAGACGATGGTGCTATTTACACCAACAGATCGGGCCTCGATAATGACAATTTTGTTATAATTCCCAAGGAGTTGATCAACCCCACCATGTTTTCAACATTAGGTTTGAATAAGTTGTTTAATCTCACTGATAATCTAGATAAAGGACATAATAAATGGATGAATTTTAGTCTACAAGATCAAATTTTCATTCCTCATGAGTTCAAAACTTATTTCATCTTTAATACCAGTTTGGTAAAGCAGAGTTTGGGATTAGATATGATCCACAAGTTTCAACAGCAACAACAACAACAACAACAACAACTTGATCAAAATGCCCATTATAGCTCCAATACATTGCATAAATTCTTACTGCGTGTCGTTCCATTTGATATGCCTGAACTTGTCGAATTGGTTGATTATTACATGGTGTTACCGAATTTGCCCCAATTGCATAATTTAACCTCGTCAATCTATCATGAAGGGTTGTTGGGTTATCCCATGGATAAATTACCGGTGTTTCGGACACGTTTGAGTGAGAATAAACCATTGATTGTATTTATGTTTAATGAAACTGATGCTACGCAAATTGATGAATTTTCATCATCATCATTGTCAATGCAACTGGATTCAACAGGGACGAAAAAGGCAAAGCATATCATGTCGATTAAAAATTATTTGAAATCGCCAACTACATTTTCAACTTTTTTCGACACGTTTGCCAAGAATTGGATCCATCAAGTTGATTATGATTCATTGATCCATTCAGTGTTTTGTAATGTCAATAATCATGATGAGGATCATAGCTTTTGCTTGAGGGTGCGTCAACAAATGGTTGATATTGTCCCTGCATTTCAGAAATTTATCGCCAAATCTGATCCCAATGTTGTCGTTGCTGCTGCTGCTGCAAATGAACCTGTGCTGGATACTGCAGCATCATTGTTGAAACATGATGATGGACCTATTTGGGAAGATGTTAAAGTCGAGAGTCAAGCAGTTAAACAAGTTCATGATAAATTACAAGCCAAGAAACATGCCTTAACAATGGCAGGAACTGCAGGAGTCAATCTAATTAGATACCCCAAGGACACATTGCACAAATTGGATGATTTTATCGATGAGAAAATAGACAATCGATTGAATAAGATCGATGATAAAAAGGATTCGCTTTTAGATTCTATTGATGATAAAAAGTATTCATTTTTAGGCTCTATTGATGACAAACGCGATTCAGTATTGGATTCAATAGTTGAAAAGAAATCAGCCATTATTGGCGATGGTATTTGTAGTAGTGGTGGTTACTACATGGACGACCATGGTAAATTTAAATCGGCAATTGATGATAAACGACATCAAATTACTGATTTGATTCAACGTAAATCACAAGATTTACAAATGTGGAAATTCAAACCACAATTGTTTGAGAAAAAGACCAACAACAAGGGAAAACTGAAACTGAGACTAACTCAACATGACCATCCTGCTTTGTATTCTGATTATTCGGATGGTGATGAAGACGGTGATCGATACGGCTACAAGACTGATGGCGATGATGAGGAAGAAAGAGAATATATACACAAGAGAAATTTTGTTATTGATGATGCTTCTTTACTGGCCGGTGTTGGTGATTATGTCGAAGAAGGCGGGTTCTCGTTACCTTTATCATTGCTCAACTATCAAGGATCATCCACTTACCACAACAACAATGCAAACTACTTGAACGATATTGATGGTATTGACGAAGATGTTGATGATAATGGATCTCCAAGAAAGACGACTTATAGCCAAGTAATGAATTTAGACACCTTAAACTTGAAAAAGAAACGAGCAATATCCGACAATGATGGCGATGAAAATATTATTGATCAATGTCAACCAATTACATGGTACAACATATTCCACCGGAGTATATTTGGTGAGCCCAATTTTTGCAACGACCAATAAAACTTACCTTGGAGAGATTGACAACCAAAAACAGAATATTTTTTCTGTCATTAGGATAAACATATAAAATGACATTCTCTTTTTTTGATAATATACATATATATATGATGCTATATAATGAAGAAAAAAAACCACAATTACGTTTTGCTCGCCAATTCTCTTGTTCTTGTCCTCTTATTCTATAAATCATATAAAGAACAGATCAAGAAAATTTTTGAACCCAAACAAACGAAAAAAAATATGAATTGAATAAAAAAACAAAGATACACACCGGTCCTAATCCGTTTATTCATTGAATCGTCAAGAATAAGGCTGGGAGTCGTCGTTTCCTCACTTCGTGTGCAACGTCCACCACAAGATATATTTCATGCTATGCTCTGTGCTTTGTGCTTTGTGCTTTGTGGTCTCTGTTTTTATTTTTTCTTTTTTGCCTCTCTCTCTTACCTAAAAGCTGTTCGACTTCCACTAGGGTTTCGTTGTTGATAATATTGGTTGTTGCTATAAGCAGTATTTTGGAAATAGGGATTTTGTGGACTTGATGAGCTGCCTTGATACACTCCTGTTTGTCCATAACTGAAACCATTACCACTACTATTGGAATGATTTGTCGGCAATGCATTATATGGATTGCCTACAATTGTTGAACCCGGTTGCGTTGGCTCCATAAAACTTATTGAATCTCGTTTTGATGAATTATATTCGTTTGATCCAGACCCCGTACTTGATTCTAATCCAGGACCACTCATGTTTCTATTATTTGGATACACTGAATCTTCATCATAGGAATCATCATCATAAGCCAATGGATCACGTTTACCATGCTCATGCCCCTTCATTGCTGTTGCTCCTAATGCCATCAATTCCATATCATCATCATCTCCGGCCGCAGCACCTTTTTTACCACCGGCTTTAGGCAAGAATGAAACACGATCATCACGCATTGGCTGATATCTAGCATCAGGGTTCTTCCTAAATATTGCCAACAAACAAGTGACTATGGTGAAAATTAACAAAAACAAAGCAAATACTGCATTAAGCACAAAGTAAACCACAGCCATAACTGATGACACCACGTTTGGTTGGCCAAAAACACTCGAAAAGAACATAAAGAATAATGCATTGATGAAATTGATCACAGAAATGGTGATGTTGAATGCATTGGTTCTCTTGTCCATAAATGGCCGAATCCAACAAAGAACAACCATATGAAGCAATTCAATAACCCATATGATAACCGATTGTGGTTTACCATGATGTTGCAATACTGCCACCAATAATGATTTAATGAAAATGTAAAATATTGACACCCAAATGAACCAAAAACAATCAGCTCTAAATTGAACATACAAGAATCCAAATTTGTTGAGAAATTTGAGGTCTCCAAATAACAAATAGGCTGGATTTTTAAAATTTCTCACCGAATTTCTTCCCATAAGAAATACTCTCGTTGCCGCTTGGATCAACAAAACTAGGGTAATGACTAGCAAGAAAATAGCAACAACAACAGCACCTGCCGAATCCCTTGTTGTTAATTCCCAAATACACAATACTGAAACTTGAGGAAGGGCAATAATCAATAAACGATAAAGTGATCCTTTTATAATACCTCCCCAATGTTGACGATATTCATTAAATTTCTCAGCCTGCATGGCTTTACTTCTGGTCAAGATCTCAATAACGGCTTTAAATAACATAAGACAAACCACCATAACAAAGGCAAAAAATAATAGGAAACAGATACCCGTCAAGAATACATCAGTGATTTCAATACTGGCCAAATAAGCCACCCGTTGTATTCCACGTAAAACCAAAATCTTTCCTGATAAATCACTGGCTTTTTCATTGGTGGAATATAAATCTGGATCCAAACTGTCAGCAGTGCCAAAACTGTCAGAATCTAAGATAATATTGGCCCTTTTAGCTAATTTTGAATTTGATAACGCGCCAACGTCGTACGAGTTCATTCCTTCATACCATTCCATAGCTCTTTTAGCAAATCTTTGTACCGATATAGAGATATACGATGCCCCTAAAATATCAGTTGGTGTACCGCCAGTGGCTTGAATATACCAATTGGAAATATCTTGAACAAATCCAATCTTTATAAGACCAACTGACCACATAAAATTCTGGGCCCAAGCCGCAGCAATTGGTGGAACTCTAGCCACAGCCATCATTGCCATAATTGCCAACGATTGGAAATAAACGAAAAGCGACATCGAGTTAGAAGCAACGTGTGCCGCAGTACTTGAATGTCCAATAACCGATATAACACCAGAAGTTATAACACCCAAACCAGAAATTGCGGCAATTGGCCATCCAGCATACTTTGTTTGTACAGATTTACCATTGGATAAAGTTGCCTCAACACATGCTAATTGTTCATAAGAGTCTAAATCGTAAATCACCACTTTGACTCTAGCATCGACATCAGGGATTGTATAAGCAATGCCTGGAATTTGGCTGGTAATTGACGATCCTAACTGATAATGTGAATCGAGATTCAAGTGACCTGAAGTCAAAGGACAAAGAGGGTCGGAGCCTGAACCACTTGATGTATAATCAATATCACAAAGAGATATATTTTTTTGCAATACATTTAAACCATAAACAATGACATTGATATTAGCACCAACTTTTGCATCAATCGATGAGATGGCATTGATATCAAAATAGATTGTTCTGTTTCCCGGGTAAAATACAATATCGAAATATGATGCTGTAAATTGTGAATTATCCATACAAGTCAAAAGTGAACTCGATTTAATGTAATGGACAGCTGATACCACATTGAAAAGACAGGCTATGCTGACTAGAAGTAATTTGTAAAGCAACATGGTTTAAGAAGCTGAATTATGTATGGACGAGGGAGGGACAAGGCGGAGGGGGATAAAAGTTCTCTATGTTGTTGCAGTGATATGTAGTTTCTTGTAAGTGTATACGATTTGATGTTTGTGAGGATACAATGTTAGATAAGGTTACCACTCCAAGGATGTGAGTGTGTGCTGTTGTTGTATATTTGGGTAGTTGTTGTTGTTGTTGTTGTTGTAACGAAAGGCTGTGAATGTAGTGCTGCTAAAAGTTTTTGTCTTTAAGGCGGAGTAAAACAAAAGATTGGAGATTTCTAATTACTTTTCTTCACCTAAGCAAACATCAAAGAAGAAGTAGTAGACGTGGATAAGCTCTGATATATATATATCTTGTTGTCAGTGATTTCCCTTACTTTTATAATATTAGTAAGAGTAGTGGTAGTTGTTGGTTGCTATTAACAAATGAGTTTTACTTAAAGAACAAGGAGGAGGTTTTGTTCTCATTGATTTGTCGTTCGTCGTTTTCTTTTTTTCTCTCAAGAGAAAAAAAAAAAATTCTTTGTTTTTGATTTTGCGAAACAAAAATATAAAATCTAATTACGTAAGTACTCAGGTAATATATATATATATAAGATTCTAAGTTTGTGTTGTTGTTTCTAAACTTAGTAATTGTTTACAATTTTACCATCTACAAACCATGCACGTGATTTATACCAAGATAATATACAACTTCAACCACCTATATATATGCTATAGCAACAAACAGGAACAGCAAACAACAACAAAAACCAACGCGTACTGTAAGCTTTATATTCTACCACGAGAAAGTGCAACGACGTGACTTTATTGCTTTACAATTGTCTTTTGCAAAATGTTTATTTGCACGTGACATAGGAGAAAATAAATACGCACTACACACATAGACTAAACCGTGCCTCTAATATGCTTCCAATTTGTCACACTTTTTTGTTTCAACGTCTTTTTTGCTTTCAAGGCTTGTCAAGTGGAGTAAGTTATGAATGTCTCTCAGTTCAACACAAAGGCATATATTACAGAAAAAAGTGCTTGGTGGTGGTGGTGATGGCTAAAGAGAGCTAAGACTGGCCAACCACCAAGACATTCTAGATACACGCCGACAAGCATTTGTAGTTTTGGATTTCTTGACAAAAATTGACACTACTTTGGTGTTGCCAGCACCAAAGAAGAAAACGAAAAGCAAAGGAGGCCACTGCTTTAATCTTCCAATACAGACCAAAGCTTCGCTCTGTTATCCACATCGAAATGAAGAGCTAGGACTACTACCACTTCAAATAGTCCAGACGAATTAAATAGGAATCTAAAACCTGGCTAACCCAAATATCGTAAAGTACATTACTCTTACACATCACATTCGATTATGAAACGGTGTTATTAATGCTGGTACTTTGACTTTGTGCTATTTAAGCACTAATTGGGGCTGTGATGCAAACACATGCACAAAACTCCAGCCTCAAACTTTTAATTCCTTGTCATAGAATACGCAACTGGGATTCACCAACGCAACTCCGCCAACACATGATATATACAAGATAAATCTTCCTAGCCTCTGCTATGATATGCCTTGTCGAAAGAACTGACACGTGAAATAATTCCTTGTGGTAATAACACGGGCAAGTACCATAATACAACGTCGTCAACTGCATTATTTCATTATCAGAACAATACCTCTTGAGCTCAACACTAATATCACTGCCTTTTACACCAACCAAATACTTCAGTCCAATTATCTCTTTGTAGATCCCAAATCTAGATACCCGATGTATTTTCTGTGCATCCAGGAGGAAATGTTGGACTGAATTTACTTTGTTCTAATAAAAATGGGTCGTGTGCTCCGTGAGGTGCTTTGAACTTCCCCAGTTAATGCTAGTTCTTGGAAACAGCAACGCAAGCTCACAGACCCTTCTTATTAACTTTTCATTTATTACAAAAGTAGAAATAGTCAAATTCGGCAACGATCGATGTGTTGCACGTGTGATGCTTCTGTTGCTCTGGTCACAATTTGAAGAATATGAAGATGCATAACACAACCCAAGCAGAACCAATTTTGGGTGCTCGTTGTCAATCCGGAAACTAGAAAGAGTTGGTCCATATCAACATTGAGGGTGAGATATAATTCTAGAAGCAGAGAGGTGTCCAACTGTTGGGTAAACCGGGACTCTATCTCCTCTTCATTTTTAATTACATAGTACAACTTCCCTAATGCCAAAGAATGAGTATTATCATCCACCATATAATTATAATAATCATAATAAAGTGGAGTTTGAGTTGATTACTTGAGACACCTACTTTATGTACCGAATGATTGGTGTGGATCTAAATCTGTGTCACCAATGTGAGTGCTGTGTCTCTCCCTTTAAAAGAAACCGCGTTGGACTGAATTTATCTAATGTACTGGAAAACCTTATTATGTACTATGTCCTCTGGCTCTTCCACTACAATACGCTTTTGGATAAACTTGGAGTAAAGGATAGCTTTGTCAAACAAAAAGGTCAGGCTCACGAGAAGAGGTCAACTAACTGATCCCTTGATTTGGGTCCATTTATTCCAAATATTTATCAAATGACGCTCAGAAGACTACTGCTTGAATCGTCCAGTTCACTATCCTATTGTGTATTATGCTGCCCACCTTGTAGTATATCATAAACATACAAAATGGTATAATTTGGACCTTGCAATAAGGTGTAATTTCGAGCGCAATAGAGCAAGCACTATGGCTTGCTGTTGATAGATATTTTTAAAAATAAGCTCAATTGCATGGTTTAGCAAATCAGTAAGCGTGGCCATTGATAGGTTTTCATCGAAAGGAAGCCAAAAAAAAGGTAAAAAAAAAACAAACCGAAAACGTAGTAGTTTGAAAAGATTGCCAGGTGTTATAGTTATGTAGTTTGAGTTTCTCGGTTGCTCCTTCCTAAAAGCTGGACTACATTTTAACAGACATTGGTTGCACCTGGCTGCAAAAACGAGAGACGTGCACACAAAACTGAATGTGATAGTATGACAGTATTGTAAACTGTTCCTAGAGAAACAAGGAAATCCTTTGTTTTTTGTCTTAGATTTCTAAGACAGAGTTATATGATGACTTCTTGGTAAAACCAGGTTTCATAATCTTTAACGATATCAACTGATTGGTATTTATTAAAAATGTACTACTATTTCAACTTGTTGTGAGAGGGATCTTTTGCACCCCGAGAATACTATAACAGCCTGACCACTAATAAGGAATACCATTGGTAATTCTTTGAAATTCATCATATCCTTTAGTGTAGAAACTCTCCATTGATTTCTTAATCAATTTCCTAAAATATGCTGCCGCTTCTTTATCAGTTTTATCAGGCACAAATCTCAGTCTCAAGTTCTTAATAGTTGTATCTTTAAAACACGGCAATCCTGATTCCAACATTGGCACAACTGTTCTCACAATTAATTCCATGTATGGACGACATGCCAAATACCCCTTGATACATAATTCTTCAAACCATTTAAAAGCCTGCGTATCTTCGCTCCCACCTAATACCATAACCATTTCATGGGTCAACTTGAACGGTGCCGCTTCAAATTTAACTCCTCCGGGAACAATATCAAAACAGAATCCGAAATCGATATGTAAAATATGACCTTGATCATCATACATAATATTACCATTGTGTCTATCCTTAAATTGCAACAAGTATGAAATAACAGAATAAGCAGCTAACGATTTAACTAAATTGTTTCTGGCTTGTTGAAATTCAATTGACTTTTGCGGTCCAAACTTGGTGATGAAATATTCAAATAATCCATTTACCGCTTCTCTTCCCAACATATCTCTTGATGTAGCATTGGGTAATACATCAATCACACCACACCCGGGAGCAGTAGCCGTAACTCTATAAGGATACACATAAAGATCGAGCCCAGCATCGCTCCAAATGGTTCTAAAGATGGAAATCAATTGTAATGCCAACACATCTTGTCGACAATCATCACCAACTTTGAAAATGGCACTTTGCCATTTCTCAATTTCAACTTGTTGAGGCTTTCCATGCTCATCATAATCAGTCAATTCCTTTTTAATCTTGAATGTAGCCATAAAGGGAGCTTTAGCATGCGATTGCAATGGCTTACCAGATTTACGATTGATATCAATAACAACACCGTCAGGATTCGAAGGCAAGTACACCCCAGGCTCAACTTTAATTAATGCCATTTCTTCATCAATCTTGACCTTTTTCTCCGCCTTGGATTTCTTGATATATGGCTTCAATTTACCGGAAATATCAGTAACTTCATTGAAAAACCCAAATTCTTTATGATAAAATTGCAAATCTTCTTTACTCAATTCTTTCAACATGGTTTCTTGAATTCTATCCAACACTGGTTTTAAATCATCGGGCTCAGTCGAATCATCATCCTTGTAACTATTGGCCAACATATTCCAGATAATTTGATGGGCGAATAGTTGTGATACTTTAGCAGTTTCAATAATAAACCGTTCAACATACCCCTTAGCATCATGACGTAACGATTGTACAATTTGTGGAACATAGAAGAATGTCAAATTGACATCATGCGTTTCTAATGATCTCATGGTATATTGCAAGATATATGGATTAGCACCAAAAGGTGGCAAAAACAATGTAATAGCATCGATTGGCGACACTGGTGTCCAGAATAACAATTGATGGGATGGCATGTGAGTACCAAGGTTAATACCAATGAAAAACGGTACCGCATCGGGGTATGCAATGGCTGGGAGTGGATTCTTGATAATCAATTCTTGGATTAAATCATCATGACTCTTGCTCTGGTACCTCATTGCTAAATTGATAGCCAAGATAGGGTCAATTTCATATGAACTTGTGATTTGCACGCGAGTTACTTGATTTCCTGAGCCTCTAATTGTGCCTGAAGTATCAGTTGGATTTAACGAAGTTAACCAAACATTGAACTTGTACACTTCATCATCAAGGAATTGCAAGAAAATCGTGCGCTTGATCTCGATATCCTTCAGATGGAAAACCGACACTGCATTAGCCATTCTGGCAACTTCATTCATCACAACCGCTTCACTCTTGAACTTCAACTTGTTACCGCCAAAAGGATAAACAAATCTTTGCCTGAACCAAGTCAATGCACCATCAAATATCAATTCAGTCAAGTACTTGCAAATTCTCGATCCCAATTTCAAATGAACTTGTAAAACTTCGAATGAAAATTTAATCAATTCAAATCGAACCAATCGTGAAAGTGGATGATAACTAGCAAATTTCAAATTTTTCAACCCAACTTCAATAAATCGAGTAAATAATTTTAACAAGTGATCACTTTGATTCAAGGTGGCTTCAAAATTACTCGAAAATAATCTCACCAATTCCAAATGAGGTCCGAAGCTTCTCTGGGCCTTTTCAGCCAATCTCAAATCAGTTGCTCGGTTACTTGGTGCATACTCCATTCTATCAAATTCAGGGTGAACAATGTCAAGCTCTTGAGAAAATAATCCTTTTCTTAATTCAATCGATTCCTCCCATTTTTGTGCCAATTCACTAAGTAACAACATACTCAACTTTGGTTTATCCTTCATAACAGCAAACCAAACGCCGCTTGCTGGAATCATAACCAGTGGCTCAAATAATATGAATGGAATTTCAACCAAGTACCTAACCAATTCAGCATTGTTGACATCAGATAACAATGCTAATCCAGCAATTTCCGTTAACAAACTCATAATCTCATCATCTGATGGATTTTCTGTAAACTGGTCAAACAATCTCAGCCTGATATTGAACACCTTTTCTCTAATGGCCTTGAAGGCTATATCAGATTCTTCATCAGTTCTCAATGGTAATTTATTCATCAATTGAGACACAAAATTTGATCGCCAATTTAACTGAGATACAATCGAAGGTGTCGTATCCAAGGCAGAAATGTTGGCATATGTGATTCCTTGTAAATCACGATCATGCGACGAAATAACTCCCGACATTTTCAATGCAAACGAAAGTCCAAATTGAATGGGTGCATCGTATTGCAAATCCTCATTGGCGGCAACATACGATTGAATCAAGCTCTTGACATCAATATTTGTCTTGTACAATAGCAACTCAACCCAACCCTTGGCCTTTTCATGGAATCGGTTGAAAGTGGAACATCTCCAGTCGTAATCATCCGACATGGTGATCTTAATTCCAGTGCATTTGGCTCTAAATGATGTTGTTGGTCCATATTCATGAACATCAGCGTCTGCAATACTTTGGAACAATAACGTCAAAATATCAAAAAGGGCAAACAAGGACTTTTTATGACACAACGAAGCTGATACTTTATTTATCAACAAATCACAACATTGGAAAGAGGCATCTTGCATTTCTGCAACCGGATGTGTAGTCAATGTCAACATGGTAGTCAACTGATTAGCAATATGGTCGGCACTGAATTGCTTATTGGCACCAGCATTAATCAAGCCAATATAATCGCGAACAATCTTGAAGGCAATGGGTCCCAAGTATTTATCAACAGCAGAAATCTTACTCGTTGGATCAGTGAAATAATACAAAATCTTTGAGCAGTCACCAGTTCGAACACGTAAACCTTCACAAAGGGCAGTGGCCGATAAAAACATCAACTTTGGGTACGACATTGAACGATGAACTTCAAAAATATCACCCAAAAACGACTTGTGGTCTTTGATATTGTGGTTTGATGAGCCTCGGCGCAATACAGTATTCAATTCAATTGATGTTTCAGTTCTATCCCATGATCTCTCTGATGCCAATGGAGGGGAATTATAGGCAATTCTTTCCAACTCCTCTTTGAAGACTTTACAATTCTTGGAATTCAAATTATAGCCATGAACAACCATATTAAACCAGATATTTCTAAACAAATTGATGGTTTCAGTTTTCTCAATTTTCAAAGGCTCTTGCCCTAAATGCACATCGGGTAATAATTCAGCCAATGGTTTCAAATAAACAGCAATTTGATCTCCAACTTCACTGATTTCATTATGAGACCTATGGTGCTCCAATTGCTGAACGTCACCTTTGCTAATAATTGAATTCAACAACTCATGCAAGTAAACAAAATACAAATGATTATCTGGTTTCAACTTGGATGACAAAATCATTCTTGAATCATTCAAATGGCCTAACAAGGCAATGTTCTTTCGCTCAAAAGAATCAACTGTCAACTTGTTCAACAATCTAATCAAGATGATAAATTCACGTTCAGGAACATAGGGAGCACACGAGCACAACCCTTTTAAAATCAAAGGTCCAATTGCTGATTCGATCTTGGTCACTTTTTGCGACAAGATAGTACAAGCCAATGCTGGAATAGATTCATCATCACAAGCTTCAGAAACTTCAACAATGGCAGTAATGGCATTTTCACAAACTTTTTGATAATCATTTTCATCATATTCACCCGACAAACTGCCCTTGCTAAACATTTGCGAAAATGAAGTCATTGAAGTTCTTCTTGAAGACATTGGTGATGATACAAATTCTCTTGCTGATGCATTATCAGCACCGCCACCACCAGCAAAGTTTCTTGTTGCTCTTCTAGCACTTTTTGATGGTCCTTGCAATCCTTCATTAGTGACAAACAACAAGTTGGTTAATGAATAGATTGTAGTAACTACAGCATCTTGAGGTAGTCTCTTACTTCCCAAGCCAACACACTTTGAAGCTTCTAAACAATAGTGTGGCTCCAATTTTGGATTAGCAATAACCGAGGTAAACGCTCTTGTCAATAAGGGACCAATCAGTTCGTCCTTGAAAACCAACAAGGATCCAAATTCAAACACAGTCAATCCCAAGTCAGAATCCAACATGGCATCCTTAATCTCAATATTGGCCTTGAACAATTCCCTTGAAGTATCAAGGTCCAAATTATCAGTAAACATTCCACAACTCAAAACTTGTAAATTAAAACTCTTGGCCAAAAAACCCAATTTCAACCGATTATAAGTTGAATAAACAATATAGGTTTCACCTCGATCCAAAAATTCCAACTTTCTCAATGCCAACTCAGTTAAAATTTTAATAATCTCCATTTGAGCTCTTGAAAAGGACAAATGATCCTTACCGTGACCAATAGATCTACCATTGGCTTCATTTTCATCGTCATATTTCTTGGCTGCTTGGTTCAACAAAAAGGGCAATAACGACTGTGATTTTGAATTCAAAATTTCACCAAGGACTGAGCACATCAATCTCGATAATTTTTCAAGATAAAGAATGGGGGAAAAATTGAGGCAAAAATCACGTTCCAACAACTCTTGATATGGATTTGGTTCATCATAAAGATAATCGGAATAATTCTCAATATCACTAAGAACTTCAGAATTATCAATAGAAGAATCCAAGTTGGTGAAAATTCGAAATGTTCTTGATGAATACGTCAAAAACAGGGCATTCTGGTTTAACCCGTCAATGACTCCAGTTAAAGTAAGGAAGTTAGACAATTGCAAATCAACATTATCGAAAAATTTCTCAATAAATTGATGGAAAACTTCAACCACTTCGTCGAAAAATTGTTTGTTTGATTGATAAGCCAAATTGATCAATGCAATTGTCAATTTTTCTCCAAGTAAAGTCCATGGGGCAATGGCAACCGATTTAGATACAATACTATAAGCAAATTGCTGATCGGGTAATTCAAACAAATAAACTTTAAACTTGTCAATTAAGGCCTTAATTTGACCGGTTAACTTAATTGGTTTAGCAGTCGCGTCACATAATGCAACTAATGTTTCGTATTCCTTAGGAGCAATGGCAACCTTGGACATTTTTTGCTCATTTACACTAACAATAGATTTACGTAACGGTAATTCCTTTGGAGTTGATGTCAATAATTTAGCAAAATCATCCTTCTGGATACCAGTGTTTATCTCTTTCAAGTTAGATGGAACATGTTCTACCGTAAGTTCAGCTAATTTCTTGAGTGCTTCACCACGAATGGTACCACGAGTGATACCATAAAAATCCATCGTTGATCGAGACTTTGGAGTTTCTTGTGAGTAGAAGAGTGAATAAGGGTATGGAGATAGGGTGGATTACTTATTTATTTCTCTTTGTTGAAATTTTTTGGGGAGAGAGGGACAAGGAAAAAAACAAACAAAAAGTGGAGAACGCTACCAGTTTATAAAGAAATATTCACATGGCAGTGATTAAGTCCATAGTTTTACCCAATTTGGTAATAACTGTACAAAGTAGGAGTACACCAAAGAGATAAGATCTGCCATGTATCATTACTTACATTTACTCACTGTGATGGTGCAAGAGGGTCGCTTATTAATTGACTTATATAGATCTAGTATAACTGTACACCAGCAAAACCTTTACTAATAGCTTTGCTTAGAATCAAGAAAACCTCAACGCATCCTCTATTTCCCCAGCAAAATAGCTGTAGCAACTCCTCTCCCTCTATCTTTCTCTACCCCTCTCCTCACGAATAAGTTTCAATCAAGGTATCTCTCAAATTACCACCAATGGCTTCGGGTTGTCCATCCTGCAACCTGAAAATCGATTCAATAACCGACAACTCCGGCGCCGTAGTATCTGATCCAGCAACACTAAACCAATCATTAACCACCAATCCAGCACCAACCACATTGGATCCTCTATTCACTGTACCGGCAACCAAAGGCACTTGCAACAAACTACTCAATTCTTCTTGATCTTGTATTGAAGTTTGCGGGTGCACCAATCCACCTTGATTACTCAAGGCACAGTATGATCCAACAAGGACATTACCGGCAATTGTTTGACGAAATACCTCCACCCCCAATACATCAGCAATCAATTCTTCAGTTTCTCGTTCGATATCAGGATGTACTAATGCGACATAATCGTTACAACATATAACATTTCCCAATGCTGATAATCGTTCCTCAACACGTTGGATCTTGACTGAGTCAGGTAACGAGTTTCTCAAATGCATTAATTCTTGATCAGTAGTCTGGGTAGGAACCAATAACCCACGTCTATTTCCACTCGTCATTCGTCCAACTATACGAGTACCGGCAATAGTGGTATGGACAATAGGGATAACGTCACCTAGTTCAGCTTCAAATGATGAGTAAAAATTTTCTGATCCTCCCACAGCAACAAGAGCATATGAATTGGTTAATTTGGAAAAGACTCCAACTTCGTTAGAATTTTCAAATTGAGTTCTAGTGGCCATAATTTATTAGCAAAAAAAATGTTTGATTTGATAAAAGTATAGGAATATTATATGAAATGTAAATAGTGATATCCAAGTGGTATTTATACTATTCTATCAATGTTTTGATTTTTTGATGATGACTCTAAAAGCTGATGAAAAGAGGATGAAGAAAAAACGAAAATGGCAAAATAAAAGACACGATGAGGTGGTAGTGCAATAGTGCACAAAAAAGAGGAGAGAGAGAGAGACAGAATTCAATTACTATTACTAATTGGGTAGTCAATGCGGCGTAATACTTTATAGATATACAAGTATAAAGCAAAATGCTCTTCACAATATAAGTGTCTTTCTATTCTTCTTATACAAAATGCTATACATTCAAGAGTTACAACAATGCATCACCAAAATTCCTAATCTAATCCAATGCTTCATTTTCATCCTCATCCTCATCTTCGTCTTCACTATCTTCCCAATCATTAACATCATTCATATTTTCATCTTCAGCTTCGTGGTTGGGTAAAACCTCCAACCCCTTTTCACCAACAACAACATTAACTGTCTCCTTATCTTTGATTTGTCCCTTCAAGATGAAAACGGCCAATCTATTCAAAATTTCATTCTGAATCAAACGATTCAAAGGTCTAGCACCTAAATCGGCAGACCACCCATTCTTGATTAAATAATTCATGGCATCATCATCAAGGTGCAAAGTTATTCTCTTGCCATTATCCTCAAATCTCTTGGTCAATTCATTCAATCTAATGTGAACAATCTTGGAAATTGCTTTTCTTGATAATCTATTGAAAATGACAATATTGGAAATACGATTCAAAAACTCGGGTCTGAAATGAGACTTGACGACAGTCATGACATGTTCCTTGGTAGCAGCATCAATCTTACTTCCCTTTGACTCACTGATATACTGAGCTCCTAAATTCGAGGTCATGATGAATATGGCATTGGAACAATTGACTAACTTTCCCTCACCATCAGTGATTCTTCCATCATCCAAAATTTGCAAAAGAATCGTCAATACTTCCGGCGCCGCTTTCTCAACTTCATCAAATAGCACCACCGAGTATGGTCTTCTAATTAGTGGCTCAGCAAGAATGTTTCCCTCTCCATAACCAACAAACCCGGCATTTGAACCCAAAAGTTTTGACGTTGACCATTTATCCAATTCTGAACAATCAATTCTAATCAAGGCCTTTTCATCAGCGAAAAGGAACCCGGCCAATTTCTTGGCTAATTCAGTTTTACCTGAACCCGAAAGACCAAGGAATAAGAATGATGGCGGTTGGTTAGGGTTGGACAAGCCCGATCTTCTTAATCTAATGGCATTGGAAACCGCTTTGACGGCCTCTGATTGACCCACAACAGCACTCGACAATTCTGATTCCAAGTTGATTAATTTAGCATTTTCCGCTTGACTCAACTTTGTCACTGGGATACCAGTTAATCTAGCAGCAGTTTCACAAATTTGATCAGGCCCAACAGCATTCTTCAACAAGCTTTCCAAATTCGATGATTCTTCCTCTGCTACTCGAATTTCCAACTCTTCAATTTGTTTCTCAACATCGGGGATGGCAAAATATCTTAAATCAGCAGCAGTGGCAGTGTCGTGTCTTCTTTCAGCATCTTGAGCTTTAACTTCCAAGTCATCCAATTTTCTCTTTGCCGCAATGAGTAAATCGTGGCCGGCACGCTCTTGATTGAATCTTTCTCTAAGTGGACCCATTTGTTCTTCAATGCTGGCTTTTTTCTTTTTTGCAGCTTCCAATCTCTCCTTTGAGTTGGCATCGGCATCCTTATCTCTTTCCAATGCATTGATTTCAACTTCAACCAAATGCAATTCACGTTCAAGGGTGTCCAACTCTTCTGGCTTGGAGTCTCTAGCCACGGCAACAGCAGCAGCACTTTCATCGACCAAGTCAACTGCTGAATCGGGCAAGGCTCTATAGGTCAAATATCTTGATGCCAATTGAGCAGCAGTGACTAAAGCACTGTCCAAGATTCTAACCCCGTGATGAATTTCATATCTTGGTTGCAAACCTCTCAATATAGCAATGGTTTCATTGACAGTGGCTGCTGGCACATCAATCTTTTGGAAACGTCTATCAAAAGCACCATCCTTGGCAATGAATTTACGGTATTCGGCAAAAGTAGTAGCACCAATACAATGTAATTCACCTCTGGCCAACATTGGCTTCAAGAGATTAGCTGCGTCCGATTTACCATCACCCATAACAGTATGAATTTCATCGATAAACAAAATGATAAATTCTTTTGATTTGGTGATGTCATTCAAAACTCCTTTTAATCTCTCTTCAAATTCACCCTTATATTTAGCACCAGCAGTTAATGCGCCCATATCAAGAGAAAACAATCGAGCACTGGACAAGATATTAGGTACATCGCCATCAACAATTCTTTGTGCGACACCTTCAACAATCGAAGTTTTACCCACACCAGCATCACCAACAAGAACCGAGTTTGATTTGGATCTTCTAGCCAAGACTCTAATAACCCGTCTGATTTCTTCTTCTCTTCCAATGACTGGGTCAATTCTGCCTTCTCTGGCTTTTTCAGTGAAGTCCTCACAGTACTTGTTCAAAAACTCATAACTGGAAGATGAATCAGCTTGACGAGAATCAATTCGTTGATCACCTCTTAATTCGACAGCTTGAGTTTTGATGGCATCAGTTTTGATTCCAGCTTCTTTGAAGATATCCTTAACCGATTGGTCTTCCAAAAGAGCCAATAACAAATGGTCTTGAGCAATGTAGTAGTCCTTTTGCTGTTTCTCAATCTTGGCGGCGTTTTGCAAGACCTGACCCAATTGATAACTAGGTCTAACATCATCTGGAGGAGGGCTTTGACTAGGCAACCTAACCAAATGTTTATTGACAGTTCTTTCAAATGCTGGCCATTCGTATCTAGCTTTTTGAATCAATGTTTGCAAGTAAGGAGTTGATCCTTCAGTGTCATCGGTTGGAATGAACGCGGCAAGTAAATGTATTGGAAGCAATTGAGTATTTGAATTTTCTTTACACAAGTTGGTGGCATTTTGTATTATACGCAATGCGTTATCAGTGTATTGAGTTTCATCCATTTTTCTTTTATTCTAGTTTTGCTATGTAGTAGTAGTAGTAGTAGTAGTTGTGGATTATAAAACGTGAATTGATAAAAAAAAGGCAGACTGAAATATAAAGAATAGCAATTGAAGGAGGTTGGAATGGTTTGTATTTATATCTCGATTCTTATTTGATAATGGATTGTCAGTAATAATATTGTTGTTAATAGCAAAAGTCATATGTTGAAGAGATTTTGTGTTAAGTTCAATTTTTATTATTGCGCAATTGAGAAGAAAATACAAAATTTTGTTCTAGATAATTCTAGAGACCCCGAGAACTTACTAGAACAAGAACAGCAGTACTAAATTTAGAAACTAACCATATGTAACCATATACCTCCGTTTCCCTCACAAGTTTTGGTCTCACCGCACCTTACGCTCCACCCCTTACTGCCCAATTTGCCCACAACTAATGCGGCTGAAGGATATCTCAATATATCACTACTACTGTCTTTTGGAACTTCTTAGGGTTTGTTATGCTACCAATTACATAAAGCATACGGTAAAGGCAATCAAAAGCACACGTTCATTTAAATTATACTTCTCACTCTCTTCCTACCCTCTCTACTATGGCTCTAAATGTTGAGTTACATCTTAATAGTCTTGCTCGCTTCATCATGGTCTCAATGTGTCTCTCTTCGTGATCAGTTCCTTGATATTCGATGGACCGATCTAGATACAACCAACGCAATCACATCACCCATGACTAACCCAACCACATCAACACCAATATCCTTCATCAAAACCCACCACCAGGAACATATGCAGCAGCAACCACAACCACCACATATCTACACCATATCCACCCTAAATGCGCTCGTTTCCAATCACACGGCAAAACTATCCGACACCACCAACATATTCTACATCAAATCAGTCCACAGTTCAATGATATACGATAGGCAACTCAAGTACTGGACTCTTCTTATCAGAAATGACCAGACCCATGACCAAAATGCACCAAATACACCAAACGCACAAACACCCACAATTGCACAACCTTTTCCTCATTGGATCCCCATCACATCCTGCCTCGAACTGATCCACGGCAGCGGTGGCTACTTGAGCCGATACATAACCATATACTTGGAACAAACTTTCGACCAAACAGGCGAAATCACTTTGGGCATCCCACCACTTTACTTCTCAATAGGAACCAGTCTCGCGTTAGGCAAACGTGTCGGTGTATCAAAGCTCAATACCTTATTATTTAGTTGTTCAATAAACCCAGGAGAGGTTGCACAATTCTTTATTAAACCCAATTTTGTCAATGTGCCACAATTGAAACGTATTTGGTACAAATTTAAAGCCAAGAAGTTACATTATGTCGGGTTGAATTTTATTAAACTGTTTAAGATGTTTGTTGTTGATACTCCTGAGAATCAATGCTGGGTATCAAGAAATATCGATGATTTACAATGTGGTGGCGGTAAACCTTTGGCAAATGTTGATGAAGAAGATGGTTATAGTAAGATACGAATACAATTGTAGAAACGAATTATTCATTTCAATTACTACAGTTATACCACTGGTACTTTTTATCATGAGGCATTAATCATCATTTCAATTTAAAGGATATATCTCTATAACAAAACCTAATATGAGTTAATCTTCAAGAAAAAAATAAAAGACGTTTTCATAATCTCATCAAGTATTTAGAATTGAAAAAGAACACAGTCCATCAAAGTCAACACCATCACAATCTATCTCTCGTGTAGCAAAGCACAGTACCTCTCTCTCTCTCTCATTCATCCTCATCTTCTCCCTCTTCGTGGTTACTTCTTTTAAATTTAAATTTCTTCATCTTGTTGAAATAATTCATCGAATTATCAACAATTTTGTGTATGCTTCCGCCTGTACCAGTACCTCCAGGACTAGTGACCAAAGCTATGGGCGAGGATATACTCTTGTAGTGATTACTACCCGAAGAGCTTGACTTTGAACTGCTTGAATTATTCCTTGACGTTCTTGGTGTATCTGCTGTTTGCTTGGGTGATGACGAATATGAACCAGTAGCACCAGCACCATCTTCACCAAAAGCAGACACTTTGGAAGATGTTGATGAGGAAGAAGATAATGCATCTGAGCCCAAATTGGAACATATTGATGGTGGATGCGAGCTGGATGTAGGTGGGTGAGCTGGTGGTGCTAAAGATGATGAAGCCGAAGATTTAGATGTTGATGATATGATACTGCTATAGTCATTTTCAAACTCAGCAGGTATGGAGTAGTAATCGTAACCATCAATCATTACTGCTGACTTATAGTCAGCACTCTTGCTTTGGCTGTTTTTGCGGCTGTTATTAGCACTGTTGTTGGTGTTTTTGTGGCTGTGGCTACTATGATGGTCGTGGTATTTGTGGGTCGTAGATTTATTGCTATTATTACTGTGGCGTCTCTTATTGTTCTTGCTAAAGAACGAAATATGACGACTCAACAGTGAATGTGGTTGTGATTGAGATGACAGCGCAGAAGTTGGCAAGTTTAGGTATTGCAGCAGTACTGTTGACTGTTGCTGTTGCTGTTGCTGCTGTTGCTGCTGTTGCAAATATGGAGGAGGTGAATAAGGTGGAGTTAAAGGACCCTGGTGTTCAATAATAGTGGTAGTATCAATTGTAGGTTTAACATGCAAAGGCAGTATATTAGAATTGAAATTGGCCGAGATATTCTTGCTGGTGCTGCTGTCATTGCTGTTGTCGTTGTCATTGATGATGTTGTTATCAGATTCAGCTAAAAAATGACTATTGCTAGTGCTGCTTGCACTGTTTTTCCTCAAAGGACAAGAACATAAAGCCACCGATCTTCGTCTATATAATCCACATTTATTCCAGGTGACAGTTTTCAAATATTCATGGTATAAATTTTGTAAAAGCTCATTGATGATATACAGTTCGCAATTTTGTAATACTGATTCATTTGGGTATTGGGCATAATGTAAGTTTGAACTTAAACGACCCGGTAAATTAACTTCCCAATCCGATTCAGAAATTAAGAATTTGGAATAAATGTGTTGCCAGTGGGTAAGTGATTGAGTTTTATCATTAATGGAAGAAGTTAGGTACTTGTTCAATTCAAGAATAAATTGTAAATTCTCTTGACAGTGGATTGAAGCTAGATAATTGTTAAATGATTGAAGGGTAATCTTTGGATTGTTATTATTATTAGCAGCAGGATGAGGTGGAGTTACATACTTGGCGTTGTTGCTTTGTGTAGTTGCATCTTTATCCAAAGAAGTGGTTGAGTTGTGGATTAAATCATGAAGAGAAGGAATATTAAATGAATCTTGCTCTTCTTGTTGCTGCAGCTGTTGAAGACTACTGTCATAAAGTAGATTGAAATGTTTGGCTGCAACACAAGGTGTTGTTGGGGCTGTTGAAGATATTCTATTGGTCTTTATCTGAAAGTCATTCATTGTTTTAGTGTAATAAGATGGTGTTGTTTGTCTATAAATACATTAAAATCTATTGATGATAAAAAAAGGATGTTGTTGTTGTTGTTGTATAAAAAAGATAAAAGATTAGGAAGTAAAATAATTGTGGAAACTCAATTTATGATGATATCTCGAAGTATATTGATCTATATATATATATATACTTATATGTAATTAGACTGTGGATAGATAGTTAGATAGATAGATAAAAGAGAAAATAGGTTTGTAATTACGTAATAAGACAATAACAAATGATTAAACAATTACGTAATATAATGTATTGTTATTTTTTAGATTATTGCACAAACTAAATTTAGTGGGTAGTACCTAAAAATGTATCTTGTGTTAATTTATTATTATTATTATAATTTTTACACTCTATGAGTAAGCCAAAACTAGTCGTGCAATTATGTAAAACTAGCAAGCGATGACGTATATTCCTATCTGTTAGCTCTCCATAGCCCACTTTAATCTAATCAGTTAGAAAAGAAGGCTAGCAAGGGGCTTGAAAGAGAAAGGGTGGTTGCACTTGTCTACTATATAGCCACAGTTTGTTATATAGTTCCAGATCAGTATCCACAGTAAATACCATGCATTAATACGTTACTAGATTATGCAGTATGCAGAGACTAAAAGATACAAAAGAGATTTACACCCCCTCTTTGAAACATATTTGAACAGCACAATAGTTACAGTATTTGTTTTGATTTTTGATCTTGATTACACTACCTTTTCTTTAGTTTTAGGTTTTAACATTTAACTTTTTTTACATTTTCGGCTTAGTAACCCAAAAAGATACATAGTACAATATCAATATTATTATTATTATTATATTATAGTTATGGATATAAGAAGGTCGTAAGCAGTGTTAAACTCCGATACATATATAGAGAGTAACTACACGCACACATATGCCAATTGAGAAACAAAGGAATAGATACCACTTAAGTGTTGGTATTGGCATCAGTGTAGTTGACGATGTGGTGTGGAGATTATAAAATGATAGACTCGTGTTGTTCTTGAAACATCATGAAGCCTATAAATAAATGAATATTTTATACGTAATGCGTATTTTATTATTAGTAGTTGATTGTTAGTTTTTAGCAGTTATAGGATACAGAAAACGTAATTTTAGATGTCATTTATTTTTTTTCACTTTTGCTTTCCCTCAGTAGAGATGGTGTTGCAGTGCAATGCAACAGAAGTTTAAAGTAATAGAGATGGAGCGGGTGTCAAGAAACAAACAAGAAATTTGTTGGAGATCAGTTTTGAAAAGGATAGAAAGAGAGAGATAAGCTTTCATCGTTTGTAAAACGTTGTGACCAACTGTCAACTTCCCCCCTCTCATATACACTACATCTAACTTTGTTCTGGGTATGCTTAACATCCTGGGGGCATAGAATACATTGTTATTATAATAAATGTTGGACTAGTACAGTCATATAAAGAAGAATGTGAGATATTCATATGGCATAACTTGACACACTTCTTCTTCTTGTTCTTCTTGTTCTACTTGTTCTACTTGTTCTACTTGTTCTACTTGTTCTACTGCTACTTTCTCCTATTTACTGCTACTATTGCAAGACAGTAATTTTTTAATGCTATTACGTATTTTGTATATATAATGACAGACGACGAATGATGATGAGGGATGATGATGTCTTTTTCTTTTTTGTTTCTTTTCCTCTTACTCCGCATTTCGGTGGTTTTTATTTATTGTTATTATTATTTCTGTGTTTGTGTAATATACCTCTAAGCATATTGTTGTTGAATTGAAGAAATAAAAAAGAAATAGAATTTAGATTTTTACTAAATACTAAATACTAAATAATAAACGTTTGTTATCTCAAGTAAAGCAAACTTAAATAAATAGTAACTAAGTATTCTTATTGTTACCATTGATTAACCCCTCATTTCTCCGCATCTTTATATTTTCTCACCCCGTCTTTCTAACAATGTTTTACTTTTCAATTTTCAATTGAGGCTTTTCAGTAAGTCATTGTTCTCAATTTGAAAAAGTAAAAGAGATCCTCGCTGTCTATATATACACACAAACAGTTAAGTAACTAACCCTAACACTACGATTGAATGAAGAAGGGTATAAGTAATTAATTAAAACCGCTTTAATATAATAAACCTAAAGCCCGCTTCTTTCTTTTCCGTCTTAACTCTGTTTTTTAATTATTGTCTACTCCACAATCCTTCCCTAGCTATGATAATACACCTTCTATTTAAGGATCCCTTTTAGTTTGCTTTATGTTCTAACTTCAATCTTTAGCCAGTAGTATATCTCCTTCTACTGATAACGCCGTCTTAGTGTACAGCGTGGCTTTTAATCTTCACTCGGTTATATATGCAATGGTTATAATACCGATATACAGATATGTTTTTAAATGCTGAACCTCTTAAATATAGTCACTCTTGCTGTACCTTATATAGTCTTTGCAAACTAAAGAACAGAGTTTATAACAAAGCAAATAACGATACTTCAACTTCTTATGTTTCTACTCGTATTTTTTCATGGTTTACTACTTTAGGTAATAATCTTCTTCTTTATTCCTTCTTACCTTAACCTCCTTCAGTTTCAGTTCTTCCCTTTGTCATATTCAACAATGTTCTATACACGACAAGAGAAATCGTATTTAAGTCATACGAGAGAGATAAACATTGACTACCTAATTTCTCTTTACTTCCTTAGCTCCTCTCTTTATCACAACTTTATCCATTGATAGTTGGCAATCTAGGAAATTTAACTCCACTACACAAAAGAAGACAGACAAACAGTTTCTTGCACAGTGTGTTCTTGTTTTTCAATAATTTTTAGTTGCAAAATTATATCAAAATAAGATTTCTCATTTCAATATTGTCTTCGCCTTCCCCAGTTGAAAACTATTGCATTAGATCAATCACCTTCACTAGTAAAAGAACCCAAAGCTTACCCTTATCTTAATTAGAATAAAGGAGGAACTTCCCTAGTACTTCATTTCGAAATGAAGAAGAAAAGCATCTTTCTCAATTGTGGTATTCAGATTATACCTATCCCCTTTCTTTATCTGATAATCCTTTTGCAACCAAATATTAGCCATAGTTCGGAGTTTTCTCTGCATCTACGTCCAGTTATCATTATGTTCTTTCTCTCCTGAGTTACCCGGGGCTACGAAAAAAAGCTAAGTAACTTAGCGAACCGGACCCTACAGTGCGTGGACAAAAAAAAAATTCTGTTTCGGAGAAACAGAAACGCACGCTTCCTAAATCTACCGGGCTCAAATATCTGTCATTAATTCATTTCAGTTGAATATCTTACTTCTAGACTAAACTATGTAATACTCGCATCTCTCTTTCTCTTTCTCTTTTTAGACAATTATTGATGACCTTATACTTCTGTTAGTTTGGTCTTTATTTATCCTTTAAGTCATCATCTACTACTCCGGAAGCATCTCGGTTACAAAATGTGTTCTTTTTAATTCTCTCGTCCATCAATCCCGGAGTTTTTTTCTTCTGCTCAGTTTCAATAACCGAGCAAATGTAGTAATGTCACCAATAGTAAATTAAGTAATTTAGCAACAAAAATTTTTTTTATTTTTTTTCCTCTTCCTCTAAATCTCCACCACCACAACTTTTGAAACGAATTTTCCAACTTTTTTCTTCTTTGGAATTATAGACTTATTGAATTAATCAATTACAACTATAGAGACGTTACCATCTTCTCCCCTTACAACTACATATTCAAACTAAAGACTATACCACACAACTTTCATCCCCCACACACAATGTTATCTAGAGGAGTTAATTCAAGTTTAAAGAGAACTGCACAGAGAGCACTCAAGTCAAGTGTCGCCACCACTAGTTTGAAATTTGCTAGTGTTGAAGCAACTAGATCTCTCCATAGTCAACCAATTGCTCGTTCTACTATCAACCACAACAGTAACTACAAATTTGCTTCCTCATCGTTAGGTTCCGTCAGATATGCGTCGACAAAAGTTAAGGTACCAGATATGGCTGAATCCATCACTGAAGGTACTTTAGCTGCTTTCAACAAAGAAGTTGGAGATTTTGTAAACCAAGATGAAACTATTGCCACCATTGAAACTGACAAAATTGATGTCGAGGTTAATGCACCAGTCAGTGGTACTATAACAAAGTTTTTAGTCGATGTTGAAGCCACTGTTGAAGTTGGACAAGAAATTGCTGAAATTGAAGAAGGTGAAGCACCAGAAGGCGGTGCCAAGAAGGAAGAAACAGAATCAGCCAAGCCTAAAGATGATGAAGGAGAAAAGAAGGAAGAACCAAAGAAAGAGGAGCCAAAGAAGCAAGAATCAGAATCGAAACCAGCTCCTGCCAAAAAAGAAGAACCAGAAAAGGAATCAAAATCAGCACCTCAAAAGAAGGAAAGTTCATCATCAGACACTGCACCAACTTTTACCAACTTTTCCAGAAATGAAGAAAGAGTCAAGATGAACAGAATGAGATTGAGAATTGCTGAACGTCTTAAGGAATCGCAAAACACTGCTGCTTCGTTGACTACTTTCAACGAAGTTGATATGTCCAACTTGATGGAAATGAGAAAATTATACAAGGATGAATTTTTAGAAAAGACTGGTATCAAGTTGGGTTTCATGGGTGCTTTCTCGAAAGCTGCTTGTTTAGCTGCCAAGGATATCCCAGCCGTCAATGCCGCTATTGAAAACAATGATACTTTAGTATTTAGAGATTACACCGATATTTCAATTGCCGTGGCCACCCCCAAGGGTTTAGTCACTCCAATTGTGCGTAATGCCGAATCAAGATCCATTTTGGGAATTGAACAAGAAATTTCCAACTTGGGTAAAAAGGCCAGAGACGGTAAGTTAGCTTTGGAAGACATGGTTGGTGGTACATTCACCATCTCCAACGGAGGTGTCTTTGGTTCATTATATGGTACACCAATCATCAATATGCCGCAAACTGCTGTTTTGGGATTGCATGGTGTAAAACAAAGACCAGTTACCGTAAATGGACAAATTGTTTCGCGTCCAATGATGTACTTGGCCTTGACTTATGATCACAGAGTTTTAGATGGTAGAGAAGCAGTAACATTTTTAAAGACAATTAAAGAGTTGATTGAAGATCCAAGAAAGATGTTGCTTTTAGAGTAAAGTAGGCTCATTTGAGTTATTGGGTGATCATTTATTTATATATATATATATATATTTAATAACTATTTAGCAAAAATAAAAGATAAAGTATTTATAGTCCTGATGAACAAGAAGGGTAAGTGAGGTATGAGTTGGTATTATGGGAATATTAGTGGTACTGATGATTATAATTGTAATATGGTATTATCTATACCTGAATTCCCAAATCGACAAACAAGCGTTGAATGTAGCGTATTAATAGCGGTCAAACGACCCCTACTATCAAAACAGGGCACGTTTCCTTCCCCCTCTGCAATCAACACCCCCACACCCTGTCGTCCCACACCACCTCCTTCGTATTTCACTTAGCGCATTTTATTACTTCTTTATGTTTTGTGCATGTTAACACAAACTTTGTCGCAAAATGAAACAGCAATTAGGAATATTATGAAATAGAACAAAACCGGTATTCATCGTAGCACTGCGCTACCGATTAAACCATATAGATTGTGATAGCCACACAAAATCAAAAAGAAAAAGAGAATCGAGAAAAAAATTGGAAATGTTTACCTTGTGTCCTAATTAGGCAAGTTGATTGCAATACAAAGTAGTTTTTGCATCAATTTTAGAATCCACTAATTATACACTTTATTTTTACTCAAACTGTCAACTTATTCTTCTCTTTTTGTTGCTACTTTTTTCTATATTATTAAACATACATTCTGTGATACGAATGCAACTACAAGGCGTAGCAAAGAGAAACAGAAAGAGAGAAGGGATTTCAACATAACTACAGAATAATTTTTTCTTACTTTAAAATTAGGCACATAAAGACCACTTTTTTTTTACTATAACCACCATCCTTAAGTCCCCTCAGCCATATACTACTATACTACAATACAGATTGCTTATCAGAAACTGGATAAAAGAAAAGAAAAGAAAAGATCTGAAACCAGAGTCTGAATCTTAAACAACAACTTCAATATCATCATACATCATCTACAACTTTCATTTTAAAACCAATCATTCTTTTGAAACTCAGATTGTAAACTAAAATCCACCACCCCCCAGAATATTTGCCAGCTTTAACAAATTAAGTGATGGATAAATATCTCATGTTTGGAGACGAAGGAGAGGTGATGAGACTGGATCTCCAACTAAATGTCGACAATTTTGATCAATTCTGGTTGCCTCAAGACCTCACCCCAAGTAACAATAATAACACTATTTCGAACAGCAATAACAATAATAATGACGCTGCTAATGAAAACAACAATGATATCGATCTCTTGATTAATGAGACACTTCATGGCTTGCAAGACTTGGACGTGCCAAGTGGCTTTGCCATGGCCAATAGCAACAACAACGGAGCCGGTGCCGCATTCGCATCAGCTTCAGCATCATATAGTCATCACACAAGACACAAATCGAAAACCCACAGTAGACAAATGAGCGGCACGGCAATTTTTGGTTTTATTGATCATACGAGAGATTTCTCTCTTGGTGGAAATATCCAGCCTAGTGAATTTTATAAGCCTAATCAACAGTTATTTGGCAAGTCTATTGATTGGAGGAATATCACCCCTGGTGATTTACTTAATGGAGGTGGTAATAGCCAAACTCAATTTCTGCAACAACTGCAACAACAACTGCAAAAACTAGATAACATCGGTGCTGCCTTAAATCAAACACAATCGCAATCAAAATTACAGAATAAATCTCCCTTAAAAGACCTTCCAAGCCAAGATATACTTAGCTTCAATTTCGAAGAAAGACCTGATCTTCTTGTTAATGCCAGTGATGACGGTGATGAAGACTTTAGTAATAATCGTTTGGCACAACTGTCACCAATCAAGCAAATTTCAACACCAACTAAAACACAACAAAACCAAAATCACAATTTCCCTCAACAAATTAGCACCACCCAACCACGTAACTTGAAACAAAATGATTATGTTGTCACTAATCAGAGCCCCAAATCTTACAAATTCCCACCACCAGCGCCAAGAGAAAGGTTGAATAAAGATGCCCAAATGTCACCTTCACCGCTACAAGCAAGAATGTCCAACAAGCATCAATATCGTCAAGGTGAAACCAATAATATCATCAATTCATATTCAGCTAAATACTTGCAATCACTACAATCGATGCAACAACTGCAACTGCTGCCACAACAAAGACAAAGGAAAAATAGCTTCATGGGTGATGCTTTTTTGCAACCGAAATTGCCGTTTGAGTATATTGATGATTTTGAACCGTTATTGGAAGAAGAAGACTTGATAAAACAAAGCAATGATAATCAAATGATTTCTGATTTGCAATATGTTCCTTTACCTGTCCAAGATCCAACTTTTGCTCAAATGGACCTGGGTAAATCCATTAATAATGAGAATACGTACCGAAACGTTGCAACACAAGAAAACCAACAACAACAATTGATGTCGCCGGCAATGGCACATGCTTCAGCAAATAAAAAGCAGCCTCCTCCACAATCTAATGAACAGCAGCAGCAGCAGCAACAACAACAACAACAACAAGGAAATGAAATTGCCAATAATCTCCTCTTCAACACCTTTTTACCGCCTCCTTCACCACCAACACTCTCAAATTCAAACGATTCACCAAACTGGCAATCATCCCCAGAACCACAGTCTCCGTCTCCCAACCGGTCCAGTTTATTTGGCAATAATCAAAATCAACAAGATATCTCTCCCTTACATCCAAGCTTGAGAAATTCCAGTGTCAACTTCTATACCCCAATGTACTACAATCGACAGTCAATTGAGCAACAGCAAAAGCAACCGGAACAGGCTTTAACTGGATCATTACACCAGATTCAAGAAGAAGGACAACTCAATAATGAGTCACTGCACAAGTCGGCTCTAGACCAAATACAAGTCCAACAACAGCAACAACAAATACAGCAGTTGAGTCAACGTTACAATCCATCAACAGCAACAACAACTTCAGCAAGACAATCCACTCAAAGCCCTACTCGCAACCCTAACTACTTAAATTCATCACCATTTTCAACCATAAACTCGTCACCAATACGTTACTTTACATCTCCAGATAAACCAACAACCAAGGATGTATCACCATCACAAATACAACCACAATCACAACCTCCACAACAACAGCTAGACACCAGCCCTGATCCCAATGCTACTGTCGCTCAAATCACTCCATTGCGCAACAACACCTACCTCTCCACACCAGTCAAATCCAAATCGACACAACCATACCTCGAATGGAGTCCCGTAATCAGTCCCAACCTGAAAAACTCATTGAAAAAACAACTCAAAGACTCATCACCGCGATACCGTATCAAAAAGACATCGCTACTTCCACCCGGTGAATTGGACAACTACTGGATCGGACCTAATGAAAACAAACAATTTATATGTACTTTTAAAAACTGTGGCAAAGTATTTACGCGTCGATACAATGTGCGGTCGCATATCCAAACGCATTTAAGTGACAGACCGTTCGGTTGTGAATTCTGCGGCAAAAGGTTTGTTCGACAACACGACTTGAATAGACATTTGAAAGGTCATAATGAAACGAAATTGAGTAAATGCGCCTGTGGTAAAGAATTTGTCCGTATTGATGCCATGAGAAAACATCAAGAGAGGAATATTTGCGTTGGTGGTGTTAGTGGCATGGTTAATAAACCTTCAGTTAAACGAAAGAACAAGAGCAAGGGTGGTGGATTGACGACTTTTGATGGTGGTGATATTGTTGGTGTTGACGATGAACGGGTGAAAAAGAGGTTGTTTACTGATTTGATTCAAGAGGGGAGCTAGAAAAAGGAGGGTTCACTTTTGAGTAACGCTGGACATACATCACTGTATATGTGGTTCTTGTGTATGCGAGGATGTTCCAGAAGTGCCTGTATTTTTTAGCCCTTCTGTGTGGGTTTTACCTTTCTTCAGTTCAGCCGATTTATTTTTATTGCTTCTTTAATTCCAACTGTAACAATTCACAGTTTGTACTCGTTTTTAATAAATATATTTTGCATTTTAAACACATACAACCTCTTATGAAGCTGATTAATATCACCAGCATTAAACTACAACCTCTCTTTTCTTTCCTACAATTTACTTCAAAAACATCACCAAATTTCTTTTCCTATTGCATATAAACCCATACAAAATAAATGAAAAAGCTTCACAGCTTTAGAAACAACACTCTCCTACACAACACCATCACCGCCATTTTCTTCTTCTTCGATAGCAGTACCACCCTCATTATCTTCACCAGTATTATGGATTTTCAAATGTTGTTGAAGATTATCCGACCGACTAAACTTCTTGTTACATTTAGGACAATCAAATGGCTTTTCAAAAGTATGCAATGATCGAAAATGACGTTTCAAATGCTCGTGTCGTTTAAATCTTCGTGAACAGTAATTACACAAATAGATCTTGGATTCATCATTTAAATCGGCTTCTTTATTCTCTTTTCTTCCACGCGTCCGATTCTTGGAATTGATTATTGATGTTGGGAAAATCTTGGTATCTGGTGGTAAATCCAACGATGCCAAGTCAACGTCAACTTCAACTCCCTTTGATATCATTGTTGCTACAGGGGTATCTAAAGATGCAATTATTGGTTCTTCGTCCGGGGGAATGATGTCTCTATCCTTATCCTTATCTTTTTCCTTCTTGGTAACCTTTGATGAGGATTTTCTGCTGTTTTTCAGCATGATCTTGGATCCTAATATGCGTTTAGACGCATTTGCCAATGACGAAGTTGGTGGCGGTGGGGTAGATGTAGAAGTTACTGTTTGGTCATCATTCTCATTTAAAACCATGCTCTGAGCCACTAACGATGATGACGCATTGGAAGAGCTAACACTGATATTGGTTGCACTGGCATTATCCATAATTGAGTTATTGCTGCTTGTGCCACGACCTTTTTGATTATTTTTACCAAAAAACAACGATGATGTTGTTACATTATTGTTGGAATTCTGCTGTGCCTGTGGTTGATCATCTTTCGATTTTTCCCTCTTTGGTTTCCTATAGCTTGATCCAATCGGTTTTCTTTTACCCATATTCTCAAATAATGCGGCATAATCAGGTTCAGCAACAGTCTGTGAAGATTCTGAAGTTGAATTCTCCAAATTGATTGCTCCTCCAGTCATGAAAGATGGGGTTCCACTGGATGCTTGACCAGAACCAACATTTGCCGTTTCCAAACTTTCATTTTCTTGCAATAGAGGCTCCTTTTCTCCTACTTTAGGAGTATCATCACCATCATCTTGCTTGGAGGACTTGAATCTCGTAAACAAGCTTCTCTTTGATGTCTTCGCCTTCTTTGGTTGTTCAACTTCGGCCTCAAGCTCGGGGTTTATAATCAAATTAGCAGAATCAGCAGGTGTGGTTAGAAACTGATTCGATATTTCATCCATATTCACATCATCGCTATTTTCGACCCTGATATCTGTATCATCGGCTAGTGGATTTTGTGTAGAATTTAAAGCCGAATTAGACTTGAATATGGAACGAATTAGATGCCTTGATTGATTTGCAGTGGGTTCACCATTCAACAGAGGCTGTATCGAATTGCCTGAAGGGGATCTTTGAGATTGGCTTCTATCGCCCATAAACGGAATCATATTGGAGATCGAATTGGTAAAGCTGGAGTATCTGGGATTCCGCTGTTGCTGCTGTTGCGATTGTTGACTATCCATGGAAGGACGGCCATATATATCCAGTGATGGTCGGTTTAATAACAGCTGCTGCTGATCCAATGAATTTCGAGAAAAAAACTGTTGCGCTGAGAAAAATGATGGTTGTGCTGAATGAAGCGATGATATGGAATGCGTGTTGGATGTAGTTGTTGTTAGTGGCGACATATCATGGTGGGCTGGTGTACTATACTGGGCATTGGCATGTTGCTGATACTGAAGTTGCTGCTGCGACGTCGGCGGCTGTTGCGGTAGTTGCTGCTGAGGATGCAAGTGCTGATTTATAACATTGGCTGCATAGTATGAGTCTATAGATCCATTTCTCAACCTCCCCATAATCTTCTGACTCTCGTTATCAACATAGCTACGTCGGTTGATACCTTGCGGGCCATCTAGGTTATTATTTACCATGTATTGCATGTTTTGATAGGATGAAACTCTTGATGTATCATCAAAGGGACTGGTATTGAAGTCATTGTTCTGCATGGGGCTTTTTAAATGATTGCTATGATACCCGGCATGATTACTATGGCTAATTATAGATGATCTATTGTCGTGGTGCGGTTGCAAGTTGTTACTAGTAATAATTGAGTTATTGTCTGGACCCTGGTCAAAATAAAGATCCAGCTCAATAGTGAAAGGCGGAGATTCATCCACTTCCATATTATCTTCTTGGTGGAGAAATGCTCCAGGCATGCTTGATGTGCCAGCTTTTGAATTCCCACTGATTTCGAAATCATCTTGTTGGTTCTGTAATTGATAGTATTGTTGGGCCTGTTGCTGTGATGGATTGGGCACTTGATCAGACACAAAGAGCTGTGGATTGTTAACATTATTCGATAGTAGGTTTTCCTGTTGCTGTAGCTGTTGCTGGGACTGCTGTGGCTGTTGTTGTTGTTGCTGCTGCTGCCCTGATTTTAAAATGAAATCAAAATTGATGTCGTTTAATTGAAATTCTGACAAAGTATTATCACCTAGATTATCCTGCTGAATGCCTTCCGTGCTTATGTTGATGGGAGGCTTCCCATACTGTGAATACAACTGGGCATAGTCGTCATCCGTCGGACGATAATTCTGGGCAGCAAAAGTTTGATTTAGATTGCCAGAATCAGGTGTTATAACAAAGTCTTCGGCAAAACCATCTACCTTTTGATTGCTATCAACGTTGGGTTTGGTAGTGAAGTCAGTGTAGAAATCAGACGTCAACTGGTCCGTTTCCTGATTTAGATCCATAGAAAAGACTCTTGTGTAAAATATAATGATGCGGGGAGGATGGGATTTGAGTTAGTGTTGTGTTGAGCCTTATTTACAAGAGAGTAAAGTACGGGATGTATATTAATTGGGTTATCCCTGTATATACCTGTCTCTTTGCCTGTGTGGGTGTGGTCTCTGTGTCTCTCTGTCTTCGTATTTTCTTTTGACTTTCCTTTTTTAAAAACAATAAAAAAATTAAAATTAAGAAGAAAAATATAAAAATGTAAAACAGTTAAGAATAATAAAAAAATCATACAACCGCAGAGAAACCACACAGGCAACTAACAACTTCTTTAAACCAAAACCTCAAACTAAAAATAACCTTGACTAACTTAGCCTTCTTATATGCAACTAGATATAGTAAAGAATTGAATGGGTGGTGCTCATAATTTTGAATAAAAAAGAGTCTTTCATACTTTAAACCTTCTCTTAATATAAAAGCTAATCTACACCATGCCACACAAACAACGTTTTTTTTTTTTGCTTGTTGTCGTTGTTTCAGTAAAAGAGCCTTCTTTTCGTAAGGATTACGCAAAGATCATGATGGTAGGTTAGAGCCATTAAAGTCCCGCTCTACCACCGATTAAATCCGTACTATACTTCGTTCCGCCATCACTTACAAAATATGCTCCACAGTGTCTTACAACGCTTTTAATCTTTATTTCCAGAATAGCCGAAGTGGTTGGTAGGAACGCACGAATAAATATTTTAAAAATAGATGTATTATATGCAGGATTGGAAACCTAAAAATATAAATGGGGCTTAAGCACACACAACAACTGACCATGTCTTCTAATGTCAAGAAAATGTACAGTCAGCGTGTATAGCTCTTCCACTATGGCTTTTGGTTCTTAATAATACAAAGTAATCAATAAATCTGGCTATAAAATATACAATAGCCATTCTCACTACTTTAAGCTGGCATTTCTATTCCTTTGAACCTGATGGTACCCTCTGCCTAAGGCCTGTGTACTTTCCATGCTCACTTTTCGCGTTGTCTTGGCTTAAATTGACTTCATATTCATTCGTTGTATCTTCTGGGTGTCCATTTTGTACCAACGGTACAGGTTGGTGGCTATCTGTGTCGCTAGCTTCTTCACCTTCCTCATTAGCATCGTCTGGATTCATGATTTTCAAAATCGATCTTCTTTTGCTGCTAACCAACACCTGAACATCCATTTTATCGTCAATGGATGTAACATCAGAACTTCGTTCAATATTTGGTGTTACAACCTCATTAGCAAGATCACCATCTCCCTCGCTCCCATCGTCAATCAATGCGTTGCCCACTAAATGCTCGGTTTTAGTCAATCTTTTGCTTTTGAGCTTTGGTGGCTCCTTCTTCAATATTGGACTAGTTGGTGGAGTGTGGGAAAAGCTGAATGATTTTTGTAAGTTACGTACTGACTTGTGTACAAATGGGTTGTTTGGATCCAAACTAGGTCGTACACTTTTCACCTGTGCCGTCTCTTCCTGCTCCTCTTCTTCTCCTTCCACTTCTTTGTCATCTGCACTCGCATGACTCATTTCATCATCAATTGTCTGCAATGTATCGTTTGAAGCGAGGTAACTGTTACGCAATCGACTCCTATCAAAATCCTGTCTCTTTTTCATCCACGAATCTATTGATGCCGCACCACTCAAAGTCGAATTTGAGTCATTGTCATGTACATATGGTGGCGATAGGTGATGATTATCACCTGAGAATGAGCTTGGTGGGTCAACGTAATCGAACTTGTAATCTATTTCATTGTAAGCTGGATTTTGTTCTTGTGATTTCGATTTCTTGCGCTTATAGATGTAGAAGAAAACGAGAAGCCCACTGATTAAGGACACAAAGAAGATCGGTAGTACCGTTCCTAGGATAATCTTTTCCTTGTTGTTAGAACTATGACTTGTATTGGTATCACTGGTAGATTCTAATGGTGTAGTGTTTTCCTTAATGTTACTTACTGATTCAAAGGTATCAACATCGTATAGATTAACTTGGTATCCTTGACTTACCATCCGTTTTTCTTTTAGGTCTCGTGTTGAGTTAATAACCACCAATGTTGAAAATATAGTAGCAGCGCCCAAAACTTCATCTAGTTGAAAATTATCCGCCTCTGTGACGTTCCAATTCCAAGAATTACTATCCATCTGTAATTTAGCATATTTTGGTGTGCTTTCTTCACCAGCAATATCACCGCCAATCATCAACACTTGATCTAGGCGGAAGTTATCAGAGATACTGCCTGAGGCTGTAAATGGCTTAAAAAGCGGGAGGATCAAAGGAAACGTCCGTGAATTAACAGTCGTATCGTCAACCTTGTCAACTTGTTTAAATGACCAACCTGAATCAAAATCCCACGTCGCTAGCTGGTACATGTTCAACCAGCCACTGTTCAGTTCACCACCAATGACTAATTGCGATTGAACATTTGGGGCAAGAATATTAGAAGCGCCGTAGAATGGCTGTGGTTTAGTTGAGGTGGTTATATTATTCACTTGGCCAGAAGTTATATTCACCGACACTAATCTATTGGTTGACTCGTTTGTTTGTCCGCATAATCCACCATATACGTAAAGTAAATCTGACGATTCTCCTTTGGTCAAGATAGTTGAGTATTGATAAAATGAAGAGTCGGCCACTTTGTCAAAGTCCAATTCAATTTCATTGTCCCACAAATCATTGTCGTACTTTATTATTGAAAAGCTTCCATCACCGCATATGTCGCTATCTTGACTGAAATCGCTTCGCTTTAGGCCATATAAGGTATCATTCAAAATGAACAAGGTCGAATTGTCTGGTGGTGGTGTCAATGTAGTCACTTGTTGATTATTTTCCAAATTGTTTCCTTCGGTAAACAGGCCATTCAAGTCGAATCGTAGCTGTAGCAAGTCATTGTTTTTCAAGTGTAGGTATATGATCCCTTGGCTATAGGAGTACAAAGTATTCCAGTTCTTATTGACTCTTGACATTGATGGAAGATGATGAAATGATTTGCTGTGAGATGGATGACCTTCTTTCTGTCGTTGTGGGATATATTATGGATGTCGAAGAACAACAAAGTGGTACTATTTTATCAGGATGTTATCTTCCCCAACTTCACAGTATACAGTCTCCTGCTTGTTCTCTCTTGTGTTCTTTTTATTCATCAATCAAAGATTTTGCTTGTTAAATTTTGGTCTTCCTTTGTGCAAGAGTTTTTCCAAAATCTTTTGTTTACTTTTCTTCCCATTTGGGAAATAATGTAAGTTGCGTGAAGTTGCAGTCAAAATGAACATTTCGGTGAGCAAGCATTGGAAACGTTAAGATTACATAGGGTAAGATGTGAATGTCCTTGTGCAAACTTAGATATGAATCCTCCAGACAGATATTTGAAGCTAGTGTATTATCTGTGTCAAATTTATGAGTGCCCAGATTGTCTTGCTGGTTCGAGAAAACTTTATTTCGTATTGGCATGGGTGGGGACCATGATGAATAGTCAACTTAATATACCACACGTTGCTGTACTAGCTCTGAATTGATGTGTGGCGGACGCTTCAACAGAGCCGTGCTTTGTCTTCTGCCAGCTTCAACTGCATATGCAGAATCGAGCAGAGAAAAATAAAACGACTAAAGAACTTTATCATTTCAACTCCAGCTGAACTGAACACACTCACAATGACTTTCAAATCTAAAAATGAAATAGCACCAGAACTACTTACATCCTCAACTTCATCAATCATACTTCGATGTCCGTTTCCTAGTTGCCATGCTCGCATCATCGCTTATTCCGCCACCGCCACACCATCAGTTGATATCGACCATGCGCCTCTTTGCGCTTCTATAGAATCATACCATTCTCAAAAATCAGATCCTAAACTAAGCTCTTCAACAACTGCATTCTACAGCATTGGTGATGTATGGGATTTCGATAATATAGGTGTCAGCAAACCTTCGGAAGTGCTCCCCGATCCAATTGTAGTTGGTGCCAACGGTCATGAAGATGAAAGCGAAAAGGTTGATGTGGAGCGATTATTAATTTGCAGTGAATGCGATCGTGGGCCTTTAGGGTTTGCTGGTATTGCCATTGGTGAAGACAAGACTCACCTCAATCTTAAGTACTTTTTGAGCCAGAATAGTGTTTTGTATGACGTTGGGAATTAGTTTAGACCTGAGATGATTGGATCGGAGGATTTATAGATCGAGATGGATAGATTAACATGTAATCAATTTCAATAAATAACATTGTCATAGCTACATAGAGCACTTGATGAATCTGTCCAAGCCACCTCATGAAGGGGATCTTTCCTATAGGAGGAGGATATAGACTATTAAATATTATAGCCTTCTTTGGCTGTTCTTCTGCTGTGGCTCGTATTTCACCAATAAAACTTGATTAAATCTTCTTCTCTCTTTGTAAATGTTCACCTTCTGTCGTTCATAGTCTGATAAATTTGCAAAAAAACTATCAACTTTAATTTGTGTTGCCAAAAAATATAGTTTTGCAACACACTTTTCCGTCCAACTCAATCAGAAACAAGATGACACCAAAGAAAACAGTATCACACGAAGAGAAACTCGAGCTATTACATACTTGGTTCCAGTCCGCCCATGATTTCTATACTTTGAAAGAAATTGAACAAAAAGCGAGCAAAGCATGCAAAATTCCAAGTATACAAGTGAAGGAGTTAGTCTCCAATTTGGTTGACGAAGGATTGATTCAACAAGAGAAAAGCGGAACAACAAACTTGTACTGGTCCTTCCAGTACACAACTACGAAAAACAAAATTGGCAGAGCTAGACGTATTCAGCATGACTTGGAAGCAAAGAGAAAGTTATCTCAGCAGATGCAGAAGGACTTGGAAGTGTTGCGTGCTGAGAGAAGTGTTGATGCACTTCCTGAGAGGGAAAATCAACTACAAGAGTTGAGCAATTTACAAGCTGACATTGATCAGTTAACGGAGCAGAATAAACAGCTTGAACAATATCAACAAATCGAAAATCTAAAAACCAGTATTGAGTTTTTCACTGATCTGATCGAGACAATACTCTCTTGGTTATCAACAAAGTCAGGTATACTGAAGGTAGAACTTCGGAAAGAATTTGGAATACCAGAAAATTTAGACGATTCCGCATAAAAGCCGACAGATAGATATGCATGAATCGGATTTAAGAATAGATAACATACAAAAAAACAAGAAGTCCCTGGCAGCCCTGTCTTCATAACAATCGCTTTACAACAGTCAGACACTGTACACGTTTATGACACATCTTCTTCTAGAGTATTCGTGGGCAAATCTAAAATTGATTATGAAAAATTTCAGAATCTCACAAGCAGGCTCAGGAACTAAAGCAATTGTACACAAAAGCCCCATTTGTGTCGCTGTTTCCTATGTTGTTGTCTGCTCTTTCAATGTTTTCAGATGAAACCTTATCACAACTGCCAGGTTAAGTCATAGACATTGACCTGCTTACTACATTACCAAATCGCTACTACTGGCTACAGACAAGCGATTTCCCTCAGTACTCGCTTACTTTTCAACAAAGTCATACGATACATTTATCTCCGCCAGAGTTAAATGTCAAAAGCTATTGATTGTTTGGCTTTGTGTAAACCCAACAGTAATTGCACATGCAACAAAATAAAGCAAATGAGGACGTGTTATTGCTCACTCACCCACCCTCTGCCTATCTGTCTGAGTTTGTCTGCAATTTCCCCTTTATTAAGTGCTATTTGTTTGGTTATGTAATTACCTATAAAGAATCAACTGATTTTCACTAAATAAAGTCCGTCTTTTGTCACGCTGTCTCCAACTCCGTTTTAACATACGAAAAAAAAATAAAGTAAAAAAAAGGTTTGCATACTTTTAGTATGTCTTTTGCATGTGACAGAGTAGAGAATACTACGTAAACGAAATCACTGCTAGTTGAATACCGTCTTCTACACTAGGTCACTTGACAAGGTATTTGAACATCAAAACGGCAGCTTGTTGTTGCATGTGTACCTCAACTTTACATGTTATATTTCCATCTATTTCCCAATCAAGATAAAAACAAACATACTTGGGAGACGATATTTATCCGGTACTTTTTCTAAATAAAAGGAGGGTCTATTTTGTGACATGTGGGGAGAGAGACAGTAAAAAGAAAAAAAATAAAAACCAAAATGCGGGCGGATAATAAAAAATTGAGAAAACATATAAAATCACAACCAACTGCATTGAAAAAATGAGGTGAGAAAAACTCTTTACCCCACGTTTTACTTCAACAACTGACAATCTTCATCTCATTTGAAGTTCATTGCAAACACAACAATTCAGTTTATCAGTTATTCGTTATGGCTTCGTTGTTACCCGATATTGCAGAGCCAAAGCAAGTTGAAATATTTGCTGCACTCGCAGATGGTATTCTTCATGACACTTCTCCTGGGTTGATCAAAGAAGTTGTTGGCGATCATTTGACACAAGAGGAAATTGAAGAATATGCCATAACTTTTAACAGACCTTCACAGATCCCCGAGTTTAAAGAAAGGGTTCTCTTTGCGATTAATAACAACACCACCGAAGCATCACGTTTGTTTATCATCTTGATGACAGCTTTGGACTCAAGGATTATTGCACCAACATTAACCAACTCAATGACTCTAGTCAAGGACATGAGCTTAAAAGAGCGTGAGCAATTGATGGCCTCTTGGCGTGACTCCCCCTTACCAGCCAAAAGGAGACTTTTCAGAATGGTTCATGCATTGACTTTGAATACAATGGCTGTTTTAGGTAATGAGTTACATTATAAGGCTATCCATTATCCTGGAAGAGATTTGAACGACAAAGCCTACGACGGTTTCGAAGCAGACCCATTTAGATACGACATGATGCCAAAGCCAGAATTCGATGACGCTGAGTTGCACTTGACAGACATCGACGTTGTGATAATTGGATCTGGTGCTGGTGCCGGAGTAGTTGCTCACACGTTGGCCAATGATGGGTATAAAAGCTTGGTTTTAGAAAAAGGAAAGTACTTCTCTCCATCTGAATACAACTTTACTGATAAAGAAGGCGTTGAAACACTTTACCAGGGCCACGGATTGCTCACATCAAGGACGCAAGAAATCTTTTTATTGGCAGGATCCACATTTGGAGGTGGAACTACAGTCAACTGGTCGGCCTGTTTAAAGACTCCATTCAAAGTTAGAAAAGAGTGGTATGACGATTATGGATTAGACTTTGCTGCAACTGATTCGTATGACAAATGCCAAGAATACGTTTGGAAACAGATGGGTGCATCAACTGAAGGAATTAAGCACTCCTTGGCCAATGAAGTTCTTATCGAAGGTGGGCAAAAATTGGGTTACGCCAGTAAAGCTATCGAACAAAATTCAGGAGGTCACACCGCACATTCATGTGGTTTCTGTCATTTGGGTTGCAGACACGGAATCAAGCAGGGATCTTCTGTCAATTGGTTTAGAGCTGCAGCTGCAAATGGTTCCAAATTTATGGACCAGGTAAGGGTTGTTCAAATTTTGCATAACAAGGGGGTCGCCACAGGTCTCTTGTGTCAAGACGAGGTTTCTGGAAGAAAATTCAAAATCACGGGACCAAAGAAATTTGTTGTTGCCGGTGGATCATTGAACACTCCTGTCGTTTTGCAAAACTCTGGTTTCAAAAACAAGCACATTGGTAAAAACTTGACATTGCACCCTGTTACCACCGTCTTTGGCGACTTTGGCCAAGAGGTGGAAGCTGACCACTTTGATAACTCCATCATGACTTCGGTCTGTACACAAGTTGATGACTTGGATGGAAAAGCACACGGTGCCAAGATTGAAACGATTTTGAACACACCATTTATCCAAGCCGCTCTTTTACCATGGAGAGGTAGTGATGAGGTAAGAAAAGATTTATTGCGTTACAATCACATGTGTGCAATGTTATTGATCACTCGTGACAGTACAAGCGGATCCGTCTCTGGTGATCCGAACAGACCAGAAGCATTGTACGTTGACTATAGTGTTAACAAGTTTGACAGAAATGCTCTCTTGCAAGCGTTCCTTGTTACTTCGGATATTTTATACATTGAGGGAGCCCAAAGGATTTTGAGTCCTCAATCATGGGTTCCAATTTTTGAGTCAAAAATACCAAAGGACAAAAGGTCCATCACCGACAAGGACTACGTCGAATGGAGAGAAAAAGTTTCTAAAATCCCGTTTGACAGTTATGGAACTCCATATGGATCAGCTCATCAAATGTCGAGTTGCAGAATGTCGGGTAGAGGTCCTAAGTATGGTGCTTGCGACACCAAAGGAAAACTTTTCGAAGCGTCAAATATCTACGTAGCAGATGCTAGTTGTATGCCCACAGCTTCTGGTGCTAACCCAATGATCACTACAATGACTTTGGCAAGGCATGTAGCACTCGGATTGTGTAAGGACTTGAAGACAAGTGCCAAATTCTAGGCTAATTGAATATTCTTTTTTAGTGTATTGCCAATGAAATATTCAAGGAAACTACCCATAGAAGTTTGTAATTAACTCTTCATATCGTATCACACCCCCTCGCGTTACACACATGGTTGATTTAGTTGGGTCCATGGAGTTTCCGCTGTATTCTCATTGGCTTATCTCCGGAAACGGACCAACCGCTGAAAAAGAGAATAAATTGGAAATAAAAATCACAATTTGTGGAGAACATTATTTTCTGCGTTCATGCGGAGTTAGAGAGAAATCTTTGGGGTTTATAGGAACGGAGATACCATTACCCCTTCCCCCCCCATTTCAATGAGATTCACAAAACTTCTGTATATATAATACCTAGTTAGCTTCGATTCGAATCCCAAATTTCAAACTGGCCTTCTCAAGCGTTAGTCAGCTCCTCACATTCAAGGTCAACAATAGTCGACATGGCTTCAACGGTGCCGCGAGCAGAACCAAAACACATCGAGGTCTTTACCCTTCTTTCGGATGGAGTGATTCACGACACTCCAATTGATATCATCAAGGAAGTTGCTAGCGACTCTTTGACGGACGATGAAATTGCAAAGTATGCCCAAACCTTCAACAGACCTTCGCAAATCCCCGAATTTAAAGATAGACTTTTGACAACCATAAACAATAATACCACAAACGCAATAAGTAAATTCATCATGTTGATGAACCTTTTAGACTCCAAGGTATTTGCCCCGTTATTTACAAACTCGTGGACCCGGATTAGAGATATGAATTTGGAGGAGCGTGAACATTTGATGGTTTCATTGCGAGACTCTCCAGTATTTGCCAAACGAGTCTTGTTCAAAACCGTTCTTGCGTTGACTTTGAATACTATGGTCATATTAGGAAATGAGTTACATTATAAGGCTATCCATTATCCTGGAAGAGATTTGAACGACAAAGCCTACGACGGTTTCGAAGCAGACCCATTTAGATACGACATGATGCCAAAGCCAGAATTCGATGACGCTGAGTTGCACTTGACAGACATCGACGTTGTGATAATTGGATCTGGTGCTGGTGCCGGAGTAGTTGCTCACACGTTGGCCAATGATGGGTATAAAAGCTTGGTTTTAGAAAAAGGAAAGTACTATTCACCTTCTGAGTATAACTTTACTGATAAGGAAGGCTTGACTGAGCTTTATCAAACAGGGGGTATATTGGCATCAACCAACCTGCAAATTTCTCTATTATCTGGATCTAATTTTGGAGGAGGTACCACCGTAAACTGGTCGGCTAGTTTTAAAACGCCATTCAAAGTTAGAAAAGAGTGGTACGACGATTATGGATTAGACTTTGCTGCAACTGATTCGTATGACAAATGTCAAGATTACGTTTTCAAGCAGATGGGTGCATCAACTGAAGGAATTAAACATTCGTTTGCCAATGATGTGCTCATGAAAGGCTGTGAAACCTTGGGCTATACTGGAAAAGAAATAGATCAAAATTCAGGTGGACATCCAGCTCACCCATGTGGATTTTGCTATCTAGGTTGCAAACACGGTATCAAGCAGGGATCTTCTGTTAACTGGTTTCGAGCAGCTGCTGCCACTGGATCCAAATTTATGGATCAAGTCAGGGTAATCAAAATTTTGAATGAAAATGGGACCGCAACAGGTGTATTATGTCAAGATGAGGTTTCTGGAAGAAAATTCAAGATCACGGGACCAAAGAAATTTGTTGTATCAGGTGGGTCATTAAACACACCAACAATTTTAAAAAATTCAGGATTCACAAATAAAAACATTGGCAAAAACTTGAAGTTGCATCCTGCTATATCAGTTTTTGGAGACTTTGGTCGTGAAGTACAAGCAGACCATCATAAGAACTCCATAATGACTGCTGTATGCACACAAGTCGACGATTTGGACGGTAAGGCACATGGCTCTAAAGTTGAAACTGTTTTAAATGCGCCATTTATTCAAGCTGCGATTCTACCATGGAAGGGAAGCGATCAAATAAGAAAAGATTTATTGCTGTATAACCACTTGTGTGGTATGGTGATCATAAACCGTGATACTTCGAGCGGTTCAGTTGCAGGCGATCCAAACAAACCAGAAGCATTGTACATTGATTACAATATAAACAAGTATGACAGGTATGCCCTTTTACAAGCACTACTTGTGACAGCAGACATCTTGTATATTGAAGGTGCTGAACGAATCTTAACTCCCCAATCATCGATCCCGATTTTTGAATCGAAAATACCAAAGGACAAAAGAACCATCACCGACAAGGACTACGTCGAATGGAGAGAAAAAGTTGCTGCTACACCACTTGATGCTTATGGAGTTCCATATGGATCAGCTCATCAAATGTCGAGTTGCAGAATGTCGGGTAAGGGCCCTAGCTATGGTGCTTGCGACACGAAGGGTAAGTTGTTCGAGGCGTCAAATATTTATGTCGCAGATGCTAGTTGTATGCCCACGGCTTCTGGTGTCAATCCAATGGTTACCACGATGTCTTTGGCAAGGCATGTTGCGCTTGGTTTGTGTAACGATTTGAAGACAAAGGCAAGATTCTAGGACCTAATTGAATCGCTTTGTGACTGTAACTTTTGATTAAAATTATGTAATTTTACGTTCTCGTAACTTCCTGTATCAAGTGAGTACTCTAATGATCCTTGCCGGATGTGATCTGAAAAGGTTTTCTCTGTCCTTTGCCCGCCATACCGATGACAAGCACCAAATATACTCTGCGCCATTTTCGATGAATTTCATCAGAAGAGATAAAAGGCTCCTTCCTGCAGCTACGTTTCACTTTATTAAATCTTGGCATTATTTATGAATTACCCCTGTACCCTTGATGCATTGTTGCAAGCACCTAAATCCGTTTCTAATAATAGAACGTTGTTATCTAAGCAAGCTGGTACAAACGTTTTGTGTTGTATTGTTTTTCTTCGGTGATTGTGGGGATTCTGTTTGGAGACAATGCAATTGTAACAATAGCCTCCCGCTTCGGAGATTCAAAGGATATAAAGTTGCAAATATCCCACCTGACTTTCCCCCTTTAAAAGCTTTGAAGTAGCTTTGATTTTGCTTTGGGGTACACTGATCTCAATTGGCTTATATAAAACTTCTTATCCATAGATTGTATTTCTTTTGCAGCCAACAGATATGACTTCGTTTCTACCAGATGTTGCAGAACCAAAACATGTTGAGGTATATGCTGCCCTTGCTGATGGAATTATTCATGAAACACCAATTGCTTTAATTAAGGAGGTTGTTGGAAATGATTTGACTGAGGAAGAGATTGCCGACTACATCAGAACCTTCAGCAGGCCATCGCAAGTACCTGGCTTTAAGGAAAGGATCTTATCTACCATTAATAGGGGCACTACGGACTCTACACGCATGTTTATCGTATTAATGCTGATGTTGGATTCAAAAATTTTTGCTCCAATATTGACCAACTCGTTGACGTTAGTCAAGGACATGGCAGTAAAAGAGCGTGAACAGTTGTTAGCAAACTGGCGTGATTCCCCCATACCCACAAAAAGGCAGTTGTTTAGAACAATTCTGTCATCAACATTAAATGTAATGGTCATACTAGGGAACGAGTTGCATTACAAAGCTATACACTACCCAGGAAGGGAATTGAAAGAAAAAGCCTACCATGGTTTCGAGGTGGACCCATTTAGGTATGATATGTTGGCCAAACCGGAATTCGATGATGTTGAGTTGTATTTACCTGATATCGATGTTGCTATAATTGGATCTGGTGCTGGTGCCGGAGTAGTTGCACACACATTAGCCAATGATGGATACAAAAGCTTGGTATTGGAAAAAGGAAAGTACTACTCCCCTTCAGAATTCAATTTCAATGATATGGAAGGCGTGGACTCTCTCTATCATAATAAAGGAGCATTGTCTTCCAAAAATCTGCAGGTTATCATATTAGCAGGATCAAACTTCGGAGGTGGTACAACTGTTAACTGGTTAGCTTGCTTTAAAACGCCCTTTAAAGTGCGGAAAGAGTGGTATGAAGAATACGGATTGGACTTTGTGGCCACCGACTCGTATGACAAGTGCCAAGATTACGTTTGGAAACAAATTGGTGCAACCACAGAAGGGATCAAGCATTCTTTATCCAACCAGATCCTTTTGGATGGTGCTACAAGATTGGGCTACGAATGCAAGGAAGTTAACCAAAATACAGGTGGTCACCCATCGCATTCTTGTGGATTTTGCTACTTGGGTTGCAAATATGGTATCAAGCAGGGATCTTCTGTTAACTGGTTTCGAGCAGCTGCTGCCACTGGATCCAAATTTATGGATCAAGTCAGGGTAATCAAAATTTTGAATGAAAATGGGACCGCAACAGGTGTATTATGTCAAGATGAGGTTTCTGGAAGAAAATTCAAGATCACGGGACCAAAGAAATTTGTTGTGTCTGGAGGCTCGCTAAACACACCACTGGTTTTGCGGAATTCGGGCTTCAAGAACAAGCATATTGGTCAAAACTTGAAATTACACCCGGCCTCTGCGGTTTATGGTGACTTTGGTCCAGATGTCCAAGCTAATCATTTCGAAAACTCAATCATGACTGCTGTGTGCACCCAGGTTGATGATTTAGATGGCAAGGCTCATGGTGCTAAGATTGAAACTCTCTTGGGCACACCATTCCTTTATTCTTCCCTTTTACCCTGGAGAAGTAGTGACCAAATAAGACAGGAAATGTTGCGCTGTAATCATATGTGCACCATGCTATTGCTTGCAAGAGATACTTCCACGGGTTCTGTTTTGGCTGATCTAAATAGACCCGATGCACTCTACATTGACTATAGTGTCAATAAATTTGACAGAAACTCGCTTTTGCAAGCCCTTCTCCTAGCTGCCGATATTTTGTACATTGAAGGAGCAGAGAGAGTATTGAGTCCACAGCCATGGGTTCCGATTTTTGAATCAAAGTTACCAAAGAACAAGAGGTCCATTACTGATAGAGATTATGTCGAGTGGAGAGAAGCGGTGGCTAAGATACCTCTTGACGACTTCGGTATGCCTTATGGCACAGCTCATCAGATGTCAACATGTAGAATGTCGGGTAAGGGACCAAAGTACGGTGCTTGCGATACCGAGGGCAAGTTGTTTGAGGCTTCCAACATTTATATTGCAGATGCTAGCTGTATGCCAACAGCGTGTGGAGTAAATCCAATGGTTACTACATTGACTCTAGCTAGACACGTTGGCCTTGGGTTATGTAATGATTTAAAGGCAAAGGTTAAATTGTAGGATCAATAGAAGAGACAAATACAATTATTTTTTGAGACTTGAATATCTGTAGTAAGAACGCTATATATATATATACCTCTCCACAAATACAGATTATAGCTATACCTTCACCGAAAACCTTGCTGGTTGTAAAATCCCGTTTGTTGTGGCTGGCCAAACCCAGTGAATTGGGCCTGAGGTGCCTGACCAAACCCAGTGTACTGATGCTGCTGCTGCTGTTGCTGTTGTTGGGGTTGTTGTATATAACCGAAACCTGGTTGGCTCATCCCTGTTTGTGCTGGCTGTGCTAAACCATTTTGTTGTGGAAAGTACAGTTGAGGTTGTTGTGCTCCTTGCGATTGAGGAGATTGCACCGCTGGTTGGTTATACAAAGACATAATGTTTTGTTTGTTGGTCTGTTGGGCAATCAACTGGGGGTTTGTCATACCCATCAATTGTTGTTGATGCAGAGGGTTATTTGGATCCAAATACTCCTGTCCATTCGAGTCCACGTATGACACTTGACCTGTAACTGGATCAGTGTACTGATATATTTGAGGTGCTGCTTGTGGACCCGTTGGCAAGGATAATACAGTAGTTGATCCAGGAGCCGAGCTGGGATTACTCCACCAATCAGAATTGGAAGAAACAGGTCCTATTGATGTTGTAGATTGCGTTTGCGTAGTGGTGGGGCGTGGTCTGCTGGGCAATCCCGGAGCTGTTTCCTCTTGAGCTGGGTTGATTCTAGCATCTTGCTTATATATATCTATTGCCAACTCAACGTCACCATTTGATAGCAACAAACTTTCCAACGCCGCATCTCTATCTTGGTATCCAAAGCTGCGCATTTGATTTTGTTGTACTTGATATTGGCCATACTCATATGTTGTCAACTTTCGATGGGTCAACTTAGGCAACTGTTGTATGCTCCTGGTACTGTTTGACCTCAGTCTTGTTGAGCGTCGAGAATGGTTATCGTCGTTACTATATTTGCTCATTCTGTCATCATCAAACTCGGATGGGTCAACATCATCATCACGGAATTTACCCAAAATATATTTATCTCTAATATATTGCTCAACCGCCGCCACGTCATCATCACCATCAAACGGGAAAGGGATTCTCTTGGGATTCCATCTTTTCTTGGCTCGAGCATTGCCCACTCTACGCAAATTATTCACTTGTTGGTCCGACCAGTCATCCAAGGTCAAAGATTTAACTTTTGATATTTTGTAGTTAGGGGGGCCAAGAACGCGTCTGTGGGCCGAAGCACATCGTCCACATAAGAATATGCCCAAATTGTGCGACGCCCACGTTGGATACTCGGCCCCACATTCACCACATCTATTGTCGTTACCCCTGCTGTTGACAATATCTAACAACTGCTTTTCTATATTTTTTTGGTGTCTCTTTGACATTTTTGGGTAGTCTTATAGAAGTGTTTGGCAGCTAGATATGTATTTGACTTTGGGTTTGATACTTTTGCTGCTTGGGTCTAGAAAAAGAACAAATCGATAGAACAAAATCGAAAACTCTCTGGTTAGTTCGGTAAACGAATTTCCTAGCGATTTTTTTTTTCTTCTTTTGCTTAAAAAGAAGGGAAAGTAACGAAAGATTCCAACATGCCTAAACATTAAAGTCTAACTTCCTACACGAGTGCAAACGCTTTCCTATACAAGAGCAATTGAGGTTGATTTTTTCTCAAACGCATTCTGTATCGTCAACTCATTTACAGCGATTTGAATGTCTTTTGTGAAGGGGCTTACGTCGATTGTGCGTAATTGCTGATTGATTTTGTCAATTTCGTCAATAGTTAGGCTTCTTCGAGTATTGTATCCCGTGGCTATTGATACATGCATGGCATCATCCAATAGTTCGGGAAATTGCAATTGAGCGTTAAAGTCCCTTGCTGATTCCTTGCAACTCTCAACCAAGTCAGCTAAGTACTTGGAAGTTTCTGGGCTTTGTTTTATATTTAGTATGCAAAATAATGACTCTTTTAATGGGCTTCGACCTATGATGATTCTATTTTCCAAATTTAGACGAATTGACGGCTTTGAGTTGTAGAGGATTTTGGAAAGGGGTGAGTGTTGATCACACCCGCTTGGCTTAGCAATTAAGCTGGCGGGTGGGACTAACTCTGCGATTCTCTCACGCATATGGTCAATAAATTGTGTTTCAACTTCCTTTTTCACGTTCAAGGCGGGGAAGATTGTTATATGGTGCTTTTCTATGCGGAAGGGGTCCTTGTTTGGTGCAATGAATTTGTAGTTATTTGACAAATCCGGAAATTGTGACACAGCATGGCTCACTGCCTTTTCTAGTTGCGCCAAGGCTATAACCGACGGCGTCCACGGTATATATGTGAATAAGGCAGCAACTTTGGCGGCCGAGTGCATGTTTTGGTATTGTTGCAGAAATATTAGTATGGGTGGTGGAGGCGCTGGTGCAGTTGGTGAATGAGCTGCCGGTAAATGATTGTTTGTTGGTGTACTCTCTGATTGTTTAATCCCGCAGTCTTCTTCCTGGCTGTCAGAGTCCGATGAGTAGTTTTGAATGAGTTCCATCGCTTTGACAAACCACCAATTGGACTGGTAGCAGTGTGAGTTTTTCTCGTACCACTTTTCGTATCTGATTCTCACAGGTCTAGATTTTTCACAATCACTTATCACCGATAACCACACCAGCTTCAGAACTACCCTCTTTCCAATGTTACCTCCACCTATTAACATCCATAAATGGGTTAAAGAAAATGAGGACAAATTGAGGCCTCCAGTGAACAACTTCTGCTTGCATCGGGGAGGGTTCACAGTGATGATAGTAGGTGGTCCGAATGAAAGAAGTGATTATCATATCAATCAAACTCCAGAGTACTTCTACCAATATAAAGGTACTATGTGTTTAAAAGTTGTTGACGATGGAAAGTTTAGAGACATTTTCATCAACGAAGGGGACTCATTCTTATTGCCTCCAAACGTGCCTCATAATCCATGTCGTTTCAAAGACACCATTGGCATAGTGGTGGAACAGGATCGCCCAGAGGGTCTCGACGACGCAATCAGATGGTACTGTAGTAAATGTGAAGAGGTTGTGTACCACAAAGATTTCTATTTAACTGATTTGGGAACACAAATTAAAGAAGCTATTGTTGCATTTGACTCAAACCCTGACGCTAAGACGTGTAAAAACTGTGGACATGTAAACTCATCCAAGAGGTAAAATGGACATCTAGCTAGTTTAGTTTTTGTAATGCCCCAAATACTGAATCATTTATGAGATTTGTTGCCTTGCATTTCGCTCTTACAACTAACATCACTAATTTCGATTATTGTATTAATCATACTGTTTTTGTCTATAGTTTAATCTAATGTAAGTCTAAAATGCTTTGTCTAATTTTTTCAGCAACGGCTAAGCTAGTTTTTCCTTTACGTACAAGTTCTCACCCTTATCAAATACCCAGTCGACAGCGTGCTCAACTGGCTCGTCAAAAACATATGGTAACAATGGCACAATACCCAATCCAACTGCAACGGGACCATATGTCTTCAATGCCTTATTACCTGAATTTTTGAAAAGGTAGGATGAATAACGGACAGCACTGTGAATAGTAAACGCAGGTAATCCCATCGAAGCAATACTCTGGAATATCCCCCGCTTCAATGCACTTAACCTCCAATCAGAGTCAACTAAGCTATGCGTTTGCTTAAAAGTTTCAGCCGCAATCGCATCTGGTTTTGGCTCCTTATCCCAAGGTTTTAATCCTGGCGTGTATCTTCCTTCACTCTTCATCTTCGTGATCCATGACGCGTATGAAACATCACCGAGGATATAAAGCCAGGAAACTGCATAACCAGACTTGACCAAATAAGGGTGAGCCACTGGTCTAAATGACTCTCCAATATCCGATGTATAAGCTACATATCTGTGTGAAGCTAACAAAATGGTTCTTAATCTGTTGGCGTAAGCGGCATACCTCAATCCTGACTCTTGATCTGTTACTGATTGGTCATCTACAGAACCTTTCACCTTGGAAACAGTGCTGTTTATATCTGAACTCGCGGATGACATGATTGTTAAAGGATGGCAAAGTTGTTAAAAGTTACTGTGGCAAAGAGTAATTTTGACGGCAATAATGTTTTCTTTTTTTTTTTACATATCTTAAGTCCGAACAAAATTCTAGTTATCACTAGCATCGGCAACTTGACAATTTTGTTAAACGTAGGGACACTTTTGTAAAGATGAGAGAAAATATAACTACTGGCAGAACTACAGAGCTGTAGGTCTGTAGGTCTGTAGGAAATGTATCTAATCGTACTGGTCGTCACAAATAAGCATGCCTCAGAGCCAACCTCTCATGGATACGCTCAATTAGTAATCGGTTTATAAAGATATTTAATAGGAACGTAATGTGAATCGGGGCTATTTAAACATGACAGATCAAAAGATGCACTCGATCTTCTGTTCCATCCTTCCACGTGTTGACCTAATGGCTCTGTTTTTCTCAAATTGTAAAAGTGGGAAAAAGAGAAATTGGTAATCACGACAAACAAAAGACGGACAAAATTGAACAGTGTAACACACCCATTATCCAACAAATCCACACTACGAATGAGACTTGTGCTAGTTATACGATTTACCAATGCCCTCTCGGCCACTGAACAAATTCCTGATTTGTCGATACCGATTAGCATAAACTTGGACAAAGATGATGTCAACAAGTTGATAAATACAACGTGGTTGAAGGCGTCGATCAGAAGCAAGTTGCCACAGTGTTCAACTAAACGTTTAAAGTTGATTTACAATGGCCGAGTATTGAATGAAAAGACTGACTTTTCGAAGGAGGTATTGAAACCACGATTGGCAAATTTAACAGATAATGATTCGGTATACATTCATTGCGTTGTTAGTGAAGAGTTGACAAGAAAACAGCTTGAGGAAGAGAATAAGCTAGACAATAAACCCCCAGAAGTCACAACCACGCCCAATGTAATTGGGTTTGATCGTTTATTGCAACAAGGTTTTTCAAGAGAAGACGTTAATGATTTGAGGCGGCAATTTTACCAGATTTATGGACAGGGCACTGTTGGAACTAGCAGTGAGATAGCAGACGTGGAGGAAGATGAATCAAGGCAACAGAATTTACGGCAATTGGAAGAAAGGTGGATTGAATCGACATCAAACAATGACGCCACTGATCAAACGGGTCTAACCAATAATACCACAGCTTCGGCACCAGAAACAGCAGAACAAATACCGCCACAAACACCGTTGGACGCTGATGAAACAAAGGTCAATGAGGACTTGCTACTTGGATTCTGTCTCGGTGTTTTCCTTGGTGTTATATCGGTAGTGTTTCTTTTAGTAGACGACACAATTTTCAACAAACGGCAGAAAATGGCAATTATAGCTGGTCTAGCCATCAATTTTTCATTGGCGTTAGTAAGAGGATTGTGGTTATAGGTGAAAATAGAAAAGTACGTAGCTACGAATTTAGAAAAAAAATGTTAGATCTACCAGCCCTCACTAAATTCGTTTCAAATGGTTTGATTTTAATGAAAGGGCATTGAGATGATCGTTTGTGTAAAATTTTAATCTCGCCAGAAGCTTGACGCTCGCCAACTCGTAAGGATGTTAAAAGAACAGACAAGCAACACGGTTAAAGCTTTGGCTGCCGCACAAAGAAGAAGAAGAAGAAGAAGAAGTGTGTTCTTGTAGAAATTTTTTTTTTGCGATGGTGAAAAATTTATTCTGGTGAGAGAGAGAGAGGGAAGGCAGAAGTGAGAGACCGATGCGAATAACATAAAACGCGGTTGCTTTCTATATCGTCTTCCAACAGAATTACCTTGGAGGTGGAGGGGCGTTGATATTTTCACCCACTTGAATGATCATTCTGATCAAACTAGTATTAAAAGGGGTAGGTAGAGAAATAGAGTACACCAATATAAAACTAGCATGAAGTCACGTGAAAAGTGAAGTGGGGTTAAGGCTGTCACGTCAGGCGACACTGAGGTTTGTAAATAGATCTCAATCAAATCTGTCCAAAACATACACAATTAGTTGAGACAGTAAAATAAATTAAAGCACTTCTGAAAACAATCATTAGGAATCGGTGCGGACAAAATAGGGATCGGTTACAATCACCCACCCCACTATCTCATGCAGATGGTTTTGGTTTTAATTTTTAATTTTTAATTTTTTTTTCTTTTGTCGGCTGACTGATTCCTTTCCACCACAGTCAAATTGTCAAAAAAAAAACCAAGTTCTCCTCTCCCACTTTTGTTTATATTCCAATTTAAAAACTATTCAATTTTGTTAAAGCTATTCGATACATTGATTCTTTAGTTGTTGGTATTTTTCATCAATTGAAACATAACCACTCATTAGTCGCAATATCATTTATTAAGTCTTATCAAAGCAGTAATTTTCATTTTTTCTTTTTTGTAACACCAACACAACCCACTCATTATAATGGCAGAACCATCACCATTACCATTCATATACCAATTTGCATCTGGAGCCATTGCAGGGGTCTCTGAGATTCTTGTCATGTATCCGTTGGATGTCGTCAAAACAAGACAACAATTGGACTCCACAAATGCTACTAAAGGTACTATCAATTGTATCAAAACTATCATTAAAGAGGAAGGTGTATCGCGTTTATACAAAGGTATTACAGCTCCTATTTTGATGGAAGCTCCAAAGAGAGCAACCAAATTCGCTGCTAACGACGAATGGGGTAAATTTTACAAAAACTTTTTCGGTGTTTCAGCCATGACTCAACCCTTGGCTATCCTCACTGGTGCCACTGCCGGTGCCACTGAGTCGTTTGTTGTTGTTCCCTTCGAATTGGTCAAGATCAGATTACAGGATAGAACTACAAAGTTTAATGGTATGGGCGAGGTGGTTAAAGATATCGTTCAAAAAAATGGTGTTTTAGGATTGTACAAGGGTCTCGAGCTGACAATGTGGAGACACATTTGGTGGAATGCCGGTTACTTTGGATGCATTCATCAAGTCAAATCGTTGATGCCGAAGCCAAAGGATAACAAGCAAAAGATTTTGTTTGACTTGACATCTGGTACAATTGGAGGTACCTTTGGTACGATTTTGAACACACCATTCGACGTTGTCAAGTCTAGAATCCAAGCTGGTTCGGCTAGATACAAATGGACATACCCTTCCTTGGCCATTGTATATAAAGAAGAGGGATTTGCTGCGTTGTACAAAGGTTTCATTCCAAAAGTTTTGAGATTGGGTCCAGGTGGAGGTATTTTGTTAGTCGTCTTCACCGCATGCATGGACTTTTTTAGAAAGTTCCATGACAAGAAATAGACACTCGTTATGGCCATATTTATATATAATTTAAGAGAGTATAAATTTGCTTACCATGATACAAATTCGTTGCACTGTAGATTTATTTCACTCTTGGAAGACACGTTGCAGTGATATTTTGCACTTGCCTATTTGGGACAGTAAAGGGGACCACTTTGAGACTTGAAAAAAAGTGTTAATCTGAGTAATATGAAAGACATAGAGAAGCAAGGACAAATGAGTATTTGTTCTGCCAGTTGCTTCCCGTCCGCGTGTAGTCTGGGTAACATGGCTTTATAGGGCGGTTTGTAACATACGAAGCTAGTAAAAAAAAAACACGAGAAATAAAAAAATCGAGATTGAAACATTCTGCAACAGTCTACACACGCCCAAAATATACACGTCGACTACTATTCCCCCACACTTGAGTGTACCCTAATCAGAAATCTTTTTTTCAATTCACCCTCACGGTATTTACATGACAAATATCCAGTAATTTGCAAATTGAATGTACTCAGCACTCAATCGTGGAGAACCTTTAGAACAGTATGAAATGGTGGATCAAAGCCATCGACGATCCACCTCAGAAGCTGAAGTAAGAGATCTGGGAGAAAATATCCCTTCAAAACTATCTACTGATTCTCGATCATCAGACTTTTTAGATGACATTGAAAATTGTGCATTGAGAACGGGAGAAACAAAGGACGATTTCAACAATGATCCGTTTTATCAATCTATTCTACGAAGGTACCGCAAACAAGGGTTCCCCTTGAAATATTGCAGTATAGTGGGAGTGATATGTTTAATCTTGTGGATTGGAGGGATTGTTGTCTATTCACAGCAAAGTCCCTCGCAGCTTTTAAATAACACCAAATGGCAAACGAATGTTAATATAAATGGGGAAAACATAACACTAGCGAAGTATGATCCACAATTGAAGAATCTTACATTTGAATCCTGGAGAAATGGTGACTATTTGACTTATGAAGAAGAAGTTCATTGGTTGAATGAGAAACAGTCGCCGCAGGATAAGAAAGGAGGATATTATATGACTTCGACTCTGAAGTCAATTTTGATTAGGCGGGAAAACAGTGACTATGAAGCGGTACTTCTTCAGGCAAGAGAGTTTGCATACCAGAACAACTTCTTTATTTCAGAAGAAGTGATGCTAAACCCGTCATCCCCCGTTGATCAGCTCAACAATTTTCACCTTATCAAAACTGACAGTTTAAAGCAATGGAGACATCTGTCGTTTGCTTTATATTGGGTTTATAATCCTCAGCTTTCGACATTCATGCCGATTCAACCCCCTAAAGAAAGCAGCAGCCAGGAGAACAGATTAAATATGGGAACTTCAAGTTTGGATAAGTTGCATTTCGCTGAGTTTTCTCCAGATGGTAAGCTTGTCTTGTTTGCTTTTGAACATAATTTATATATCCAGGACCTATCTAATCAAAAACTACTGCAAATTACTACAGATGGATCACGATACATCTTTAATGGGAAGCCAGATTGGGTTTATGAGGAGGAAGTGGTTGCTACTGACCGCATGGTTTGGTGGTCGCCAGATTCAAAACATCTTGTATTTGCAAAGATTAACGATACCAAAGTTAATGAAGTCAAGGTTGATTATTACGTCAAGGAAAGTGCTGAGGTGAGTATGCAATACGATCAACCGAATGAAAAAAGATATCAACAAGTTGATCAGTATCCAATCGAAACTTCTCTTCTATATCCTAAATCTGGGACGCAAAATCCTACTGTCTCATTTCATGTGTATCACATTGATGAGCAAAAACTCGAAACTTTGCAGGACAAAGATGAGAGTTTGGGGAGAGATTTTGTTATGTACCAGGCGAGCTGGATTGATAAGGATAACTTTTTGGTTAAGCAGACAGATAGAACAAGCAAAATACTTTCAAAGAAATTGTACAAGCCAGGAGAGGCCAGCTTTCTGTTGCTAGGTTTGGTCAACGTGACAGACTTATATGGAGGTTGGGTGGGGAAAATGAAGCCAATCACAGTGATAGACGGCTCATACGTTGATAATTTTGTCGTTGATGGTAAGAACTATCTAGCCCTATTCGATAGGGCGGGTGACGTTACCCCGCTGAAGGTATTAAGCAAGTACCAAACAATCAGTGAAGGGATTTATGACCGGGTTGAGAACTATCTATACTTCCTCACTAACGAGAAAAGTGGTATGGACTCTCACTTAATTGGATATAATCTATCAAACGATAAATATGTTGAGATTACAAGTTTAGATGAAGATGGATACTACGTTACTTCGTTTTCCCGAAACGGAAGGTTTTTGAACCTCCAGTATGAAGGACCAGATCAACCATGGCAAAGATTAATTGGCATGGGTGAGTTGCATGACTCTTTGGAAGACTCTGCAACCTTAAGCAAAGCCATCTTACAACTTCCGATGGTCAATCACTTTGATGTCTCCAAAAAGCACTTTCAGAACTTCAATTTTCCAACAGTGATTCATAGACAGGTTGAGATTTCCAAGTACAATATAGCATTAAGTGTGAAAGAAATCTTGCCTCCTAATTTTAACCCGACACGACAATATCCGCTTTTGGTTCATGCCTACGGTGGTCCAGGCTCACAAAATGTGTTGAAAAAATTTGATATCGACTTTTTGAAGGTCGCTAGTGCAGCGTTAAATGCGGTGGTATTGGTTATTGATCCACGAGGAACAGGGGGCAATGACTGGAGATTTCAAGCTTTTGCTAATAACAGAATTGGGTACTGGGAGGCAAGAGATGTAAAGTTGGTTACTTCAGAGTACATGCTGGCAAATAACTTTATCAACAAAGACCGCGTTGCATTATGGGGATGGTCCTATGGTGGCTTCACCACTTTAAAGACTTTGGAATACGATAATGGCCGGGTGTTCAAATATGGAGTTGCCATTGCCCCAGTTACTAACTGGTTGTTCTATAATTCTATATACACAGAACGTTATATGAACCAGCCAAGTGAGAATCCCAACTACAGTAATTTTGCCAGGGTAAATGATGTGGAAAATTTCAAAAACGTTCACAGGTTTCTCCTCATGCATGGGTCTGCTGATGACAATGTGCATTTGCAGAATACTATGTGGTTTATTGACAAGCTCAATACTGCAAATGTTAAGAATTACGATGTTCAGATCTTCCCGGACAATAATCATAATATTGATTACCATAATGCAAACACCCTTGTCCATGGTAAACTATTAACGTGGTTGCAGAATGCATTCAGTGGTAGATTTGACGATATGTTATAGATGAAGTATAATATAAACTCTATTTCAACACTTGTCAACACTTTAGAATTTCTCTTTTTTCCCTCTTGTCATTTTTTTGCAACACACAATGCACACCAAACGGTTGACACGTATGTACAAATGGCTTCTGTTGGAGCATAAAGAAGAGAAATAAATACTTACAGTAGTAGAGCAAAAAACGTCTATGGGTCCCATTCAAGCTTATGAAGCTAATTTGGACAAACAATTGCGGTTTTACAAGTATCGAAAAGATACATTACTAAAGGCAGCCAAGTATAAGCAAGATGAAGACAAAATTCAGCACTTGATTTCTTACTGGCGCACAGTGGCACAGTTTGCCTCAAGCTACGTATTCAATGAACGTTCGGTTGCCATAAATAAAATGGGCGGATTTCAAGAATGGCAAAAACAGCAATGGGAAAAGAAAATGGAAAGGAAACAGGAAGAAAGAGACTCTTTGTGGGAACAAATCTCGGAGGAGTTACAAGCAGCCTCGGTCGAAAACAAAATTGCAGTGATTGAACAACTTGCAGAGCTTGGATTTGTGGTTTCAATTGATGGCGAGATTTTGGAGAACTTGCATGAAGAGATCGAGGAAGATCCTACATTTTCAACAGAATTTACCATGAGAGATTTGTATAAGATTTTGAATCTAGATTTCGAATTAGTGTATGAGTGAATTGCCTTTGGTGTCTTAATTAGGTATAGTTATGAAATGCAGTTTGATGCAAAGTGTAATTGTTTTTGTTTGTGTTTTGTTAAACATTTCTTTTTCTGTCTCAAAACTATCTCTTTCACCTCTTGAGATGGAGTTGCTTTCCTGATTCACAAACAACATCTGCAAGAAATAGAGCCAACTGATCTTTCAAACTAGTCCCCAAGGCATATGTCACTCGATACGGCAACTATACTTGACGGCATAGATGAGGAGTATCTCTTGAAACTATTGTCAAGATTTTGCCACGGTCTAGACACTGCTCACGTCAAACTTGATGATATCGTTGCTTCAATACTTTCTGGCTTGCCTGATAGGATCACAGTGCAAGAGATTTACAACCTTGCATCTGAAGTAATAGCAAGCAGAATAATACACCATCCGGACTATGCAATACTTGCAGGTAGAGTAGTTGCCCATGTTTTGCAGATGCAAATACCTTATACCTTCAGCGACAATATAAAACGACTAAAACAAGCCACAAACTCCCAGGGAACACCATACTCACAAATGTCGGATAACTTTTATGAAGTCATCATGAAGCATAGAGAAGAATTTGATGAGATTGTGGAAAAAACAGAGAAAATAGAGTTAGCTTACTTTGGGATCAAAACCTTGGAGAACTCATATCTATGGAAAGTTGGCAACAAGATAGCGGAAACACCAGAGTACATGTTTCTTAGAGTTTCGATAGAAATTCACGGAGAGGATATACGAGCCGTGAGGGAAACGTATGAGCTAATGTCAAGAAAGCATTTCATACATGCCCTGCCTACTTTATACAATGCAGGATGCAAATACAACTACCTCTCATCCTGCTTTTTGCTAGCCATGAAAGACGATTCTATTGATGGAATTTATCAAACTCTCCACGAAGCTGCGTTAATTTCCAAGGCTTCTGGAGGGATCGGAATCCACATTCACAACATTAGGGCGCAGGGCTCACATATTGCTAGCACCAATGGGAGAGCAGGTGGAGTGGTTCCTATGTTACGAGTTTTCAATAATACTGCAAGATATGTTGACCAAGGAGGAGGTAAAAGACCAGGAGCATTTGCAATATACGTAGAACCGTGGCATGCCGATATCTTTGACATCTTGAATATGAGGAAAAACCACGGCAATGAGGAACTTAGAACAAGAGACCTATTTTATGGATTGTGGGTTCCTGATTTGTTTATGCAAAGAGTGAAATCTGGTGGCGATTGGTCACTATTTTCTCCGGATATAGCGCCTGGATTAAGTGACGTCTACGGAAGCAAGTTTGTTCAATTGTACGAGAAATATGAAGCTCAAGGATTGGCAACTGCAACAATAAAGGCACAGAAACTTTGGCTTGCCATTTTAGAGTCACAAACTGAGACAGGTGGTCCGTACATGTTGTACAAGGACGCTTGTAATGAGAAAACCAATCAATCTAATCTAGGAACGATAAAATCATCAAATTTGTGCTGTGAAATTATAGAGTACTCCTCGCCAGATGAAACTGCTGTATGCAACTTGGCATCCCTAGGCCTCCCTTCTTTTCTTAAATCAACAGATGAAAGCATAGAGTTTGATTTTGACAAGTTGCATTCGGTGACAAAGGTTGTCACAAAGAATATGAACAAGGTTATCGATGTTACTCGATATCCGGTGGAGTCCGCAAGGGTGTCAAATAAAAAGAATAGACCAATAGCTCTTGGTGTACAAGGTTTGGCAGACTTGTTACTCGACTTGAGATTGCCATTTGATTCACATGAGGCAAAGAAACTCAATTCGCAAATCTTTGAAACCATATACCATGCCGCTGTAGAAGCATCTGTTCAGTTGGCAATGGATGAGGGGCCATATTCAACCTTTGAAGGCTCGCCTGCTTCGAAAGGGATTTTACAATTCGACATGTGGAACCACAAGCCCGAATTTTTTGACGATTGGGAACAGTTAAAAGCAAGGGCCAAGACTATTGGTATGAGAAACTCGCTTTTAGTAGCACCCATGCCAACTGCATCAACATCGCAGATTTTGGGTTTCAATGAGTGCTTTGAACCGTACACGTCTAACTTGTACACCCGTCGTGTGATTCTGGGAGAATTTCAGGTGGTGAATAAGTACCTTATTAAAGACTTAGTGGATTTGGGTATATGGAATCCGGCAATTCGGAACAAGATTATCCAAGACGGAGGCTCAGTCCAAAACATATCAGTGATACCCGAAGATATAAAGAAACTATATAGAACCGTGTGGGAACTAAAGCAAAAGGACATAATAGATATGGCTGCAGATAGAGGGAAGTTCATTGACCAGCTGCAGAGTATGAATATTTATTTGCAAAACCCAACTATAGGTAAGCTTACAAGCTGCCATTTTTATGCTTGGAAAAAGGGGTTGAAAACGGGCATGTACTACTTGCGAACACAGGCCGCATCGAGAGCAATACAATTCACCGTTGACCAAGAAGAAGTAGCATTGGCAGAGAAGCAGCAAGTTCGGAAAAGTCTAAAGAGGAAAAGGTATGTGGAAGTAACTCAAAAGAAAAGGAGTATATCTGCGTACGCGACTCCTGATTCCGAGGTCTATGACATTCATGACACGACGCCAGTAGCTTGCAATATAAGGGATGCTGATAACTGTGAGTCTTGCTCAGGGTAAAATCTATTAGAGCATAAATAGCTGTATATATTTTAAATTGCAAATAGGAATTCATATTAGCCTCTTAGTTTTCGATTGGCATAGTCTGCAACCTGTGCCATACCGTCTTTTGTTACAAAAAACTTTCGCTTGACCTTATCACCCCATACTAACACTCCCAATTCCGTTGCATAATTCGACAACATGTCATATTCTTGCTGATTGGCAAAATCTTTGAACAAGTAACCCTCGACTGTCTGTATTCTATCAAGTTCCAATTGCCAAAGTTTGATCTGATCAACAACATTAGGCGGAATCACCTCCAATTTGTGTTGGGATATTGCTCCGTCAGTCTTACTTTGAGGTGCACCACCAGCGGTATTGATGTTATGACTGGCATCAAACTCCACCTTTTTATCCAACTTTTCCTTAGCCAAGGCACGCATTTGAGGGTGAGCGTGCGTTTCCAAGAACTTGATAATTTGGTCAGACGTTATTCCATTATATAATGCATTCCTGATAGATTCTCGTGTGATCTGACCACAGACCATATTTGAAAATCTCGTTTTCATTTGAACAAATAAATTAAGGATTGCAATCTCCAACGGTGAGTTGGTGTATGCATAGATCTTAAAGTTGGTTTCAATGATGATTGATTCTCGGCTATTAGAGGTCATCATTTGACCTTCATTTTCTTCCAAAGCCTGCTCTACAGCCATAGATGGAGTTTTCAATGCCGATGAATCTGATGTAAGCGTTGTAGCTAGCCGAGTTGGGTAGAACCTATTTGAGGTGTCCGATCTTTGGTATACTAGTCCGAGATCTTTCAAGTCGGCAAGCATACTCACTTGAGTCTCGCTTAAACTCGACACTGAATAACTTTTGCCTAGTTCCAAACACCCAAGGATGAAAATAAAATTTAAAACATCCACTGGGTTCATATTCAACTCGGATGTTAGATTTAGGTACTGTAGAAGTAATGTCCATATTTGGGCATTCACATCTTGCAAAAGAAATTGAAACCCTGTATTTGTGATATTCAAATTTGCATCGCCTTCCATAAGACCACCTAATTTTAACAAGCTTAGGACAGAGCCCGATGGTGCTGGTGTACCTTCTGTACCAACCATAAAGTGCAAAATCGTTTCCCATTCATGTGAAGCAAACTTGTCGAGAAATGCAATATCTACTTTGTCTGCATCATCATCTGTGCTTATACTTCCAAAGGCGTTGGGGTCTTGCGACCCGGTGAGACAATCTCGAAAGTTTGATCGAAAGATGGAATTCAACCGAACATGTGCTCCTTTGCTATCGTATTCAATTAGATGCAACGACTCCAACCGTTTCAATGCCTCAAACTCCATCTTTTTTGCCAGTGGCTTACACCATTTCGTCAAGTCTCTCATTGCTATTGATTTTTCATTGAAAACCATGGACATGATGTAAAACTTGGCCATGGGGGATAGAAGTCTATATATGGATAGACATGTTGCTGATGCTTCGTATAGCTTTGATTGAACATTCTCTGGAAGGTCCTCTAGGTACTCATTGACTGTGCTTTTGAACAAGTTGGATGACATTTGGTGATCGTAGAGTTACATTTGGGTTTTGTTTCTGATGTTGGTGGTAGCGCTTATATTTTATAAAGTTCAGATGAGATCAAAAATTATTTCATCGCTTCCAAGCTAAAGGACCCAAACGATGGCGAAAAAGGGAAAGGGTGCTACAGCAGATGCTGCGTTTAACGAGCTTTTTAAGCCAGAATACAAGGGCAAGCATTTAACTGATGAGATCAACACTGCCGAGGATAAGTGGAATTTGTTGCCAGCATTTTTGAAAATCAAGGGTTTGGTTAAACAACATCTAGACTCCTTCAATTACTTTGTTGATGTGGATTTGCGGAAGATATTAAGCGCCAATTCTCTTGTCCTATCTGATGTTGATCCTGATTTTTATGTGAAATACATAGACATAAGAGTGGGCCACAAATCTACATCGCCACCAGGTACAAAGGAAGTGATACTACCACCTCATGAGTGTAGGTTGAGAGATTTAACCTATAGTGCTCCCATTTACGTCGATGTTGAGTACACTAGAGGTAGAAAGATTATTAGACATTTTGACTTAGAAATTGGAAGAATGCCGATTATGTTAAGGTCCAACAAATGTATGTTGGACGGAATGGATGATAAAATGATGGCCCAAGTTGATGAATGTCCTCTCGATCCAGGTGGATATTTCATTGTAAATGGTACAGAAAAAGTAATATTGGTTCAGGAACAATTATCAAAGAATAGAATCATCGTCGAAGCGGATGAGAAAAAGGGCATAGTCCAAGCTTCTGTTACGTCCTCCACTCATGAGCGTAAATCCAAAACATACGTGATTACCAAGAATGACAAAATTTACCTCAAGCACAATTCTATTAGTGAGGATATACCTATTGTGATAGTTTTAAAGGCAGCGGGTGTGATTTCAGATTTGGAAATTTTACAACTTGTTTGTGGGTCAGACCCCAACTATCAAGATTTATTTGTGGTAAATTTCGAAGAGGCTGCCAAGTTGGAAGTGTTTACCCAACAACAAGCTTTGCTTTATTTGGGAAAGAGGGTAAAGACTATTAGAAGAGCCGGTGCGCCGAAGTTATCTCAATTGCAGGAAGGTATAGAAGCCATCGCCACCACTATCATAGCGCACTTGACTGTAGTTGACTTGCAGTTTAGAGAAAAGGCGTTGTACATGGCAATGATGGCCAGACGTGTAGTTATGGCCATGCACAACCCCAAAATGGTGGATGACCGTGATTACGTCGGTAACAAAAGGTTGGAACTCGCTGGGCAACTAATGTCCTTGCTTTTTGAAGATTTGTTTAAAAAATTCAACTCCGACTTCAAGGCCAATATTGACAAAATTTTAAAGAAGCCTAGCCGCACGTCTGAATTTGATGCTTTATTGTCGATTAACATTCATTCCAACAATATAACTATGGGTCTAAACAGAGCGATATCCACAGGTAACTGGTCTTTAAAACGTTTCAAGATGGAAAGAGCTGGTGTCACTCACGTTTTGTCTCGATTGTCGTACATTTCTGCCTTGGGTATGATGACGCGTATCTCATCACAGTTTGAAAAATCAAGAAAAGTTTCAGGTCCTCGTGCTTTGCAACCTTCGCAATTTGGAATGCTTTGTACAGCCGATACTCCTGAAGGTGAAGCTTGTGGTTTAGTCAAGAATCTAGCGTTGATGACGCATATCACTACCGATGATGAAGAAGGGCCGATCAAGAAGTTGTGTACCGCGCTTGGGTGTGAATCGATCTTGGGATTAGACTCGGCGACTTTGCACGTTGAGGGAAATTTTGGAGTTTATCTCAATGGTACCTTAGTAGGTACTACTAGATTTCCAGTTAAGTTTGTCACTGATTTTCGCCGATTGAGAAGGGCAGGTAAAGTGTCAGCATTTGTGAGTATTTACACCAATACGCATCAACAAGCTGTGCATATTGCTACGGATGGTGGAAGAATTTGTCGTCCGTTGATTATCGTGGAGAAAAATAAATCCAAAGTAGAAGCAAAGCATTTGGCTAAATTGTTGAATGGCGAGTGGGAGTTTGACGACTTTTTAAGGGAAGGACTAGTTGAGTATCTTGATGTCAATGAAGAGAACGATTCGTTGATTGCGCTATATGAAAAGGACATTGGGGAGAATCCAAATGCCACCGTGACTCACTTGGAGATAGAACCATTTACTGTGCTAGGCGCAGTTGCGGGTTTAATTCCTTACCCTCATCATAACCAATCGCCTAGAAACACTTATCAATGTGCGATGGGTAAACAAGCTATAGGGGCTATAGCGTACAACCAGTTTAGAAGAATTGACACCTTGCTTTATTTTATGGTTTACCCACAGCAGCCAATGGTAAAGACCAAGACTATTGAATTAATCAACTATGATAAATTGCCAGCCGGGCAAAATGCTACTGTTGCGGTAATGTCATACTCAGGTTATGATATTGAAGATGCCTTGGTGCTTAACAAGTCGTCATTGGATCGGGGCTTTGGAAGATGTCAAGTAGTTCGAAAAAATACTGTACAGTTGAAAAAGTACCCCAACCACAGCAAAGATATCTTGTCAGGAATGAGGGTGGACGAAAATGATCAGCCAATCTTTCCTCACCAAGCTTTGGGTCCTGATGGGTTGGGTGAAGTGGGCAGCAGAATTGAAAACGGGCAGGTCTTTGCCAATAAATGTGTTCCTACTAACTCTGGCGAAACAAGTTTGGGACAGCCTCAACAGGCTGAAAACCATAGAGAGGCTCCTGCATTTTATAAGGGCCCCGAACCATCATATGTCGATCAAGTCATGATGTCAGTTAGTGACAACGACCAAGCATTGATCAAAGTGTTGCTTCGACAAACCAGAAGACCGGAGTTGGGAGACAAATTCTCCTCGAGACATGGACAGAAAGGTGTTTGTGGAATCATTGTTCAACAGGAGGATTTACCATTTAATGATGACGGTATCTCTCCCGACATTATTATGAATCCACACGGTTTTCCATCGCGTATGACAGTGGGTAAAATGATTGAATTGATATCGGGAAAGGCTGGTGTTCTAAATGGATCGTTAGAATATGGTACTTGTTTTGGTGGGTCCAAGTTGGAAGAGATGTCAAAAATTCTCGTTGACAAGGGTTTCTCTTATTCAGGTAAGGATATGTTGTACTCGGGAATTACGGGAGAATGTTTACAAGCATACATCTTTTTTGGGCCAATATATTATCAGAAATTGAAGCATATGGTATTGGACAAGATGCATGCAAGAGCAAGAGGTCCAAGGGCTGTGTTGACCAGACAGCCTACTGAAGGTAGATCTAGAGACGGTGGTTTGAGATTAGGTGAAATGGAGAGAGACTGTGTCATAGCCTACGGTGCGTCTCAATTACTTTTAGAAAGATTGATGATATCCTCCGATGCCTTTGAAGTGGATATCTGTAACAAGTGTGGCTTGATGGGATATAACTCGTGGTGTACCACATGCAAGAGCACGGAAAACATTATAAAAATGACCATCCCTTATGCTGCCAAACTTTTATTCCAAGAGTTACTTTCCATGAATATAGCTCCTAGGTTGAGGTTGGGTGATGTTTTTTAAATCTGATATACATTTGTAGCGTTAATATAATATAATTGCATATAGAAAACGAAGCAAGATATAGATAACTGGGGGGTTGTTCTTAGTCATGTTTGTGACTTGCGCCATTCTCAAATCACAAAATCAAATGTAAGGAAGAAAATAAAATAAAAGAATAAACAAAATAAACTGTATAACATTACAAAGCTTTGTTTCACCTTTTCTTGTCTTATCAATCCCCATACATTCACAACCTGCTGTGGCCTGTACACATGGTGCTGGTACATATTCAACCACGTACAGTGGTTTTTGCTTTATTGTTGACCTTGTACGTGCTCCTTATTGGCTTTGGACTTGGAGGCCAACTTGATTTCAACTCAGCTATATTTCTTACCAAAAACTCTATACAAGAGTTCAAACAAAAATTAAGTTCAAAGAGCATTATCACGTCAATTGCAGGAAGTTTGCCATATGAAGGTGATCCCGAATACCCTTTGAATAATGTTTTCAATTCATTGTTCCCTATTGATGCGATATTTGAATTCAACACAACGTATGAAGGGAACATCACCACTCACAAATTTGCTGGTAGGTATGCATCATTCAGTCCAATTTTAAATGATAGAATTACCAGTAGGTATAGGATTTTATCTGACAAGGCGTGTTCAAAAGTCACAGTGGACGACTCTGATAAAGTCAAAATTTTAATAGTTCCCAGGGGTGAATGTAACTTTGTCAGCAAGGTGTTGAATATAATCGGCTCGGACGCAAAACCAAAGGCTATCATTATTGCAAACAATGAACCTTATAGAGGCTTGATAACAATGTACTCCAACACATTCAACCAAGATGGGGCTTTGGATATCCCAGTCGTGTTTATTACGTATGAGGACAGCAAGCTACTTGAGGCAGCTGGCCATGACAGCACAGCTTTGCAAATAAGCACTGCTGATTTTGGTGACTGGATCAATGTTCTATTGTCCATAGTTTTGTCACCTCCTTTGTTGATCATTGTCATATATTGCATCATCTTGTGTGGTCAACGGGTGAGAAGAGGACAAATTAACAAACGCAACACACAATTGGTAAAGAACCTACCAGTATATGTATACAACGTTGATCAGTTGATACTGGAGTCTGACTTTGAAAAATGCTTTAAGCTGACCGACCTGGAGATAGCTGATGATCCTGCTTTGTTTGCCAAGAGCGCACTACATCAGAAGTTACATGTTTTGACCTCACCTAATGATTACTTTAAAGCCTACAAATGCTCAATATGTTTGGAAAAATATGAACCATTGAGGTCTAGGGTTTTAGTATTGGAGTGTAAGCATCTTTATCACCAAAAGTGTCTTTCAAAATGGTTGATTAATTTTAGAAGAAGCTGTCCATTGTGCAATAGCACAATTCTAACAGACAACCTCCTTACTGGTCATGAAGTGAACTATGGTAGCATGGACATGGAAAGTGGTGTTACCGAGGGCAGCAGCAGAGAGGTAGAAGTGCAGCGCCCCTTCAATTACAGGAGTGCAAGCAGTCAGAGCCTGTTTCAAAGACCGCTTTTGATGTCAAGACCGCTGGCGATCTTGACCTGCTATAACTCAGATCCTAATGGGGCACAGCTAAGCACCAGTATTGACTCCTCATGAATATATGCACATCTATATGTATACGAAATGTTGGCAGCGAAACTTCCAGTTGTAGAGTTATTGTCAACCCTTGGCCTTCTAAGATCCTCTACGTTAGTATGTGGCTGTAACGGCCCATTGTCACCATTAAGTCAGTAGATGCTAATTCTAATTGTATATGTAAGATATAATGGCTAATTCAAATCAGACTTTAGATCAAGCATAATAATTTATGAGTCCATTTTGTTTTGTAATATTTTTTTTTTCTTTGTTTTTTTTTTGCTTTGGAACTCAAACCCACACTTTCTTTAAGAACGTCAAACCACCGCCAACAATGGAGATCAAGAACGATACCGTAAAGATTAAAACAGAGCCGGACAAGCAAGAGCGGAGGAAAAGGAAGAAGAAGTTGGAAATAGCTTGTGTTTATTGTCGGCGTTCGCATATGATATGTGATGAATCGAGGCCCTGTCAACGATGTATCAAAAGAGGAATCGGGCACTTGTGTTATGACGAACCTTCTAATTCGAGACAAAGGAAGAAAGCAGCTTCATTGAGAAAAACTGAGACGCCACCGGAACAACCACCACATTCAATCCCCGCTCCTGTTGCTGCTCCTCCCGTGCCTGCTGCAACTAGTCAGGAACCAGCTCCCTTACCTCCTCCAATACAGGTAAACCCTGGTCAGCAAAAAACGTTGAAGAATTCGGTTCTATCTCAAACTTTAGCATATAACCAAGAGCCATTATTCTACTCGGAACATGCAGGTAGTGAATTCAGCTCTTTGAATGATTTCCTATCCATCATCGATGATCCAGAATTGGTCAATGGTGCATTAAACGATGACCCCAATCATGCGTTTTGGGGTAACACCATGGCATTTTCTCCAAATAATTTATTTAACCAAACATTTCCTGAGGAGGTTGTTCAACAGCCTGCTCCCGAAGAAAGTGCTCCACAATCACCACGAGAAGCCCAGCCAGTCATTTCAGACTCTGCCAGAGATAAGTTTTTTCTTACCGCGGCAGATCCAACTACCGAGATTTCCCCTGAAGAAAGATTGAAGCAGGTGATTAAAGCAAAACTAGAAGCTGGCCTTTTACAGCCTTACAACTATGCCAAAGGATATGCGAGGTTGCAGCGATATATGGATAATTATATGAATATCTCAAGTCGTCAAAGAATATTAAAACCGTTGTCAATTTTCCGGCCCGCGTTTCGTGCTATTGCAAGAACATTAAAGGATGTTGACTTGGTGTTAGTTGAAGAAAGCTTTGAAAGAATGTTGTTGGATTATGATCGGGTATTTACGTCCATGGCAATACCTGCCTGTTTGTGGAGGAGGACTGGAGAAATATATCGTGGTAACAAAGAATTTGCTTCGTTGGTGGGTGTCACCACAGATGACTTGAAAGATGGAAAGTTGGCCATCTACGAATTAATGAGCGAAGAGAGTGCAGTGAACTTTTGGGAAAAGTATGGTGCTATTGCTTTTGATAAAGGACAAAAGGCAGTTTTGACAAGCTGCAATTTAAGGACAAAAGATGGTATTAAGAGGAAAAGTTGTTGCTTCAGTTTTACTATAAGGAGAGATAGGTATAACATCCCAAGTTGTATTGTGGGAAATTTCATACCAATAGATCCCTAGATGGTACAGTAGATATGTGTTTTATTATGTAACTATAATTCGATAAATTTGATGCTGAGTGATGTCTCATCACTTTGGCTTGAACTATTTCATACAGCCAGTCTATACTACTCTGTGAAAAGCTTTGATTCAGCATGCGATTACTCCAGCATATCTTCATCTTCATCTTCATCTTCCTTCTCCTCCTCTTCCTCTTCTTCCTCTTCTTCCTCTTCTTCTTCCTCTTCCTTTTTCTTCTGCTCCTTTGCCCTTTCTTCTTCCTCTTGTGCTTCCTTAAATAAACGAAGTCTTTCTTCCTTCAATTGTCTTTGAACGACAATGTACTGTCCAAGAGGAGTCTTTTCCCAACTCAAAGCACTGAGGAACTCCTTGACATCTCGCTTGTCACTTGGACCAAATTCAACATTGGACCTTTTACTTGTAATTAATTGAGCATTTGCATTAAGCTTCTCAATCAATTGATTCAACTGTTTGTTGAATTTAATGTTTTTAGACTTTTTGGTAAATCTTTTCAATCCAAGAACAGCTGGAGTTATCAATTCAGGAAATGCAATACTCTTTGCGTACAATCCAAAGAACTCGGAAGTTAATTCAATAAACTGCTCACACAACCCATCTTGGTAAACCTTGGTCCCTAAATAAGCTTGGTTTACCTTGATATTGTGTTCAAAGTCAACAATTTGCAAGGTAGAAGGTTTGGGTGCTTTCGTAATGGCGGTTGACGACAAAATTTCATACAACAACGGAAACAACGGTATGTATACCCCCGTTTTGGACAATCTCAAAAGAGATCTAATCAAGTAAAAACGTAAGGGGAAAAATTGGGCAGTTGGGACTAGTCTAATTGCCCCTAACGTAACTTGCACTAATGGGTAAATCAATTGCTTTAAGGAGGAATCGTCCTTGCAAAGTGACAAAACCCTTGACCAAAAATCAAGTGAATGACAGTATTGCCAATTGTATATAGTCACAAACCCTCCTTTCCCATTTACGCTATTTCTCAAATGTATGGCTAATTGTCTGACATACTCAAACCCAATCTGATATCCTATTGTCTCATCAATTTTAAACAATTCAGCCAATGAGTTTTTGCAAAAATTAACTCTTGAAATGGTATGAGGGTTGGTTTTCCTACAATGTTGCAAGAACGACGAGTAGGAAATTTTAAGAACCATTTCCAAGATTGATTTCGGATATTCTCTCACCACATTGTTGATGAAAGCGAAGGAAGCAATTTGTGTATCGGTCTCATTGGAGCTGGCCCAAACATTTGCCACAGCAGTGATGATTTGTTTCAACAAACGACGGTGCGACAAATAGTATGGAAACACTTCGTATAAAGACGCTAAAATTATGGCTGCAGTTTCAGTATTGGTGATGTCCTTGAGCAAGGTGATGTATGAGCTTGCGTGGGTTTTCAAGATTGAGCCAATTTGACTAGCCTGGGCATTCTGCGGAATCGTTCTAACACCTTGCTTCGTCTTGTACTTTACAATTTCTTGTACGGCCATCGGCACTTTTTTCAAAACCATCAACATCAATTCTGTAAAAGCCTTTGGATCAACCACAGAGTACTTGTAATCTTCTCCACTGTTGATATTCACGGCAGCTTTAAACGCAATAATTATGTTTTTGATAACCTTTGGAGTAGGCTTTTCCAATTGCTTGTCCCATTTGTGGACAAGTTGGGTAGTAATCTCCACCTTTAACGTTGGTTTATTTGTCGTGGCTTGGACTGCATCGCCGTTATCCTCTTCCTCGGCATCAGCTTCCTCATCTTGTTCTTCCTCGTCGTCACTCATTGCCTCCAATGGGTTCACTCCTTCAAAATCCAACAACTGGTTATCATTTTCTTTTAAATACTTGTAAAAGTCAGGATCCTGTTTCTCTAAGTTTTCAAGATTTTTTTTCATATCCTCTTCATCCTCGGAATCTGACAGTGACTCGTCATCTGATTCATCTAACTTCTTTTTACTTTTTTCCATTCCTTTAGGTATTTCAAATCCTCCGGCAAAAAAGTCATCAACCGACATATCCTCAAATTTAGAACCATCTTTTGGTGCCTCCTTCTCCTCCTCCTCCTGCTGCTGCTGCGGTGCGTCTCCACCCTTCTTTCTCAATGCAGCCTTCTTTTTGAAGTCTTGGGCTCTCTTACGATGCTGTATCGTGTGTTTCAAGTGCTTATTTTGAAACTTCTTGGTCTGCTTGGATGTCTTCCCCATGTTGGTTAGATGTTTAAGAATGGATAGGTTTTTCAATTTTTCTAAAAATTATTAGAGATGAGATGATGAGTGGCGCTACCTGTTGTGATAATTCATAACGAGGAAAGTCAGATACACTCCAAAAAGTCGAGAGTTGTGAGTACCTAGACGTTACTCTACCATTGTCTTAAGCTATTTGCGAATTCAAAAGGGTAAGAAATGGCCAATATGTATGTACATGGGGCTTTTACTGGAGACAAGCAAAAAGTAAAAAAAATTATAAAAATAAAAGTTCCTACCCGGATTCGAACCAGGGACAAACAGATTTGCAATCTGGCATTCTAAACCACTGAATTATAGGAACCCAACTGAGCTATTAGCTCGTTTTGTTGACAAAATCAGTTCAAGTATCTTTAAATTATTTAATTTTCATGAGGTATTCACGTGGAGAATGCGTGATTTGGTACTAAGTTACGCCGTTAAGGTCTTCGAATAAAACGTCGGACACAATTTTATCGTATTGTATAGAGCCTTTTAAAGGAAAAGGTTCGGTGTAGACTTATGTTTGATTGTCTGAAGCTAGTTCAATATATTGTTACACTCTCGTTTTCTATTCACGCTTTTACTTTTATGTGCCAAATCCATGCAAAATATTAATTAAAGGAGAAAAAACATGAATGATTTACACCGATAAGCTCCAATGTTAATGGAATGCAGTTTCAGTAAGTTTTAGTAAGGTTGTATTAAATTCTTCATTTCTGTGTCTATGTAAGAGCTATAATTAGTGATACCAGTTAACGGTGCATCTTACACATCAGTGGAAGAGAAGATGTTGCAACTTTTCGAGACAAATAACATTAGCAACAATTTTTTGAATTACAAATATGAAAATTGCAAAGAGCAGAAAGCCTTTTGGTGGCCTGTATAATATCACAGTTGGCCGTTTTTTGAGTCTGTACTATGCTTTGTAGATAGTACACATAGCCAATCGTGTAAGGTATATCCACCAAGAATGGACATATTTCAACACTAACAAAATAATTACCACCAAACACCTTACTATTCAAACCAATACCTGAATGAAACCGCAGTACCAGGTAAGCTCAATAACTTGAAAGTGGCTTTATATTTAAATTATAGCTTTGCATGTCAATACAATTCGGTTGTCAATTTTAATTTTGTCAGCTACCCCAGATTTTGTTTCCATTTTAGTGGGGTTTTGGCACATGCAAAAAGAGAATCGCTCCAGGTGGTGATGTGTACAACAGTAAGTCATTACGACCTATTAACTATACTCTACCATAGCTTTAGTTAGATGTTGTGGCACTTCCATTACCACTGTCAGTTCCGTGTAATAGGGATTCCATTGGTGTCTCGCAACCAGTGCGTGCGTGAAAAATTAACCAATAGAAAACCTGGAATTTGTAACACTCGCACAATTATGTATGACCCGGGACTTTACGCACATTTTTTTTATATATTTTATTTTCTTTTAACCGTTTCCAACCAAAGCCAAAAAAAGGAAAAAGAAAAAACAGAAAAAACTTCAACCATTTACCACAACTCTAAAGACACTAGTTGTTCTTCACTACAGTCATAGCATATATTTATTCATCCTTACATCATGTTCAGATCCTGTCTCCGTAGATCAGTCAGAGGTTTAGCCACTGTTGCTGAAGAAAAAACCCCAAGACTTAAGAAATTTCAAATTTACAGATGGAATCCCGATACTCCAGAAGTGCAACCTAAGATGCAAGAGTACGAGGTTGATTTGAACAAATGTGGTCCTATGGTTTTGGATGCCATCTTGAAAATTAAAAATGAGGAAGATGCCACCCTTACTTTCAGAAGATCTTGTCGTGAGGGTATTTGTGGGTCATGTGCCATGAACATTGGTGGAAGAAACACATTAGCTTGTTTATGCCGTATAGATACCGATACTACAAAAGATACCAAGATTTACCCCTTGCCTCATATGTTTGTTGTTAGAGACTTGGTGCCTGATTTAACCCATTTTTACAAGCAATACAAGTCTATTGAACCATACTTGCAAAGAAAAGACCAACCTGCTGATGGAAGAGAAAACTTGCAAAGTATCGCCGACAGAGCCAAGTTGGATGGTTTGTATGAATGTATTTTGTGTGCTTGTTGTTCAACTTCGTGTCCTTCATATTGGTGGAACCAACAACAATACCTTGGTCCAGCCGTGTTGATGCAAGCTTATAGATGGTTGATTGATTCTAGAGATCAAGCAAGTGCCAAGAGAAAGGCAATGTTGCAGAATTCCATGTCTTTGTACAGATGTCACACTATTATGAACTGTGCTAGGACCTGTCCTAAAGGGTTGAACCCAGGTAGGGCAATTGCTGAGATCAAGAAACAAATGGCATTTGATTAAATAGAGTCACATTTCTTTAATATTATTTCACGTTTAGGTACATATGAAACCTTTTCTGTAGTGACTCTGTTCTGTGGTAACTCTATTATCTAACTATTTTGCAAGGATTGACCTCGGTCGCGAGACTCGCATAATTTTTTCTTTTTTTTTGTTTTTTGTTTTTTGTTTTAACCGAAATTCGCTGTTAAGCGGGAATAACTGACGACACTTTTGCTCCAAAAGTATGCCGAAGCTCTTAGATCTACTCCACGAGGCGATTGAAAAGAAGGTACCTCAAAAGTCGTTTATACTACTACTGGCACTATGCACGCCTATCACTGATGACGAGATTGTGCATATATTTCAATCACCACTCAACGACGAACAAGTGCGCCTTTTCGTGTATTGGACAATGAGTTCAGCATCAAATTGCCAAACTTTTTGGACCAACTTGGGAAAAGTCGAAGATGGAATTCAAGTGAGATATTTGCAAGAGGTGAGAAGAGAGTTCAACCATCAATCTTTTGTGTATGAAGAATTTACAAAATACGCCATTGATTATTTAAATAGCAGCACTGTTTCTTCTGACGTTGTCAACGAGCTTGTACACTTTCTAGGCCTTACAAAGGATTACTCGTCCAGTGAATTTATTGAATTGTTCAAGTTGATCAAGAAAAGTGGATACAACTTGCAGCAGGCTACAAGAGGTGTATTGACATCTGAACAATTGAGTCATTTGGCTGATCTAAATTTGATCGAATCAGAGAGTGTCGAAGATACGCCAGAAATTGGGGTTTCATTAGACGTGACCAATAAGCTAGACACCTATCTCGAGGTGAAACGGAAACTTTGGTTATATCAATTAACTCGTGACTTTAACAAGTTACAACTCTATGAAGATGCTGGTAAATTTTTGACTCATTTCAGGTCGTATGTTGTGAATCAAGAAAATAAAAAAGTGGCAGAGACTTTAGTGCTGCTGTTTCCGTTGAATACTCAGGGATTCCACTTGTTCAATGTTGAAAACTTTATCCTGACCAGAGTGCCAACGATCTTGCAAGAACTAGGTGTGGAAATAGATCAATTGAGCGTGCCTGATGAAGTCAAGCAATTGTTTATATCCAAAACAGATCCGGATTTGAAGAGATTGCAAGACTTGGTAAATACTGATCCCGAGTTTACTTCGTTTGAGGAGAGTGGGTTGGTCGAGTTTGTTACTGAATTATCTAAAAGGGGCTCGCAGAAGGTCGTAAGTGAGATTATATTGGACAATATGAGAGGATTTATACGCGCAAAGCAATTAGAAAAGTTGCATCGATTATTGCTTGCTCTTCTGAACAATGTCGAGATGGTAAACATCATTTTGTTTCATACAAATTTGTCATTATTGTACATATTGATAGATTATGTTGATTTTGAGACATTCACAATTGGTCCAGATGATGACTTTCAAGATATTTATTCATATTGTGGTGTTGGCGTACTCAGTATTCTATTAATTCTCGAAGTTTTCCAAATCGACTTGTCAAAATTAGAGCTAAATTCCTATTCTGTCGGTTTTGTGAATAACTTTTACTATCGATTGGGTGATAATCTTACCAACAACACTCCATTAGAAAAGGATGAAGATGACTTAACAATTATAGGAAACTACAACAATTTGGTGAATGAATGGATCAATGCACTTTTCGACGATTCAAATGATGGACTTTCGGACGAATTAATGAAGAGTTTGAGCATAAAACAAATCTACAAGTTGATGCCCATAATATACAAGCAGGCAATTATGGCAACAAGATTGGGCAAAATCAACTTTGCAATATTGAGTAATGGGCTAGATTATATATCTCAGCCATTCCTTCTACCGGTTACAGCGTGTCTTATCAAATGGATGACAAGGAATAGCAACGATTCAAAATTGTACAACCAAGTGATTACAGAGTTGGTAAAATCAATTGTTGGTCAAGATTCAAACATATTGTCCAGAATTATTTTGAACATTTGTGGCAACGATGTAAACAAAGTTGTTACCAATGAAAACATCAAACAGTATATTCATTATGTGCACGGAGAAAAAAATGATCAATATAGGCCAATAGTTTGGGAAAAAGTCAAGTTTACTTCTAGTTTTGAACAATTTGACCTTTTATTGAAGAATAAACGTGATACAATATTTTATATGATCCAAGAGCTGTACACATTCCAAGAAACAAAGGACGAAAACAGCAAACTTTTCATTAATTTACTAGTTTCAATTGCTATTTCCGATTCGATTGAAGATAGAGGCGATGCGACGTACTGGAAGCAAGAATTGAATAAAGCATTAGATTCACCCACTTCAGGTCGCAATGGTGATAAATCATTTTTGTGCACCTTGGATTACCATTATTCGTCTATTTTTAACGACGATGTCGACAAGACCAATGATGACATGGACAATGGTCTCCCTAGTTCCAACAATAATGATGATGAAGAAGGCGACATCAAAATGGATGTGCCTACTAGTGAGGAGTTGAAAATAGCACAACGTCAATTAATTCTACAGGATAGCTTGCTTGCGCATTTTAAAAGGATCAAGGACAAGACAAACCATACAAACTTATTTTACAAAACAGTGAGACTTTTAACTGACAGGATCTTGGAAGAACTTGACACTTGGAGTTAAAATTGTATATTTACTGTATCGACTATTAAATAAACAACTCTCCGCTTATTACTCTTGGTTTGACTTTAATTTCCTGTGGCTTTTGCTTGATAGGGGGCGGTTTCTTAACTATTGGTGCTCTACTTTCTTCTTGGGGTTTCAGTTCTTGCTCTTCCTCTGCTCCAAGCCCCTTATCCTTCGACACGTTTTTCAGATCAATTTTGTTGACACTCTTGGAAGCACCTCCCCCGCTTTGCATATTCTTGGGTAATTTCCGTTTTGGACCTTTAGCCCTACTCTTTGTAGCATGAGTTAACGTCTTACTACTAGCTTGTTTGCGAGTAGTTTTAGTCTTTGCAGTTTCTGTTTGAGGAAATGTCAGGGCCTTAACCAAAACAGGTGCTTGTGACAATAGGGCACCTAATTTGTCCTCAAAGGATAAATCATCTGGAGCACGATTTATGGTTGGTTCGGGGTCCCGCTTGTTTAAACTGGACTTGAATTCCTCAGTGGCAGCTTTCTTTATTGGCTTCTTAGGAGGTTTCTTATGTGCCAATTTGTCCAACTGTGCCCGCAATTCCTCACTGTCCTTTTGCTCATATGTAGAAGTGTTAAATTTAGGCTTTGCTGGCTTGGCGGGTGCCATTTTCTTCAACTTTGATCTCAACTCAAGAGCATCATTCTCCTCATAATTTACTGCCTTTTCCTTTAGTTTCGTTGGAGATGATCTAGCAATCGAGTTGAATTTTGCTTGGAATTCTGCTGGTGGTTCATGTACAGTGTTGATATTTGGTTTGGGCTTCACCACCGGTGGCTCCTTCTGTGGTATCAATTGTGGCTTCTTCAATTTCAGAAACTGAGACATAAATTCAGGCTCCAGATTATTTGTTGTTTCTGCTTCACAATGAAGTTCCAAATGTTTGGGTTTATTTGGTTTGACAAGAGGAGCCTTTGTTTTAGGTTTCGACTCTGGTGACTTGCTAACCGCACTATCTATCCAACTATTTGGTTTTGGTTTCGTTGGTGTGATTGCTGATGTAGGTGCTGACGAGGAAGAAGGTGACTGCTGCTTCGTACGCACTGTTGATTTCGACGAGGACAATGAAGAAAGCCAGTCAGGTTTGGCGGGTTTTGATTTGTGTTCTTGTAACTGCTCTGAGGCACTTTCAAGTGTCTTTGTACTGGCCTTTCCAGACTTGATTAAATTTTCAATATCACGGAAAGATCTATGCCCCCCAGGTTCGGTATTGTTAGATGGGAGCACCTCAGGTTTATCATAGACCGCTTTTGGCTTCAGTGGTTTGGCAGGTGCTTGCTTTCTGGCTACTGGTTGCAACAAACCAATGGAATCTTGATACTTTCGTGTTGGAAGCCTTGGTGGTGTCTCCTCAGCAATCTTTGATCTACTAGGTAAAGCCGGCGGTTCATCCTCCTCTTCCTCTTTCATGTCTCGCCTTTTTGGCAACGGAGGAGCAACCTCGTCATCTCTTATATTTTTTGACCTATTAAACTTGAGGTTTGGTGCAGACACCTGGTACAGTGATCTAGTACTAGACGATCGGTAATTACTATCATTTTTGACAGGTGAGGCACTGTTCAGCCTTGATCGTAATTCATCAATGTTACGTTGCAAATTTCTTTGTCTTTGGCGATCCTCTTTAAGTCTTTCCTGGGACAATTGCGATAGACTTGATAGGAAATCATCTACTTTCTTGGATGAGGGTGAGACTTCCGTCATTCTTTGTTGCTGTTGTTGGAGGTAAGACTGGCTGAACAAAGAAGTCTATTTTTTTTGGCGCGGCTTCTGTCAAAACTAACAAATATTTGTTTATTCTTCAACTTACTTATTTATATTATACAGGCTTCTTGTATACAATTTCAAAGTGAGAGATGTTGAATAAAGATGTTTCGTCATTGACCCATTCTTCCCACTTGGAAATAACTTGATTACTGACTTCTTCATTTTTCTTTTCATCATTTGGATAAATGACCTCTCCACCATTCTTGATCCTATTATTGGTTAACTCAACCCATTGCTTTTTAGCTTCGATGTCATCAGCCAACAACCAATAGGATTTAGAAGTTGTAATGTTATCCGGCTTATAGCCGGCTTTTACAGCTTTCTCTCTCAACGTTCTTCCCGCCTTAATGTCAGTAGACACCGCATTCTTCGCCTTTTCAACAAAGTAGTTACGGAGTAGTTCGTACTTTTCTGGTGATGCTATAATTGATTCTAAATCGGCGTCTTTGACTGCAACATATCCACCTGATTTTGTGACTCTGGCGAGCTCTTGTAAACCTTTTATTGGATCTTGTAAGTGGATGATGACTTGATGAGCAAGCACCAAATCAAAAGTGTTATCCTCAAAAGGTAACTCATAAATTGAGCCTGTTTGAAATTTGACATTGTTTAAAGAAGGAGCTGCTGTGTTCTTGAATTCGTTAGCAGTATCAATCAACTCTTGTGTTGGTTCTACTCCAATAACCGAGCCATTTTCGTTGAGATAATTCTTTGCCAAATCGACCGTAATCAGCCCCGGACCACACCCGACATCCAAAACTTTGAAATCAGGTCGAAGCACCGAGGTGATGAATTTCGTGGAATTGTCAACTGTTCTCCATGCATGTGTATCGGATACAGATTTCTTGAAACCTTTACTGTAGTATACCTGGTCGTTTGCCATTCTTGGATTGATAGTTGTTGTAATGTACTCTGAAAGCTTATATAGTAGCAAAATTGGTCCTACTCTGATACGCTGCAAATGAGGATGAGAGTCTCTATTTATACATTGTTGTTGACATTCGTTTGATTTTGAGCCATGGTCGTTTAATCCGATCTCTTTCCTTTTTGGACTATTCGCCGAAAGAAAAAGTGCACAAAAAAGTGTAACGTATGACCAAAATTTGCAAGATGCATACATCACCAGCACATCATTTCAGAGAACATGGTACGCAAGACAATAGCGTGACTAGAGAATCTACTTATTTGAAACTATAGTGGGTGCTCAACTGCACCACAGTGATCAATTTTCGCTACAATTTCAATGAGTCCTGAAGGATATGGACGTCTATTTTATGAACTACGATTCATAAGCATGGGGGGAGTATAACATGGCTTTATATTGATATAATCTATTTCAAGTCTACAGGCTTCTTGTATACAATTTCAAAGTGAGAGATGTTGAATAAAGATGTTTCGTCATTGACCCATTCATGCCACTTTGCAATCGCTTCGTTGCACATTTCCTCACTCCTTTTCTCATCTTTAGTAAACAAAATCTCTCCACCAGTTTTGATTCTATTTATAGCTAATTCCGCCCATTGTTTCTTAAGCAGCTTATCATCAGCTAATAACCAGTACGATTGAGTTGTGGTGATATTTTGTGGTTCATATCCTGCTTTAATTGCCTTTTCTCTCAATCTTCTGCCAGCCTTTACGTCGGTTGAAATGGCATTCTTGGCCTTTTGTACGTAATATTCTTTCAAAATGTTATACTTGTCTGGTGATGAGATGATTGAATCCAAATCGGCGTCTTTGACTGCAACATAACCACCTGGCTTTGTGACCCTAGCAAGTTCTTTCAACCCCTTCACCGGGTCTTGTAAATGAATAACTACCTGATGCGAATGGACAAAGTCAAAAGTGTTGTCTTCAAATGGTAACTCATAAATTGATCCTATTTGAAATTTGACATTGTTCAATTGCGGTTCTGTTGTTTGCTTCAAGTTGTTGGCCGTGTCAATCAACTCTTGTGTTGGTTCTACTCCAATCACTGATCCACCTGCTGTGAGATAATTCTTTGCCAAATCAATTGTAATAGATCCTGGACCACTACCTACATCCAAAACTTTGAAATCAGGTCGAAGCACCGAGGTGATGAATTTGGACGAATTGTCAACTGTTCTCCACGAGTGAGTATCAGAAATGGATTTCTTAAACCCTCTTCCGTAGTATGCCTGGTCGTTTGCCATTGATGTTTATAACTATTGGGAGTGTAGCTGTGCAGTAGCTGTATGGTAAAGCTGCGTAGTATATATTTAGTGAGATTTTGATAAAAAGATTTACTGTGTTGAGTTTTGTCAACTAAGCCAACTTAGTTTCGGCCGAATATTTGGTACAAACACAAAATAAAGTCAAAGTTTATGACGTGCCAACGAGGCATAGCTTACATTCAATACGCTATAAAAGAATTTCAATACTTGCTTTTAAATTACTTAAGTACATCTTTGACACCATCAATGGCCAAAACATTTTCATACCATTTTACGACTCGGGGGTACTTTTCATTGAAATCTTTAATTTCGTAATCAGTTCCAGTAAACACTTCAATACGTCTATGGTTACCCGTGGCAAATGCAATATCAACAATGGTAAACTTATCGCCAATCAACCAACCAGATCCATTCTTCTCCAATTGACCTTCAATGACGCCATACAATTTGGCAAAATTCTCCAAAACATCCCTCGTAGTGAAATCGTCATCGGGGTTGATTTGGCTATAATAGACACCTCGAGACAATGTGTGTGCTGCAAATTGAGCTGCTTGGAAATATAACCATTCCTTTTGGTGCCAGTATAATTTGTAATTGTCTTGCTCTTTGTAGCTATATTTGCCTTCCTTGTCGTATTTTGCCGCAATGTATTCCAAAACGGCATTGCTTTCAAAGATGCTGCCAACTTCCTCATCAACTAAAGTTGGAACCAATCCATTGGGGTTTAATTTCAAGTACAGGTCGCTTTTGATTTCGTCGGTGGGCCAGTCAAAAAGGTGGACTTTAATGGGAGCATTGAGTAACTTTACTAAAATTAAGGGCTTTCTGCCATTACCGGTTTGTGCTGTATACAAAGTTGCCATATTAACTAAGAGTGTTGTTGTGGACTAATCGCTGAAGAAACACGTTGTAAAGAATATTAAACCAGAGATCAAATTATGTGATTTTCGAGAGAATTTATGAACAGGAAAATCCATTTGCGGAGATCCACACTTTTTTAAATTTGTGTCATCTTTAGAAAAGCATGTGAGATCAACATTTCTAAGGGACAGCTCCATTTTTTTTCAACCGGGTCATCTTTGAGAATCACGAGTGCAGTTAGCCAAAGAGGTCAACACTGAAGTCTTTAAAAATTTGTTCAACATGATAAGTATTGTATTCTAACTCTTTAAAGGAAGCTATCATCTTTGTATGCTAGTACCTTTGATGCTTTCCAACCAAAGTGTACTTCTTAAAGTGGTCTTATTATATTACAACTATTGTGTTTACCTGTGATCAACATACGTCTACATATCTATCAAAGACAATGCTCTTTCAAAATAAAAATGCTAAACATACCTCTTGAGGATATAATGCTTTCATTAATCCTGGGTGACGATCCATTATCAATTTTATTGTGCACATACTGCATAGAGCAGTTAAGACAACAATAAATAATAACACACTCACACCCACTATAAATTCTTCACTGATACAATAAATGCCGACAACAAGCAAAAAAAAAAAAAAAACAGAACCACTATAATCAAACCATTGAACAATAGCTGGTTTTCAATAGTGTGGGCGCTAAGGGTACCTTCTTACATTATATAACTGACAGATATGCCCCCTTATTAAAGATGGGGGCCGACTTAATTATAAATTAATTATCCGTTTCAACCGCCCATCGTGTAATGTAAAAAAATTTCAAAGTATGCCCAACCAAGCCATCGGCGATGCCAGTGCGTGATGTGATAAACAGGCACAGCGCTATTATAATTTTAAGGCGGACCTGCCTCCTGGGGGTGGTCGGACAAAAAGACAACTTTTTGTACCACTGAGTCACCACAATAAAAACACTTTTGACACCCAGCACACGACCAAAGCGAATGAATAGATGCCCCTACCGTCCTTCTTTTCTGCATGTACAAGAAAGCTTTAGCCTAAGAATTTATCTTCTAACCCCACGTGTTTGGAATTGTCGTTACTATTTGCTTCCCAATTTGTTAAGATGTGGGTTTGCTTGGCAGGTTTGGAGGTTTTTTTAGAGCAAAGCTCCATATTTAAAAGTGCTTCTTTTCATTTCTCCTGAGCCAAAATTCGTAAACGTAAATGTCGATCCCGCCTCATAGCAAAATATTACAAAAATAAAAAAATAAAAAAAAGAAATAAAACCAAAGCTTCTATGCATTGCGCTAAAACTGCTTCTTGTATGTTTGTGATTGAATTCTTCCATATTGAGAACACCCTTTGATTTTTTTTATTATTATTATCCTTCGATGCACGCTAATGTAAGGGCAATCCCAACTATGAAGAATCCACGAGGTACTTACTCGTCAAGGGTCAAGTAAAGTGTGAGATGCTCTTGTACTAATACATATCTAGTCATGAATGTTTTTGCTATTTGGGGGAAAGCATCAACGTAATTGCATATACGACACACAGCTGCCAAGAGAAACAACCGAGACGAAAGTAGACAGACTATGATTAGCCAAATCCTGCACGTGTTATCCCACTATTTTTGCAGCAACAAAGTAGATTTAGACTGTTAGGAGATTAGGGACAGCTAAAACTACTGCGGAAATATGCCTATTAGCTTTGGTATAATAATACATTACTTATGTAAAACCTAAAAAACCTAAAAAACCTAAAAAACCTATAAAAAACATTTGAAAATCTATAACATTAAAACCCTCCTCCTCTCTCTATCTATCACCATCATGGGACTCATAAAACTTCTCGTTGACGTAAAATAAAAATCGTTAAAAATAAATAATAGTTGAAAAAAATAGTATCATGAAATAAATAATTGTAAAACGATGCAAAATTGAAAAAACTTGTGAAACAGTGAAAGTTTTGCATAATTTCCACAGAGAATAATAATAATAATAGCAACAGCCGTATACTGCTAGTCCTCATAGGATGTGTGAATATTTTGTTTACAGTTTCTTGACTCAAACAATGTGTATGAATCGGTAGATGAAATAGAACTAACCGAATGAACAGCAGTTAGATCCATGAAATCAGCAATAGCAGTAGTAGAGCCAGTTGCCGAAGTAATAGTAGTAGCTGCAGTTGCGCAAGTACTCTTTGATGAGGTGGAAAGGTTCCGACTTTGTGGATTAGTTGTTGAATTTTTGCGTTGCTGCATAACGCCATCAATGGTTTCAGCCATGAAGTCCAATTTGTAATTCAAAGGCTTGCCAAAAGTATAGTCGATACCATACTGCTTGAACAACAGTAAATCCTCCTGGGTGTTTCTAGTGGTGACTGCAATTAAACTAGTGGTTGTAAATTGGGAATCATTGCGTACCACTTGAGCAATGTCTAATCCTGTGACTTCTGGCATTTCAATATCGATAAATATCGAATCAAATGATTGATTAAAGATTATTTGTTCAACTAATGTTGAATCTTGTACTTGAGTAATTGAAGCCTTGGGGTATAATTTGAGTAAAATACGATTAAGTATTTTGAGATTGATCACATTGTCATCAACAATGAGAAACTTGTATGAATGTAGATTGGGCATTGATAAGTGGAATTTGGTGGATGATTTCGATTCAGATTTTGATGCTGGTTGTTGTTGTTCTTTTGTTTCAGTAGAATCAACGGTAAATACTCCTTGTTGGGAGCTTGGACGAAGGATTGAACTTCTTCGTATCAATGAATTTGATTTTGACGGTACAGCTGAGCTGTCAAATGGTGTTATAGGACTATAAAACACGTCTTCTTCTTCGTGTAGTGAAATATCATCAAATGTTTCCATGACGTCGCTTAAATCAACACTGTCAGCGTCGTCGTCGTCCTGCCCCTCATCATCATCATCTTCTTTTTCCTCTTCTTCACCATTACTGTCACTACCTCGACTCTGGTTGCTTTTGTTTGAATATAACTCTTGTGAGGCATTGATGTCGAGTGATAGCTGTGGTTTTATTGAAAAGTAATCTGAATTGCTGTGCCAGCTATTAGTGAGTGATTTTATTGGGGTATTTGGTAATGAAGCCAGCAGCAGCAGTGCTGCTGACTGTATTAGCAGACTCATATCGTTATCAACTCAAAAGTCAGGTGGTTGGTATTGGGTCCGTGTAAAATTGGAAATATTGTGACGATGATTCTAAAGTCTAGCAAGTCCTACCAATGGGCGTGGATGTGGATGTGGATGTGGTACTTTACTTTTGTAGATGTAATTTGAAAGTGAAAAAGATCCTTTTAGTAGTTGTTTAAAACTATATGAAAAGGAAGAAAGTAAAGTTAGACAGATACAGATAAATAAATGAAATTGGGACTGAATAGGGAAATATTGAACTCGTTTTATACAAATGATGTGTTTTTTTTGAAATTGGGCTTTTTCTTTAGATTAGTCTGCATTGTTTAAAGAAAACAATATGTGTATGTGTCTTATTGCAAAATAATACATAATAATTAAAACAATAAACAAATACAAATACAAAAAGAATTAAATTAAACAAACAAACGAAATCGAAGTTTTCTTTTTTAGTTTTGCTTTTTTTGCTTCTCTCTATTGTTTCAACAAAACACTATTCTGATGGTTTTATATAACCCATTATACATACTATATATATTTTTATTTTGCTAAAAGGAAAAGCAGACTGAATAAAGTTAGCTATACTGCATAGAGTATCTTTAAAACCACAAAACAAATTATATGGAGTTTATGGTCCTTCTTTGTTTTTGTTCGACTTTACATAAGGGCCCGCCTTAGTCTAATAATAAACAGAAGAGAAAGCAAATAAAGCAAATCATTTAAAGTTAACGCTAATCTCTCTAATATTCTGCAGGTATACATACGTGCCTACCCAAAAGTAGCAAAAAATTCAAGGTTAATGGTGGAAGAAAGAGGTCATGAGAAAATTATACTTGCATGTTCTCAAAATCACGTCGTAAGTAGGTGTTGAATGCCATGCTACATGCTACATGCTACATGCTACGTACTTTTTACTTCAAAATTTTACTTCCATTTGAAAATCAAATTCCTGATATGAAACCACCACCACGGAGTTCGGAACCTAGCAAATCTTTTCCCCTGCTCTCTTCTTTCTTCTTTTGCTAAGAAACCTCTCGCTTGTTGTTCCGGAAGCTCCTTCTTACGCTTAAGCCTCTTAAATGTCTCACAAGGCGTCGAGTAGAGCTCTGAGCTGAGACATAACAATAGAGTATGTGTGTCATGCGCAATTATAATTTAAATCTAAATTTTAGTAGTAACTTTTTTAGAAAACACAGAAGAGAAAAAGAGAGAAACGAAACGATTGCTTTTCCACAAAGGATACAAAAATTAAGATGCAATGCTTGTGAGTTGAGTTGAGTACAGTATATGGGTGGGTTATGAGGTTACAAAATAAAAATAATTTTGTTAAGAAAAAATATTCTAAACAACATTTTTGATTTGGCTTTAAGTTTGTGTAATATTAATTTGAGATTATATGTAAGAGAATATTCTTCTATGGAAAGTTCTATTTCCCCGCTGTCTCTTTTCTTTATTTCGGTGGTGAAGTGAACCCTTGTCAAAATGGAAATGGCTAGAACTTATAGAGCAAGTTAATCAATAGACAGTTGTTATTAAGTTAAAATTGACATTAACATTTCCTTTCTTATCACAACCATCAAAGTTTGCTTCTAGTAAACAAAAATTGATTAATATTTTTAATGTAACTCTTCCACCACGGGGTGAAAGTCCGTAATGTATATGTCATCTCGTTAAAATTGCTAAAAACATTGGGTTTTCCACTTCATGCGGTTGAACTGATCTGTTTTACAAATAAAAACGTTAAGTTTAACTCCACCTCTTTCTCTACCTATATATATCATCAATCATTCTTGCATATGTTTTGTCTTCTTATTGTCTCAGACAGTTACTAAGACAAAGACAACAATGTGCTATACTATTATTACATTTTGCTGTGACGGACTTAGACGGAGTTCCTTCTTTTAAAATTTTGTAAAATTGAGAAAGAGAACAATAATCCCCGTCCTCGTCTTCTCCTCGTTTTATTTTTTCAACAGGTGTTTTCTAATTTCGGCAGTTTGTTATTGTTTTTACCTATATTATATCACTTCTATGCATAACCACTGACGCTTATCTCTTTCCTAAAGCAAAATTATTATAACTTCATCCTCTAGCTTGTGAAATACGAAAGATGTTTCCTACCTAATATCAAGAGGAAGTGTAGGTTTGTTGTGTTGTGGAACAAAGAAATGCTAAGCTTTCTGTATATGGGGTGTCCTCTATTTGCTCTTGCATATGAGAATTACCCAAAAAAAAGAACAACGCCTTTTCCTCTTCTGGTATTGAAACCGAAATTGACGAGACTAGTGTAATTCACAATGTCCTACAAATCTATTTTTAAGTCTATGTATTTCTTTTTCTTTTTTTTGACATGTATTATTATTATTATTATTATTATTATTATTATTATTATTATTATTATGCAATGTGACCAATTTATCTCTTATTTGTCTGTTGGGGCTTTAATATACATTTGAATATGTGGCAAATTAAGCAATACGAGTAAGGCTTTACATTGAAAATGTGTATTTACTGGGGACGGGACTTATCTCTTCCCGTCATAAAACTACTACAGACATGTCTATTGTTGACCCATGAGGCCAATTGTCGCAATACAATTGAGTCGCAAGGGTGTTTGATGGTCTATTTACAAGATACCCTCTTGAGGACATGTTTCACCTCACATGTGTAGCAATTTCACTCATCAACTCTAAACACTGGTCGATATTTTCTCCTCTTGGTGCACAAACCGGAACAATTTTCCACAGTCCACCATGTGTCGTTTCTATAAACTGTTTCAAAGTTTGATAATTTTCACCTTCATTACTCAAATCAGCTTTGGTAGCAACAACTAACACTTTTTTATCCTTCATTCGTGTTGGCCCAACTTCGTTAATTAAAGTCTGTAAATCGTCAACTGGATTAGTTGATTCCAAAGAAACAACAAAAACTAACCCACCAGATCGTTCAATATGACGAAGGAAATCTAACCCCATACCTTTATTCTCCGAAGCACCCTTAATTATTCCGGGAATATCAGCCACAGTGAATGGGTCAGAATCAATTCTATGCCGAATAGTACCAATAGTCGGTTGTAAAGTAGTAAACTCCCAATGCCCTACACGGGGCTTGGCTCGCGAGATGGCCCGTAATAGACTTGACTTTCCGGCATTTGGTAACCCAACAAGCCCCAAATCAGCAATAAGCTTCAATTCAAGAAGAAAATGAGCCGTGATTCCTGAACGACCAACTTTGCAGAACCGAGGATTACGCACATTTGAAGTTAAGAAATGCATGTTGCCTAACCCGCCTTTCCCTCCATTCAAAAGCAAAAGAGGTTTGGTCGTTACTTTATCACAATCCATACCAAGAATTGGAAATTGATCTTGTTGTTGTTCCTCAAACTCCATCTCTTCATCATACTTGATCACTTTATCATCCAATTCCTGAAAGAAATCACGCAGTTGGTAGTACTCCTTATCATGCTCTTTAAAAATCCATCCATCACCTGGCTTATACCCATGTCGATCTAATTGTACATTCTCCTTGCCATAAGCCATATCCAACTCAAGTTCCATATACACATCGTCTAAGGAATCCCCTTCTTTTTTTGATATGTATTTCTTGAATATTGTCGGATCAGGGATCCACCGGATTACAGTACCCAATGGTATATCAATAATCACGTCATCCCCATTTTTACCATCTAATTGTCCCCCTTTACCTGGCGCGCCCAGTTTGGCAACATATCTTTTCTGCAAATAATGTAACGAGTTTAAATTACGATCAACAACGTTTATGTAGATGTTGCCCCCACAGCCGCCATCACCACCATCAGGTGGACCAGAAGTTGTTAAATTGTCACGGAAAAATGACACAGCTCCATTACCTCCAGAACCACTTGTCAATTTCATGATTTTCAAATCAACAAATTTTTTATTTTCAATTTTGGCTGCTTTCTTGGTCTTTGCATGTATGAGGTTTGAATAGAACACATGATGTAAATGATGGGAGTTTCCAGAAAAGTAATCAGCTATGCTTATGATATTTCTTGGTTTTGGCTTTTGGCGTGAAATTGTCAAAGCTTCTGTTGGTGCTGTGGTTGGGCTTGGATTATCAATAATCTGAGATATTTTAATCGTTTGTGTTTCATCACCAGGACTGGATATAATCTTGGTAGATATCTCCTTGCCTAAAGTGTCAGGGAACGCATTGTAAAACGCATAGTTGGGTGCAAATGAAGACGATCCTAGATCATTTCGTAGATATGGTGACGTAAACATCGTCCGACACATTAGTCTGAGTGGAACTGTATGCGTTGTGTACTTCATCCTCGTATGGTTATTGATGACACGATGGTGGAAGTTGGTATTCTTATCAAACAGTACGAATGCAAGTGAATCGTCTTTTTCTCATTTTCTCAGTTTAGAACCACAAACCAAATAACAATTTTTTTTTGTTTAATGAGATGATCATCACTACAGTCTATCTTTAACAACCATGTCGTCACAACCGTTTCAAGAGTTAGGAGTCGCAAAATGGCTCAGCGAGTCACTAGAAGCAATGAAGATACATAAACCCACATCTATTCAAGCTGCATGTATACCGGCAATACTCAAAGGTCAAGATTGCATTGGGGGTGCCAAAACTGGTTCAGGAAAAACTATCGCATTCGCAGCACCAATGTTGACGCAGTGGTCGGAGGATCCTTACGGCATCTTTGGATTGGTACTCACTCCAACTAGAGAGCTTGCATTGCAGATTGCAGAACAGTATACGGCGTTAGGGGCACAAATGAATATAAAAGTGTGTGTCGTTGTTGGAGGTGAAGATTTTGTGAAGCAGGCATTGGAGTTGCAAAAGAAACCCCATTTTGTTATTGCCACCCCCGGAAGGTTGGCAGATCATATCTTAAATAGCGGGGAGGAAACAATTAGTGGCTTGAGAAGAGTTCGATACTTGGTCTTGGATGAAGCAGATCGATTGTTAAGTAATAGCTTTAGCAGCGACTTGGAACGATGCTTTTCTGTCCTACCATCCAGCGACAAAAGGCAAACTTTGTTGTTTACAGCCACTGTTACTGACTCGGTCAAGGCATTGAAGGAAAAGCCACGCCCGACTGGGAAACTCCCAGTATTTATGCATGAAGTAGATACCGTTGACAAAGTTGCTATTCCATCTACATTGCTGATTGAATACGTGTTTGTGCCCTCCTACGTTAAAGAAGCATATCTACATAGCATTTTACTATTGCCAAAGTACAAAGAGTCAACTGCAGTTGTGTTTGTTAATAGGACTGTGACTGCTGAAGTTTTGAGACGAGCATTGAGAAAGACGGACTTTAGAGTGGCTTCATTGCATTCAGAAATGCCACAATCTGAGAGAACAAACTCGCTACATAGATTCAAAGCAGGCGCGGCAAGAATTCTCATTGCTACTGATGTTGCATCGAGAGGTTTAGACATTCCTACGGTTGAACTTGTCGTCAATTTCGATATACCCGCTGATCCAGATGATTTTATTCATAGAGTAGGTAGAACTGCAAGAGCTGGTAGAAAAGGTGATGCTATCAGTATCATTGGTGAAAAGGATATAGAAAGAATTCAAAGTATCGAGGAAAGGATTAATAAGAAGATGGAGTTGTTGGAAGAAATAAACGATGACAAGGTCATTAAGGACTCGTTGAATGTGATGACCACGGCCAAGAGAGAAGCGATGCTGGAGATGGAAAAGGAAGGATTTGGAGAGAAAAGAAAGATTAACAAGCGAAAGCACCTCAAGGAAGAACCTAGTGAGCTCAGGAAAGTGAAAAAATCCAAATCTAAAAAATAAAACAAACATCTATTTAGTTTCTAAAAATCCTTCCACGATCAATGTTACATTTATAACTATCAAAGTGATGATTACACCAGTGATACACGCAGCTGTAGGTAGGTTATTGAAATTGTAAGTAGCAATTTTGTGTTGCGCATATCGATTAATTGTAACGTAGTAACTTAAACCACTAAACACCAAAACAAATAATGATAGCACCAACAAGATATAAGACACAGCAACTGAATATTTCGTGTGATTGAATCGATGTTTGGGGCCTGCTTCACTTGGCGAGTTTTTTGTAGAATCTCCAGAAGTATCAAATTTAAAGTTCAATATTATCCCCAAAGCCGTAAAAAACAACGCTGTGGCAAACCGAGTGAATGTTAGAAACGTCCTCTCCGATTGTAAGACATCTCTAGGTTCGGAGCTAACTACTTTCATAATGAGTGAGTATGGAAAGTGTGACAGTACATGAGCATTTTCCTCGTCGTCAATTGTGGCGGTGCGTGTCAATCGGCGTGTAACTGTGTTTGACGAGTCCAAGCCTGTACGTTGTGAGCCACTCGATGAACCTGCATCTATCTGGCCGTATTGTCTGACTTCATACTCACTGGTATCGTCTTCTCCCGCCATGGTAACCGTATCCTCTGCTAACACAAAAAAGGAGGAGATTAAGACATTTTTTTTTTTTATTTTCTGCTAAAGAAAGAAGAAAATAAAAGCTTCCCCCAACTGTAAACAAAGCCTTTCCTATTCAGAGTCTACCGCATATAGACTGAGCAGACCTATTTCCAAGTAATGGCAGTATGAGTGTGAGAGTGCAAAGACAACAAAAATGTGTCAACTGTGGGCATACCCAGTTTGACGTGAATCGTTACACAGCAGCGGGTGATGTGTCGTGTCTCCGATGCGGTACTGTTCTTGAAGAGAACCCTATTGTTTCCGAAGTTCAGTTTGGTGAGTCCTCAAGCGGTGCCGCCATGGTCCAAGGTGCTATGGTTGGTGCGGATCAGGCAAGAGCAACGTTTGCTGGCGGAAGACAGAATGCAATGGAGAGCCGAGAACAAACAATTACCAACGGGAAACGGAAGATTAGGAGAATAGCAGCAGCGTTGAAAATCCCGGATTTTATTGCTGAAGCTGCTGGTGAGTGGTTTAAACTAGCGTTAACCATGAACTTTGTTCAAGGAAGACGTTCAAATAATGTTTTAGCGACTTGTCTTTATGTGGCGTGCCGTAAGGAAAAAACACCACACATGTTGATTGATTTCAGTTCAAGATTGCAGATTTCTGTCTACTCGTTGGGAGCGACATTTTTAAAAATGGTGAAAGCATTACACATAACTTCGTTACCATTGGCAGACCCTTCATTGTTTATTCAACATTTTGTCGAAAAGTTGGATTTCAAGGATAAGGCTACAAAAGTTGCCAGAGACGCAACAAAACTAGCGCAAAGAATGTCTGCCGACTGGATTCATGAAGGAAGGCGGCCGGCAGGTGTTGCAGGTGCATGTGTGTTGCTCGCTGCTCGAATGAATAATTTCAGAAGAAGCCATTCGGAAATCGTGGCTATTTCCCACGTTGGACAGGAAACGTTGCAACGAAGATTGAATGAGTTTAAAAAGACAAAAGCGGCACAGTTATCGGTGCATAGATTCCGCAACGACGAAGAGGTTGAGAGTGCCAATCCGCCTTCCTTTGAAAAGAATCGAAAGAATGAGTTCAGGATTGCTCGTGCTCTACAAAGGCGGCAGCAGGAAACATTTAATGACTTGGACAGCATGACTGAGGATGAAAAGATTCAGTACTTGGGTGATCTCTCCAAAGATGAGCAACAAAAGCAAATACTCATGAACACGATAATGAGCGACATCACATTAAATAAAGAATTGATCAATGATCAAATTGAGAGAATCTTAAAGTCCAAGCGTAGTAAAATGGAGCAGTCGTTGTACAAGACGCCACACGAGTTGACCAAGGAAAAAGTGGAGCAAGATGATTTTGATAGAATCTGGAACATGAATTGGCCCAAAAACTTGGTTAAAAACTTGCCATCCACCGAAGATATACTCAAGCTCGTATCTTCTGAGGCAGAGTTGAATTCAGATGATGACGATGCAGTTGTTGAAGAGAGTCAAATGACACCGGAAGAAGTGGCTATGAAGGAACGTATCTGGACGGGTCTCAACCACGATTATATGGTGGAGCAAGAACGCAAGAGGTTGAAACAAGAAGCTGACGAATTAACTGGAAACACCTCTGCCAACACAGGGACCAATCGCCGAAAAAGACAAAAGTCCTCAGTACCGCCTGAAATTCAAAAAGAGATTGGCGATATTATCTTGGATGAAGATGGAACCCCTAAAAGTGCTGGAGATAGTGCAAAAATGTATTTCTCAAAGACCTCAGTATCACGAAAGATTAATTATGAGTCTTTGCAGGGCTTGTTTGGTGAAAAGTTTTAATAATGTACGAGACTATATAGATTAATGAATATTATGTGTTTGTGTAACCTGAGCATACCTTTTTTTTTTCCTGTTCGATTTCTTCTCATCGCACGCATTTTATCAAAAACTCTGCAACCCCCATTTTCCTTCTTTTCACCTCCTTAGAGAAACTGCAAGTATCATGGGTAAACAAAGAAGAGCAGCTATACTTCCAACCAACATCATATTATTACAAAATGTGGTCAGGAGGGATCCGGAATCTTATCACGAAGAGTTTCTACAACAATTCTCGCATTATGAATCTTTAAGAGACTTGTATTTGGAAAACCCCACTGGAGCAGACTCCAACTCAACTACAGAGTTTATTGAGCTCATTGGGTTTCTATCAGCTGTCTGCAACTGTTACCCTAAGGAAACAAAAAACTTCCCTGAGGAATTGAAAACAATCTTGTTGGACAACCATCGTGACTTGGCTCCTGAATTGAGAGAAAAGATTATACAATGCCTAACAATGTTGAGAAACAAGGGTATAATAACCGCAGAGAGTTTGATTCAGACTACATTTCCATTATTAACAGCATATGCATCGGGACAAGTGCAGGCTGGCCAACATGTGAAGCAAATGAGGCGTCAGATCTATTCAACTTTAATCTCGCTATTGAAATCGGTCAACACTGGAGCCAAGAACCAGCGACTAAATAGATCTACACAAGCTTTGCTTTTTAACTTGCTTGAACAAAAGGATACACAAGGGTTGTGGGCTACCAAGTTAACGAGAGAGTTATGGAGGAGAGGTATTTGGGACGATTCAAGAGCAGTTGAGATCATGACACAAGCCGCGTTGCACCCTGACGCTAAAGTTGCTATTGCTGGTGTTCGGTTCTTTCTCGGTGCTGATAAGGAAAGAGAAGAAAATTTCGAAGATTCTAGTGACGAAGAAGGGTTTGACATGGGAGCATTGAAGCATAAGATGGAGGTGAATAAGAAATCATCCAAAAGAGGAAAAAAGTTGGAGCTGGCAGTAAAACAAATGAAGAAGAAAAACAGTACCAAGCATTCAGCCACTTATTTAAACTTTTCAGCTATTCATCTTTTACGCGACCCTCAAGGATTTGCCGAACAGCTATTTGACAACCACTTGAGCTCGAAAAATTCAAACAAGTTTGATTTGGATCAAAAAATCTTATTCATGAACTTGGTTTCGAGGTTGATTGGTACCCACAAGTTGATTGTCTTGGGGATCTACTCCTTCTTTTTGAAATATCTTACACCAAAGCAAAGAAATGTCACCCAGATTATGGCAGCTTCAGCTCAAGCTTCGCATGACTTGGTACCACCAGAAAACATTGAATTAGTGGTTCGCAAAATTGCCGATGAGTTCGTCAGTGATGGTGTCGCTGCAGAAGTTGCTTCAGCGGGACTTAACACTATTAGAGAAATATTGTCTCGTGCACCTTTGGCCATAGAGGCTCCCTTATTACAAGATTTGACAGAGTACAAGGGGTCAAAAGCAAAAGCCGTTATGATGGCCGCAAGGTCCTTGATATCCTTGTACAGAGAAGTTGCGCCAGAAATGTTGACCAAGAAGGACAGAGGTAAAGTTGCTAGCATGGAATTGCAAAGAGGTGAAAAGACCACGGCCAAACCGCAATATGGTGTGGAAAACAACGTCACATCCATACCTGGATTGGAATTGTTGGCCAAATGGAAACAGGAACAAGGGCAAGCAAATGTCGATGATGAAGAGGAAGACGGTAACTGGGAAGTTGACGGAGATGAAGAAAATGGAGATGATGTTGATGGGGAGTGGATCCTGGTTGAATCTGATAAGGAGATTGATATTTCAGATAGCGAGGATGAGGCCAAGGAGAAAAAGGAGGTTGTTTCCGATTTGGAGTTGTCATCTGATGATGAGGAGGAGGAAGATGTAGCACCAGACGGAGATGACGAAAGGCCGACAAAGAAGGCCAAACTTGAAACTAACTCCTCCGATGCAACCACCAACAACATCAATGAAATTCTTTCTAGTCGAATCCTTACACCAGCCGATTTTGCCAAGTTGGAGGAGTTGAGGACTGAAGCAGGTGTTGCCAAGTTGATGGGCATCACTAATGAAGATGCAGTGGACTCTACCTCGTTAGTCGGTAAGGTGAAATACAAGCAATTGAGAGAGGAGAGAATTGCCCATGCAAAGGAAGGTAAAGAGGAACGTGGTAAATTTGGATCTAGAAAGGGTAAGCGTGATGCACCACACTCGACCACAAACAAAGAAAAAGCCAGAAGAAAGAACTTTGTTATGATGATTCATAAGAAGTCGGTTCAAGGAAAGCAAAAACTATCCCTTCGTGACAGACAAAAGGTATTACGAGCCCACATTGACAAACAAAAGATGAAGAAAAAGTAACCAGGTAAAAGGTGATTAAATCAAAGATAGGCTTTATTGAAATATTGAAAACTAATACATAAAGAAAAAAAAACTAAAATTTTACTTATTGCTCAAAGTGATCACTCTTTATGGCGAACCAGCGGCTAACTTCTTCTTCTTTTCTTTCTTTTCTTGCTTCTTTTTCTTCTTTTTCAATTCTTCTTGGGACAAAGATGGTGCGGGGATGTCAGCCTCTTCCTCTTCAACAACTTCTTCGGCCAAAGGAGTATTAGTTTCCTCGTATCCGCTCGAATATGGATGTTCAGGACGTTTGTAGTCAGATCCATCTTTCAAGCTCTGTTCATATTTGGCTTTTTCAGCATTGTATAGTTTCATTTCCTCTTCATACTTGTGTTTCCATTTGGATTTCTCTTCTTCGCTGATATTATCCCAACGTTCTTTGACCCTTTGGTTCAAGTCAATTGCACCGAGGTTAGGCAATCCCTTTTTCTTTCTTTCCTCTGCAATTAACTTACGCAAGTGGAAACTAAAGGCAAAGAACATGGTTAATGGCTTCTTTGGGGCATTTGGATCCTTTTCAACCTTTCTCTTTTTCTTATCGCCATTGGAAGCACCTTCTAAACCATGCTTAACACCAGAAGCAGAATCAGCAGCAGCCTTCATGGCTTCTTGAATACCTTGTAATTGCTCGGCTGTCACGTCTTCATTGCCTCCAGTGGCTATCTTGTAGAAATCAACAGCATTTTTAGCAGCCTCTTGAGCAGCTTTCGATAATTCAAAAAGGGATGCAATCAATGCGTCCTTGCTTGCTTTCAATTCAGACATTTCGTGTTGTAAAATATTAATTTAGGTGCTGTTCAACAATTGAGTGATGGTCGTTTTTTGGTAGTCACTTCGGTGGTTAACGCGCAAATATGTGTGTGTCTGGTCGACCTATTGGTACCGTGTCGTGAGAAAAAGGGGGGCTGAAGAGGGCGACTGAATTTTTTTTTTTCTCGCTTTCCATGAAGGAGGAAATTGACGGGATTTTAAAGATTTTCTCGCACGAACAGAAGAAAAAAAATAATACAAGCTTGTGCGACGCGAGAGAGTACAATGATTTTAGTGCGTGGTGTGATGATAATTTTATCGCTATAAAATTAAGCCCGATGACGAAAAATGAAAACAAATGACTGAAGTGGAGAACAAATAGAAACAGACGAGTAAGAAAGAGAAAAAAAGACGCGACATTTAAACAATTATACACAACCGCGTCTCATAACAATTGATCGGCCCTATGTTTCATATTTGCGTAGTCGTGTATCTCTCACACTGAATGTTTTGCACGTTTCGCTTTAGCTTCATTAGAAGCGGTCGAAGTTGTAGTAGTTTCACAATGAGAGTTAAGCAAGGGGGAGCTGACCTTGCATTGATGTCTCTCTACTAGGTTAATCCAACTTTCTCAAAGCTGTTTATGACCTTGCATCTAAACAGAGTCCGTTTCGTACGGGGGTAAAACGGTGCCAGTGTAATTGTAGTGTAGTGCTTACTGACGTGAAATCGTGTGTGAACAATTTTGCAGAAAAAGCATTACAACCAAAGTGTGACTAATATTCAACTATGAAGAGAACACAGTTGCTAAACAATATCAAAAACTACGCCATCACATGTCCAGGCCAGGGTATTATACGTAATGGCCTACTTGAAGAAAATAAAGGCTACCGTCGTTTGTTCAAATCGTACTTGGACGAAATTGATGCGGCATTGGGCTGTAACTTTTCTGCATATTTATTTCATAGAGACGTTGGTGACAGTGAGACTCGCAAGTGGCTACAGCAGACGTCAAATGCCCAGCCAGCAATTCTAGCATCTACCTATATCACACTCAAAGCATTTGAAAAGGTTTATGATGTCGATTTCTTGAAAAATGCAAAGTTCCTACTAGGTCACTCCCTTGGAGAGTACACTGCGTTGACACTAAGTGGAATTCTCAATATTTCCACTGCAATTCAGTTAGTTCGAGAGAGAGGCGTGTTAATGGAGGAGATTGTGCGGCAAACACCCGGTGCTTTTGGTATGATTGCATTGATAATTCGACCCGAACACGTGGACGATGTCATTCGTTTAGCTGCTGACTACAACGTTTTGGGAAATGTCAACTCGAAATACCAAGTTGTGATATCGGGTGAATTGGAAAAGCTTGATGCGTTTGTTAGCATGTTGAGGAAGGTGAACAAGCGGATGTTGTTAAAAGCTGAAAGGTTGCCAGTATCAATTCCATTCCATAGTACTATGCTAAAGGATATAGTGCCAGAGTTGCGATTGATAGTGGAGGACAAGATAAACACCCAAAGGATTCCAATCATATCTAATTTAGATGGCCAAGTTTCCACGGAGCCATATACAATAGTAGAAAAGACGTTAGATGCTAATTACAAACCAGTGCAGTGGATGAAGTCAATGGATACCTTGACGGCTGCCGGTGTAGACACCGTATTCAATTTGGGTCCGGGTAAAGTCGTCAATGCCATCAACAAGCGATACGATGTCAAATGCATTCCCATAGACAATATTGAGCAGTTCAGTGTTGATTGATTTTACTAGCACGTCTTTTCAATTTGCGGACCCAATATATGTTCTGTGCACGTGCACAGGCTACGCGTTGCATATTGAAATCGGAGTCAAAAATTAAAGCGAAATTAGTTACTCCATTAAGTAATTCAACGATAACATAATATATTTTTATTATTATTATTTTTTCTTTTTTTGTAACTAGAATTTCTTCTTTTTAGTGGTTAGAGATGTGCGCGGAAACGGCTCCACGGGTTGTGAAAAATTTATGAATTTACAAAATTTTACATCTAGTTATCCCTCTCTTGTTTCTTTTCCATCGTTCTTCTTTTTCCTTCAGCAGACGTTATAATGGTTGCACAAATTTTGGACGGTAAGGCTATCGCCTTAGACCTTCGTACAAAGATACACGATGAAATCGCTCAATTTCAATTGAAGCACCCTGATTTCAAACCAAACTTGGCTATCATTCAAGTTGGTGATAGACCAGATTCAACAACTTATGTTAAGATGAAATTGAAGGCAGCTGAAGAGGCCAATATTGGATGTGAGATTATAAAGTTGCCTGAGGATATCTCCGAATTTGAATTGTTGAATGAAGTTTCAAAATTGAACAACTCCTTGGATGTTGATGGAATCTTGGTTCAATTACCATTGCCAGAACACATCGACGAGTCAAAGGTTACCGATTCAGTTTTAGCCGATAAAGATGTTGATGGATTTGGTCCCTTTAATGTTGGCGAGTTGTCTAAAAAGGGCGGCGAGCCAAAATTTTTACCCTGCACCCCAAAGGGAATCATGCATTTATTAGAGGTATCTGGTGTTGATGTCGATGGTAAAACTGCAGTTGTTTTGGGAAGATCTGACATTGTTGGTAAGCCAGTTGCCAACTTGCTCACTAAATCCAATGCCAGTGTAACTGTAGTTCACTCAAGAACCCCTATTGAACAAGCGAAACAGTATTTAAGCGAAGCTGATATTGTTGTTGCTGCTATAGGTCAACCACAATACGTCAAAGGTGAATGGTTAAAGCCAAATGCAGTCGTTATCGATGTAGGTACCAACTTTATCCCTGACAGTACAAAGAAAAGTGGTCAGAGAATGGTTGGTGACGTTGAATATGAAGCTGCCAAGGAAAAGGTTCAGTTGATTACCCCAGTTCCTGGTGGAGTTGGGCCAATGACTGTGGCTTGTTTGTTGGACAATGTGGTAATTGCAGCAAAGAGGCACTACAAAGCAAACAACGAAACTCCAAAATTCACTAATCCTTTAAAGTTGAATTTGAAAAAACCAGTTCCTTCAGACTTTGAGATTTCTCGTGCCCAACAACCCAAACGTATCACTCAAGTTGCTGAAGAAGCCGGTATTTTGGATGCTGAATTGGAACCATTTGGTTTCACCAAGGCAAAAGTTTCATTGGACATTTTGAAAAGATTACACAACAAAAAGAATGGTAAGTACGTTCTTGTCACTGGTATCACACCAACCCCATTGGGTGAAGGTAAATCTACCACTACTGTCGGTTTAGCCCAAGCTTTGGGTGCACATTTGAACAAGAATGTTTTTGCAAATGTCAGACAACCATCAATGGGACCAACATTTGGTATCAAAGGTGGTGCTGCTGGTGGTGGTTACTCCCAAGTTATTCCAATGGATGAGTTCAACATGCACGTCACTGGTGATATTCACGCCATCACTATGGCAAATAACTTGTTGGCAGCTGCTATAGACACGAGAATGTTTCATGAAACCACTCAAAAAGATGGCCCCTTGTACAGAAGATTGGTGCCAGAAAAGAAAGGTAAAAGAACATTTACCAAATCGATGTTAAGAAGATTAGAGAAGTTAGGCATTAACAAAACCGATCCAAACGAATTGACTCCCGAAGAAGTAACTGCATTTGCTAGGTTGGATATTGACCCTGAATCAATCACCTGGAAGAGAGTCGTTGACTGTAACGACAGATTCTTGAGAGGTATTACCGTCGGACAAGCTCCAACTGAAAAGGGTTTTACCAGAGCCACCGGTTTTGATATTACTGTTGCTTCTGAGTGTATGGCTATCTTGGCTTTAGCCAACTCTTTGGAAGACATGAGGGAAAGATTGGGTAAGATGGTCATTGGTACTTCTAAACTAGGTGTGCCGGTTACATGTGAGGATATTGGATGCGCTGGCGCCTTGACTGCATTATTGAAAGATGCTATTAAACCAAACATTATGCAAACATTGGAAGGTACGCCAGTTTTTGTCCACGCTGGTCCTTTTGCCAACATTTCTATTGGGGCTTCATCCATTTTGGCAGATAAGATGGCATTGAAGTTAGCTGGTACCTCCAATGACTTGACTCCTGAAGAAAGAAAAGAGCAAGAGGGTTATGTTGTTACTGAAGCTGGTTTCGATTTCACAATGGGTGGAGAAAGATTTATCAACATTAAATGTAGATCAAGTGGTTTAGCTCCAGATGTTATTGTCATTGTTGCCACTGTTCGTGCTTTGAAAGTCCATGGAGGTGGTCCAGAAGTTAAAGCAGGTGCACCATTGGCTCCAGAATACACTCAAGAAAATGTCGAATTGTTGAGAGCCGGATGCTCAAACTTGGCCAAGCATATCCAAAATGCCAAATCTTATGGTTTACCAGTTGTCGTTGCTATTAATAAGATGTCATCAGACTCCGACAAAGAACACGAGGTTATTAAGGAGGAAGCTTTGAAAGCCGGTGCTATCGATGCAATCGTTTCAAACCACTGGGAAGAAGGAGGAAAAGGAGCTATTGACTTGGCTGAGGGGGTTATTGCAGCTGCCAACAGTAACGACAAGAACTTCCACTTCCTTTACGGTACTGAGCCATCAATTGAGGATAAGATTTCTACTATTGCCAAGGAGATGTACGGTGCTGGTGAAGTTGAATTCTTGCCAGAAGCGCAAAAGAAAATTGACTTGTACACCAAGCAAGGATTTGGTAAATTGCCAGTGTGTATTGCCAAAACTCAGTACTCGTTGTCTCACGATGCTAGTTTGAAAGGTGTTCCAACCGGATTCAAGTTCCCAATAAGAGATGTTAAGGCGTCAATTGGTGCTGGTTACTTGTATGCTTTGGCAGCTGAAATCCAAACCATCCCTGGATTGCCAACTCACTGTGGTTTTATGAATGTCGAAGTTAACGAAGACGGCGAGATTGACGGATTGTTCTAAAAGCCCCTTCCGGCCAATTGTGAAAATTAATATTAAAACTTTTTCAACCTAGTTTTAACGAATGTTATGAATTGATGTTTTTATTGAGATTAATAGATTAGTCAAAGTATAGTTCAACACGTATATATATATGTTTCTTAAATTGACAAACATTGAATTACATTGTTATAATCCTGGTAGAAGAATTATCAGTTCTAGAACAGACTAGCTGATAATTGACTAGAGAGGATTGCAATACGCTGATTGTAATAGTTTATATATAGCAATTTGGTGAAGAAAACAGAACAATGACAGAAAAGAAAAGAAAGGAAAAAATCTTTTGACAATTCGGAAATGCGAGAAAATTAAATCATCAAATTTTATCTTTTAAACCCAACAAAGAAGATAAACATTCGGATAATTTATCAAATAGAGTCAAGTAAGTCACTTCTTTGCTTACACAATAGAAAATTGAAACTCAATCACTGAATATCTACTAGTTATTGACACCCCTCCAAAGCTATTGTAACTAATTTTTCAACCTGTACAACGAGTAGCACCTAAAGATCATCATGTCCTTTACTAGATTGTCCAAGCAATTCCAACCATTTGCAAAAAGAGCCGTTGCAAGACAAACAGCATCTTATGCATTGACTCAGTCGCTTCGCCACTTTACCAGGCCAGCTATTTTCAACGCTACTAGACCTGTTGTATACAACTCCATCAAAACAAATTTGAGATCTTACAGTGTCTTGACGGAGTCACCAGAAGCTAAAGCATACGACTACGATGATGTTAAAGACATTGCTGCTAATCCAGACAAACACCCTGATTCAGTCTTGATAGATGTCAGAGAGCCTGTTGAGTACGACGATGGTCATATTCCTGGCGCAATTAATGTACCATTCAAAAGTAGTCCAGGTGCCTTGGACTTGTCTGAAGACGACTTTCTTGATAACTTTGGATTTGAGAAACCCGACAAAAACAAAGAGTTGGTATTTTATTGTCTCGGGGGTGTTAGATCTACCGCGGCTGAGGAGTTGGCAAACACATTTGGATATAAAAAGAGAGGTAATTACGTTGGCAGTTACGAAGATTGGGTTGCCCATGAAAACAAGAAGAAGTCAGATTAATGTCGTGAGTTCGGCCACTTTTGGCCCGGGGCTTAGTTTCTTAACTTGTCAATAGTTTTCTTCAATGTTTTAATTTGGTATAACAAAGTTTCCTCGTCTTAATAGATTTTACATATTATTTTATCGCATACCATAGCGACAATCACGAAGCATTCATTAATTATAAAAAGTACACAGGAATTAAGGCTACTCATTACGGGGTCTGAATTCCAATTGTCTAAATTCTTTTCCTAATCTTCTCTTTCTCTTTCTTTCCATTGCCTTTTCTCTCTGCTTAGGTTTCATGCTGTCATACTTGGCTTTCTGTAAAATTTTCCTCTTATCACCGCGTTTCAAAAAGTGTGGTTGGCTTGACTTGCCCTCCTTTACGTTTTGATATTGCTTCTTCTTGTACTCCTTCAAGACTTGATTCTCCAAGTCACGATTTTTCAAAGTGTCCATTCTCGATTTCAAAGATTGAAGCTGTAACCTGATCTCGTCCTTTTCCTCCTCATCCAACTTTGATTTCTTGTCCTTTAAAATTTGCTCCATGTTTTGGATCTCTTGCTTACGATAGTCATCCAAAAACGCATAATTCTTTCTAGCCTGATTCAAATCAGCTTTCCCGTAAGCTGCATCAAACCGAATATCAGTGTGCAAGGTTTGTGACTTTCTTGAAGGTAGGCCCTGGATGTCTCTAATTCTGGATACGGGCCTCTTGCTCGATGCTTCAGCTGGTGCATGTTTGCTTCTCTTCTTATGACTACTCGAACTGGTTTCTTCAGGACCCGAGTCAGAGTCTGACTCTTGGAAGAATTCTTCTGGTTCGCTATCACTCTGGAAACTGGCTCTTTCATTCTGCAATCTGGATTGAGCACTACGTAATGTTCCAAATGAAACGGTGGATAGCTCATCGTCCTCTTCGTCTTCCTTCACCCTCTTTAAAGGGTTCAGTAGCTTCTGTTTCTGGTACTCCAGCTCTTCATCTGAGGATTCCAGGTCATATGTCGGCCTTATTTTTGTATGTTTGGGCATTCTCTACTGAAGCTTGTATAGTCGTGATTGTCTCTTCCTCAGGAGCATCTCAAAAACTGCAACTACCAAGTGAGGTTGCAGTTTTCATGAGGCCCTTACATGCAGGATGCGTGAATAAAAGTATATGCAAACAGAGCGTAGAAAGGGTCTAGGTTGTTTATTAGCGGTGCTGGTTACCTGCATGAGGCGCCTATATAGATCTTCACTCAAAGTAATGCTCTTGGCTGCATATTGAGGTTTCTGTACTAGATCAGTCTCGATATAAACGTGGTCATAAAGTACGAGAAAACTTCGTACGTACTGTCAAACTTTGACAAGAGGGCATAGTACTATTTGAAACTATAAACACTGCCTAACCTCATGAATGTACTCTTTTACTTGCTTAGCTTTCGGGAAAATGAATAGGAATGAAGTCACTATTGTGAGCCAACATTTAAATGTTATTTATTTTTGCAAATACAAAGAGAATAAATAGGGACAGAAAAAAAAAAATAATTGAAATCAATTTGCCAATTGGAAAAACCAAAAAGAAAAAAAAAAATTGTTGAACGCTTTTACAATTTTGTTTTGGTTGAGTATCGAATACTGATCATATAACTATTCCATTAACTTAGATAATCACAAATATAATGTTGTCAAGATCTATTGCTCGCTTTTCAAGGGTATGTTTGTCTCAATTGAAGTTTGTTGCAACTTCTTGGATTAAAAAAGAGATCAATTTGACTATAGTTACAGTCGAAATTGGATCGGAGAATGGAAACCGAACACAATTAAAACATCTGACGTATTCAAAGCTACAGGCTATTACACGAGCTTAATCCGATGGCCCTTTCCAATCTTCGACGATGTGTTCCACTGAATTTAAAGCTCCTGATTGTCTTTAATGCCGAGTCTCAACATTGACGTTCCATTTTCCTTTTCCTTTTTTTTTTTTCCCACCCTTTATGCAACCGACGTGTTGTTATGCGATAAGTTCCGGGATCCAATACTAACTCCAATTTTAGCCAATTGCCCAACAAAAAAGATTCTTGTCTTTACATGAATACCGTTCTGCAGCTTTATTGAGCAAGTATGGTGTTCCAATTCCAAGAGGTTACCCAGCCACTACTGCTGAAGGTGCATACGACGCTGCCAAAAAATTGGGTACTGACGAATTGGTCATCAAAGCCCAAGCTTTGACTGGTGGTCGTGGTAAAGGTCATTTTGACTCTGGTTTACAAGGTGGTGTCAAGTTAATTTCATCCCCAGAAGAAGCTAAAGATTTAGCTAGTCAAATGTTGGGTCACAAATTGATCACTAAGCAAACAGGTGCTAAAGGAAAGGAGGTCACTGCTGTTTACATCGTTGAAAGAAGAGATGCTCAAACTGAAGCATACGTTGCTATCTTGATGGACAGAGCTAAGCAAACTCCAACAATTGTTGCCTCCGCTCAAGGTGGTATGGACATTGAAGGTGTTGCTGCTAAAGATCCATCTGCCATCAAGACTTTCCCAGTCCCATTGGAAGAAGGTGTCTCCGACAAATTGGCTACAGAAATCGCTTCAGTTTTGGGATTCACCAAGGACGCTATTCCAGAAGCTGCCAAGACTATCCAAGGATTGTACAACTGTTTTATCGAACGTGACTGTACTCAAGTTGAAATCAATCCATTGTCCGAAACTCCAGACCACAAAGTTTTGGCCATGGATGCCAAATTAGGTTTCGACGATAATGCTGCTTTCCGTCAAGAAGAAGTTTTCTCATGGAGAGACCCAACTCAAGAAGATCCACAAGAAGCTGAAGCCAGTAAATACGGATTGAACTTTATCAAGTTAGATGGTAACATTGCCAACATTGTCAATGGTGCTGGTTTAGCTATGGCTACAATGGATATCATCAAATTATATGGTGGTGAACCAGCCAACTTCTTGGACTGTGGTGGTACGGCTACCCCAGAAACTATTGAAAAGGCTTTTGAATTGATCTTGTCTGACAAGAACGTTAACGGTATCTTCGTAAATATCTTTGGTGGTATTGTTAGATGTGATTACGTCGCCAAGGGTTTGATTGCTGCCACCAAGAACTTCAACTTGGATATCCCAGTTGTTGTCCGATTGCAAGGTACCAACATGGCAGAGGCTAAGGAATTGATTGAAAACTCTGGTTTGAAATTGTTTGCCTTTGAAGATTTAGATCCAGCTGCTGAGAAGATTGTAGAATTGGCTCCAAAGAGATCTTAAGTGTATCGTTTAAAGAATATATAGAGAATGAATGAAGAAGAAGAAGGAAAAAAAGATTAGAGCTTCTTTGCATACTTTTGTTATCTTGTAGTCTTTGGTAGAAGGTTTGGTAGTGCATGTAGAAAATAATTTTGGCGATTGCAAACAAAGGCAAAAAAGAAAAAAGAGAACGAAAAACTTGAAAGTGAAAACTATCGCCACCAACTGTTAAAGCACAACCAAGCACAACCAAACCAATTGCATTTGCAACAAAATAATCTTACTACTCCCCCATCACAATAAGACGATATGTTTTTAACTCGAAGTGAATATGATAGAGGTGTATCCACCTTCTCACCAGAAGGAAGACTTTTCCAAGTCGAATATTCACTTGAGGCAATTAAATTAGGATCAACCGCAATTGGTATACAAACAAGCGAGGGTGTCATTTTGGGCGTTGAGAAACGTGTTACCTCATCTCTACTTGAATCTTCATCGATTGAAAAAATTGTTGAAGTAGATCACCACATAGGATGTGCCATGAGTGGTTTGACCGCCGATGCAAGATCATTAATAGACCATGCTCGTGTGTCTAGTTTGACGCACAACTTGTACTACGACGAAAACATTGGGGTTGAAAGCTTAACGCAAAGTGTTTGTGACTTGTCATTACGATTCGGAGAAGGTGCAGACGGTGAAAAGAGGTTGATGTCGAGACCGTTTGGTGTTGCTTTGTTGATCGCGGGGTTTGATAAAGAAAAGGGCCCTCAGTTATACCATGCTGAGCCTTCAGGAACATTTTACAGGTACGATGCAAAGGCAATTGGGTCAGGGAGTGAAGGGGCTCAAGCCGAGCTAAACAACGAATATCACAAGAGTTTAACATTGAAAGATGCTGAATTGTTGGCTTTGAAGATTTTAAAACAGGTTATGGAAGAGAAGTTAGATTGCAAGAATGCACAATTAGCTAGTGTTACTGAAGCAGAGGGGTTCAAGATTTATAGCGATGAGAAAACGGATGCAATCATAAAAGTATTGAATGAGCAAGCTACGGATGAAGATACTTTAATGAGCTGAATCAGATAGAATAATGTTAAATTGTATTGGTATTTACTCAGGGAAACACAGCTCTAGTCTATCACTCAACTCTAGTAGTTTTCTATTTTCCTTCTCTCCAACCTTTTTGATAGTGGAGAGGAAGTATGCGAGAAGCTCTCCGAATTTTTGGTACCGAAGAAAGAAACTCTCATCCAAATAATCAAGTCTTTGTTGCACCAGCTCGTCATCCATTGGTTTGTTAAACTTGCCTGGAAACTCCCTTGAGAAAGTTTCATATAACTCAGGATGAATAAACACCAACATTTTCTTCATTTGAATAGTATAAGTCTGAAACTGAATGATAAAGTAGAACATTTCTCTCATACATGATAAGGTCTCCGGCCTCGTCAACAAAGTGTCACTAAGAATTACCGTTGTAAAGGTCTCTAGTTTAGTTTTTAAATCCTGAACTGATAAAGTTTCATTAGTTGTTGCTGCTGCCTTGCGTGAATTGATCTTTTTGTCAAATATTGTATTCATTCCATAGTTGCTCATGAGTTTGGTATTGAGTACTTGATCGCTATCTACGATGTCTGTACCCAAATCTGCGGCAGCTAGGCGTTGTCCATATTCATTCAACGTTTGGTGCACCTGGCTGTAGTTACTTTCAATCACATCATACATGACATACGATTGTACGTGGGTGACAAATGTTAGGATACGCGAGTGTAGCATTCTGCATCTCAATATCCACTTCTGCACTCTTTGGGGAAACGACTTCTCTGTCCATATACGAGAAGTGTTTATATCTTGCCAATTGTTTTCGATTTGTTTGGTGACAAATTTAAGCATGAACAAGAACTTGAACAGAGTTTCATATTGGTATGATGTCTGCCTATTCAAGACAAAATTCAAAGGAAATTCAAGAGGCACTGTCAAATCGACACTCAAAAATGTTATATCATCGACTCGATCGTTCAGTCCCTTCGGTAAAGTATCAGCTACCTCGTTTCTTAGTTCTCCGCTACTATTGTGCTCTTGAAATAACTCCCGAAAATCGTATCTTGAAATATCTGAATCCCTTTTCGCCATAAGCTCCTCAGTGGACTTGAAAAAGTTTTCAACTGTGATTGTAAATCGTTGGTTTTGTTCCGCTATCTTGGCACATGATGTGTTGTGCCCTATTTCTAACCCCAGCATGGGAAGAAAATTTTCATAGTATTGTCTCAGCACTCTCTGGGTAGATATTCTATATTTATTTCGCCTCAAGTCTTGAAATGCCGAGTCGATGAAGGAATCAATCTTGAATGAATCATCAAGTAAGAAAAGTGTTTGAAATGCTTCAACCAATTTTGGAAATTTGTACCCTTCAAACAAAAGCTTCAAGAGCATTTTATTGGCTCGGGTAGAAAACATGTCAATCTTGAGCTCCAAGTCTGGTGCATTGAGGCTCTTGACACCTTCTAGCCTCTCACCCAAGCACAGAAAATCATGCAAATCGGTACACATTTTAAACATGCTTAGAAACTTTCCGGTATTTATAATCTTATTCTGTATCTTGGTATCAAAGAATTGCTCAAGCAAACCATCCTCTTTAATTAGAAACAATTCATTCCAATAAAAATCACTCTTTGTTTGGAAAAAAGACTGCAACCCTTTTGGTATCTTTGCTACTCTAATCATAAACTCGTCAAAGGGATCCTCTATTGACCCATCAGTGAGCCATTGATTCAACATCAGCACATACTCAAAACTTACCTCGTCATAGAGTGCTGCTAGAAAGCTGTATGAAGCAGGGTCACCTTTAAAAGCTGCAATCCTCTCTTGAATTATCTTCAATACATGTCCTCCTTTGCAAACTTTCATTTTCTCGGTGTACATATCGGTCTCTAGGCGATGCAAGTTTGCACTTTTCGACTGTTCCCTAGGTAGATCTTGTCTCTCGTCAGTCAATTCGTGGATTTCCTTGGCAATTGAGTACATGTGGGACATCTTGTTGGCAGTCTCTTGGTGAAGAACTTGTTCGAGTGTGTTTATGTTGAATCTTGTGTTGTACTGGTACTCGTGCTCTAAGCTAAGAAGTAGTTTAGCGTACTGCTTGAAGAACATGGTTATGCTGTGACAAAATGCTTGAACCAATTTGCCATAAACAGCATCATCATAAACCTCAATAAATGCGTTTAGTCCACTATAATGCTTCCCAATTCGTATTATCCTCTTGGTGACCGTTTTCAAGCTGACATCCAAATTTTTAGCAATCTTGAAGTCAGGCCCGGAAATTCTTGACCCTACTGAAGTTCGATTGTAGCTCTTGCTGTGTTGAATATAGTGGCCCTCAAACCCTAGAAGTGTAAACAATAGATCTTTAATAATCAATGCTTGTTGAATATTTATATCATCAATCTCCAGTAACAATGGTGCAGGTATCTTCTGTACAACTGGGTTATTCACAGTAATACAAGAAGATTGCACACCACCTATATCAGCCCCTTCTAAGTCGAAGCTTTTCAATTCTACGGCATCATAACTTGGTTGTGGAGTGAATGATCTTTCCAGTTGGTGCTTACTCATTGTGGCTTCTTGTGAATAAAGGTACATGCCTGGTAGTGGAGACGAAGAATCCATTCTCGTCTTGTGATTCGAGTCCAAAAAATGCAGGTCTTCCTGTAGCCGATTTATTTGTGGTGGAGTAAACTGGTTCATGCTAATTGCATTTAAAGAGGCCTAAATTCGCTTTGTTTACAAATTGTAAAAATTCTTCTCTTGTGTTTGGCTTTCCGCGTTATAACACAATACGTTTATTACACAAAATTAACCACTTACTTTAACCATTCCAAGTCTTCCGCATCCTCAATATCCAGAATGTTCATAGAGGCAATTGCCAACTCTGCCTCCTCTTGGACCTTTTTCAACCCACAAAGATCCTCCAAATAGCTCGGTTCGTTTAAACACCGCTTTACAAAGTCCCATTTATTTTGATTGTATTCCGTTATAACATTCTCAGAGCAAGCCGAGCAATGCACATAACTGGGCGCATACAAAGTAGATTGTGAAAAGTTTTGCAAGAATCCTCTAATTTGATGTGGAGTAGTCCCAAAAGTTGTTGTGTCGCTATGTTTTGCCTTTTGTTTTTCTGGCTGCTGCAAGATTGACACTAGTAGCTCCACAGCCAATGAGGATGCCATCAAAGCGCCTCCTGGGCGTGTCACTGTGCACATTTGATCTAGTGTTCGATCACTGAGACTGTCATCTGGTGCCACTACGTCATTACAAAAGTAACAACCTAATCGGTCTCCCTTTGGTTGCAAAATGCTTCCATGTCTCATGACCAAGTAACTGTCAAATCCCAAAGCTGCATTGATAACAATTTTGTCTTTGGCAGACCCCATAACAGTTGGAAGCCACCTTGATTCTCTTGAGTCCATCAATAAGAAGACAACATCGCTCCGCTCTATCAAAGCATCTAGAAGCTCGTACGATGCCTTTTGTCTTTCCTCGTCAGTCACAGGATGGCCAATCATTGGCACTTCCAAACTTACCCCTTCTGTAAAAACACCGGGGTACACTTTTTTCAAATTGTCGGCGGCTTTCTGTGCCTTGAGTTCCCCTTGCCCTTCATCGCTAAAACAATCCTCAAAGTTGAAAAGCAGTTGTCTGACAGGATTCGAGTATGAGACCCTCCCATTATCAACGAATGTCAAATCTTTGAACCCCCAGCCTAACAATGTTCTTCCTACGTAACTTCCTAAAGTTCCTGCTCCAAGAAGTAATACTTTTTGTTTCTTTATGATATCAAGGTCAAGCTTAGGAGCGATTCGCCATTTCATTAATTTCAAATTTAACTCAACAGCTTGGTTAGCAAGCTCTAGTGGGTTAATCAACAGGCCCAAATCGGCTACCTTTGGACTCAATTTCCCTTGACTTGTTCTTTCCCATCCTGTTACCTTTAGTGGATTCAGGATAGACACAAAGGATAGAGTCTGTTTGAATGAATGCTCCTTTTTGAAAATGATCAAATCAATCTTTTGAAACCCAAGGTGACCAAGATAGTACAAGTAATTCTTCACCTGAACTGAGGGCCTGTGTTCGAGGGTAGTACACGAATCGTAGTAAACAAACGTGTGTGATTTCTGGGTATCAGCATTATCAAACAACTCACCCTTGTCGATTTGAAAAAATTGGCCTTTGGCAGATGAGACATTCTGTTGAAGCAAATTTAATGTCTCTCTGTCCACTTTATCCTCTCCTTCTAAATTCCATTCACTGTTCAAAATGGGAAACGCAACCCAGTAGTAGAACTTGTACTTTTTCAAATCAGAGTAACTCCACACATAAAAGTAGTTGAATGTTTCCACATCAAATGTCTTTTTGCTGGTTATTTTCTCCTGTATTTGTTGTCCCCAGCTCTTCAAAAGCACCTGTTTGTTTTTATCCTTGAACTCCTCGATAGTGTTGACATTGATCAATTCTCCTTTGAATGTCCAACTGTCTGCTTTACTTGGTGTTTCACTGGAAAAGCTCTGATCATCAAGGTGAACAATTGGGGTATCATTAAATTTGTTCAAGTTTTGGGATTGTAGTTGGAAACCCCATATTTTCTGACTTGACGCATCCAATTTAAACTTATCTAGTTTTAGCTCGGCCAATTTTGTGAAAAACGAGGAGTCTACAAAAGACTGAGTTGGGGAATATTTTGCATGGGTCTTGATAGTCATGTCTTGAGCAATTGATGTCAGAATAAAGTCAGTTTGCCTCACTGGGAGTAAAAAAAAATAATCAGTAAGCCATAAACAATCTTATCTGTGTACACAAAACTGTGAACTTCACGGTCTTTACAAGAAAAGAACATATACTATGTACAATGAAGCTACCACCGTCACATAGGTTCATCTATTTCCTATACACTGAAAACTACTCATTCATTGGGGTATCTTGCAAGGTCATGTCATCAAGCTCGTCAAGCAACTCGTCAATGGCAATTCTTGGAGCATCCTCCTCATCCTCATCAATATCATCGTCTTCCTTTTGTGGCTGTTCTTCACCTGCTCTGTACATATTAATCGTTTGTCTCAACTCTTCATCTTCCTCCAACTCTTGCAAGAACAACTCGTAGTCCCTCTCTGCCTTTTCTTGCTCTTGTCTTGCCTGTCTCGAATCGTCGTTTGCAACTATGTCATTGTGCTCCTTGGCCATTCTCTTCAACTTCCACTTTCTGTTCTTTGCCTTCTTCGATTTTCTTGGGTAATGTTTCTTGACGATAACAACCTCCGGCGTATTATCAGTGTCTAAAGTGTCCCAAAGCTCTGAATTCAAATTCGAATTAGTCAAATAGTATCCAAGACATGAATCGCCAGGATGCAAGATAGCACCCAAGTGGGTTCTCACATAAAAGGTTTGATCGTTGGACCCCAAATCGCTTGCACGACTAACTTCAACGTCGGCCAAAACATATTTGCCCTTCATGTCACCAGTAGGTTCAACATCCAAGACGATAAATTCAATCAACTGAGTCGCATCTAACAATGAGGGGAAAGGCGATCTCCAATACACCTGGGAAGATAAATCAGCAGTTTGTAACGAATTGAAATCAATAAATTGCATGGCATTGTTAACCTTGTTGCACAATACCAACCTTGAAATATTCCCCATCGAATTGGCCAATTTCTTTGGTAGTACCACTAAATCATCACGGCAAATGGGTGCTATTTCAATCGAATAGGAAAACTTATAACTAGAGGACCCTGAATGGATATCTGTACTAACAAGCTCTTCTGACTTCTTTATCTTCACTGGGGCAACTGAAGTCAAGAAATCAACCATTTTGGCTGCGTGATTCTTTTGGGCATAAAAGAAATCCAATCCGTCCTTGGTTTCTTGAATCGATACTGTGTCCATGTGAGCATTATGCTTCAAAATTAACTGTTCCAAATACAAAAAAGTCCTTTTGTGTGGAACTTTCTGCCTTATTTGAACAGTTGCCCTCCAGGTATTTGTGGTGTACGACTTGGCACAATCAGGACATTGCATAGCAATAACGACATACTCCACCTCAAATGTTTGTTGGACTATAGTGTTGGCCATGGCCTCACCCTGGACAGTAAGTTTTACTCTGATTCTACGTGAATGGGGCTCGGTCCATATGAATGATGCATCAACCAACCTGACTTTGTTTAATCCTTTTAGACGTCTAAGACAAAGGGCAAGAAGCTCTCTAGATTCAAGTTGGGCTCTGATCCATTGTCCTGGGGGCTGTAAAAATCTTTCACAATTCCTGCAAAATGAAACATTTGCCTCCCTTGGAATACCTTCGGTGATATCAACATTTAACTTTATACAATCATAACACATTACAAGTCCTTGGGAACCATCCATGGGAACACCACAGTTACAACAAAGAACTGTTGCAACAGGACCTGTAGATGCAGCAGCATCGTTTGGTGTTAATTGAGTGTAGTTTGACATGATGTAGTGCTTGAAGAATATGGGTTACTAATGCCTTTCCTTTTTTTTTTTCTTCTTTTTTACTTGCCTATGTCATCTCAAATAAATCTCTGTGCAATTACTTAAGACTGGAGTGCATATAATACAAAATTTGTTTCGATTCGATTTTTTGGCAACGGACAATAACAACAACAATAATAATAACAGCGACGACGACGAATCTTTCCCCCACCACTGTCCACTGGTTAACACTCAAAGTATGGTGGATAGAAAGCGAGCAATAAGAGTAGAGGATGATGAAGATGAAGATGAGGATGACGTTCCATTGAATAAAAAGACCAAGTTAGAGTCAAATGAAACCACTACAGTGATTAAAGAAGAAGGTGTGGAGGATGGGGCTCAAGTCAAGACGGAAAATGCATCACCAGAATTCAAAGTGGAGGATGCAAACGAAGGTGAGGAGGGATCAAATGAAGATGATGCCGAGGGTGATGATGATGACGAGGATGAAGAGGATGAAGAAGCAGAGGAAGAGCGGAAACGAATTACCAACTTCAATTTTGATGGAGAAATATACACGTTTAAAGAGCGACCTTCAGTTATAGAGGAAAAAGAAGGTAAAATTGAATTTAGGGTGGTCAACAACGACAACACCAAGGAAAGTCTAATAGTTTTGACTGGTCTCAAAAATATTTTCCAAAAACAGTTGCCCAAAATGCCACGTGAATATATATCGCGGTTGGTATATGATCGCTCGCATTTGTCGATGGCTGTTGTACGAAAACCGCTAACTGTTGTTGGTGGGATAACGTATAGGCCGTTCAACAACAGGGAGTTTGCTGAGATTGTGTTTTGTGCAATTTCTTCGACGGAACAGGTACGTGGATATGGTGCTCATTTGATGAATCATTTGAAAGATTATGTTAGAGCAACTTCGCCAATAAAGTATTTTTTAACCTACGCAGATAACTATGCCATTGGATACTTCAAGAAGCAAGGTTTTACGAAAGAAATTACGCTTGATAAATCTGTGTGGATGGGGTATATAAAGGATTACGAGGGAGGTACTTTAATGCAGTGTTCGATGCTCCCCTCTATTCTAAGGTATCTCGATCTGGGAAAGATACTTCTTCTACAGAAGGCTGCTATTGAAAGGAAGATCAGACTGCGGTCCAAATCAAATGTTGTGCGGCCAGGGCTCCAAATCTTCAAAACGAATAAAAACGTGACACTAGACTATAAGGATATTCCTGGGTTATCCGAAGCAGGGTGGCTGGAAGAGATGGATAAATTGGCACAAAAACCGAAAAGAGGGCCTCATTACAATTTTATGGTCACTCTTTTCTCAGAGATGCAAAATCACCCTTCGGCATGGCCGTTTGCAGTACCTGTCAACAAGGAAGAAGTTCCTGACTACTACGATGTCATTAAAGAGCCCATGGATTTGTCTACTATGGAACTGAAGTTGGAAAACGACAAGTACGAATCGTTTGACCAATTTTTGTACGATTCCAGGTTGATTTTCAAAAACTGTCGATCTTATAATAGCGAGTCCACCACCTATTTCAAGAATGCCAACAAATTGGAAAAGTTTATGAACAACAAGATAAAGGATAGCACTGAGTATTCCCATTTCCTAGAGTAAACTACTTTGTTTGTACTTTATACTGTATTATTTTCCGTTCTTTTTGCATTCCTCATGTGTAGCCCGGAGATTGCGCCGGTTTAACGCAGTTAGTTGCACCTGACCCGAAAAAAAAAAAAAGAAAAATAAAAAGGGTTTTGAAAATTATCCAATAAATGACATATTTAAAATTGCTTTCTTTTTCTATTTTTGCAATTGACCAATCTCTACCAGCCATTAATGCCTGTCGAAGTTTATTCCTATTCCGAGCAAGTTGACCTTGCAAATGCTGTTGGAAGATACATTATCAAACACCAAAACGAAGCTGTCAAAACAAACGGATCTTTCAAGATCGCTCTTTCAGGAGGCTCTCTCGGTAAAGTTTTGAAAGAGGCATTGATTGATAATAAAGACATTGGAGCTGAAGTTCAGTGGGAGAAATGGGAGGTGTACTTTAGTGATGAAAGACTTGTGCCATTGAACCATGAGGATTCCAACTATGGTCTTTTCCACGAGAAGGTACTTAAAAGCCTTCCTGCAAATTCTGCAAAGCCGAAAGTGCACACCATTGATGAGTCGCTATTGACGGGTAAAGATGGACAAGTAGAAGGTGCTGATGTCGAAAAGGATAAGGAAATTGCTAAACGATATGCTGCTCTTTTGCCCCACAAGCTCGACGTTATATTGCTAGGATGTGGTCCAGATGGTCATACATGTTCGTTATTCCCAGGACACAAGCTCCTCAAAGAAAGAGCCCAATTGGTTTCATACATAAATGATTCTCCAAAACCACCCCCAAGAAGGATTACCATCACATTGCCCGTTTTGGAAAATGCAACTGCGATCGCCTTTGTGGCTCAAGGGGCAGGAAAAGCACCAATTTTGAAAGAGATTTTCAATGACCCTAAGAGTGAGTTGCCATCCAAGTTGGTTACTGATATTACTTCGGGAACTGAAATCAGCTGGTTTGTCGACTCCCCTGCGATTGAAGGCGCAGACGTGTTGAGTAGCAAGTATTAGAGAATAGATTAGAAATTAAATAGAACTCCATGTGTAAACTTTCTTTGAGAAGTGTAGAATTTTGAAGCGCTTTACGCCCTATCGGTCGATGTAAAGGACAAATTTATTTTTAGCTCCCTCTTTACTCTGTTAAATTTTTGTGTTGCGTCAATGTTTCTTCAGCTTCTTAATTGAGATCTAAACAAGCAAGCAACAATGGGTATGTACCACAATCAATGTCTCTTTTGAGAGCACTTACTAACCACAATAAGGATTAGGTGTTGCTTTATGGTTCTGTCCGAGACCAAGCTCTCAGATTCACGATAAGTTGACTACATTGAGCAGTTCCATCAATACGTTGTTCCCAGGACTGCCACCAAAGTTCGAGCCCCATATTACTATAACTACTAATATCAGTATCAACCTAGACGATCCAGCCAAAACCAAGGATGATGTTGATAAAATCTTGTCGGCAAGTGCTGTGGCATTGCAATCTTTGCCTAAAAACCACACCAACCTTGTGACCATAGGAAATATAAACAGCCAGAGGAAATATTTTCAAAAGTTGTATTTTGAAGTGGTTAAGGACCCAAACTTGGTTTCCTTTGCTCAAATAATTAGAGAAATCTTTGTTATATCCCCTGCTGATATCGAAGCGGAGAATCAAAAACAAAACCCACATTTGTACACCACTGACGGACATGGAAACACGGTGAGGCGAAGACCCCTGAAGAAGCACAGTGGAGACTCATCAAAAAGTACGACAAAGGAATTTTCCACTGCTGAGATCCAGAGAAGAGCAACCTACAAGGCTGCAGAATGGGCAGAAAAAGAGTACGATCCTCACATATCCTTAGTCTATAGTAACATTTGGCCCATAGACAATGCGTTGTGGTTAACTATTAAAACAAGAATTAGTGACTATCTAGGCATTGAAGATGTCGATGCGGGAAATTTGCACAATCATGACTATGGATGGAATAGCGGAGTTTTGAAATTAGTTTTGTGTGAAGGTGAAGTCCAGGATTGGATTGTTTTAGGAAGCGTTGATGTTTAGGTGGTATGATGATTATTTCCTAATGTGTAGTTATTCGCTAAATGTAATTAGTTAGCCTCTGTCGACCCAGTGTTGCATCTAAGCAGCGGCTCACTTGATAAGGTGAAAAAAAAAAATGTGTAATGAAAGATGGGCTTTAAATATCCACGCTTAACAGTCCACCTTCTTAAATGCAAGAAAGCCCGATCCATAAATACTCTTGCGAGACATGCTCGGAGACATTTGAAAGTCCAAATGATGTACAGAAACATTTGTCAACCACAAGACACAAGTCAGTGAGGCTATTGCCACTTGATGAAATATTGGAATGTGAGGAATGTTCCGACTCCAACATTCACCAGCTCGCTATCCTACGCTATGGACTCAATGATATGGCTTTATTGTGTCAGCTGTGCTTGGATAATACAACTAAAGACAGTGGAGAAGAACCAACAGCCAAGTATACTCTATCAAATGGTGCTCTATTTGGTAAATTGTCCCAGTACATCAAGTTTAGAAACATTGCATGCGCTCTGTGTGGAAGAGATGACGACCTATACGTTGCAAATACCCCTAAAGGACAAATTATAAGTTGCAAGGAGTGCTTACTGAAACACCAGTCTCAAGATGTTAACTTTGTGAGCGAAAACGATGATAAGTTTTTGACAGAGCTTTTGGGATTGAAAGAGGTTATCATTAAGAACAAGTCCTTAGGAGGGAGAGGAGGGAGAGGGGGTAGAAGAGGAGGTAAAAGAGGAGGTAAAAGAGGCGGGAGAGGAGGCAGATCAGATGGAGGTAGTAGAAGAGTTAAAAAGGAGGATCCTGAAGCCGAATCGCGAAGACAGCATTACCAAGAATCAAAACAGTTTGCCAGTGATGTAAAGTCTGGATCCACTGTGAAAGCAATTGGGGCAGGTTCCATTGGAAACAGTCTGGTAAAGCCTCAAAATGGAAGAGGAGCTGGTTCGAAAGACTCTATAGGTAGACCTAATGCAAAAAACGGGCATAAAGCCTCTACAGGGAAGGAGGTTTCTAAGCAAGATCACAATGCAAGAAACAATGCAAGAAACAATGCAAGAAACAATACAAAGCCTAAGACTGATTCAAACAACTCGTTGAAATCAGCCTCAAGTAAAGCAGGGAATTCCAAAAACTCAAAGAAAGACAATAAGAATGATTCAAAAGCTGCTTCCTCCGTCAAGGCTCAAAGACCAGCCGAGAATGATTCGAATGGAAGTAAGTCAAAGAAACCTTCACCAAGGGGTAACAAACAGGAGCCTTCTTCAAAACAAAAAGTGTCCCAGAAACAAGAGCGTGATAATGGTAGCAAAGTTGTCAAGCCAAACAAAATACAATCGAAGGAAAAAACTCCAAGTCGTCAAAATTCGCCTGCACCGATGTCTGAATTGGTATTACCTTCCTATATAACAAAATACCATCCTTCACCAAAGCTCAAGCTTTCTTATGACAATATTGATGAGTATTTCCGTGAAATGAGTTTCAATGTCTTCTTGGAAGACCAGCTCACCAATGTGCTGAACATAATTGAACCACAAGATCTCATTATCGAATGGTACCAGGATCAAGATAAGAAAAACAACCAATTCAAAGTCAGTATCCCCATGAAACCGGAAGTTATGGATAGATTTTTGTCAGATAGATTCAAAAAATTGAAGAAAGACCCTTTTCAGAAAGATCAAGCAATGTTTTTAATCTTGAATGATGAAATTCCTTGGTATGGTAAAGTGGCCACTGTTGATGGAGTCAAATCGGGCAAGAACCGGAAAACAGCCAAGGTTAGTCATGTGGAAATGGTCATTGTTCTTTACAAATGGAACAATCAACCCTTACCCAAGACAGTCCACGCACAACATTTGAAACTTTTACCAGCATCAGTTCCCGTTAGCCGAATTTTCAATGCCATGGATGGCCTCACAAACCCAAGTTTCATCAAGATGTTGTTGGGTAAGGAACCTATTAAGCAAATATTCTTCAATAATAGAGTCAATTTCTCATCAAACTTGAATGATTCACAAAAAGCGGCTATCCAATCAGTATTGAATAACAGAATTAGTGTTGTCCAAGGTCCCCCAGGAACAGGTAAAACCTCTGCCATTTATGAAACTTTGATCCAATTGCTCGAGTCTTTGAACACGTACCCGATTTTGGTAGTTGCGGCTTCAAATATTGCCATTGACAACATTGCCGAAAAGTTGTTGCCCAAACATGGCAAACTGATTTTGAGAATCACTGCAAATGAGAAGGAAAGAGAGTATAATAAGTCACACCCATTGGCTAGTATTTGTTTGCATCACAAGATATACGATGCAATGTCAATGAAGCATCAACAAGTGCAGAATGACTTGAAGCGTGGTACAGGGGTGATTAGTGCCAACGCTTACAAACAATTTATGCAAGAGAAATTTCAAATCACCAAGCAACAAGTTGCCCAGTCAAAAGTTATTTTAACCACCACAGTTGTTGCTGGTGGAAACCAATTGAAATCACTTTCGAAATGCCCCGTTGTGATTATGGACGAAGCAACTCAATCATCAGAGCCAAGTACTTTAATCCCATTAGCTGTTCCAGGAGCTGAGAAGTTTGTTTTTGTGGGTGATCAAAAGCAATTGAGTTGTTTCTCCTTGATTCCAAGTTTATCAACATCATTATTTGAAAGAGTATTATTGAATGGGACATATAAATCACCGCATATGTTGAATACACAATATCGTATGCACCCAGCAATCAGTGAATTTCCCAGAAATAGATTCTACAATGGTGCATTAAAGGATGGTATTGATGCTAGTGCAAGACAAATGGATGGTATTCCTGAAACTCCGGTGTATTTCTGGAACACCAAAGGGAATGCAAGAGAACAATCAGTTCGAAATTTACTTCGTGAAGATAGAGGTTATACCTACACCAATAGAGATGAAGTATCCTATATTAAACAAGTATTGAAAACCTTGATTATTGAAAAAGGTATACATAGAGATAATATTGGTGTGATAACACCTTATTCAGGTCAACGTGATTTGATCTCATCAATATTAGTCAGAGATGATATAATCAATCCTACCAATGAAGAGTTGCAAGTCGAAATTGATATTGATGATATTACCAACGACTCTAAGCCAGTGAACATTCACATAGTCTCGGGTATTATGATTGCTTCGATTGACGCATTTCAAGGAAGAGAGAAAGATTTTATGATTATGTCATGTGTTCGGTCAAATAAACAAGGCACAATCGGGTTCTTGAAGGATGAAAGGAGATTGAATGTTGCACTTACTAGAGCCAAATACGGGTTGATTATGGTGGGTGATGTTGAATGTTTGAAAAAGGGAGATAAATTGTGGAAAGAATACATGGAGTACTTGGAAAATAAAGAATTGATACACGGTGAAGACCAGTTTAAATATTAATAGATTAATGGACGTTGAATGTGTAAAGCACAAAGTAGCCAAGGATTGTAGAATAAAGTGCAATTTTTTGGAAAAATTGTAAAAAAGAAAAAATAAAAAAATAACGACAACTGCAGGACTCGAACCTGCGCGGGCAAAGCCCAAAAGATTTCTAATCTTTCTCCTTAACCACTCGGACAAGTTGCCAACGATTGAGCCAGAGACCCAATTTTTATAAAAAAAGTGTTTCTACTTTGACTCATGGGTTAAAACTTTTTAAATTTTTATCGAGCACTTTTTATTAAAGGTGTGCATTTGAGCACACTGGGATGTTAAAAAAACCACAGATAATGCATTTGAAAGAAGGTTTCTTAAAGTTTAACAGTTATTTATCGTAAAAAAGCTTTACCTTTCCCTATTTTTAAACAATTTTGCTTCTTTTTTCGTTAAAATTTGCAACCGATTGATGTTTATCAAAATTTTAGAGGTAGTTTGCATGAAAAAAGAAAGTCAACTTACGGAAAGCTTAGTGCTTGGACATAAGGAGAAGAAAGACAAAGAAACCAATGCCCCGTTATTTTGATCAATAACAATGCAAACGCTGATTACCATGTTAATCAATGTATAAAAGTGCAAGTTTGTGACAAATTAAGCCACATCTAGCTTGATATTTCACTAACTTGAGGCAATATAACCTCTCACTGCAACATCATCAACACGTATCTTGATGCTTAATACCCTACATCATGTATAAGATCACAGCATTTAAAACATCCTTTGTGGAACCTGTATTCATTACCCGGCCTGTACTCAAAACGCATCACGAGAAAACAAAAAAAAAAAATTAACCAAATTAAATGAAAGAAAAAATTTTCCCTCTCAAACAACCCATCTTTCTTCTTCTTCCTCTTCTTTTTCTTTCTTCTGGTTCTCCAACTCAATAGTGTCATAGATGGTGGGACAACCGTGTTGTATTGTCGCTAACATCATGACTTAATTGGTATGTTATACTGCCCCTTATCTATGAGGCGCCTGCTTGATGATCAACCAAACTTTTCAATTGCACTTCCAACATGATTAAACTCAATGATATAACTTTTATTTTAACTGAGGATGTACATGCAGGACATATTGTTAAGGAATTCTTCGTTTATGATTGTGATAATAATTGCATTGATTTGTGAGGAGGTTATTTTGTTTGATAGATTCAATAATATGCTAACTCGAATTTTCCAGTATGTTTTAATTTCCGTCGTCAAGTCTAGCTTTGACTTTTAAAATCTAATTTAAGATTCCTTTGAATGATGAATATGTTCCTACATTTTTTCTGTCCGGTGACTCGTGATCCAATGGATACTTTACATGCATCACCATCTGACTTTTTGCCAATCTATTTAGATTTTAAAAATATCCAGGGAGTGGCCATTTATACTAACTATTCGATACGAAAGGGTATGTTTGTTTCCTAAAAGAAGAAAATATATTAGGATTGTCGTTCATTATGATGAAAAATAAATGTTATCAGTTCTGCTTCTGAACCAAATAACCTGAAGATACCAACTTTACCAAAGCTCTAGAATTACTCTGATTATGAATGACAACCCTTTGCTTTGCTACCGACTTTGTACTAACCCGATACATTAGAGTTCATAGAGCTAAAATACACAACTTTTTTTTTTCAGTTTTTTTGATGTAGATTGTTTCTTTCTGTTCTATACATTAAAGATGACTACTTTACCGTCAATACCTGACGTTGATACTTTTCCATCGGCAAAGTTTTTAATACTGACAATGGTATTTTGGTGAACCGTGGTTAACGCTTTGGCAGCTTTGCCATGTCCGGCACTTGGCTTACTAGATCTTCCTTTCAAGTCCATTTGCTTAAACATATTCAAAGCTTGGTGTGAAGAAATTTCTTCATCATCATCGTCAGCATTGACCTTTGGTGGTTCCTTAGTCAAATCTTTTTGCTCTTCAATTTGATAAGCTTCTTGCCAATTTTGTTCATTGCCTTTGAATACAACCAAGTTGCAGTTGAACCCACCAGCGACGACTGAGCTATCCGAAATCCATACAATGGACTTGAATGGCAAATAGTTTGTCTTGATATTCAAAATAGATTTTGGCTCAAGTCCTTCGCCTTGTGGGTAAACAACACCAATTGAAGAGTCATGAGAGACCCAAGCCAATGCATTTCCATCAGGGCTAAACTTAACCCCATGCACCCAGGCATTTGTTTCATTGGTAAAGTCGCCACACAACGTTTGGAAGGGTAATTTGGTTCCCCACACACTAGGTTCAGGCTTAGCGTCGATGCCTTTGATGTATCCACTAAATACTCTGATATGACCATCGGTCGATCCACTGGCCAACAACACTCCATTGGGATGCCAATCAATAGTGGTGATGGTGGATTTAATTGGTTTTTTCAAGTGCTTCGATACCCACCAATCATTCTCTTGCTCGTAATAGCAAACTGCAATCACCCTATCACCAGACCCAACAGCGAATTTTTGTCCATCAGGGGACCATCTACAAACAGTAGCGGCTCTATTGATACGCAACAATACCAATGTTGGCTTGAATTCGCCATTCTCGTATTCCCACACTGATGCGTTTCTGTCTTGCGAACAGGTCAAAATCCTAGATCCATCAGGTGAAATGTCAACTGAGGTGACAGTTTTATCATGGTCACGCAATTGAGCAACTAACTTTGGTTTGACTGATAAGTTGTTGGGGTCAATCTTGTAAATTTCGACCAAGTTTTCTTTAGTGATTGCCAAAATAGTACGATCGGGTGAAAAGACGTGGTCCTTGATAGGCAAATGGCCTAATTGGTAAATAGCTGGGACTTTTGACATTGTAACGGTGAGTTTGTTTATTCGGTTAGTTCAGGAGTGGTCTCTCAACTAAACTTTGAAGATGAAGAGTTCAAAGAGTATAAACGACGAATTTTCTGAATTGCCGAAAAAAATAAATATTTGCGCCAGCGTTGCTTCCGATTGCAAAAGTGTCACATCCAAACTTTTATTTTACAAATTGGACAAGCATATATACTTATACATCTAATACTATTGTTACCCTTAATCATCTTGATGCTCATGTTCTTGCTTCACTTTTACAAACTCTCTCACCTTTTCCCATCTTCTTTGTACGGTTGGGTTCTTCACCTTGACCATTTCACCATCCAATCTATCAACAATGGCAGAGAACAAGTTACCGGTTTCCTTGTTGTACAATATTCTCAACCAATAAAAGATCAAAAACAAAGTCAATTGATAACCACTGGCATTTCTGAAAAACAAGGTTCTAAGGACCAAGTAGACAATTAAAAATAATTCGTCATACGCAATCAATGCTGATAATGTAGATGCATGCTTAATGACAGCAGTAACATTCTTCAATTTACTCAAGTGCAAGACACTCAACAAAAAGTATGGGAGAATCTTAAACACTGACCTGAATGTAAAACACCAAACTACTGCCAAGATCAAGTATTGGAAATTCTCATGACTCAACAATGTAGCCACTGGTGGTAAAAAGTGTAACCCAAACTTGTGACTAAACGTAGAAGTCAATGCCACCATCGATCCAAACAAGGCTAATCTGTAGCAGATTGAATTGATGTAGTAGACGTTAGGTAACCAAAAAGCCTGGAAAATAAACGTAATGGTGCCGAATACAACAGAAGCAATATGCCCACCGAGCCATGCTTTAAACTTCAAAGCATTTGCATTGGGTTGGGCTCTAACCAATTTTTTTTTAAACTTGTGATGTTTATCATTAGGAGTCTTGTTTGTAGGCGCCTCGGGTTTTGCTTGTTGTGGCGTTGAATCTTGAGTTGAGTGTTGATTATGTGCTCCAATTGCCCCATTCTGATGGGATTCTGTGGCAGTAGCAGACATTGTTAGTCAATGGTGTAGTCCCCTCTAGCTTGACCTAGTCGATGTTGTCTTTCCCATTTGTACAAAAGTAGCAAAGCAAACAAAGATTTTAGGAAATGAGAGGTGAAATTTGGGCTTATATACAGGATTATTGTATTTTTTGGTCTGATGAGTTGTCGCTGTGACTCGTTCCAAAGGTCGAACAAAATATCGGCCAGCGACTTCGCCCCGGGCTAAAGAATAGAGAGAAAAATTAACAATCCTTGGGAATAAGGCAACACACAAAACGCGACTTGAAATAATTAAACTATAAACAACAGGGAAAAACCCATCAAAGCCTAAACCACCACAACAAAGTCAAGATGGACATTGACTATACGACAAAACCAAACCTCACTGAGCTAGAATCATCAGTACTTACTGAATATCAAAACATCAATGCCACCTTGATCAAAATAAACCAAGGCTTAAAGGGTCTCACTAATAAAGATGATGCCGACGGGGGTGAAAGTATACGGCTGGTTGAAACGTTGAGACAGATGGAAACAAAACTACTGCTTATTTACACATTCTTTAGAGGTGCGGTTTATACGCTATATGCTGATGTTGGAGAAGGTGCCGGAGAAGAAGAAGAAGTAGAAGAAGAAGAGGAAGAAGAAGAGGAAGAAGAGGAAGAAGATTATGGTGATGATGGTTTGGCTGGAAATATGGACCAAACAGACATCAAAAATGATGGCTATGAGCATCAAGGAGAGTACGACAAAGGCACAAACGAGCTACTGAGTATATCTGACACATGAAATAGCAAATGCATTGAACTATATGATTTTATACAGAGTGTCATCGTATACCAATTCGACATTGGTTATCTTGACACCACGGTTGACCAACAAATGATCAAAATCAATAGTGCCAATATACTTTATCTTTCCTTGTTTGTCTCCTGCCTTATCAGTAATAGAATATTCGCTTTGAAAATTTACCGCGTAGTCCCTGTTGGGATTCAAGGGCACTTTGTCCTTCACTTGATGCACCTCATGGATCTTGCCACTCGATTTCTCATGTATTTTTGTATCTGCATTGGATCCAATCCGGGCCATACCCAAACCAATTGGTGACAATGTATCATCTTTGATTGAATTCCAGTTTATGGGTTTAATCGCCCATTTAAAGCTGATATTATGGCCCCCTTCAGTCCCATTCGATTTCTGGGTAAAATCAATTTGTATACCTGACGCGCTGGGATGTATTAGTTCGACCCAGATATTGAATTTGGAGTTATTCATGGTGAGATTCAAAGGTAATCCGAAAATTGCGCGGATCTTGTTGTTTGAGGAAAGCTTTTCAAGAACTGCATACTTTATATTTTGCTGCTGCAAGTCATTGCAATACTCGTCGATGTCTGATTTAGTTGTTCCATTAAGGTTGTTCTGCGCCATTTCTGTAGTTATATAGTTGTGGTAACCCTTATCCACATAAACCAACCCCTCAGGGTAATTCAAAGTCTTTTTCCATAAAACGTTAGGGTTGAACCACAATGGTAGGAAAATTGATTTCTGAATATTTGATCCTGTCGATTGATGCAATTCGTCTCTGATTCTAAAGTATTGTATTGAGGCATATAGTAGCATTGATAAGGTGGAAGAAGAGGCAATTAATATAAGAATGGTGCGAAGGGGTAACCTCTTCCCCCCAGTCGTTGTCCCGTTAATTCCATTGCGACTCACATGTACTGCGTTTCTCACTAAGGTGTCGTAGTTGGCCTTGTCAAATTGACGAGAATGACGACCTGCCTGGCCAAAGTGTCTAACTTGGTAAAAAGCTTGTCTTTGGAGTAAATTAATCCCTTTGAGTGGCATTAAAAATCGAGTACTATTTACCATCCGAGATTTCATTGATGACTAGGAATCGAGATGTGAATTTGGTTGTTAAACTTATTCAGCTACAAGTAGCTTTTAAATTGAAGAGTTGTTTGGGGAAGTGTAGAAAAAGTATGGCAAAATGTGGTGTGCAAAACAAAAAAAAAGCCGCACAAAAGTTGTAACGTTTCTATCTATACAATGTACTCTACTCTTCAAAACTAGCCCAGTCTAGTTTCTTACTCTCAAACTCTTCAAGCATTTTAAGAAAGTCTTGTTTTTCCTTCTCTTCCTTCTCTATAGCAGCTTGCTTATCTATCGGATCCACCTTCACTGCACTAGGCTTTGTATCCTTATTTCGTCTGGTTTGTCGACCAATTGATTGTTTGCGTGGTTCTTTGTCAAGCCTCTTCCTCCGTTCTTTTATCCTCTCTGAGTCTGATGGTTTATCTTCGGTTTCTTTGAAATTCAAGCCATCCAATCGAGCCGCCAATGACCTACCCTGTGCTGGTTTGGGCTTCAGCCTTTCCCCCTTCTCTCCATCGTCCTCGCTAGCCTCTCCCCATACAGTAGGATTATCATCATCATCATTATCCTCTCTTTTAGGTTCAATTGTAATTCTGGCAGCTAAAGACCGCGCAGATTTTGTCATGGGGCCCTTGGGGTATAATTTATCCGCAACAACAGTCTCTTCATCTGAGTCTTTCTCATACGCTTCCACGGGTGCTTCGTGTGTATCATGATATCTGTGCCTTTGATCTCCACTATAAACCGTGTCTCGGCTTTTAGAATGTCGTCTATGAAGCTCCTTATCCTGATGAGATTTTGCTCCATGTGTTTTGTGACCACCCCTCTTGTTGAAACGAGGCCTGCTATTCTCATGATTGTTGGAGCCTTTATCTTCTCTATCGTTTCTCGAATATGTGTCACCTTCCTTGGAATCGCTACTGCTACTTCCCCATTGGCTTTCCAATTTTGATGTCAGCGTAATGGGTTTACTCCATTTACTCTCCAACGTATGTTCTCCACCCTTTGATACCCCTGGTTTCTTGTCATTTGGTTTCTCGCCACCCGTTTCTTCACTTGCCCATATCGAAACCAATCCCATTCTAGCCAAATTTTTCTTGTGAATCTATTGTTTCAAAGTCATTGAGAAAGCTCTAAATTTTTGTCCGGAGATATATATAATTTAGAGATTTGCGATCGATTGATGCGGCAAAGGAAAAAAAAAAAAAAAAGTGAGCACAGTTTGGGAGGAGCTTATATTATGTGGCTGCTGCTCGCCTATGCAAGCTCTATTTGGTCGTTTGTAGATGACAGACATGATTGACGCCATGAAGCTCTTCTTTCGCTTTGCAAGATATTGCTAAATGCATTCAACAATATGGATAAAAAAAAGGAAAAAAGCGTTTACAACGACAAACACATTTTGTAAATTAAAGTGTCGTTGTTACTAATCACCGGACATAAGGCGATTGATTTATAAGTCAGATATTTATCCCAAAAACACTGGTCTGTTTTGCAATTGTATTGAAACGCTATTTGGTATACATACGTTTTATATAGGTATAGTGTGAGTATGCACGTAGTGGGGTTTGGTGCATAATTGCATAATAACTCCTTTTAATCAACTCCGTCCTATCCTTGGTTCCCTCAGCAAACCTGTCATCCGAAATACATACAATAAGTAACCTTTTTGATGAACGTTTTCCGTAATATTCTTTTTACACAAAAACAAATGGATTCAAACCTTACCATATATATTATATATTATATATTTGCTATTAAATCCTCTTCTTCCTTCTCCTTCCCCTAATTTAACAAAACTACTATTTTTTTTTAAATACAACCCATTTTTTAACAGTCCAATTAAAACTCAATTGACCAAATAACAAACAAACCATGTCTTCATTCAAATTAGCCACCGAATTACCAGCTTGGAAGGAATTGGAACAACTCTACAAAAAAGAGGGTGAAAAATTCGACGTCAGAGCTGCATTTGCTCAAGATCCTAAAAGATTTGATGAATTTTCTCGTGTCTTTACCAACTACGATGATTCCAAGATCCTTTTCGACTTTTCCAAGAACTTGGTCAACCAGGAAATTCTTGACAAGTTGGTCCAATTGGCCAAGGAAGCTGGTGTTGAAAAATTGAGAGATGAAATGTTTGCTGGTGATCACATCAATACTACTGAAGACAGAGCAGTTTACCACGTTGCATTGAGAAATGTCAAAAAGCACAAAATGCCAGTTGATGGTAAGGACACTACCCAAGAAGTTTGGGATGTTTTGAACCACATGAAGGAGTTCTCTAATCAAGTTAGAGATGGAGAGTGGAAAGGTTACACTGGTAAAGCAATCACTGATGTCGTCAACATTGGTATTGGTGGATCCGATCTCGGTCCGGTCATGGTCACTGAAGCTTTGAAACACTACAGAAAGCCAGGTTTGAATGCTCATTTCGTATCCAATATCGATGGAACTGATATTGCCGAAGTATTGAACAAGGTCCACCCAGAAACAACTTTGTTTTTGATTGCTTCAAAAACATTCACCACCGCAGAGACTATTACCAATGCCACCTCAGCTAAGAAATGGTTCTTGGACCATGCCAAAGACACCAAGTACATTGCCCAACATTTTGCTGCTTTGTCCACCAACGAAAAGGAGGTTATAAACTTTGGAATTGATCCTAAAAACATGTTTGGATTTGAAAGTTGGGTTGGTGGCCGTTACTCTGTATGGTCAGCCATTGGGTTATCCGTTGCCATCTACATTGGTTTCGATAACTTTGAAAAGTTTTTGGCGGGTGCCGAAGCTGTTGATGAACACTTCTTAAAGACTCCATTGGAGAACAACATCCCAGTTCTTGGTGGTTTAATCTCTGTTTGGTACAACAACTTCTTCGGTGCTCAAACCCACTTGGTTGTTCCTTATGACCAATACTTGCACAGATTCCCTGCCTACTTGCAGCAATTGTCTATGGAATCAAATGGTAAGTCAGTCACCAGAGCCAATGTTTTCACCAACTACCAAACTGGTACCATCTTGTTTGGTGAACCAGCAACCAATGCTCAACACTCTTTCTTCCAATTGGTCCACCAAGGTACCAAATTGATTCCAGCTGACTTTATTTTGGCTGCTCAATCTCACAACCCTATTGAAAACAACAAGCACCAAAAAATGTTGGCTTCGAACTTCTTTGCCCAATCAGAAGCTTTGTTGAAGGGAAAGAGCGAGGAACAAGTTAAAGCTGAAGGTACTACTGGAGGATTAATACCTCATAAGGAATTCAGTGGTAACAGACCAACCACCTCCATCTTGGCTCAAAAGATCACCCCAGCTGCTTTGGGAGCCTTGATTGCTTACTACGAACACGTTACTTTTACCGAAGGTGCCATCTGGAACATCAACTCATTCGACCAATGGGGTGTTGAGTTGGGTAAAGTTTTGGCCAAGGTTATTGGTTCAGAATTGGAAGACAAGAAGTCTGTTGGTTCTCATGATCCATCCACCAACGGTTTGATCAACACCTTCAAACAATGGGAATAAATACCCTTAGAGGCTTTAGGTCTTTGTGATAACACCACCGATGTTTGATGAATATATACTTTTATAGTTTACTTGGAATAGCTGTTTCTTTTCGATAGACAGTTGCTGTAGTATGGCTGGCAGCCGCGATGACGTAGATTTGTAAAAGGGTAAAAAAGCAAAAAAAAGAAAAACTATTGCGACAACTCTTGATCCTTTGCTTCTAGATATCTTCATATTTGTCATGCTGTCAGATCCAGAAACCTCCGATGTCCCACAACTAGATGACGAGCTAGACTATCCACTCAGGATTGTCCTTGTCACCGATGAACCGAAATCAAAAGAATCAGAAATGGAAGAAATACTCGTGGATAAAATCTCAACTTTTACCTTGATGAATGCGTTTTTTGATGAATTTGATGAAACCGTGGCGGTACCGAATGAAGGTCATATCAAATATGAAGTGGGAAGTGATGGATTAGTGGTGATTATTGTTGATAATACGAAGTTGAAGGACGATGTGGTACTGTTTGTTGAGGATTACGATAAGAAATTGAAACAAGATGAAACGGAGGAAATTGAAAAGGCCGAGACAGGTAAAGAGGAGGAAGGTGAGGAGACAAGGAAGAAGAAAAAGGCTAAAACCACGGCTTAGGGTATTGTAAATTTAAAAAGCTTTGAGATTTAATTTGAAAGAGCGAGTTGTAAGTAGGCAATAGATCTGGATACATTTAAAAAGAGCAAGGCTACGATAGAGCAGCCAATACATTGGGGCGGTGTTTACAAGATTGAGATAGCTTGTCTCACGGCAAGCAGTGTCCACAGGAAGCGATATATACTACTTTCAGAGAGCTATTTGGGATCGGCGCATTGAAAGCTATTTGTGGACAAAATAGACCAACTTTCCTTTTAAAAACAGAGTCACATCTATAATGTATCAACTTTTTGTACACCTAAAGTATTTATATTCTGTAGAAATATGGCTGAGTTGAATCCAACTTTGGTCTCTTGAATTAAAACACTATTTTACGCGACTGCATACAATAATAAAGTTATCACCGAAGAAAAAAGAAAACCAAAATCTTTGGTCGCCAGAAAATCAACTCCACTGTCCCGTCCTCTCCAAACGTTCATCACACAACACACACATACACAAGTTAAATCACACAATCGCAATGGCAACAGAAGACTGGAGGAAAATAGATATTGATGCATTAGAGCCAGAATATCACTTATCAGCAGCCGAACTCGTGCCCGACTTGCCCCAAGTATCGCAATCACAAGTATCATCAGTCGCCCAACAAGTAAGGTCGCAATTATCATCGGGTCAATTCCAACAAGCCCTCGAATTAGCATTGGACAATGCACCTTACATTGCCGATCTGCCTCAAACTAAAGAATTACATGCCAAGACTGTATTTGAAATCTTGTGCTCGATTAAAAATAACAACAATATATCGGAATTGGGCCAATTTGTGAAAAACTTGAATCAAGAGCAACAGGATACATTGATCAAGTATTTGTACAAGAGTATGTCGGAACCTTATGGGCAAAAACAAGGGGGGTTGTTGTTGAATTGGTTTGAAAAGACGGTTGAAGTTACTGGTGTGGGTGCTATTGCAAGGTACTCTACCGATAGAAGAACTGTATAGTGTGGAAATCAAAAAAAAAAGAAAAAGAAAGTCACTTGATTAAGAAATACAAGGGATTATAAAGTGGCAGTAATATATAATTCAATAAAAGATAGTATTTTTAAAATAAAAAATAGAAATGTTACAAAGTTTGTGTGTCTGTATATTAAGTTTTAATTGATTTCAAAGGCGATGATTTATTAGATCCGCTCTTTTTCTTGATCTTACCACCTGACGAAAGTGGTGCACTATTGGCTTGGAATGATGATTGTAAGACGTTTTTCGTAGGCGTATGTTTGTTTGGCGTGGAACTTCTTGATTTTTGCTTAAACTCCTTCTCGGGTGATTTCTTATTATCGTGGAACTTTTTGTTTGGCGACTTTTTGTTGTGGGATGATTTGTGGTCACTGGAGGAGGAAGAGGGCTTGTTCAATTCATGCGATAAATGGGTGTTCTTACCTCCATGGTTGAAATTCACCGTTGACTCCACCACCGAGTCTTGATATATGTCATTAGGATTGAATCCAAAAGGTGACGACCGTTCACTAAACAAATGTCCGTTGTAATCATCACTCAAGCCGAGTTTAGTTGGAGACGATTTCAATCTTTTGATTTCAGCATCTTTTTCAGCAATCGTCACCTCATATGCTTTTTTCAAATCGGAAATCTTGGTCTTGTAATGATCTTGCTTTTTGGTGAATCTATCTTGCAAAAGCTTATACTGCTCATTGGAATCATGGACGGATTTTTCCAACTGAGTGATTGTTTCAATTTTGGTTTTCAATTGTTGGGTCTTGGACGTTAATTTGTTAGTCAAGTCTTCATTTTCATTCAGATGGTTTGATAAATTCGATTCCAAGGTGGCAAACTCCGATTGAAGCGTTTGATACTTGAGAATAGCCGCTTCAAGATCCGATTTCAATTGGCTCTTTAACGAAGTTTCCGTTTGCAACTCTTGTGACAAGCCATTTGCATGGTTATTCTTCTCCAACAATCGAGCTTCCAATTCAGCAATTCTTCCATTATTGACGTTGGCACCAGAATCAATTTGTAATTGTAATTCTTTGTTTGACTGGGCAAGTTCGTTAACTTTGCTTTCCAATACTTGCTTTTCATTTTGCAATTGTTCCACTTGTTGATTAAGAGAAGCCTCCAAACTGTTCAAGTGATCGATCTTGATTTGTTTTGCCGCCATATCTGCCTTCAACTTTGACATCTCTGATGTAGCCCATTCACTTTCATTTTGATGTGATTCCTTTAAATGATTCAATTTTTCCTCCACATCATGTAACCTCTCTATCTCAGATTCCTTTTCAGCAACCAAGGCTGACAACTTGGTTACCGCGTCTTGGGCTTCATTATTACCGACAGTAGACTTTTCAAAAGATAATTTCAAGTTTTCCAATTCACTTGTGAGAGCTTCATTTCTCTTTGCAAGTTCATCCTTTGCATTCAACAACTCACTTATTTCATTCTCTTTCTCAACCAGTGAAGCATTTTGTGACTCAATAGTCTCCTGAAGTTGGTTGATATCGTAAGTTTTCGATGCCATCAATTTCTTGTTTTCATCAAGCTCGAGATTCAACACTCTAATACGATCCATCAATTTCTGCTCTTCCTGCTTCAGCAATTCAATCTTATTTTCAAGATTTGTTTTGAATGATTCGAGTTCTGACACAGCATTTCTACTTACCAGCAATTCCTGTTCCAAACGGTTGAGTTCAGCTTCAAGTCTAGCAATCTCCTCTTCGTTTCCACTCTTGTTTTGTTGATAATCAACAACCTTCTGTTTGAAATGATCTAATTCTTCAACAATTTTGTCATTCTCTCCTTTTGCAGCAACAATCTGCTGCTGCTTTTCCTCATTAGCTTGGGAAAGTAAATCCAATTTGGATCGCAAATTTTGAAATGTCTCCAACATTTGATTTGTCTCTTGCTTGAAATAACCAATTTCAGTCTTGATTTCAGAAATTGACTCCGCATACTTTTGCTTGGATAAGGATTGTTCCATCTTCAACGCTTCAATTAATTTAGCATCTTTACTTGGGCTTCTCGTGGGGACAGGTGGTTTGCGGACCGAGTATTTTCTATCCATGGAGGCGGTGACACGTGGGATTGGTTTAACCAGAGGGGTAGGTTTTACCGTGACACCAACCCTTTTAGCCAATTTTTGAGGACTACCGCGGATTGATGACATTGTTGGCATGGTATAACTTGGCGTTCTTCTCGTTCTTACTGTGTTTTCAACCGTTTCCAACTTGAATGTCTTGACAATATCAGCAATATTAGTCAATGTTGACTTGATTAAAGACACATCACCATTAGGGTCCAAGTTAAGGACAACCTTCAAATCTTTGTTTTTGAAGATATAGTTTGTTACCAAATTGTGTGATCTAACGTCCTTTTGTTTGTTTACCATTTGTTGAGTAATAGAGGATATGTTTGTGTTTGCAAAGATGTTTGAGCTAAACTTGGAATTCTTTTCACTGCCCATCAAGTCAACAAAGGTGGTTCTAAAATTGTGGTAAAAGAAGGTGATAACAAGACAGGATCTTGACGAATTGGCGTTGAATTCAGTAGCCTTGCTTGATCTTTGTTTCAAAACCTCCTTGATAAGTTCAGCACTGGCCTTCTTTCTCTTTAATTTATTTTCAAAATTGTTCAACAAGCTAAAGGGCACTTTTCTCGAAGTGTCATTAGAATCCAACAAATCAATCAAGAATTTGTTATTGGTGATTTCAAATGAGGAAACGAAAACTGGCTCATTATCATCAAAAGTCTTCAATTTTGCCAGGATCAAATGCTTCAACATTGTTGTCTTGCCTCCTCCGGTTGGACCCATCAACACAATACATGAGTTGTGTGATGAATTGATTAATTCTGGGTATTGAGTTTCTGATGCTTGGTAAATCTGTTCAAAATCGTAATTGGTGTCGTTAAACTCGATTGATTTTTCTGAAGTGACAGCAAAACATGGCTGGTGGTATTGGTCACTAGTAGATGTTGGTCCTTTGACTTTCAAGTATAATGGGACCGACATTGTAGGGGGCAGTGTGGTTGTTTGTATGAACTGGCTGTAAAAGAAAACTGAGATGGAAAACCACAAATGTAAACAAAACGTTGTGGAAGTGTAAACAAATCTGTTTGTATGCAGTATTTGACTTTTTCGTGTAATTTCGGTAGCGCTTACAATAACCAAGAATTGGAAACAAGGTAGCGCCAAACAGAATACTTTTGACAAAAGACACCCATGTTTGTAAAAGTAAATCTGGCATAAACAACTATCGATAATTGAGTCCACCAAAGATAGAATATTGCAATTGCACAATTTTTTGTCAGGCAATACCAAGAAAATTTGTTCTCTTCATTCTCTCTGTTTGGCTTCTCTTTGTTTTTGCAACTATTTTTACCCGGAGCGGGTGAGCGAGACTCTATCTATTTAATTCTAATTCCGATACACACCAAGAGGCACAAGACATTTGAGGTTGAAGAGGATTTACAGTTGGGGACGAAGCTTCTTAGAAGGCAATATAAATAGCAAAAGCTACTCCACCTTCTCTTGCCAAGAAGTTGGTTGACAAAGTATAATAGAACAAGTCATATTCAACTCAAGAATATTGGAAATATAGAAAAATAAAATAACATGAAATAAAATACGTGTTGAGAGCATTGAATTTGAGATATTTTATAATCTCAGTGATGATGGGTGTGAAAAAGTGGACTTTGTTTATAGAAACATAGGGCAGAGATTTGAAGGTGATGTATATGTACTTCCAAAGTTTGTCACTGGACTACTAGATCTTGATAAAGTTTGATTAGTAATTTCTTATATTTCCGGTCGTAAAGTAGTTTGTGGGGGGACTAAAATTGCATACAAAATAGAAAAGAAATTTGAGACACAAATTGATCTCCAAATTGACCCCAAATTCCGAACCATTGAATTGAGGCACAAAGAAAGTGTTTAATGTTGAATGGGGCTCAGCATCTACTTTTTTCAGATTGTGTCGTCCCTCAAATCCTTTTCAGTGCTTGTTATCGGATATGCTAGGAATGGTAAAATCAACATTAACTTAAAAGCATTTAGCCTATTACGCATTGATACTTTTGCGTGCCTCAAAAGTTAACTAATTTTCAAATCAGTCTGGATATTTATTTATCCTATGTATTACTTTATTTGACATCATTAAGATCATGCAGATCTTTTTGATCTTGAGGACAGAAAATTTTAAACTTTACCTCCGCAAGCACTAAACAACATACTCTATGTTGTCTTCAATGCCAAATTAGACACTTTTATCTAATATGCTTAGTGTTTCCAAGCCTATTTTTGAATGTTTTTTTTCTCAAACGTCTTTTTTTGCAAGTTTGTGGTTAGTCTACTTCACCCCTCTCTTCTTTGTCTGCTTAATCCGTCGGTGTCTCCACTAAAACTAATGGGAGACCACAAGGTGTATAAATAATGATGGCATTTCTCTTTTGCAAACCAGTCTTGCAATCTATCTACACACAGCAAAGATTATCATATGACTTCAGTTGCAAACTCCACCGATCAAGAGAAGGGTCCTTTGGAAGACCATGTGGAAAAAATATCCACACACGAATCGCCTCTAGCTTCTATTTCTGAAGAACATAAACAATACCTTATAGCAAAGCACGGGACTTATGCCTTGGACCCATTGCCATCAATGAGTGATGATGACCCATTGAATTGGTCAGATGGGTTTAAATACTTGCAATTGGGAATGGTCGCATTCCATGGGTTTATGGGAACATTTATGGCATCAGGTATAGTACCTTCGTTTGGTAAGTACTCAGAGATCTTAAACAAACCAGTCCCCACAGTTTCATACTTGACATCAGCACAGATTGTGCTCATTGGTACGTTTCCCATGATTTGGGTACCTGTTATGCAAAGGTACGGCAAGCGGTTGTTGTTGATTATATCAGTGTTGGGAACCATGGCATTTTCCATTGGCGCTGTTTTCAGCACCGATTACGGAACCTTGATGGCAATGAGATGCTTACTGGCTGTATTTGTTTCGCCTGGTTTGGCTGTTGGTGGTGCCATTGTTAAGGAGACTACATTTAGTCACCAAAGAGGTTCGAGAAGTGGTATATGGGCCATCTCGGTCAACTTGGGAACCATGTTTGGCGCCTTGTTCATGGGGTTTGTTGCTGAATACCAACATCCCAAATACGTCCACGTTGTTTTCGCTAGTATTATGTTTGTGCAAGCAGTTTGCTACTTCTTACTCGGTAAAGAAACGTCTTACAACCCAAATGACTTGTCAAGGAATGAGACTAATAGATTCAAGCAGTTGAGATTTAAGGCCATATTCCCAGAAAATAAAATTACTGTTCTCAAGGTGCTTGAGCCATTGACGTTTCTTTTCAAACCAAGAGTATTTATCCCGGCTTTTGGTTACACCATTATGTTTATGCATGGTAACATTGCCATGAATGTTGAAATTCCTCAAGTCATGGTCCATAAATTTGGTATGGATCCACAAGCATTGGGTTTGCAGTTTATTTCATTCATTATTGGTACCTTGATTGGTGAAGTTGGAGGCTACTTGTCTGACAAGTTGGTGCAGTGGGGCCACAAAAATAATAAAGGACCCAGTTTTCGATTATGGGTAACTCATCCAGGATACATCACATGTATTCTTGGTTTAATTATCTTTGGTGTTCAAATACAAAATATTGATCACTACAATGTGACACCATTGATTGGTTGTGCCATTGCTTCTTTTGGATTGCAAGTTGGTACATCACCAATTATTGCTTACTGTATTGATCTGGATCATACTAAAGCGGTTCAAATTAGTTTGTTTGTGACATTCCTCAGACAATTGTTTGCCTTTATCGGGCCATTTTATTTCCCCAAAATGTTTGACAATTTAGGGTTTGCCAAAGCATATGGTATTATGGCAGCTCTCGTTGGAGGTTTGGGCTGGATTACTACGATCTGTTTACAGTTCTATGAACAGAGGCGTGGTAGATAGTGGGTGTGTAGTTGTTTATGTGTATTTATAAATTGTTTTATATTGTCGACAATCTGATGGTAGCGATTTTGTTTTGCAGCAGAGTATTCTAAGGCGCAGCTTATACAAAGTTGATTTCCTGTTCTTAGGGCCCCGCCGCAGCTTACTGGAACCCTATGACAGAAAAAACACACTCTATCAAAGTTCCCACAAGTGAATGATTATCTAACACGAAAGCAAATTATTTTTCACGTAGCAATTTGGAGCGCTGATCAAACAATGATAGTTTGCCATGTGAGCTAATGGCACTGGTGAAAAATTTTTTTCCTTTCTATTTCTCCCTATATCTTTCAATCTAGAATTTTATTTCTTTTCAATTGCTCTTGTAACTTATGCAGGATAAGTAAAAACAAAAATGAATAAAACAAGGCGTAGAGAAAACTATTATTCTAGGCACGTGCTGGAAGCCAGCACAGCAGCAGTGTACGCGTGTGATACAAGTGTTTGTGCACTTAGGCTATAATACAGTAGCATCACAGTGTAGAACTCTCTTTTAGCTGTAACCTATGGAACCTCAACAGAAGAAGAAACATTACTTTGTTCTCCTATAAAGGTAGTGTGTTATGACTAATAATTTTTGTTGTGATCTTTTCCTGTTTCTTTTGTGTAAAGTATATGAAATATAAAAAAGTCGTGTACTGGGGTATTATATGGGTTATGAATGAATTGTGTTGTCATTTATATTTTTTAGTATATATATATATATATATGAGTGTATATTGGTGGGGGGGGGGTGTGTATTGTGAACAAAAAAAATAAATAAAAAAAAAGAAAAAAAGAAAGAAAGAAAAGAAATTAAAAATTTCCAAAGAAGAAGAAGAAAAAAAAAGTTTTTGCAAGAAACCTTCCCGTTCTGTTGTTGCTCTTCTTCTTCAACGCCCAAGTTCATATTCAACACAGTACAATCAGTCTCATTTTCAAGTATATATTCAGTTATATTTTGAAAAAGGGAATTTATCTAGATTGTCACACATACACACAGGTCAACCTCCACTTACGAACTGTGTTTTTAATAATAATAGTTTGTTAGAACAGTTCAAAAGTCACACTTCCTCCCTGTGTGCACCCCTTTGAGTTCTGAATAAACAACTACAAACAACAACAACACAATATTTACAACAGTGGAAAAGGAAAAAAACGAGTCAATCGACCTCACCACAACTATATCCATTCCATTTTTGACATCACCCAAACGTTAAAACTTTATACACTGATAGAAATAAAGGGTATACTTTTGTCATTCAAGGATTCATGCAAATCTCAAATCACAGTAATTGATTTGTTTTATTTTTCCACACACACACAACTAAGGTGTATCCATTTAAGAACTTTTCATTAAGATTCTTAAGCTCAAGATGAACGCAATGTACACAGTTCCATATCCCTGTGTCCCACAATCAAACTATTACACGTACCCACCTCAATATTATTCACAAGAGACTGCTCAATATGAGCTCTCTCAGTATTATCATAACCAGATGATGATGCATCTACCACCACCTCCACCTCCATTAGCTGCAGCAGTACCACCACAGCCACAAGTCAGCCACTATCAACCAACAAACTACCAGCTATCCAACTATCAACAAACGAATTATAAACCAATACCGACAGCACCAGAAGTAAATGGTGGTATCAACACTGTAATGGAGTATGATATCCCCCAAATGTCTGCTTTCTTAGGATGGTGCACATTTGGAATGTTGAAACAGAATAAGAGTCCATCAAAAGACTTTGAATGTTTGGTTTCGTCGGTATTGAGCGCAACAAGATTGCCAAAATCGACCATAATGATATCGTTGGAGTATTTGAATCAAAGATTTTCTCCAAAGGAGTTGCCAGCATTACCTGAAAATGTTATATTCAATTATTTGATTGTTGGTTTAATATTGGCAAACAAATTTAACGATGACAACACGTTTACCAATAAGTCCTGGAGTGGAGCAACAGGATTGCAAATTGAGTTACTAAACAAGGAGGAAAGGTCGTGGTTGGAAGAGGTGAAATGGTCATTATCCGTTGTCAATTATCAATATAATTTGGTCACGTTACAAGAATGTTGGGAAACATGGGTTCAAAGAAGCTGTATTTTTTAGTCAAAGTATTTGAAATTTAATTATAAGTAGTGCAATTTGCGCTAGTTTGCTTTTAGGTTAGACTCTTGCACTTTCATGGATTCAAGTTTACTCTACAATACGACCATTGGATCTGCCAGAAGGGTCCTTAGATAGACTGCATTGAAATCAGTCGGCCAGCAGCTAACAGACTCTAACGTTGGTCAGCTTAAGCTTCAGCCTTTGTAGAAGGGCGTAGTATTCAAACTACGAAGCAGTATTGACACTTTATGCATTCTGCGACATATCAAACAACTTCTTTTTAAAAAAGAAAAGGGACAATGAACTAGCCACACATATATATATGAGGTAGAGTTATAATAATAATACTAAAAGCAACTAATAATAACCTGAGCCTTACAAAAAAGAAACTTAACAAGGGTACAAAGGGAGAGTCCTTTATCACACCACCCACACTACTCTCCAGTCCATCTCAAATAACCAGTCCATTCTCCGAAAGTCTTTTTTTTTTTTACACCACCTACCACACTCATTTTTCTTTCTATCTATTATCTATCTATCTCATTGCGCATCTAAAATTTAGCAATAAGCCTTTTGCTAATTCACCCACAACTGATTACAAACACTTTTTATATGACACACAAGTATGGGTTCAAAGGACTATTCAGAAGATGAAATGCAACCACTCATATGGAATCGAGATGGCATTCAGAATAACAAACATTCGCCCATTAGTCACCCCAATTTACCCAATCACTTGCGCCATGCTCAGTACTCAACTCCGGCACTAGCTTCGGCTGCTGCATCATCCAATAGGTTTAGAGAGAGACTGATGTCTCCCAATTTCCCATCTCGTTCAAAATCAGGAAATTCCCTTAATCATTTAGCTCACTCTGACTACACCGAGTTTGAAGAGTTTGCATCACCACGAAGGCGTCTGTCTTTCTCTGCTAATGAGTATATGAAGATGATGCCAGAGAGACCGCTTTTCCATAGATTGTTATCGAGTCATCATTCAGTAACCAATCCGAATTCGGCTGCTGATGGACACATCCCAGCCAATATGAACAACACACAGGCATCACAGCCCCTCTTTTACCACCTACACGATGAGAGCACCTCATCCTTACATGAAAGCTTTATCAATGAACAAAGGGGAAGGAGTATTGTTGGAATTGTTGGTAGTTTACGACCACTGAGATTAATTGGTGACGCAAAGCCATTATGTAATTGGTATGCGCAATACAATGATGATGCGGCAAAGATCAAGAACAAAAGGGTTAGAACTTACTATGAAGAGCAGAATTACCTAATTAGTAAGTTTCAGGAGATTGATAATTTTCTCGATGCTGGGAGAATTCACTACAACATGTTGAGCAATTATGGCAGCGGTGAGTCGGTTCGTGGCGTGTTGTTGGACAATATTGAAGAAGCTGAAGAACCAGCAAGTCCTAGCAGTGCAGTAAACAATGGGAATCCAAGCGATAAGGAGCCATCCATGAATGGGAAGAAGAGTTATGATTCTTTGCAAAACCCCGATTTGGAACGTGGTGAAGGTTCAGTGTCCAAATTTTCTAGGTTTTATGACGTCCCGGGAAATGTTGTTGACGATGGGTCTAAATTCCTCGGTTATAACGAAGAGGAAAATAGCTCGCAAGTGTTGACTGCCATCTTGGTCAACTTCCTTATAAACATTTTGTTATTGGTGGGGAAAATTGCCGTTACTTTACTTACAAATTCCCTTTCGGTGGTGGCATCTCTCGTTGATTCGATTTTGGATTTCTTGTCCACATTTATTATTTACATTGTCAATCGACTAGCAGCTCAGAATAATTGGAAGGTTCGTCATTCGTACCCTGTCGGCAGGTCAAGATTGGAACCTTTGGGAGTGCTCATATTTTCAATCATTATTATAATCTCGTTTTTCCAAGTGGGGCAAGAATCGTTCAAAAGGTTGTTTTTCAGTACGCCTGAACAAAGAGTTCCGGCAACAATTGGATTTGATGCATTTTTAATCATGGTTATTACGATTGTCGCTAAGCTAGGTTGTTGGTTATGGTGTTCCAAAAGCCGATCTTCTTCAGTCCAAGCTCTTGCGCAAGATGCAATGACCGATATCGTGTTCAATACCGTGTCATTATTGATGCCTTGGCTTGGCCACATTTTCAGCATTTGGTGGTTTGATCCATTGGGCGCATTCCTTTTATCAGTTTACATTATTTTCAATTGGGGCAAAACTGCTTTTGAACATATAAATAATCTCACGGGTGCTGTGGCCGACCCTTTGGAGTACAAGGTTGTCTTGTACCTTTGTTGCCGATTCGCCGAGCCTATTAGACGCATTACGGCATTGAAAATTTACCATGTTGGTGACAACTTGAATGTTGAGGTTGATGTCGTTTTTGCTAATGACAAGTTTGACCTAAGCTTTAAGGATTGTCATGATATTGCCGAAGCATTACAGTATAGTATTGAAAGTTTGCCCATGGTGGAAAGAGCATTTGTGCATATAGATTATATGGAGGGTAATTATAAAGGGCATCTTAAATAGAATATACATATTTTTTTTTCAAGCATTCAACACCTCATCAATGCAATGTTTCAAGCCTACATTGTACTTGGCAAGTATAACTGGATCAGAAGTTGACAAAAATCCGTCAATCTTTTTAGTCAAATTGACAATAGGCTGTAGTTGTCGCGAAATCCCCCTCTTGGTCTTGATATCTTTAAACTCTTCCATATGGGTTAGATTATTGGTGATTGCAACATGCAAGATTCTAGATAGGAGCACACCGCTAAAGTAGAAGCAAAAATGAATTTGGTCCGACAAATAGGCGAAATATGATTCACTGGTGATTTGCCTAACGTGGTTGAGTATATCTCTTGCATGCTGATACATCATGAGTAGGTTTTGTGACAGACACTGTTTTAAGATCAGATCCAATACATCCTGTTGTAGAAATATATCCAAGCCACCACCATCTCCTAACTTTTGGAAGCTATAAGCAACATAGATCAATAGGGAGCAAAAATGATAGTTAAATTCAGCAAATTGCAATGCCGGTTGTTGGATCAAATACTCCCAGTTTTGAAACCATGTTTGCACTTCCCTGACAACTTCATTGAAATGGAAATCGTACAAGCTTTGAGGGGCATTGACCTCGTCATTCTGCTGGAGGTACTTGTAAGTTACATGGAGAATATTGATTTCTGCCACCATACGCCCATCAAAGTTTGTCGCATTAAACAATGTCAATGCCGATGTGCAATAACGCACTCTAGCCTCATCCAAAATGCATATCCTCCCTGAGAAGATGCAATTAATGAGATGTACTAAGCACAAGTGATTGTATATGCGTAGCAATGCTAACGTCTCATACCCATCATCAGTAATGTTTTGCTTTGTTTTGAATAATTGGAAAGTCGACTTGGTGAGAAATGTGGTGATTCCAATGCTAGACAATTGCCAAGGGTCCAAATTAAACCCCACCAATTCGGGGTCTCCATGATCTATACCGGCAACCACTGACGAAATCGACATAGCGTATAAGCTCAATACAACTAGACTTTGGAAAAACTCCACCAAGGCAAAATCATTATTGGTAAAGGATGTGAACCTGATGAAATTATGATTGAGTTCTTTAATAAGAACTTTGACCAATTGGACAATTCGCTGCCGATTCTCCTGGCTTGTGTCTGCAGAGTACCGGTAGCTTATACAACAGCAGGTGGTTAAAAGTAGTGGCGATTTAAGTTGAAGGTCTTTGACTAAATTCTCAGTTGATAAAGTATTGGGGAATGATACCCAACGGCCATAGTTTCGTCTGAAATTGCCAACAACGTCAACTACTTCTTTTTCACTCATGATTCCCAACTCAATTATATTTCTTGGTCTATCGAGTACCGCATCGTTGTTTGATTGATACAAGTTTTGAATAGGAGCTGGACAATTTGCCTGCATCATTCGATTCCTGATCATGGCAAATGGCGATGTCACTAAACTTTGTGAAGCTCTTTGAAATTCGGGAGTAGTTTGTTCCAAAATTTCTACATTCAACATTGAATTCGAGTTGATCAGATGATGGTTTTGCATTGAACTGGCGGTCTCCAACAACAACCGAGCATCACTATTTATTAGATGTTCCCCACCACTAGCTTCAGTCCCAACCCGACCATTTTTCACTATATTCAACAATTCATTAACTCTATCCAAGATCAAGCCAACTTTTGGATCATTTTGAATATTTCCATCATTATTCAGTGGTAGTGCTGCTGCAGGTGCTCCCCCCGCTTCTTCCAATTGGAACGAACAAGTCTTACTAAGAAAACGACAGCGCAAACAGGAAGTAGGACATTCAGGTGATCTAAAACAACGCGTTTTTTGTTTGCGGCATAATTGACACGCTTGTAGAGTTCTAGATGCTTGGGCTAATTTCCTATTCTCGTGGGCTGAATCTGTCACTTTTCGCTTCTTTTTCTGTTGACGATTCAGATCAACTGCTGTTTCTGATTGGGTAGGCACAGCAGAGCCTATCCCCACACTAGGTGGAACAACGTCATTCATCGTGGAACTGTATATATACCAGCGGGAATGAATCTTTTAACTTTTGGAAAATAGAAAAACAATCTTGAAAGTTATAATGGATTGTTCCGTTGGAAGAAAATAACTTTGTTCCGTTGGAAGAATGCTTTTCGCGGGCCAAATTAAATGTGAATTTTTTAACATCATAAACACGACCATTTGAATCATGCGGCCATTCCGTAACAAGCCTTTATTATGCTTTGAGTCTTCTGGTGCTTCATAATGGGGCTCAAATTTTGTTGATAAATGGATAGTGATGTTTATGTATTCTGGGATAGGACCAATGGCTGATGGCACATTGGAGAATCATCTCTTCACTTTGCAACTCTGTCATGAATAAGTTCCGTTGAGACCGAACGGGATGTAGAGGCGGCTTTTTTCCAGAAATAATGGTGTTACTTTTTGCTTTACCCAACTTTTGCTGTCTAGTTGAAAATTTAGACCTAGACCTAGACCATCACCAAATGCCAAGTGGTAGAAGAAGGGAATTAAAGTTTCTCAGGTAATTACCATTGATATCAGTCCTAGCTGGCATGATTAAATTAGATTGAATTGGCTTTATTGTGGTTGTGGAACAGTTGATTGATGTGGTAATAGAGTCTCATCCGTTGAAGAAAGCTTGGTCTGCTGGTAGATTGCTCATAAAAGCTTTTACTCTAGAGTGAAAGAAACTTGTAATCATCCCCGGACTTTCATCGGAGTCAGAATTTAATTATATTACCTAATTAAACTTTTCATTTATGCAGAGAAAGAAAAAAAACGGAAGATGTCTAAAAGATGATACCAATTGAAAAATTTCAAAAAAAAAACATCATAAAAAGGGCAACACCCACATTCACTTCTTTTTACTCAATCACCTATAAACCACATACAAAACTACAAAACAAACTTTTATCATGGTTTCCGAATACGACAAATATGCAACTCCATTATCTTCGAGATACGCATCGGAGGAGATGTCCGCCATCTTTTCCCTTAGAAATAGGTTTTCCACGTGGCGTAAATTATGGTTGAATTTGGCCAAAGCTGAACAAGAAGTTGGATTGGACATGATCACCGATGAGGCAATTGAGCAAATGTCGAAACACTTGACCATTACCGATAAGGAGATTCAAGATGCTGCCGTTGAAGAGAGTAAAGTGCGTCATGATGTTATGGCCCACGTTCACGTCTTTGGTGAAACTTGTCCTGCTGCCGCCGGTATTATCCATTTAGGAGCTACTTCATGTTTTGTTACTGATAATGCCGACTTGATCTTTTTAAGGGATGCATATGACATTTTGATTCCTAAATTGGTTAACGTTATTGACAGATTGAGCAAATTTGCTTTGGAGTATAAGGATTTGCCAGTTTTGGGATGGACACATTTCCAACCAGCTCAATTAACCACCGTTGGTAAAAGAGCCACTTTGTGGTTGCAAGAGTTATTATGGGACTTGAGAAACTTTGTTAGAGCCAGAAATGATATTGGGTTGAGAGGTGTCAAAGGTACCACCGGTACCCAAGCCTCATTCTTGTCATTGTTTCACGGTAACCATGATAAAGTCGAAGAGTTGGACAAACGTGTTGTTGAATTATTAGGATTTGACACTGTTTATCCAGTTACGGGACAAACTTATTCACGTAAGATTGACATTGATGTGTTGGGACCATTGGCTAGCTTTGGTGCTACTGCACACAAATTTGCCACTGACATTAGGTTGTTGGCCAATTTGAAAGAAATTGAAGAACCATTTGAAAAGTCACAAATCGGGTCTAGTGCCATGGCATACAAGCGTAATCCAATGAGATGTGAACGTGTTTGTTCGTTGGCTAGACATTTGGGAGGTTTGTTTAATGATGCAGTTCAGACTGCTTCAGTACAATGGTTTGAAAGGACTTTGGATGATTCAGCAATTAGAAGAATCAGTTTACCTTCTGCATTTTTAACTGTTGATATTTTGTTATCAACAATGTTGAACATTACATCAGGTTTGGTTGTTTACCCTAAAGTAATTGAACGTAGAATCAATTCCGAATTACCATTTATGGCTACTGAGAATATTATTATGGCCATGGTTGAGAAAGGTGGCTCAAGACAAGATTGTCATGAGGAGATTAGAGTCTTGTCTCATCAAGCTTCAGCTGTCGTTAAACAAGAAGGTGGCGACAATGATTTAATCGAGCGTGTTAGAAACACCGAATATTTCAAGCCTATTTGGAACGAATTGGATGAGTTATTGAATCCAAGCACTTTTGTTGGTAGAGCTCCACAACAAACTGAAAAATTCGTCCAGGAGGATGTTGCCAGGGCTTTACAGCCATTTGAAAAGTACATTACTGAAGAACAGGTTGCATTAAAGGTTTAAAGTGCATGTGGGGGAGCGAAGTGGTAACGCAAAGGATGTTTGTTATTTTGTGTATATTTAACTAAATGAAACTTTTTGATGACTATTTTAGCCTTTTAGATCCTTTAGATCACATTTTGGATCTGAAAACGAGGCTGAAGCTTCTCGTAGAAGTTAGTGCCAAGAGATAGCAAACGTTTAGTTCTGAATACACAGAGAGAATGTGCCCCCCCCTGAGGGTGGATACTTTGTGGATGGATGCACAGAAGAGGCCAGAATCTAGACTCGAACGTATTCAATTCAAGCTTCTTGGAAGGATGTAAAGTATGAAAAAATCGACTCCACACACCATACTCTCTCCCCTCCCCATCTAAGCTCATAATTCTTGCCACAAATTCAGACATAGATAATGGGCTTTTAAATACCACAAAGTCCATGGGATAGACTTTGCTTAATAACCCAACAAATCACACTGATACACAAAATACCAAAGAGACACGTTTGTCCAATGAGCTCCTAACCCAGGTCAAAAGTGTAAAGAAAAATCAAAAAAAAAGACAATAAGGGTCTATGGTCCATGTTTTGTGTTTGCCTCTATTGTTTCTCATCTTTATGTGATATTTTATTTTTATTTTTTTTTTTGGTCCTTTGTTAGGTCGGATTGGCGCCAACTTCTTTTTTTGGTAAGTCATTGTTCCCACTACATGACTATTGGATGATATGCGGTAATACGTGTTCTAGAATCTTTCATCGTTGTAAAGTCCATACGTTTGATTGAACTTTACGGAAAGTAATGGGAGCTATCTGGCATTCTAATGCGTTACAAGACCTACTCACTTTCTGTTCGCTATTTTTTGCGACGATTTGCCTGATTTTTTGTGGCTTATGTCGGGTAAATACTTTGCCTATCAAATGAGTGCGAGGAGAGTAGGGTGCAAGACAAGGAAATGATAATTTGTATATGGTGAAAAATCATTCACAAATTGGGCGATAGATTGATCCATTTGCGGAATGTGTCGGGGTTTTTGGGATTTGGCTTGATATCTACTTTTCGAGGTGTATGATGCGCAAACTCTTAAAAGAGGTAGTGCTATTGTTTATTACCAAGACTTGTGTTTTATTTTTGGTCTAATTGGAGAAGAAAGTTACTCTTGTTATTGTGATTTTTGTTAAAAGGTCTAGACAAGCTCGTAAATTAAAATTTAAAAACAGAATTTAATGCACACAATTTATACAAATACACACACAAATGTTTTCAGTACCCAGTACTTTATAAAAACTTTGATCAGAGTCTCAGTACCCGTAGGTAACACAAATTGAGAAATAAATGATGTTAACCCAACTTCTAATTTCCTAAACTTTCTCATTCTCACTCTCATTCTATTGGTACAAAAATCAAGAACTGAAATGGTAAAAAATCACACACGGAAACAACGAAATAAACCTGATATCACCTTGTAAAAGTTACAGTCTTGGCTGGAATTGGAAGTGTTGATTTCTGAGCAACGGCAACTCTTGGAACTCGAAGCTCTTCTTTGTAGATATTGTGTTGATTGGTGGCAACGTCTGCAAGCCGTGCTGCCACTGCAGTTGTTGTTGTTGTTGTTGTTGTTGCTGTTGCTGTTGCTGTTGCTGTTGCTGTTGCTGTTGCTGTTGCAATTGTTGTAAATGTAATGGTGAAGTGCCTAGGTCCTCTCTACTCATTGATGACCTAGGTGTTTGCGATAATGTAACCAATGGGGGCAATTGGACGTAATCATTGACAGCTCCACCTATCAGCGATGCCATCATCAGTACCAATGGTTGCTGCTGTTGTGGCGGTTGTGGTTGTTGCTGCAAGTGATGCGAAATATCAAAGGAAGCTCCACGTGTACCCGGCACTGGTCCGAATGATGGTGCATAGACTGGTCTCTGCTGTGGAGACATGCCTTTGAAGAATACAGCAGATGATGGTGGCTTCGTGCTTGGTTGGTGCCAAGGCTGTTGTTGTTGGCTTCTCATGCTCGCAAATCCATCATCAAAAGAAAGCGACCTAACAGTGAATGTCGGTTGGAGATGTTGTTGTGGTTGCTGTTGTTGGTATGGCGCCGATATTGGATACTGCAGTGACTGCAATTTGCCAAACACTTGTTGTTGCTGTGGCATAACTGGTTCTTGAGCAGGTTGCATATCCAACGGAGATTCAAATTGAGGTGGTGGAAGTGTTTGAAATGGTGGTGTAGTAGTAGCAGTAGTAGTAGTATCAACACCATTTGTATCTTGCGGCATAGCAACACGATCCACTAGCTGGTTTTTCACCTCAACTTTATCTTCATCATCAAGGTTGTCCAAACTCTCAACCAAACTTTTCTTAAACCGCTTCAAAGCTTCCTCAACGGGAAATGTACAATAGATATTCCTATCATACCCAGCGAAACGCTTGACACTAACATCATCAACATCGACATTATCCCATTTCTTGTCCTTATCATTGAGACATTCTTCTAAATCGTTAAATTCGACTTGCACAACACCGTTGAATAAATCCCGCTCAAAAGATCGACAATCAGTGTATAATGCATAATTGGCTTGGTTTGATGGCATAAAGTAAATCTTCATATTGCTCTTGTACCTAGGTCGAGCAATAATCTTTTTGAAAAACAAGTTGTTGGGTACTTCACCTTCACCACCAAGCGAATGCAACATTTCATCGGAATTTTCCTCATCATCAATCAAGGTGAAATCACCTGGTTTGGCTGTCTCCAACTTTAGAATGGATGATCCATGTACGTCATCAGTCGTTGATCTAGTAATACGAACCAAGGTAAAGCTCTTAGTGCTAAAAAGAGTATTGACTGCTGTATCCAATGAATTGAATGTAGGCACTGATTGACTCACTTCACTGGTGAATGATTTTATTATCTTGTTGGAATAATCATTCAAGTCAACAACGTTATTATCAATCAACTGCAACCCCTTTGACTCAAGATACTTGTTGATGTTGTTTTGTTGTTTTTCGTCATCGCTTCCATTACAATTAGCTACGATGTCACCATATTCCTTTGTAGTCATATCATCATCAAATAAACAATAAATTTTGCGATCATCAGTGAACGGAATTAAGCAATGATACAAATTGAACAAATTATCACACTTGGTCAATTTAATCTTGATACCGGCTTTTAGTGATTTGATGTGTAACTTCAGTTGACGCGTATCACTGATTTTCTTTTTCGTGGCGTATTTGCGTCGTATGGCGAACTTGACAAATCGTTTGGTTGCAAGAATGTGCTTGTTTATTTTAGAGTGGGGGACCTTGTCACGTAATTGGAATAGCGGTTTATGTGAAGTAAATGACGAGTTGTTGGAAGTAGCATTAGGTGCAATGGTGGGTGCATTGGTGTTGGAATAATTTCGTTTACAAGAACCTAGCAAGGCAGTGTCTGTACTGGTCAACTTTGAATGAGCCAAAGGGTCTTGTGGAGATACCGAGGACAAAGAAGTATTGGTAGTACTTGCTAATTCCGGTTTGATTAAAAATTGGTTGTTGTGTTTGACCTTGTCTAAATCGATAGGAGATGAGTTCAACGATGTATTGTAAGAACTAGCTGGAGCTTCTGATTTGACACTTGATATTGGATCGACATCACTAGCAGCAGAAGTATCAATGTTGTGGGCAAATGAATTTCTTCTCCATGAGTATCTAGGCGGTGGAGTAATTATAGATCTAGGAGATCTGTGATCTTGTCCTTGGTGTAAGCCAGAATTGCGATTATGTGTGACGGGGTTTTGGTTGATATGTTGATGACTAGCTGGAACTTTCTCCAGTGCCTGTGCTTGTTGTTGTCTCTGCTTTTGTTGTTGTTGTTGTTGTTGTTGTTGTTGTTGTTGTTGTTGTTGTTGTTGTTGTTGTTGTTGTTGTTGTTGTCTGGTGAGTATTTCATCAGCATTCAATAGATCCAATAAACCTGCCATTTCTGAAAAACCTTAGTGCAAGAAACCAAACAGGCAGGGGAAGAATAAAAGATGTAAGTGGTGATACTATATGGACCAGGTCTAAGCTTTACCAAGGAGAGATAATTCCCGTCCCAATAGTAAATTAGTTGCAATAGTTAAACCACCTAAATCAAGTGCCTTGGCGAATACACCAGTTTCTCTTTAGGGGAAGTTTGATAAACTGAGAAAGACGTTTGTAGTTTCAGATCTGTAGAGATCTGTTGTTCAGCTAGGCCTAGAAGTGCGAAGCCAAAAAAGGGGAAGAAATGGAGGGTATGAAATCTAGGGAATCAACAAGAAAAACTGCGAAAATAGAAACTCAAGCACTATTGTAGATCCCACTTTGTAAGTAAGGTGTGTTGTATATGAAATGTAGTTTGTTTAATGACTAGGTATGAGTGAGTGTGTTCCTGAAAGAAAACATTCAATAAACTTGTAAACAAAAAGGTACCAGAATCGTTGGTATTTATATAAACATAGAAAAATAGACAGGGCTAGTTTTGTGCTCGTTCTATAGCTATTTGGGGGAGGAAGAGGGGATTATTATTATTATTTTGTCTTCGTTGTCTCTTACTGGGCTTTTTCTTCGACTTCTATTGTGTATAGTAGTAGTAGTAGTTGTGTATATAGTTAACGTCTCTTGTAAAGAGATAAATAATATATTTATGCATAGTGTTAATATCCCTATGTTTCCATATTTGTCTTGGAGCATTGTCCATTTTTAACTTTTAGCTTTTTTGGCTATTGTGTATAATGCACAATGAATTAAAACTTAATTGACACAAAACAGAGCCAGAAAAGAAAAGCAAAAATTATTATAATTGGCAAAAAAATCTGCTTGTTAAAGGTTTGTAATAATATGTCAGTGAAACTATCAGAGTCCTACATATTTGAGAGATGATTTTGTTGGAATATGATGAACAAAAAAACACTCGAAGACGAGTGGACAAAGAAAGAAGGAAGGAAGAGAACATGTACGGAATCATTTGGAATATTTTTTCTCCTATAGTTATTTTGTTCCAACAAAAGCGTGACTTGGCCTACAATCTAAAGTTATATTTGCTGTTAATGCCACTTGTTCTGGAAGACCTGCCCTTCTACCCGCCAAACCAAAAAAAAGCAATTCCAAATTCGCATAGAGCGGACGTAAATAGCATTGTATTTCAAACGTATCATCCAAGACATCAGTCCGTATAGTTAATATTTGCTCCGCTACGCTACTTTCTTTATTATTTTCTTTTTCTAAATTTTGTGGGTCCCTAATCAAGAGCTGTGCATATTTTAGTAAATTGGGATTGGCCTAGACTTTAAAATTAAGAGACAACAGTAGACGGGATGAGAACAAAGCGATGTACAGAGCGAAACCAAACTTCAGTGATAATACAGCGCATAGACTGCAGCAGCAGCAAAAGTCTGAAAGAACAGTCTAGGCACTTCAGAGCTGCCATTTGCAGGTGTAATATTTCCAAAAGCAAAAAAGCTACTTCAAATACAATGCTTCATAACTGTTTATCTACAAGCAGAACTGTTGTTGCCCTTTTTTGTGGGACATGTATCCGATAGATCGAGGAAAAGCAAGCAAAACAGAAAAAAAGAAAAGGGAGCCTTCCAAAACAGTGTACTTTTTGTATTGACGTGTCTTCCATTGAATTCTACATCACTTTGTTACGATCTAGTCAAGGATCAGATGATAATAGCTAAATGTGCAACAAAAGAAAAAAAAAATTACTCCAACTAAAAAGAGGAATAAAAAATTTTAAAAAAATCAAACAAAAGGCAAGGGATCTTTTACTTGTGGAAAGTGATAAATACGTTTATTCCTTTTTTCTACCATTACGAATAGTCAAGAGTGTACACAAAAATATTTAGATGTTGTTATAATAATAATAATAATAATAGTAAAAATCACTCAATTGCTTTTATCCCAACTCTCCGTACTGGTTCTGATTGTGTCTCACTTTTTTATCTATTTTTGCATTTTTCCTTGTCTTTGTTTTTGGGGCTACACATTTCATGTGCTACGTTAATATACAAAATCGTAATTACAATGCAAGTCAGAAAATATTATTTATGAGAGAACGAGATATAGTGAATTATTATTTAAAGTTTTTTTATTCAAAAGGGTTTAAGAGCGCGAAAAAAAAGTCAAAAAATCTTATTTTACGAAACTACTTTTTATTTAACACCATCCTTATAAAACGGGCAGTACAACAGTATTGCATTGAAAACTGGTGGTTTCTTTATCCCAAAATCTTTTCAGAATTGGTTTTCTTGCTTCTTGGAAGCACCAAACCATAAACGGAATTTAGGTGTTCATATATTTTTTCTTCCATTCTTCCATTTCATTCTAGGTTTGGCTTTGCATATGCGCAAAAGGTTAAATGTTTTGCAAAAAAAAATAAAAAAAGAAAAAAATAAAAAAAATTAAACATAAAACATAACAAGAAGATGTTGGCTTAAATTTAAAACCTTAGGACTAAATTCTCCCTGGTTTTAGTCTTACCATAACTATGAAGTAGAAATTAGATCCAATTTTAAGCACTTCCATTTTAATGCATAATACTGCTAAAAGAAGACTACCCAACAAGCCAAGATAATATTATACAACACAAGAATCGTAATAAAGACTAGACTATCAAAAACAATTACAGCCAAATATAATGATACAACCGTATTGCTGCTGGCGAGGCTTCTGTGTAGCATCGAGTAAGCTACGCCAACTATTATCTAGTTAACAATAGACAAAAATGCCCGTGCCCACGACTACTGCATTGTTTTTAAAAAAAGCATTGTGGCACAGGGTTGGAAATTCCCTCTGAGAGGCCATGCTTTTTACACATTGAATAAAGGGCAACAAACAAAACCTTAGCCTATTTCTATGTTGTTGTTCTATTTTTGCTTCTTTTTTAGTTGAGTAGCATTACTGCATCAACGCAAAGTTACACAATAGTGCACTTTTTTTTGTTATTGCGCTCTCATGGTTAAGCCGTTTTGTGTGCTGAAACCAAAAAGATATTTTTGAAGTGCTGGACACGACCATCTAGAGACAATTACAATAGCTTATTCTTCTATTATTTATTTTATCACACACTGAGGCTGGTGCGAAAAGTAGAACAATAGACAAGAATAATTATGCATTGATCTCGCATTTAACCGCCAAGGATAATACGGGATCGGTAACTTTGGAACAGACATAGATGCAACATACCTCCGAAGGGAGACAAAAGAAACGAAAAAGCTAAAAAGGAAGGACAAATGCTAGTGTTGTGAAAGAACGTTCTACTATAGAAGCCTAGTGAACTTTCCCTTTACAATTAGCTTGTCATTTTTCTTCTTTCCTTGAAATGAGTCAATCAGATTTTCCTTATTTTACGAAACATCATCCCGTCGAGGAATTTCATCTACACGAGAAACTATGAATCTAACCATAGCGGATTGAAAATAACAATGGAAATGAAAAGTGGTTTTACATCAAAACCATATGACACAAGGGATTGTAAAAGACAATAAAACCAATTTGCAAATGTTGGGTAATACTTTACTTTATCTCCACCATCTTTTCTTGCATAACCTCAATGCAGAATATTATTGTCGATTATGTAGAGTCCGACAGCTTGGATTTTGCTCAAGAGGTTAAAGTCTGTGTTTTTTGCTATTTGGGTTTAATAGGAGGGAGAGAAATAAACCTATGAGATGTTAAGCAATTCCAGTATAACTGCAACTTTGGAGGATGGACTGTGGAGCTTAGAAATGAAAGTGTGGTAGAGAGTTGGTCAAAGAAAAGGATATGTGTATACGATTTCCCTACACGTTTGCACACATTCACTTCCGCTTTTCCAAGGTTTAGTCCTATTGTTATTAATTTAATCAGTTTTGCAGAAATCTGATTCATATTCTTTATCAAAGATATGAAAGCATTTTGAATTAAACTCATACCAAATTGTGTTAAAAACGGCTACAACAAACGAAATAATAAGCTTATCTTCCTAACTAGTACTGCCCCCTATTATTTAGCGTCCGCCTGCGAATTTCACTCAAAGTAAACGCTTTAAGCTATCGCACTTTAAAGTTGTGTAAACTTTTTGAATTTAGACCTCGGTTAGTCTTTACCCGAGTTAATGTTTCTAAAATAGTGATGTGATCGACCAGTAAAAATCTAAAGAAAAAGAAACTCTGTGTAGCAAGTTGAAGCGATCCCAGGAGGGAGGAATAAGAATAAGTTGAAGGAATTTTGAAATTCCAACAAAGTCGGATATCGTGGTTAAGTCCGACTCATCGATAAGGTGAAGATCTGCTGAGGCGAAAATGCAAATAGCCTTCTAATAATGACAGCGATTGTTTTAAACAATAGTTCATGCAGCAGTCTTTTGAAGAAAATGTTATCCGACAAGCCATGCGCCTCTGTTTAGAACAGGAATGCCATTGTTGGAACTTAACAGCTTTGTGCGTCGCAAGTAAGTAACCTTCGAGCATCGCTACACGCACCGTATGTATGCTTGGTTAGTCTTTTTTTAGCCACAATTAGGAATTTCTCTTTTTTTCTGTGCGGCAATTTAGTGAATATGCGCATTGTGCTCATTTGTGCAACGACTCATTCGCCTCGGTTGCTTTTTGTTTTGCAAAACCATTCCGAATTGACGTGAAATTACCCCTCATTTATTTTGCAGCGTTAAAGAAGTAATATGCTAAAAAGCAAAATTCCTTGGAAGTTGTTTATCCTTGCACTCGTAAGTGAAAAACAACAGCAATAGCAAGCAAGATTCACTTACACCCATGAATGAGATTCCGGAATTGTGGTTTAGCGCCAGATCCGGAATAAAAAGAAAATTATAATCTTCTTTTGTATTCCGTTTTGCTGTTAATTGAATGGTGAAATTGCGGGAGAGAAGGGTACAGCAGATACGAGACAGCACTTATTTACCAAGCATTTAAAACGTGGAAAGAGCGAGTGATTGCGTCTCATATTGTTTCCATTTCAACTGATTGCTCTATAGCAACCAACCACGGGCTTCATGCAACGGAGAAATATGCAAGATGTGAAAGATGCGCATCAACTATTTCATAGCAAGGGAATGTATACACCCTTTGAGCTCTTTATAAATCCTTGTTTTCTGTCAAAAACAACCCTACGGGGCGAAAGTAACGTTTCTAAAGCCAACTACTGCGAAGAATTCCAAATGGACTAACTTTATATCATAAGTCTATAATTGACAGAAAGTTGGAAGGTTTATACGGAATTATATTTTGAACGGAAGTGTCGCCAACAAAATCATGTGAAAGAAAGATGACGTCGGTTGGTTGGTCTGTTGTCTCTGAAATTGGGTCTGAAAATTACTTTTTTACTGAGCAAGAATTAGCGATAGAACAATAAAAGGAAATTTGTTGCAAATAGTCCTACTGAGTGGCCCCAATTTCTCACAATTTGTATTTGCTAACCCCCTTATTCCTATGAAGAAGTAGAGCTTGTTCAAAGTTCCACCAGGGAAGCTTTGATACAAAAGAGGCCGATAAAATTGCAAATTGGTATTCCGCCTCATGAAAAAGTGGCTAGTGAAAATCAGCATCGCTACATTATCAAGATTTGGTATACCCCAGTTTCGTTGTAGAAGTACTCCTCCTCAAGACATTACACGTCTAACTATTCCTGCAACCGACTTGACATCACTACCCAAGAATAGCTACATGCTTGAACTCTTATCCCTCAAATTACCTTTGTTCTTTTCGACGTATCAAGAGTTAAAAAACTCTTATCACACGCAAAATGAAACTAAGAAAAACATTCGAGAAAACAAAACGAAATCCGTGAGGGTTACAATAGGCTTGCCCTGAAGGACCAAAATGTGAGACAAAAACTCAAATGGAAAGTGTAATAAGAAAATGTACACCTAATAACCCCCACTGCATAGTGGATTTTGCTTTTGCAATTGTTGCATTTAAGCCTTTTTGGGATGCTCTAGAATTCTTTTCAAGGGCGTGTAGTCAAAACTTAGCATTATCAAGGAGGTTGTTTCACAGAGGGGAAGAGGCGGGAAGAGGAAAGAAAATGAGAAAGTTGGGGTGCTTTAATATTTACTGTATTAAGCACTGGTCAAGAAAGAAGCGTACAACATGCAAAAGCGATTGCTACAGAATTATTTCCCAAAATGACAAATTGTTGCATTGCCATCTTTCCTGAAATTGGCCAACGAAGATCCCTTGGTGGAAGATTGAAGCTTACAGTGTAGGTTCACCCACATAGAATATCAACGTCCTATACATTAAGAGTCCTAAAATCCTACCAACCAAGCAGAAACACATAGGTGACAAAAACAGCAAAGCATTCCTTCTATTATAAACTCCATAATACCTGAACTCACCTATCACATTTTATCTCGAAATCACCAAACTTTTCAAAAGAATAGCACCCCTGCTTTACAAAACAGAAGTATACCTTAATTTTGCTGATCGATAACGGAATCGAAATCTTCCACCTCCTTCAACTTGTAATCTTGTGCCAAAGACACCTCAACTTTATGATCATTGGCATATTGCAATCTAGCCAATTTAGCTTGTGGACCCCATCCATTAACCGGCGCATTCAACTTAAATGGTAACAACCATGAAGTAATGGGGATAAAGTTATCAGTCAAGTTGATCAACTCATGAATCAAATCTTCGATACAAATAAGTCCCAAATCCTCAAATTTATCTTCAACTGCTTGATTATTGTCTAATTTGACCACTTTCGAATGTACCTCTCCACTCTCCTCATCTTTTTCATCAACCGTTATACGAGCTCTTTTCTGAAATAACTTACGTATGGATGAAATTGATGGTTGTCCAATTATGACATATGGAGCAATCAATCCTAATAATTTTATCGTTGATTCATTAGCTTTGACAAATACTCCAGTATTTGATTCAGTTAATTTCAAAACTTGCAAAATTTGAAACGCCTTCTTAGGGATCTTTAACCCTTTTGTATGATTAGGTATTCTAATGACAAATAATAACTTATATTCACCTTGGTCTTGAACTTTGTTCGCTTCACCATTGTTGCTTATTGAAGTTGGCAAATTGCTGTTGTTGATCTTTTTGGAAACTTTTCTGATCCTTTTACGTTCAATTTCATTCGACTTGTGATTACTTAGTAATGTCTCTGCCCTGATGAATTTATTCTTTTGTTGCTGTAACTTGGCCTTCTTTGAAGCGGCGATTTTTTCCTTAATCTGTTCTTGTTTTTCTAACCTTTTACGATCAGCGTTCTTACGTTTACGTAAAAGGACTTCTGGGTTTGAGTTTAGGATGGCCATGGTTGATAGATCTATGCTGTGAGTGTGAAATGGAGTAAATGATTAGTTGAGTTTAATTTTTTTTTTTTCTCCTTACTATTCGATGAGATGAGTTTTTCTTATTTTCGTGAGGCTCAAATTTTGAAGATCTTTATTTCAAACAATGTCGACTTACGAAGATAGAATGGGGTTGCACTGTAGATCAACGCAGAAAAGTAGGACGACCCATTGTGGTTTTCCATAAATCTTAAAGGGGTTTACAGTAGCTGCATATATGGCTATTCGAAAAAACGACTGCCGTGTGCTATGAAGCAGTTAACCATTTCATTTACCGGAACAGGACGAAGTGTAATTTCAAGAAGGGCCCAATAAAGTTCTTCAGAGAAACCTGGCATACCTCTCCTTATCAATTACATTTAGATTTCATTGCAAAATAAGTACACTGTTCATTGAGTTGTTTGAAGTTTGTACTCCTACTTCTTGAATCAAGTGTATTTTTCAAAGTCTACTGTTTAGTAAAATACACTTGTAACTTAATTTATCTCGCGAGTGGTTCATAGGAATCCTCTTGTAATAGAAATGTTGCCAATGTGATGAGTAACATCAAAGTCTCCAACACTAATATTGGTCCGTTATAAATCAATTACGTAATACAATGAATTGAAAAAAAATAAAATAAAAAACCAATTTGAAATTTTCTTTTTGTTTTTCTTTCTGATCTGCTAACTTTTAAATCAAGAGATATATTTATACAGAGAGATCAAATTTGTTCAACAAAATTATATATCCCTACTAGATCTCACCAGTTTCTTGTTAAAGATTTTCCTTTTTAAATAATATACATCTTTCTTTATCATAAAGACAACCCGACTAACAACCAAAAACTGGCTGCAACTCACAACTAGAGCAAAGATACCGCTTAACAACCACAAACTCCCATTAACAGCTTTGCTACCCCTTTCCACATACATACAAACCCTTGCACCCTTTGCATCCATTTTTTTTTTTTCAATTTTTCATTTCTTTAATTAATTCTTTTCAGATACCCGTTACATAGACCCCCTTTCCATTCTATTATAGGGTTAAATTTTCCTTTACATTGCATAATTTTTTTATATATAACATAGATACCCATTGCATTTTGGCAAAACTGATGATTTTATGAACCCTGAGCGCTATTCATCACATCAAAGGTCAACCCAGTTACCACTACAGCGGCAACAACAGCAACAACAGCAACAACAGCAGCATCATCATCATCTGTACCAGCATATACCACAACTGCAAGGACTATCTCATGACTTTTCAGTATCGGATGAGGAACAGCAAATACATCACCAACCACAACCTCAAAACCACCCATTTCAGCAAGCGACAACATTTTCAGCATCACAAGGCCAGCCTGAGTATACCCAAGAGCAAGTTGCTGAACAACAATATGCACAACCAATCAACACCGCGTATGCACAATCTCAAATAACACCTTCATCACAACAACAACAACACTATTACAATGTGCCTGCACATCCTGCATACCTCACACAAGAAAGCGTTAATTTGAGCTTACCCCAGTCACAACAACATCCTAATTATAGAGCTACTGGTCAGTTCAGTAACATTGCATATACCAAGCAACCTATGGATCACACTAATCACGCAGTTACAATGGGCCAGACTTATCCACAACAAAAACAATACCAACAGCAGGTGCAGCAAGGTGTGCAGCCACAACTGTCTATGCAACTGGTGCCGGGCGTCGAATTTCAATCACAATACGAACCTATTCCGAGTCTGTCATCGACAATTATGGCATCAGGCGAGTCGTATCAGCAGAGCCAATATAGTCAACCGACTACTACTTCATCTCCTTATGTGCTACAGCCACAAGGTAAAATACAACCACAGCATGATACAATAAAAGAGGAGATGCCCAAAGCCCCGCCTTCATCGCACGTTAGAAGACACAAAAGAAATAGTTCATCCATCTCCTCTGTTCTATATTCAGCCGCATATGAAGAAGATTTGAAAAATCTTGCACTTACAAAAGTCAATATACCGTTGCCTGAATTAGCCAGAAGGATTAAACAGCTGGAGTTCGACAACTCAAGCTTACCGCCAAGTTCACGGTCATCAACCTCACAAGACACTTCTTCAGTTCCACAAATAGCTGCTCATTCTGCTTCAGGTATCGAAAGGGCCCAAAACTCAAAAGAGACGCAACGACTGGTGTTTGGGATGGTATGGCTTCTAACGTCATGCGAGGTTTCACCAACAGCAGTCATACCCCGCAACCGAATATACGCTAGATATGTCCAGGTTTGCGCTGACAATAGTCTAGCTCCTTTATCGCCTGCTAGTTTTGGAAAATTGGTAAGGATCTTATTCCCGACAATAACAACAAGAAGGTTGGGAATGCGAGGACAGCTGAAGTATCATTACTGTGGAATTCGATTAAAGGGCGAGCAAAGTATGCAGCTGCAATTAATGCAACAACAACAGAAACAGAGGTCTCACCAGAGACAGCAATCATTTGCATCGGAATTTACCTCACAATCACAATGGCAACAACACTTGCAATCGCCTGCTCGCCTTGGCGCCAGTGCAGGTTCTGTTGCACAGTCGCCACACTCAACTCACTCGTCAGTGTCTTATGAAGAATCTCCACTATCGACATTTGGTGCTAATACTCCTTCATATAGCCCTATCAATTCTCCATCGATACTTATGTCAACTTCTAGTTCCGATCAGCTACCTCTGGTATCACATATGAAGTACATACCTGACTTATTCAAGCTTTTGGCGATGGAATCGGTAGCGGCCAAGTCTTACCCATACACTCCCATTGAACTTCCACCTATATATCCGCACTTGCCCAAGGACACTGATCGTGATATTGCTGATACATTGTATTCACTATACAAAGTTCACGTGACTACAGTGTTTGAATCACTCCGATTTATGCAACTCAAACGATTGTTTTCAAGCTTCAACAATTTCAATAGCATATTGTCGACCCCAGTTTCTAAGTTATATACATCAGACTCCACTTTGGAATGGGTGCGTCAATGTGATTTGATCATGTATAAGAAAATGATTCGAATGTTGAGCAAGTTGCATATGCAGTACATGATGCCTCAGGATAATATCAATCAGCTTAAGACCATTGCCTCGAATTATATTCGAACTTTGGGCAATTCCATTATCAATTCACGCAATTCGAAAAACTTTGTTGCATTGAAGTTGAAGATGGCTAAGCATTTTGTCAATTTACTTAATCGATTGATTAAAATCATTGAGACGGGATCCACTGCATCGAGGATAATGAATGATGATAATGAAAAACAAGCAATGTTGAATGATTGGCAAAAATTGAATTTGGCTGAATTGGTATCACGAGATGTTCCGTGTACTGATGAAACAAATTTGAATACATTGAGTTTTATCTTGACCGAGGAAGTTGTAAAAGTGGTTGAAGCGCCATCGGTCGAAGGCTCTTCTTCTTCCATGCAAACGTATGCCGACTATATTGGTGACTTGCCGTCACGCTTTCCAGGAGTCAACTCTCGAATGTTTTTACTACTATCTTCAAACTTGTTAACGTCTATCTTGCGAGAGATAAGTTTAAACGGTGGTGAAGGGTTTGGAGCGTGGTGGATAGTGAGGTGCTGGGTGGATGAATACTTGGCGTGGATTATGGAATTGGGAGGGTTTTTCCAAGAAGAGTTAACTGCATATACAAAAGAACAACAGGGGAGGATACAACAAGCTGATAAAGATGTTGAGATACAAAAGGAGCAAGAGGTTTATCAAGGTCAGTCAGGGGGTGATAGTGGTGGTGCTCAGGATCAAGAACAAGAAGAATACAACTTGAGCACAGAAACTTCAATCGATTTATTGGGTTGAATTACATTTTGCATTTTCATTGACGATATTCACACACTTGCTTCACATATTTTAATCGGGGGGGAGGGGGTGGTTTAATTGGACTATATAGCATAATACAATGCCATTCATTGGGTTAAGTTAGTAATGAGGGGCGGCAATGTTGACATAATTTCTCTCAAACCGGAACATTCAAACAGGGGAGCCAATATAAGACGAGGTATTATGTGTTTGAAGATAGAATAATATAATGCGTGTTTCCATCTTCATACACTTGGCTGAGAGTTTGGAGCACCAAAAAATATTCCTATTCTCTAAATTACAACCAAAGCATCACAAACATGTCCCCATTCAGCAGCATAACTTATACATTCGAGTTTCTACATTTTCCTTCCAACATTGCAACGCATGTAACTATCTTCATTTCAAAACCAAACTGGATTCTTTACCATTAGAAGTAAAAGCTCAGAATACTACCACCACTTCTATTATCTTTTTTTTGGTTGCAAAACAGTCATACTGCCCCTATGTCCCAACTCACCACGCTAGACAAGTTCAACATTGCCAAATTACAGATGGAAACATCCAAGAACAAGGGTAGTCTGGAATATTGGAAATTCAGATTAGCTATCAAACTAATTCAAGATATCTACATGTTCCCTAGTGATGAAAGTTGTAAACGGGAATTTTACGATACGATATCCAGTGACAAGATTAGAGTTATGGGTAAGGATTTGATTCCTGGAGAGAGAAGCGTGGTTGCGAATGCTGATTTTACCATTGGATCACAAATTATGGATGTTTCGACTGCTGCTGTACTTTTTGACGAAGATGGCGGTGATGCACCACCATTGCACATCACAAAATATCAGGAAATCTTTCAACCTATGCTCATCACCACAAAGACAAATAAGGAGGTCAATAGGACCATTTTGTTAACGTTCTTGGTCATATTCAACTACTTAGAGGACAGTGAGTTTGCTAGTAAAGTCAACAACTTATGTACTCATCAAAGACAAATTCGTCTTGCTAGTGAAGTGAGAAATATTAGAGACTCCATCAAATCTCAAATGGTTGACTTGTTTCATACGTACTTCAAGGAATACTCGTTAGCTATGGAGTTTTTCAAAAAGGGTCAAATTAAAATGGCAAAGGGAAATTGGAAGTTCTTGGAGAGTTTGATCAACGTAGTCATGGTTAATCATTCAGTATTGATGGATCATCGTCATGAATGCATTGGAACATTTTTGGACCCCCAATTTGCTATTTTTAATCATAGCTGTTTGCCAAATTGTTTACAGATTGAGACAGGGTACGGCAAGTACTCAGTTGTTAATAGTTTACCGATCCAAGTCAATGAAGAAATGACAATCAATTACGTGGATGTGAGCACCCCAGTTGAAATTCGAGCATACAAGTTATTGACAAAGTATCATTTCAAGTGTAGGTGTCAGTTGTGTTTAATGAGACAAGATGTGTTTTTCACTATGCAATGCAATGAATGCTTAAAGCCAATAAAGTCATCAAGCTTGACTGCAGTGCTTACCACACCAAACACTATTTTGAAGGAGCAGTCGTGCTCAAAGTGCTTTCACCCATTTGACTTGGATGTTTACACTAGACAGATTCAAATACGTAATTTCTTCATTGCAATTATTGTCATTCCTAGAACCAATTACAATATCAACGATGAAGGGTACTTTACCTTGTTGTTGAAAGAATTTGCCGGTTTGATTGAAAAAAACGGTGCGCCTGCATTGGTGAGGTTACTAGTAGAGTCACTTGAAAGTTTTCACCTTGTTCTAACTCGTGTGACATTTATCAAACGATTGATTGATGAAGTGATGGCAACTAAAGTCTTTGCATTATATACGTTCCCCTTCAATGTCATTGTTTCAAAAATCTGTGCTGATGGTTGTGAGTGTATTGATTTTGATACTGGATTGGAGAGTTTGAAGTACTATGCCAGAGTCCTTTTTGCAGTCAAATTTCCTGCTGATTTGAGTAGTCAGTTATTCTTTAACGACTGTTTGTTCTTGGAGTTGGCACAACGAATTGAGAAATTGATGGCGGTACTAGTAGAGGAGCAAACAGATACATTTTTTGGCACATTTGAAGAATCAATGGAGTTGTTTGCCCGATGTGCATATTTCTTTTATAAACACGTCAAGTGCAAAGTTGAGATTGAATACGTTGAAGAAAAGTTGTTGCAACTTCAACAAGTTTATCATCCCATCAAGTCGCGGAGAAACATTCATTCGTGTTTGGAGAGATTGTTTAGTTATGCCAATGCCAATATTTTCATTACAAAGACTCGATTCCTCATCTTTAATGCAAGACAAGAACAAGTCACTTTGTTCCATACGTTTGATGCCGATGATTACTTGTGAATAGTATTTAATGCATCTTCTTTTTATTGTTCTCTATACATCATTTAATGCTACACATACAGCTCCCTTGTGATGTCCATTGTACTGTCTTACAGTCTCACTGTTGGACAAATCCCACAACCTCACGTAATGATCAGAGCACGCAGTAACTAGATACGCACTATCAGCACTAAATGCACAATCCCATACCCATCTCTGATGTCCCTGCAATGTCGTCTCCAAAGCGAAATTCTGTTCTGTAGACCATATTCTCGCTGTATGATCAGCAGAACAAGTGGCCAAATGTTTCATATCCGTACTTAACAACACTCGAGTTATATACTTCAGATGTGATCTAAATTTAGTCACTGGTGTTAACGACGTTAAATCCGTTTGATTCAGCATTTTCCAGACATAGCAATTCCCCTTGTTGTTTCCCGCAACAAGCATAGATCCATCACTGGCTACACTTAGTGAATTAATCGGCACATCGTCCTCAGGAATCAAGTGATGCGTGCACTGATTTTCGCCGAGGTCCCATACTCTTATATTACCATCCTGATCACAACTGATTAGTTCTCCTTGGTTCGGGTGTATGACAACTTCATTCACGGGGCAGTTGTGTTTATAATTTCGTTGAACTGATGGTGATCTCACATCCCACACTTTGACAGTGCCGTCTTCACTCGAAGTCACCATCCATTTGTTATCCGCTTGGAATGCTAGTGAGGTGACATTAGTACTGTGCCCTTCAAACGTCGTTACGGGATTGTTGTTGGGGTTGTTGTTGGAAGAGCCAGCATTATTGTTCTGGACCGATGCATTTCCCGTAGCTCCACCTTGCCGTATGTCGTATAACCTGACGTACAAGTTGCCTGCCGCTGCAAGATATCGCTTATCGGAGGTTATCTCCAATCGATTGACCTGGGAGTCAGTGTGTTGAATAGTTCTTGAGCATACACCAGTGAGGGCATCCCAGAATCTGATAGTATGATCATACCCAGCAGACGCTAGTATCACGGACATATTGTTGTTGTGTGGGTGGGCGAGTGGTGTTGATGAAAATGCAACGAACTTTTCGCACTGGAAATTTTCCTACAATAAAATATCATTCTCTTTTACAGTACATGCATTTATCTCTATACGTCATACACATAGCGAGCAAAGCTCATTAAAAGTTATCCAAGATGGCTTGTTTTTGAACTGGTGTCAATGATGATGGATAGTCGACTTTGTATGTGATTTCCAAATCGCCTCTTTGACCGGGGCTTTTACTTATTGGCATTCCCAAACCTGGGTAGTTGGTAGTTGAGTTTGGTTGCACAGGACTTGATCTGCTTAATGAAATTCTTCTTCCATCCAATGTGGTTACATCTTTTTCAAATCCACAAAGTGACTCTTTAAATGATAAGTGCACATTCATTTTAATGTTATTGCCATCTCTCTTGAATGTTGGGTTTGGTTTTTCTTGTATAACAAATTGTATTGTTTGCCTTGCACCGCATTCAGGCTGGTAATCACCTTCATTGGCAAAGTTGATTTTGGTACCGGATTTCCAACCCGGTTTTATATTAACCTCTAACACTTTCTGTTCTCTGGTTCCACTGGAATCTTTTCTGGTGATTTTCATCTTCTTGGTGGCACCTTTATACAAGTCCTCCAATGATACTGGAAGTTGTATTGATACAGTGTCTGGTTCTGGCCTTGGTTGTTGACGTCCGCCAAATCCACCTGGCATTCCACCACCACCACCGGCTGATCTGAACCCACCGCCACCAAATGGAGATCCACCAGCACCACCTCCGAATCCACTCAGACTGAAAGTGAAACCGTCATCTCCCATACCGAAGCCTCCCATTTGTGAGAAGATGTTGAATGCATCTGCTTGTGAAAAGCCACCACCAGCTGATCTAAAGCCACCGCCTCCACCTGCTCCTCCGAAGTTGAAGCCACCAGCACCAGCACCTCCGGCTCCTCCAAATGGATTACCAGCATCTGCTGCTGGTGCATTACCTCTAGCTGCCTCTAGACCATATTGGTCATACACTTCTCTCTTATCTGCATTGGATAAAATATCAAAAGCTTCGGATATTTCTTTGAACTTTTCAGTATCACCTGTTGGTTTATCAGGGTGATATTTTAATGCCTGTTTCCTGTAACCCTTTTTAATCTCTGTTTCATTCGCAGTTGGCTCAACACCTAGCAAGTTATAAAGTTTTGTATCTTTGACCATGTTTGCTATATTAATCTAAGTCTATTTTTTAGTTGGAGCTGTCAATTGACTTTTGTACTAACGATGGATAAAGATTGTTGTCTTTTCAAGAATAAATTTATAAGATGATAGCAATTAATTTTCAGCTTCCAAAAGAAGAAAAAGAAAAAAATAAAAGACATCTAAATTGTGGAATCAGATTTGTTGTCGCTGCTTCCTGCATAGTACACACATTTTTTTCACTTATGATAATCGAGAAGCTTCATCTTATTTCTAGAATGTTCTTATCGCTACACGTGACATTGGATACATTGGATCTTATACACATACACATATACACAAGTAACATCTAGTCTTTCTTCTCAGCACTAACACCAGCAGCAGTCCTTGCCTTCTTCTTCAATGCTCTTTGTCTAATCGATTTGTGCATATTGAGATTGAGCTTGTTGGCAAGTTTAGAGTAAACACCAACTGTATTGTCAATACCGAAATGCATTAAAGCATGCGTCCAGTATGGAGTGCTAGTAGCAAACCTTTCTTGCGCACCACCTCTACGGCCAACTCCCCTTAATGCTGAAGCAACAAAATCTTTGGCATTTGGAATCGTTATTGATGAGCGTCTGATCTTGGACATGGCTGATGTCACTAAATATGAGATAACCAACTCAACATCAATACCTTCAGGGTTTAATTCACCTGCTAATGCATTGGACCATTGCTGTAAAAATGCCTTCGAGCCAGAGTAAACAGCCAAGTAAGGAGTGGGCAACAATCCACCAAAAGATCCCATGGTCAAAATAAGACCTCTAGCTTTTCCACGCGACTTCTCAACAGTGGCAGCAATAATTGGAGCAATAACCTGCGTAATTCTCAAGGTAGCAGTATTATTTATAGTAATGATATTTCTCAATTCGGTGGAGTCAGTTTCTAAAAATGGAACAGGAATGGAGTGGGACTGTCCAACATTGTTGATCAAAATGGTGATTGGCAAATCATAAATTGTCTTTTCCAATTCCAAGTAGTTGGCTTCATCGTCCAGTGCTGCATCAAATGGAACAATCTTGGTATTAGTCTTGTACTTGGCCGAAATTTCTTCAGCCACAGCCTCCAACTTTGACTTCGTTCTGGAAACCAAGACAATAGCAAATCCACGTCTAGCTAATTGGAAAGCAAATTCCTTACCAATCCCATCGGAAGCACCGGTAACAACAGCCCATTTGCCGCTATTGGCACCATATTTGACGAAATCCACTGGGGGTACCACAAAAGTGTCAACGATCAAGGACCCAAATTTAAGAAGAAAAGTGGTTAACTTGAAAACACCAACTAGTAAAGCAAATACCAAAGTATAGTAAATAGCTGGGTTCTGAGGGAATGCTTGAAATAGTTCTTCAATCGATGGCATGATGGTTTGGAGAGGGAGCTGTAAACCAAACATCTCCTTTGCGAATTCTTTTCTTTAATTTTTTTTGTTGAGTTACGTCCGAGACGTTTTTGTTGTGCATTAAATCCGAAAGGAATAAGATACTCAATGACAGACAATGTTGTCTAGTTTCAAAAGAGTAAAATGAAGACTACATATTGCATTGCAAAAGTTCATAACTCAAGTAATACCTCCTTGCCATTAAATATATACAAATTCATCCAATTTCTCAGTAGTCAACTGCACTTGCAACTCCTCTCGAGCAGCATGCTTTTCCAAACTCGAGATTGCCATCTCCAATTTTATCTTTTTCCTTTGTAGCTCTCGAATAGCCTCGTCAGCTTTCGCTTGCTCATTGTAATTATCCTCTAAAGTTGTCTGTTGTGCTTCATCTGTAATTCCCATAATGTTTATCCATGGATTTTGAAATGGTTTTAATTTGGTATCATGTAAGAATTCTTTGTAATGTCGGGAAGTTTTATCAACCACACCTCCAGATTTGTAAAACTCACCCAGATGGTGCGTGCTTCCATGCCGACTCTTGTAACTACTACCTCTAAACGGTCCTCCTCTGTAGCCACCACCACTACCACTACGTCCGTATGATGGACCTGTTCCTTGGTACCCGCTTTCATCTTCATCCTCACGCTCTATGCTCTCTTGTCTCTGTTCTATAGGCTGTGGGGACAGATGCTCTTCTCCCCTCTCTTGATGCTCAGAGTAGGAACTTCCTCGACTCCTATCATCCCGACCACTGAAGCTGCCATGCTTGCCATAGTATCCACCACTACTTCCACCTCTAAAGTTGCTACCGTAATACTGTGAGTTGTATCCTCCGCCATAGTTTCCACGTCCACCACGATACAGCAGTCCTCTTCCTCCTCTTCCTCCTCTACCTCTGTAGCCTCCACGATAATAATTACTCAGGCCATAGTGGTCATCAGTATACCCACTTCCTCTATCAGCACCACCTCTTACCCTTCCAGCTGAGCCTCTATATGAGTCGTACGACATGATCAGTTTAAAATGTATTATGAACAATGTTATCGTAGTCATTTTTTACTTTGTTTCTTTTTTTTTTTTTATTTCATTTTTTATAAATGTCGTGTGTATTTTTCTTGAGACATTCAAAACTACGACAAAGTTAGTTCTTTGCCGAGGTTGATCTGAAAACACCAACACGTTTTATTCGGGATATAAGTTAGCGAGAGTGCGGGTGATATCAATTTGATCATGCTGTTTATAGGGGAGGTGCTCTAAACCACATGATGCTGCCGCTTTTATTAAATCAAAACCCCTTCTCTTTTTTTTTTTCAGTTGCTAGGTGGTCCCTGTTTGCTACTTTATTAGAAGTGTTTTCCTGCTTGATGTTTTGGAATGTTCCTCTTTATCACATCAACAAACAATGTGTGATACGTATCAATGTGGTGCTTTTCTTCTTCTTTCCTCTCATCCTTTTCACCTGTACGTTTTCTACTTTTTTTCGCAATCACATTTCCTATTTAAGTTAAAATTGTGCGTGTGTAAACCGAAAGGTATACATACAAAAATTAGTTACAAAACGTTTCTTTGAAAAATAAAAGACCCAAAATAATCCCTTTTTCTTTTATCATTAAAAAAGGAATTTGATCTGAAACTTTAATAAAAGGGGGAGTGGGAGTATTATTAAAACCAAAAAAAATAACTGACTCTACTATATCTTTACAAGAGAGTGCTTTGTTTCAGAAAGTAGGAGGTATAATAAAGTCTCCTTGTCCATACCCAAAGCCACACATATTTGAGGGAAAAATAAGATTCAACAAAAGTTGCACTTCTTTTTATTAATTAGCCACAATTCATTTCACCAATGGACCATTCACCACCAAACCCAGAAATGTTACCCTATAGACGTGACATTGATATCTTGACACCAGCATTTGAACAAGCGTGGAATTCCACCATTCACGATACACCAAACATCTCCGCTCAGGACTTGTTGAAGTTGGCACAAAACTTGATCGAGATGCAATCCAGTGACAGAGATCCGCCACAACCGGACGAAGCTAAGTCCCTTCTTTCCAGCCCCTTGGTTAGAACAAGGATCACCGAAAAGTGTAAAGATAAAACTACATTATCTAAATCAGAAACGTGGGAAATTTTATGCCAACTACCGCAAGACAAATCCGAATCGGGAATGGGCTATTTAAAAGCATGTCTGTCACATGAAGAAATAATAAGCCGCCTGCCTGAGTCTTTACCGGATATAACTGGTGGAACTATTTCCAATGATGATCTAGATGGAGAGGCTGATTCAGATGAAACTTCATCGTTGATGGAACTTCAATATAGAGAGCCCCTGCTGCCACTACATCCACCTATCTTATCCACATCACCTTATGATGACGTTGTTGGGCTATGTTTATTAGAAAGCCACTTGAACGAAAGCAAAGATATAGTCATTGATTTCAAAACTCAGCAAACGTTGCGCCAAGTTATTAACGAAGTTGCCCAGCTTCATTTACAAGTGGACAAGGCATTCTCTCGTGTTGCAGATAAATTAGATAAACTCGAGCTGAATAGTCGCAGGGCACTACAAAGATTAGAAATATTGCATCATGGGTCTGATTTTATGAACAGCCGAGTCAACCACATGCAAACCGAAGTCAAAATGATCAAAGAGAGTGGCAAGTCAACCACGAAAGTGAAGCGTGTTGTTTCATTCAGTGATTCTTGTGAAGTTATACCAATGTCGGATAAATTACCACCAGTCAAGACATTGAGTGGCTTGCTGCTACGTTCTGCACTACACCAACAGAGAGGTGCATTTCATAATAGCCCAGTGGAGTTGTCTCCTAAATTGCACCCGAAACGATGTGGCGTGCCTATTAGCAATGCTCCTGCTCTCAAGGCCAACACTCTGGTAGTGACACCTACTGCTTTTGATCTTGATTCTGATGATGATGCTCTGGAAGTACTCATCAACGACGATATGGAACCTTATAGAATATCAAGAGAGGGGTCATGGCAGCATTTGCCAACCCAATACGCACACCCACACAGTCCCGCCAGTCCTTACTACGAGGAACAACAGGACTATTCTTCACAAGAGGGAGAAACATCGATAACGCCTTCACAAACACCGGTGGACAAAACTGATGACACTATAGACGAACCGGTCAAGATCCAATACATTTTACTTATTCTTTTGCTTTATTTCTACAACAAGTTGCATAATTTCTGCCGTTCCAAGCTTAGCTAAGACCCCTTACATACTTTTGCATTTTCTACATTACATAGCATTTTTTATTTGAGTGATAATCTCTATACCCTCTAACCCATGTTTATTGAACGTGAAAAATTGACATCTTCTCCACTGACAACACCATCACCTAACCTCTTTTCCAACCCGAAATGCGCACCACCACCACCATGGGCACTAGATAATCCGTTTTGTCCAAAGATGTCATGATTCTCTTGTCTATCATTACTATCATCACGGAAATATGGATGGACCAATGCACGTTTAGCACTAATTCTCTTACTTGGATCGTAAACCAACATCTGTTCCAACAAATCAATACCATTAGCATCCAAACTAGGCACAAATTCCTTCAAATCACGTTTCTTCCACTGAGGGAATCCCGGCTTAAAATCAGGCAAGTAATTTACATCAGGCCAGATCGTTTCATTTGGCGTACCCAAGATTCTAAAAATACGGAAAATTTCATCAATTTCTGAATCACCAGGGAACAAGGGTTTTCTATTGCACATTTCAGCAAAAATGCAACCGACAGACCACATGTCGACTCCAGTTGAATATTGCTTGCCACCTAGTAAAATTTCTGGTGCTCTATACCATAGTGTTACCACTTCATGTGTGTATGCTCGCAAGGGCACCCCAAAGGCTCTAGCCAATCCAAAATCGGCCAATTTCAAATTCCCCTCTTTATCAATTAATAAATTTTGTGGTTTTAAATCTCGATGCAAGACACGATGAGCATGGCAATGCTTTATACCGCGAATCAACTGATTCAAGAATCGTTTCACCATTTGTGGCTCTAATCCAGCGTTGGATTGTGGTGGAATTGCTTCCATGTATTTCTTCAAATCTAAGTCCAAAAACTCAAACACCAAGTATAATTTATGAGAATCAGAATGAATTATATCGTAAAGACGAACAATGTTGTCATTTCTCATTTCTTTTAAAAGGGAAATCTCGCGGATAGCGGTGGAGGGAACCCCTTCATCTTCAGATTCAAGTCTGATTTTTTTAAGAGCTACAACTCGGTTGTTGTGTTTTGTATCGAGGGCCTTGTAAACGACACCATAGGTTCCTTCTCCTACTTTTTCTTGACGTTGATAGTCTGATAACTCAACCATGGTATGTGGATAGGTGCCAGATCTCGATGCTAGGTAATGTAAGATCTGCAAAGAAAAAATATAATCCTTCGTTGGCTGAACTTAGCTGTACTTAGTTGAGCTGATCTTGGTTGAGCTGAGCTTTATTGAGCTGAGCTGATCTTAGTTGAGAGGATCTTGGTTGAACAAAGTTGTATAACAACGGAGCAAAATAGACGAAAAGAAAATCTTGCTGGACAAAAATGTAAACACAAAAGGAATTTTACTGCCTTGCCCTGTCATACTACACACACACACACGCGTCGCATTTACTTTTAAAACTGGCAATGTCAGAAATGAAAACCCGACACACACTATAAATATAAATAATTTAAAGCTATACACAGTAACCTCTAACTGAACTGCAATCTCAGACCTCATGGGTGGTACCTTCTCCAGCATCACAAACTTTAATCTCTCTACCCCACTCACTATTCAAAATCTGTTTACCCGTTATTCGTCTCTCCGGCTTGGGGTCCAAGATTGAATAAATGACATTCCTACAACGGGCACGTTTCAAACTCTCAATCGGTTCATAGCCACTTGCTTCTTTCCTCTTGGTAAGGTATTCTTCAAAAAATTCATCCTTTGCAGGATCAGCCAATTTCCACAATTGACGACCTGTTCGCATAGCCATGTAAATGACACCACATGACCAAATGTCCACACACCGAGGATCAAACAGTTCTTGGGTAAACTCTTCAGGAGCAATGTATGGAGACGACCCACATATGCCTTCAGAAAACTGTACTTCTTTCTCCCATGCCATTTTAAAACACTCTGAGTTTCCAAAATCAGTGATTTTTAAAACACCGTTTTGAGTCAATAGTAGATTCTCTGGCTTTAAATCACGATGAGCAACACCCATGTCATGCATATAATTAACCCCTCTGATCAACTGCTTGAAAAAACAATCTGCTTCAGCATACTCTAGTTTACCCAGGGCAATAATCAAAGTGTATAAATCACCACCAGAGCAGAATTCCATCACTTCACAGTAGTCACCCTTGGCGTCTTTGAGTAGATCCAAAGTGTCTATAATATTCAAATGTTTCAACGATGAGGAAATGCAAAATTCGGACGTTAATCGCCTATTGTACTTCTTTTCATTTTCATTAGGCTTCTTTTTGAACTCCTTAACAGCATAGAGCTTCTCCTGTCCCGCAGTAGCGTTGGTTGCCGCATCAAGCTTTTTATGAGAAATACGCACAACACCAAACGAACCACGTCCAATAACCTCTTGACACCTTCCATATTTCTCCACAAACGATCGACAATCAGGACCAGTATCAACATTTGGCCCTTTTTCACTATTGTTGACCTCAGCAGTACCAGGTTGATGGTAAGGACTTGTATGGTTCTTAACTTGAGTAACTAATCCAGCAAACAAAGTAGGTGGTTTACCTTGAGGTGCCGCGGTTGAGCCAGATTGCTGTTGCTGCAATTGCGATGTTGATGATTGCATGGCTCCCACCACATCGGGCACAGCACTCTTGGCTCCATCTCGCAACTTCTTGGCTCCCAATAAATCCTTCAACATATTTGACAACTTTTCATGACGTTTGGCCGATCGTAAGTGATGCTCGTGGTTACCATTTTCTAGCATAACAAACCTTGGCAATTGTGGTGGTTGCTGTGGCTGGTGTGCTAACGAATTTAACGAAGTTGTCGAATCGTTCTTGTTCTTTGTAAGCTGTGCATTGGATGACGACGCTGCTTGTTTGATCAGCAGAGCAATCTTTCTCGACGATGAACGTGACACATTTGGTGATGGCCTGCTAGAAGGAATGGACGACAGGGATGGATGTCTCTCGCCGGATTGTGCACTTGAAGCTGGCGGAGGAACAGACGCAATAGTGTGCTTCTTTAGCTTATTGTCCAAGGATGCTACCAGCATGGGGGATGTTGTTGTCGATACTGATCCATTCACGGGAGACTGGGATCTAGTTTTTGCCAACTTTGGGGATGCATTGCTTGATGGTGATTGATTGAGCAGTGGCGATGGTTGAGAATGTTGGGCCAAAGGTGACGATTTGTGTGGTTGTTGTGGTTGTGGCTGTTTAATCTGTCGCAATGGTGAAACCTCGTCATTTTCCACTTGCGATAGTATAAAATCCTCATCATTTGAAGTAGGTTGTGGAGATGCAAAATCAGAAGACGCAGGTGATAATATGGATGATGTATTGGTATAAACTGGCTCCTTTAATTTTGGGGAATTTGTGGCCAGCACGGTTTCTGAAGCTTCCTTGGGTTGAGCATTTTTTGTAGGTGAAGATAGTTTGGGCTTAGTAGCAACTGATTGCTGCAGTGTGGAAGACAAGTTTGTCAGCGATTTGCCAAACAACTTGCCCAATTTCGAAAGTTTGCCTGGCTTTGGAGAGTCCACCATAATGGAGTTTTGATGGGTTAAAATAAATAACTTCGGGGGAAGCACCAGTTAATGACTGATATATATATATAATGTATACGTTGGTAATTGATCTCTCTAAGGAAAGTTTGTTGTATGTAATCTCAACTTATTTGTATTGTATTTTGGTTGTAAAAAAAAGAAAAAATTTTTGTTACCCAATTTCTTTCCTTTCCCTTTCCCTTTTCCCTTCTCTCTCACACACACTCTATTTTTTATTTAACTTTTTTTATTTATTTTTTTATGTTTTATTTTTCTTTTACTAAATTTCTTTCAAAAGAAAATCCCTCATAGTTAAACAGAAAATCAAAACCTGTGCACGTGCATCATATATATGCATATATATACATAAGCCTACTTAATAATATCTCTCTTTCGACGCCACTCAATCTGAAAACTGTCACAGGGAAAGAGAAACAGTAAATAGACTGTATGTGGTATATCTCTTGGCATATTTCCCAAGCCCCTTTGGCCAGAATGATGCGTTTCAATTTGTTTCTGATGATTTACGTGACACAATATGTATTCGTATTGTTTTCCTAAAATAGGAAATTGCGAAAGTGATGACAAAAGCGCATTACCAAAGCTCTCTTACTATAGGTCTTCGAAAATAGGGGATATCTTGGAAGGCTTCGTAAGGGGTTCTCTGCCACACGCATTCTCTTCCATCATGGTGCTAACTATTAACATTTACTTAAAAAGTATGGAGAGACAGTTAGGAATGATCACGTGTTTTTAAGGCTGTACCATCACTCGTTTTCAAAACGTTCGAGTTTCCTAGATGACACTCTTTTGCGACATCATCAGACTAAATTTAAAAGGTCAACCAAAAAGACCTACAGCACAGCCCAAGTTTAATTTGTGTTTTCAAGGGCATCACTGTCATCGATACACATTGTTTTGTTTCATTCTTCTTATTGGCTAACTATATAGACACTAACGCAACAATTTTTTGAGAATTTGTTATGCAAGCTGGACAAATATTCTTGAATAATGGGAAGGACAAGAGTCTTACTTACTGTTCATCTCTATTTGCCGTACTCTCTTCTTTTAAAGGTTTTAAATAGTGTCATTACTTTCGTTACGGTAAGAGTTGTTGTCAGAACTTTGTGTGGGAACAACGAGAATTCTTCTATCGGTCTCTACTTTGCCAGAGCAGAACAAATGGAAGTGCAAACTTGGATCCTCTCTCGCACCCAC